TTCTGAGGTCGAAGCATAAACATGAGTCTCCACGCAGGGCTGCTGGAACAGGAGCAGTGGTCGATCGCCTTTGTTGCCTTGGACTTCCAACGCAGCGTCGATGGTCTGCAAGAACGCGCAGCCGCAGTCAACAGCGCGAGCGCCGACAGCATTGCAAACGGCACGCTGCTGACAGCTCCCCACCGCACCAGCAGCAGCACATCCCAAGCCTCCCAGCCTGCCTACCAGAACGGCGCAAACGGTGCGCATGCACAGTTGCGGTGCCTTTGCTGTATCATTCTTGCGTCTCTTTGGTGATCCTGCTTGTCAGGGACATTGTGCATCTTCAACCTCTTGCTGATAAAGAGTGGGATGGAGAGCGAGAGAGAGACGTTGAACAGTCTTGTTCAAGCCTGTGATTGATGGAAATTTCAAGAGGCGCGAGACATGTAGAAAGCAATAGGACAGGTGTTGTTAGTAGAGGTAGTGCTTGTCGTTCCTACTCCTCAGGAGTGGAAAGTGCGACTTTGTTACAATGAAAGCTGGTGTGCACCTAGGGCACGTGGAGGGCGGCGACAGGGTGAAGGCAAAGGACACGCTGAGAGTGGGTGGCCAGGAGTACCACGTGGTGGCGGCGGTGCTCATGATGCTGGGCCTGCTGGAGTCCTACCTGCAATTCCAGGACGTGGTGCCCACCTTTGGCGGCGAAGTAGCGCACCGTGTAGTCGAGCTGCTCAAGGTGGGTGCAGCATCAGTCCTGCCTGTTGCATTCCCTGCAAACATCCTGCGACCCACCAAAAGCGTCGAAAAGAGTCAGTCGATGCATCTTGTATATATAGCTTCTTGTGTATGCTAGGAGCAGCCTTGTTGGACTTGCCGCTTGACATGCATGGTGACAATAACAGCACACAGCCATGGGGATAGCATAGGCAGCTTGTTTTAACCAATTGAAGGAAAGTCGAGCCTGCAGGAACTTTGGCATCTTGAAAATGGTTGCAAAAACACCAAAGAAAGAAAGAAAGAAAGCAGATTTAATCCTTGTCCCTCCTGGGCAGGTGTTCAACTCGAGGACGTGCCAGCTGGTGTTGGGCGCGGGGGCGCTGGCGGCAGCGGGGCTGCGCTCCATCACCGCCAAGCACCTGGCGCTGGCCGCGCAGTGCGTGGGCGCCGTCATGGCTCTGCACCCCTCTCTGAGCGCCGCCTTCACCGGGCCCCTCCTTGCCGCCCGCCGCGCCGTCCTCCTACCCGACTTCGAGCGCGTGCTGCAGGTTCGGCGGCCCCACCACTGCTGCATGGCCCTATCAAACCTTCTCCAGCGCCTGCATTGAGGACTTCTGTGTGTGCGTGCTTGGGCTCTTTGAGTGCCGGTTGAGTTCTTGCTGAGATTGCGCAAGGGCAGAGATGGCAGTGCCATGGGAAAGCTAGGATCTTGCAACTTTGGGAGGGTGTGATGGTTGCGCGTGCTGTGCAGGATCTGAGGATACACAGGAGCGAGATCCACAGCAAGCTGGTGGCCATCATGCGCGAGCGGCTCATGGCGAACCTCAAGCAGCTGCCCGGCATCGCTGCATCCTGGGGCCAGGGCGCCCCGGGGTCCAAGCAGCCGTCCCAGTTTGCGCAGACCAATGCCAAGCAGCTGCGCATCCTGAGCCAGGTGCGCTCTCTGTCACGACAGTTCTCGGAAGAAATTAGCCTGGCAGATGCTTCTGCAGGTCTCCATGGCATTGAGCTGAAGGACAGGTGTTGTGCAGAGCTGGGCCAGAGGAATAAAAAGGAGATGAATGGACGTGTCATATTGTCTGCTGTCTGCAGAATGACCACTTACTAAAGGTGTTCTTGCGCAGGTTCTTTCACCCCTGCTGCTAGATGAGGAACTGCACTACATCTTTGGCAGAGTCAGCACGCTGTTCAGCAAGAGCTTAGCAGACGCCTATGCTCGCCTGGAACCCCTGGTGCGTATTTTTAGCATGATCTTCAATTTATTTTCATTGCTTTTAAATGTATCTGACAATTTTAAAATCACATGAAGCCAACAGTGAGCATCCACAATAATGAATCTTGCACGCTTATCGCGACGATCATTGCAAAGCTGCTGTAGTCCGAGGCTGAGCACCTCACGGAGGGAATGCCCTACGATGACTATGCTGAGCTGCGCTTGCATCCATGTGATGATGGCATATGAGCAAATATGAGCAAACATTTAGGGAGGTTCTCAAACTGGAAGAAGGACATACATGCTTTGCGCGCATTTTGGCATAAGTTTGTCATGTATGCAACAGGGCCCGGCCTGGGAGGCGCAGTGCCACGCGGACACGCACCTGCTGCTGGCAGCGCTCAAGGGACTGCCGCTGGACCCCAAGACGGCCGACAGCACCATGGACCACTTGGCCACTCTGTGCAACCTGCGCTTTGCAGACCCCTCCCCCTCCGGCTACGCCATCCCCGTGCCCCTGCCGCCGCCCTCAGGGACCCCCGTACCGGGTGGCCCCATCCACTCCCGCACCTCCCCCAGGCGAACCTTTGAGTCGCCGTTCTCAGACCAGGTGATTGCGATGGCCACCATGCCATTTACCCATCCCAAGGCTTGCTGCCAGCATTGAATCTGTCGACGCTTTGTTGGTTCCTTTCTGTAGGTCTCCTGCATGTTCGGAAAATTGAGCAATAGCTGTGTGACGTGCGCATTGACCAGGGGAATTTGCAATGTTTGTAGCTGAGTTGCTGCCCGTTGTATGTGCGCCGACAGCAGGGCATGCCACGACTGGAGCGCATGGCCCCGCCGGCGCGGCCGCTGCCGGCTGAGGCCCTGGCGCTCATAGGGAGAGGCTCTGGCGGAGGCGCACTTCCCATGCCCTCATCCAGCGAGCCGTCCGCCTCTGGCCTCCCTCCCTTGCACAGCAATCTCAGCACCCCCACCAGCAGCCGGGGCGGCGCGCAGCCCTTCAGAGCTCATGCACTGGAGAGTCCCGGCTCGCGCTCGGAGCTATCTGTTGACGCGCCTATCCTGCAGCTGCCGGGAAGCTCGCCGGGCGGCAGCTCGTCCGAGCAGCTCACGCTCGCGCGCGTCCCCACTGAGGAGCTCGGTGAAGGCTTGGCAACTCAGCGCAGCATGGCGTCGGTTTCCAGCCTCGGCACTGCAGACCTGCAGATGACCATCGAGCTGGATGTAGCCCCAGCAGCCAGTAGCTGGAGCGCGCAGCCAACCCCGGCCGGTGATGGCGCTCCGGAAGGCAACGCCGCCGGGCACCCGAGCAGCACAGCGCAGCGTGACGCGTCGCCTGACCGCGGCCCAGAGGGCGGCATGCCCAGCAGCGCTGCCGCGGATCCGCTCGGCGTTACCAGCAACGTCGGTGTGCGCAGCGCAGCGGTGTCACCGGCGCGACCGCCGCAGCTGGCGCTCTCCAGCAGCCTCGGGGCCAGCCCCACGCTGGCCACTCCGCCAGTGGGAGCTTCTGCATTGACGGCAGCCTCGCCAGATCTGGATGTCCCTGCGCTCGCGTACGCCAGGCTGGCTGCAGAGGGGAGCGCCGCTGCAAGAGACCTGCACAGCGGGGAGGCAATCGCGGATGCGGCGGCCTTTGCGGGCAGCAGGCAGCTTACAAGGGAAGTGTCGGAGCTGGCCTATATGGACAGGGACCCGTTGGACGGCAGCCCCACGCACAGGTTCCGCACCACCACAGATGCCGAGCTCGGCCCCGAGCAGGCTGGGGTGCTGTACGAGACCCAGCTGGAATCCTCTGGTGCAGAACAGCTGCTGGGCGGGCCAGCAGAGCATGTGGCACAGGCACAAGAGCCTGCAGCAGCGCAGATCTTTGTAAGGGACGAGGCAGGGCTCGGCACAGAAGTGCCCTCCAGCAGCGATCTCAGTCCAGTGGAGGACCTGTTTGTGGGCGTCGAGAAGGAGCTCTCAGTGCCCCTGATGGAGACACCCATCGAGGCGCATACGGCGAGTGGTCTGCCAGATGAGACAGAAACCTTTACAGACTCCGGGGCCTCAACGCAGCTGCCCCTTGATGTCGATCAGGCTACCATATAGGTGTTGGCATGCCGTTTGTACAGCGCGAGTCGGCGCAGAGCTGGAAGTCCCATGTTTCCAGTCCTGCCTGATATGTATCTTTTTGTGATGGTGGTGTTAACTTGTGGATACTTATCTGCGCTGCACGCACGTAATGCGGCGCGCTACGTCACAGAATGGTGAAGTTTACCATGCTTGCCATGCCAATTATTCTGATCGGTTCCTTATTGCGCACTGGCATGCATGCATCAGATTCGTACTACATAGTATGCCAACGGTTTTTGCTTGCATTGGAATGCTAAGCAAGTTTCATACCTGCTTCTGCACGCATGATCATCACCACTTTCTGAGAGGCGGGCCCTCTATAGGCCTCTTCATCCAAGCTCAAGTGGCTGGCGCTAACCGGCTTGCCCAAGCCATGGCGTCGGCTTGGATCAGTGACCAGGGATTCTAAAAGCGCAATTCCGAGCGTCACCGGTGACCGCTGAAGATGAACACCTAGAAATATTTCCTGACGTTTGCCAATCCTCGCAATGCATTTCCGAAGTCTTCCCGAACGCATCTCGCCATTCTTATCAGGCGCCTTCTTGTCAAGCTGGTGAATCTGGCACCTAAGGGAGCCCCTAGAGGGACCAATGGAATACAAACTCCTGCTTTCCCTCTTTGTACCTCATTCGTCTTCCCAGTCGGTCGAGGACTGTAAAATTACGGCCAAAAGCGTGACGTATTCCAAAATCGGGGGGACCAACCCCAACATGGACTCCTGAAAGGGGCCACCTTTCCGGGAGCAACCTTTGATCTACTTCTCCCTTGGAAGTTTCGCTGCCTCAGAGAGGCAGATGATGTGTCAAGATGTAACGAAAGCTTGTCCGCGATGAGCGCTATCCTCCTGCAGACCCTGGGGGAGACCATGCACAACAGACATGGTTCTCTTCTCTCGTTTAATGAGTTCCGGGAAGAGGAGAAGACGAGGTTTCAAAGCTCGGTGGGCAAGGATGGCAGGCTGCGCGACTATGAGGCCCTGGAGCTTAGGATTAATCCCACGCAAATAGAAATTGACAACGACAGTGACGACTTGGTTACAAGAATCGAACTGGACTCTGCAAATTATCCTGGGACCTTAGTAGAGGTGAGGAGCTATCATATCAAGCACTTCCAGCGTTCCTGATCTGCTTGCTGGGTTGAGCGAAATATCTGCTCCTCGGGCGCTACAGCCAGTTGTCACGCGTTGGGTACCTAAGTGCCCAAGGCCTTCAGCTGTTCAAAGCCAGTCAGCTCACCCTGTGCTAGGATTGTCTAAATACAAGACAACGTCTGATCAGCGTCTGGCGCCACAATTACGTATCAGGGTTCAATATCACAGTTCTGATTGGGACATCCAGGAAGGCAAACTACTACTTTCGACCCCGTGTGCTTGGCATCCTGACCATTTCATGACCTTGCTGTGCAGGTGGTGCAGTACATGCTAGGTTTGAACCTTCAAATCAGGCGTGCGCGCATATCTTCAGACAGATCTTGGTTTCACGATGGTGTGCCCTTCTTTGGAAGTTCTCTCCCTACGTATCTGTTCTTGGAAATCCTGTTGAGGTTTCGTGGAACGTCTGCTCACATGGGAACATTTTCTTGCAGTGTTTGAGGTGACTGAGGTCAATGGAGAGAAGGTCCGCAACACCCGGAAGCTGGACTTTCTGAAGAGGATGTTGAACATTGAGGAGGAGGGGATCTTCAGCAATGCTGGTGCGATGGGCCGTCTTGCTGCGCGCTGTTCTTAATGTTCTTCACCATCAAGCCTGTTCATGACATGTCTGAATTCCCAGGAACACCTGTTCAGACATATTTGTCGGAGTGATCACTGTCTGGGGCCTACTTCTGAATCATCTGCACTTTGTTATGCAGATGAGGGAGCCAGTGGCCCCACAGAGTCCACAGTGGTGGAGCTGGCGGGCCCAGACAAGGCTGGCAAGCTGGCACAGGTCACGCGGCTGCTTACCAACAATGGTTGCAACGTGCGCTCGGCTGCGGTGAGACTCTCTGCAACTTCTCACACTTCACTTGCCACACGCTCATGAAATGCAATGGTATCAGACTCTTACACCTTGGAAGTGCAATGACATATAGCCATTTTGTGGTATGTGGCAGGTGTGGACCTACTATGGGAGGGTGGCCTTTGTGCTGAGCGTGCTGGAGAAGGGCAAGCCCATCGCAGACCAGGTCAAGCTGCAGGGGCTGCGCCAGATCATGCTGGACATCATGGGACCTGAGGGCGAGGGCATTGTTAACATCAGAAAGGTGTGCGGCTTTGCACAGCGACTGATGACCGTCTGTGGCCAGCTTCTTCCTTTATGTTTGCATTGAAGGATTAGTCTGCTGTTTTTTGTGTTGGTCCCTTTTACAGCGAGCAATTGAGAGTCAGTAACAGAAAGTCTAATGTTTGCTTTGGGTATCGAGATAAGTCTGGTGTGCATGTGCAGCATTCGGGAGTGGTGCACCACGACAGGACGCTGCACCAGATGATGCTGGCAGAGGACTCCAGGGCCTGGGATCAATCCCACAGCACACACGCCGCACGACTGTGCGCAGGTGATCTGGCGAGCACCTGCAGCCGGATGAGCGAAGCCACCCTGGCGGACGCCTTTTCCCCCAGCCACGCCTCCCCTACAGACTCCGCATCGTCGCTCCATGCTGACTGTGTGCTGCAGGGGGACTTCATGCGTGAAAGGGACGATGCCACCTTGCCACTCCTCAGGTGGGCGCTGTCAGCTGCTACCTTTTCTTGTTATACAGTGCCTGCCAAAGAGCCTTCCTCTGACAGTGCAGCGCGCTCTGATGCAGGCGTGCGACTGCAATGCACAGTGCTGATGACATAAGATTTTGGCTGCAGGTCCGCAAAGCACAGCAAGCCCAACATCAGCATCGTGCAGTGTCGACACACGGGCTACTGGCTCATTTCCATCGCCTGCAAGGACCGGAATAAGCTCCTGTTCGACACGGTGTGAACCCATCCAATGCCTCCGCCCCTGCCTGCTGTCAAAGACCTTGGCACTTTTTTTGTGCTTTTACACCTTTGCCATTACTTCTCTGAGGTATTATGATGAGCCTGTAAGCATCACATTTTTGCAATCGTGCGAAGTAGCACAGGAGTTAAAGTTACACATATTGTTAAATTCTATGAGCGGGTGTGGCAGGTGTGCACGCTGGCAGACATGGAGTATGACGTGTACCACGGCACCATAAATTCGCACCCGGACGGCAGCGCGACGCAGGAGTACTACGCCAAGCCGCGCTGGGGCCGGCCCTGGGACGCGCGCGCGGCTGAGAAGCTGGCGGCCATGCTGGAGGCGTCCATCCAGCGCCGCTTCCCCAAGGGCCTCAAGCTGCACGTGCACAGCGTTGACAGCTTCGGCTCCCTCGCCACCCTCACCGGCGTGCTGCGCGACGCTGGCCTCACCATCAATCGCGCCAAGGTACTGCCTACCGGCTGAAGCTCTCCTACGAATATTGTACCAGAACACATTACCTTGATGCGTTTCTGGCCTAGTGGGAGGGCATGGCCTCATCAGGCCGAATAGTATCATGTTATGACAGCCGTGCCAGGGCTTGGTATCCTAAAGCCAAGCAGGTGGCAGCCTAAGTGTTGAAGCTGGTTATTGAAGCTGGCTGCAGTAGGCAGGCGCCAAAGTGGGATCTGTGCATGACACCGCTGTGGCCGTGCAGGTGAAGACGAACTCGGCCAACAACGTGTGCGGGCACACCTTCTACGTCATGGACGCCAGCGGGGCCGCCCCTGAGCGCGCAGCCGTCGAGCGCGCATGCCAGCAGGTGACAACTCTTGTCTTTACACTGAATCTTCCTGCTGTAATGTGCGATCTATTGTCCTGATTTCGCAAGTCCACAGCGCCACAGCCTCCCTAAATACAGAGTCTGTTGCAGGACTGGATGCTAATTTAAAGAGACTACTTTGCACAGTGGCATGGTCTTGACCCTGCTGTGTCGTGCTGTGCAGCTGGGCGGGCATCTGGCCGAGTCAGGCGAGGAGGTTGCCGCTCCCGGCGTGGCGCCAATCTCCTTCTCACTGCCGCGGCAGCAGTGTCGCGGCAACTGGAGCGGCGCTGCGGCCTCACCCGACTCCACCGGCTTCTCCAGCTCCACCTGAGCCCACCCTGCCACCACCCCACACCCTGCCGCTGCTCCTGGGGGCCTCCAAAGCGCGACTCTGTTGCGGTCAGAGCCCCCTTGAGCTCCTGCGCGTCCCTGTCAGCACGATTGTCATTGGCACAAGGGGACCGCTGTGAAGTGCGGCACGTCAATATATCTATTCACAACAGCTGGCGCCGGACAGGGAGCGTCCCAGCTTCTGGGTATGATGCACCAACATGCAGCGTGCCCAGTAGTCTGGGCTGCTTTTGCCTGCACGGCGTTGGAGCATGCCCCTCGCCCAAACGCAACTATAGCCGTGGTCTGCAGCGCGGCCACCTGCCCAGCTGGTGTCAGCCAGGAGGGCTGGGGGCCCGTGCAGCGGCGGCAAATAAGTTATTGTGCCTGCAAGAGGTGCAGCAATTTGCTGGAGGCCTCCGTTGCCCCATCTCAAATCCAGACATGAATTCAGACGCCGGGCGGGTTTGATCAGTGATTATTGCAATTTGAGAAGGTCCTGGGAACGCTTCGTGTTCAGACAGTTGAGAAGATTTAGATAAGGGCGGCTGCATGCCAAGCCACACGAGGCGTTCTGTTATCGTATCTTGGGTTTTGATTTATGAGTTTTGTGACTGGGAGAGGATAAATAAGGGGCGTGCCATCCAGCACGCTTTGCAGGAGAGTTGTTAAGACCGAATTCTACTGTATCAACAGCCCGACAGGGTTGCCTGATCCAGGGCGATCAGGCGTGCTTGAGACATACTCCCGCGTAATTGGCAGTCATTTTGTATATGAGCATTTGTACCTTATCCAACCCCCCAGGCCCTTTGTGTTGCAGATTTTTGATGGCTGGGGTGTGTCCGAATGACTGGAAGTAAAATATTTGTGTCAATGAGCTGACTGGGCGCCCATCAGACCTTGTGGCCTTTCCATGGAGTGTCGGGGTCTTTTGCTGCCACGGAATTGTGGGCCAATGACACAACTGTTTTCCGCTGTGCTTGAGGAGTTGATGGGGAACATCATTAGCAAAGGGGTGCATCTGAACGTTAAAGTCTTCATTCTTTGATGGGTGCGTGTTTGCTACTCTTAGGTTCGGCGTCAGATGGTGTGTGTACAAGTGTGGTGTGGTCTCTGCTCTATTCTTTCATGCTTGCAACGTGCACCTATTCCGACATGCATATTTCCTCTTGTTGCAATCCTTGAAGATTCGCGCTAGAATTGACTTGTTAGTTGCGTTTAGAACTTAGCTTCTTAGTGTCAGTGACTGCTCTGTTTTAGGACTGGATGTTCTTGGTGGTTTGAAAGCTCAGTCACTTTCTGAATTCATTCGTGGCTGCATCTGTGAGTTTCCGTGATCAAGGGAGACCCGTTTTTTCAAGCAGTTGTGCCTACTTTCTTTGGGGCGTGTATCTCTATGCTTGTAAAGGCAAAGTCATGTGCACCTTGGTTTAAAAAATCCGACATACCGGTACCGGGACTGCCGCACATCAATGATTTGATCATCAAATTTTGATGCCAATATCATGCATGATGAATTGCTCAGATCTGCAGATCTATGTGGTGCTCGTCAAGAACTCAGCATCTGCAGGCCCAAGGGCTACTGGGCTCAGTAACTCCATGATCTGGGTGGTTACTGTAGTAGTCATTCTAAAACCCGCATTAAAATTATTACTCTTGGCCAGAAAGGGTGGATGAATGCTGTAGTAGTCTGTAGGTTTTAGAATGACTACTACAGTATATGTTGAACTCCTACACCCTCATCAGCTTTGTGTCTGATCATCATGATGTGATGGCCATGGCAAACTCTGCCCTGATGCTAGTTCTCCGGATTCTGAATCAGTCCATCCTCCCGGTACCTCATGGGACCCTTATCATGATGGAATGCAAATCCTCTCCAGAAACTTTCTTTGGCTACAAAGCTGAGTAGGTGATGTCCAGCCAATCATGACCATCAGATGTGCTGTACGGATAATGCGCTTTTTCTGCCACAAAGCCAAAAGGCCATTCGGAGTCAGCATCCACATGACCCCTTCACATGTTCTCTAGCTGCGGGAAGGCTGCGGGACCCCCCACCATTGCAATTTGTCGAATGCATTATAGCGAATGCCAGCCAAAATCGTTGTTTAAAAAAGTTTCCAAAGAATATCAGCACGGGTCTTAACCAATCTGTGTATCATATTGTGACATCGCTTGATAGGGAAGAGGCACTTGAGTTTTCTGGCACCAGTCTTCCAGTTTAGCTATAACTTGCATCGTATTTAGTTGTGTGTGGACAAAGCTACAAGCAAAACTTATTTTTTGGACAGTTGTGACGGCCGTCATGGCCGAGGATAAAGCTGCAACAAACGGTGGAAGCTCCCAACAGGCGCCTGCAGAAGATGTTGGGGTGCAGAGAAGGCAACAACTCGCTGGTCTGTCCTCAATTCCAGAGGGAGCCGAAGCAGCAGAAGAGGATGAGGAGGATGCAATGGTGGGGCCTGTCCTACCAAAGGCGAGGAAAAGGAGGGTGAGTTGGTGGAGGGGCTCCCGATTGCTTGCGTTTGATCTGGCCCTCCGTCTGTTGCTGGAGAGCTGCAAAAACGATTGAGGACCTTCGAGGCAGAAACAATTGCAGTTTTTATCGCTCCATGCTGGGTGTTGTGGCACCACTGAGCATGACAGGCATGCAAATGCTGCACACAGAAATTGGAGCACGAGCAGGATTTTCTGCATGCGCTGCCATCAGCAGAGATGTACGAGCGCAGCTACATGCACCGAGACGTGGTCACACATGCTGTGGTCGCCGCTGATGTGGACTTTCTCATCACCGGCTCTGCTGATGGCCACATAAAGTTCTGGAAGAAGCGCGCAACCGGCATCGAGTTTGCAAAGCACTTCCGGGCGCATCTGGGTCCTGTAAAGGGTGAGACATCCGCTGTAGTCCCTGAGATGAGGTGCCGGGTCAGAAATGGACTAGTGAAGCTCATTCATGTCCAAGGGTACTCAGCGCAGAGCATGATGTGCAGGGCTGTCTGTGAGCCCTGACGGCTCGCTGCTAGTGAGCATGTCGGATGACAAATCAATAAAGGTGTTTGACATCCCCAACATTGACATGATGGCCATGCTCCGCCTCACCTTCGTGCCATCATGCACGGAATGGATCTTCAGGGTGCGCTGCTACCGTCCTTCTGCGCTTTGCAAAGTGCAGAAGTCTCCCAATGGCTTTCTCGAATGGAGGCCCGCACGTTGTCCACATTTCTGTTGTCCATTTTGCTATGTTCCTTGCACAACTTGACTTGCACAGAGACCTTAATGCTGTCTCTGCCTGTCTGACTGGTGTCTCAAGCCAAATGGGCAGATTCCCTCTTGGAAAGGGATTGAAGCATGGTGCTGTGCATCAGAGAGGGGACTCCAACACAAAGCTGGCCGTGGCAGAGCTGGAGGGCCCATCAGTGCATGTCTACGACGTGCGCTCAGGCAGTGAAGAGCCGATGGAGAGCTTCAAAGTGCACAGGGCGCCAGTGGTAGTCATGCGCTACAATGCAGCGCATGACACTGTCATCTCCATCGACCAGAAAGGTGTGTCACCCCTCAAGATTCTTGCAAGATTTGTAATTTTCGGCACGATCACACCACGGCCTCGCCATCGCATGAGTTCTTTGCATGCTGCTCAACTGTCTGCAGTGCCTGCAAGGCCCTCTGAGATATAGCGCCACTGAAGGACCACTGGGTCGTAGCCCTGCTGGAGCTGTTGGATTCAGTACTTCAGGCAGCTGAGGCTTGAAGTTGCAGCCTGCAATGGAGGCTGACAGGCGTGTCCAAATGTGGAATGCAGGGATGATCGAGTACTGGAGATCAACCGGGCAAGCCTTCCCTGAGGAGGACGTGGATTTCAGCAGCAAGCTGGACACAGACCTCTATGCTCACGCAAAGGCGAAGACCGCTGTGCAGTCCCTGGAGGTCTGCAGGGACGGCTCGCAATTCGTGACCTTCTCCTCTGACAGGTGCAGCACCTCCTGCTGATTGTGCTTGCCACCTTCTACTGGAAATATGGATTCCTTGTGATGCAACACTGTATGCCATGCAGGTAAATCCACTTGCTGATCTGGGATTTATCCAACTTGTGATTATGTGCCTTGCCAGCCTTGCGCGCAAGCAGGGATCTGGCCTCTCCATCTCTTCCTTCCGCTGACAAGTAGCAAAATCTCCACAATAGAAAGCTGTACAAAGCGGAGAGACAAATGCACCAATCGCGTGGGAATATTTGGCAGGCGGGTGCGGGTGTTTTGGTTTGGGAGCGGACGGCTGCGGCGGGTGTACGACGAGTCGCTGGAGGCGGCGGCGGAGCTGCAGAGCAGTGACAGCGTTCTGGCGCGCCTGGACCCCATGGACTTCGGCCGCCGTGTCGCAGTCGAGAAGGAGCTGCTTGCCGACGCTGCCGCTCCGCACCAGAACGCTATTTTTGACGACTCCGGCAACTTCGTGCTCTTCTCCACCCTCCTGGGCATCAAGGTGCGACCATGGTGCTTTGAGCGTGACCCGCACCTCACAATCCTTGCCTTGACAATAGGCATGTTCTGACAACCAGATGCTTCTGCTAGGAAGAGAGGCTGCAGCTGTCTTCGTCCCATCAAACAAGTCCCCTCAAGAGGAAACTATAATTCACTGCATCATATCCCGTCTTGCGATGCTGTATGGCATTCTCTGGTCTACTTGCTCCAAATCATACCTGCAGGGTACCTGTCCCACATCTGCGCAAGGTGAATGGAGAGTGTGCTCCCGGCAGGTGGTAAACCTGGTCTCGAACCGGGTGGCGCGCATTCTGGGTAAGGTGGAGAACTCGGAGCGCTTCCTGCGGCTGGCGCTGTACCAGGGCGTGCCCTCTTCCGGCACCACCAAGACCAAGCGCCTTGGCGCCGGCGTCAAGGTGCACGAGACCGACCCCACCCTCGTCGCCTGCGCGCACAACCGCCCGCGCCTCTTCCTCTTCACCCGCCGCGAGCCCGCCGACGCCGACGACGCCACCGGCGGCAGGTGCGGATGGTTGTTGATTCCTGGGCCATGCAATTTTCATGCTTGATCACTTTGTGATGTGGAATTTCATGTAGGCATCAAGGGTGAGATGCTGCTGTTGCAGCATACTTGTTAAGGGGTAATGCATAGTGTACTAATAGCCCCCATGTTGATTACACGGCAAAGGAGTCTTCGCTACATTATGTTCTGTAGCAGCTAGCAGTGAGGCAGAGCCTATCCAAGAACTTTGGAATCACCAGAAACGGGGACGAGTCCAGCCGGATCTTGACTTAAGTACTGCACCATTCCCGCAGGGACGTATTCAACGAGAAGCCGTCGCTGGAGGAGGTGGGCGCGGTGGACGGCGCGGCCGGCGGCGACGAGGCTGCGGAGGTGCTGCCCCGGGGCGCGGTGATCCACACGACCAAGGGCGACATAACGCTCAAGCTGTTCCCAGACGAGTGCCCCAAGACGGTGGAGAACTTTGCGATGCATGCGCGCAACGGCTACTACGAAGGCATCATCTTCCACCGCGTCATCAAGGGCTTCATGCTCCAGACCGGCGACCCCCTCGGTGCGCCCTGCGCCCCACCCCCTCCGAGCAGATGCAGCAGACGGACAGGGCACGTGCTCGTACCAGGCTCATACCCTGCCTCTCTTGTTGCACTAGTTTGGGGAAGCTTCTGAGCAGCTGCGAGTCTCTGTCCTCCTCTCCAGCAATGTGTATGATGGGATTCAGCAGAAGGATAGGGGTGGCCACTTCTGTGAGCTGGTACATACTGTGCAGCACATGGATATATGTAGCTCCTCTTTCGGCCAAAATGCAACACTCACACTGGAACAGGGGCATGCTCCTGCTTGCAAGCATGGCACAGGACTTTTCACAGTACCATATGAAATTGAACAAGCTTCATTAGAGAGCTCCAATCTGCATATATTTGTGCTGATGCGCACTTGCCTCTGCACAGGAGACGGCACCGGTGGGCAGAGCATTTGGGGCGGCGAGTTTGAGGACGAGTTTAGCCGCAACCTCCGGCACGACCGTGCCTTCACTGTCTCAATGGCCAATGCAGGGCCTGGGACAAATGGCTCACAGTACGTTGCATGCCACCATCGTCATTATTGCCTGGACATTCGTGTGTGAGCACTTCCTTTCCTTGTAGGGTAAGGTCATCAGTGACGTGTGGATCTGCTCAAGCTGGCAGCGCTGAGATGAATGCTGTGGGTGCAGGTTCTTCATCACCACTGTGCCCACGCCCTGGCTGGACAACAAGCACACTGTGTTTGGGAGGGTGAGTGATTGCCATGCCTTCCATTTCTGAGGAATTTTGTAGTGCAAAAGTGGGAGAAATGCATCTTCTCGTTGCCACTGATATTTGGGGCTTTTCTTGTGTGCAGGTAGTGAAGGGCGCAGATGTGGTGCAAACGATTGAGAAGGTGAAGACAGACCGCTTTGACAAGCCATTTGAGGATGTCAAAATGGTCAACATTGAGATCAAGACTTCCGTTGACTGATTCTGTAGCATAATGACCAACGAAACACTGCTCCTCCAATGAGTCTTCTGACCAACATGAGCTGCCATGTGACCAAGGTTGTAAAAGGTTGCTAAGACAGTTCTGACAGTTCTGTCAAACAGCAATTTGAACAAAAATTGCATCCACTCTCCACGGCTCACTCCTCCTCCACAACAGCAGCAACGGGCTGCTCCAGGGTCCGCAGAGCAGCTATGAGGGCATCTGTGTGCTCTGGCCGGCCCACAGAGATCCTAATGAAGCCGCTCAGCTCCGCCTTGGCATAGTGGCGTACCATGATGCCATGCTCTGATGCAAGTGTATCCTTCACCGCCTTGGCATCCTGCCCGCCAACCACCTGAATCACAACAACATGCCTGAACACTGTCCGCATCATCCAGCACACATTTAAACGCTGTGGTCTCGTCCTGGACGAAACTTCTTTCCGGTGATGGTATGCTACAGTGGCAGGAATTTTGAGAAGATTCATGTAAATTCTGGACAATGCCACAAGCCAACAGGAGCGAAAGGTCAGAGAATCACCTTGCACAGGATGAAGTTGGCTGAAGACTGATATGGCTCCAGGAAGGGAACATCTTGCAGCAGTCCAAAGAGGCGCTCCCTCTCTACGACCAGCTTATCGCGGACATCCTGGAACAAACAAAACAAAGCTTACCCCTTGTGACACACCCTGCTGAGATCTCCGTTGCAAATCCACTGTATCAGCACCACTAGCAGCAATCAAGCTGCAGTCAGGCTTGTTCCCAGGGCAGCATAGCACAGCACAGCACCTGCAGGTACTGAGGGTTGGTCAGCGCAGCGCAGGCGGCAGTCTCTGCGGCCACCGAGACGTTGTAGGGCTGTTTGGCTCGCCAGAGGTAGTCGATCATGCCCGCAGGGAACGCCCCATACCCGACGCGCAGCCCCGCCAGCCCAGCACTCTTGCTGAAGGTGCGCAGCACGACCAGATTAGGCCGCTCCATCACCCAGCGCATGCGCGAGGCCTCCTCAGAAAACTCTATGTAGGCCTCGTCCAGCACCACCAGAACAGGCAGCGCCAGGACTGCCAGCAGGTCGGCCTCTGTGATCATGGAGCCGTCCGGGTTGTTTGGCGATGTCATGAACACCATTTTCGGCCGCCGCTCCCGCACTACCCGCTCAATCGCTGCAACAACCAGCCACAGCACAGAAGGATCAGGCACACAGATGGGTGGAGATGTCCGGCGTATAACTGATCGTTTGGGCGGCGTCATAGAAAGGTATGATCTTGACTTGTGGGCTCACCTGGGACATCTATCCTGAAGCCATCCAGCCGGGGGACGGTGATGACGTTTGCTCCGTTGACCGCCGCGTCAAAGGCATACATGGTGAAGGTGGGCGGGCAATCTACAATGCTGTCTCCGGGGTCCAATACACACCGCATGAGCAGGTCTATGAGTTCATCCGCTCCACATCCAACCTGCCCATGTGACGGGGAGTAATCAGAAGCTGTCCCTGCATGTATGCAAGTTGGAATGGCAGATTGGCCATCCTTTTGGCCCTAGACTGACACTCTTGTATGGTGATGGCGTGGTGACGTACCAGCAAGTGTTCCATGGGGATGTCATTCAATTCTGCAAGAGCAGATCGCAACCTCCTTGTCTCAGGATCTGGGTAGATATTGGGGAATGGCATGTCCCCAAGGGCTGCCAGGACCTCCCGAGGAGGGCCATAAGGGTTCTCATTGGCATCCAATTTGATGATGTCTTCTGGCGCACGGCCTAACCGCTTTGACAGGACTTCAAAGGGCTCGATGGGAGTGTAAGCAGCGAGCTTTCTTAGATGCGGTCGAATGAATGTGTCTGTGCATGAGCCATTCATGCTAGGTGCGACTTCCACAGCTGGACTCGCTGAGCACACGACAGGCCTAGCTGCTCGCAGGCTTATCAGCTGCTGGCAGTTTCTTCTCAGAGTGTTGTCACAAAGAACAGGAGCAGACTGAGGCAATAACAGACCATGAAACGCCATCACAGAATATCGTGTGTTTTCGAGCACCTACTTGGCCGCAAAGATGCCAGTGTTGCTCCAAGCAGCTTCACATGTTGCGGGCGGTTACTCAGTGGTGACTCAGGGAATTACCTTAACGTTGAGAGGACACGGATTTGGGCCCTGCAATTGATTGATACAAGAAATCTGCAACCTATCTCACATATAGTATCTTTCGATGCGATCGCTTCAGCAGAGCATGCTCACACAGCGAGTATCGCGCCATGTGCTCGGTCGCTTGGACACGAGACGCCCGTCGAGAGCGTGCCCGACCGTCAGGTGATAAAATCATCTAATTCATATTGTGATCACGTACTGAAGAAGGTCCGTAAAGCAGTTTCCTCTCCAATGTCTGAACATGTTGTCCAATGCACATTGGCAGGGTGACGCACAGTCCTGCACCTCAATCAACGCCACATCTGCATGGTGAGTAGCACCTGCAACTTACATTGACAGTTTCTACCACTATTTGTGATCGCGATAGCTGATCCTTCACAAGTAAGTCCAGATGCATGTGCTCATCCATTGAACTTGGTGTGTGCAAGGATGGTCAGTCTCGAAAGCACCCCTTTGCAAGAAGTACTTTCATACACAGCCATTCTCGTCTGCTCCACCAAAGCGCACTTTTGCATGCTCTGCCGCTGCTGACCTCCCCCAAGACACTGTAGAAGGTGAGGCTGCACACTGTTGAAGACGAGCCTGATAAATGAGTGATTTCTATCAATAGTCAATCATAATCTACTTCTTGCAATGCAGTTCCTCCCAGAACGCTTCCAGAGATTGTGGGAGGGTGGCTGAAGTACTTCACCCTCATCACCTTTGTTGCTGTGCCCATCTGGGCTTACCAGGGGTTTCTGGCCCTGCTGGGTGTGACGCTTGGGTAAGTTCAAGACTCTATATCTGTGATGCTTCGCGAATGTGCTTCTGTGTATGTGATGTGCTATTTTTGACCATCGGAATGAGTCACTGGTCATGTGCTGCAGTCGCGAGGTATTCTTTTCCAATGTGGACCGCTCTGCTATGAAGTTCAAGGATCCATTTGACCTGGAGCACGGCTTTGTTACGGTCAATGGCCTCAGGTGCGTCTTGCTGCAATCTCCTTTCTCCCATCCACTTGTCTTGAAAGCCTTCATGCTCTTGTTTCCAGCCTGCTGCTCTACACACCTGGAAACACTGGGCTCCCTACAGCATGTTTTGAGGCATCCTCTTTGTGCTCGGCAGATTGCACACAGTCTCGGCGGGGCGAGGGCACGGGAAGCCTCTGATGCTGTTTCTGCACGGCTTCCCAGAGCTGTGGTTCAGCTGGCGCAGGCAGATGCAGCAGTTCAAGGAGGACTATGAGGTGCTCAGCCTTGCCCAAGCACCTGCAATGCAACACATGTGCCACTCGCATACCCGTGCTCTGAACAGCGCATAATGGTTGATGCAGATACTTCAGGCATTACTGCCAAGTCAGGAGTGTGCTCAATGGGTGGGCAGGTTGTGGCGGTGGACATGCGAGGGTATGGGGAGTCAGACAAGCCAGAGGGCAGGCACAACTACACCATCCCCACACTCGCGTCAGACACAGCCGCGCTGATCAAGGCGCTCGGCCACGAAAGGTGAGGCACCCCTTACATGACCTCAGAGGCTTTGCCATCTTGCACTCCACTCCATCTTTGACTCCTGGTCTATCAGATCAACTCAGGCAGGACTCTCCAGCTGCATGCAATCTTTCTCACGTGCACTCAGCCTTTGTCAGGCACCAGGCTGAGCATAAGACCCAACAGCGCTGGAAAATGATTGTCGCGGATTTGGAATTTCAGCACCTCATGGATGTATGAGAGTGTCGGGACAAGATATCTAAAGGGTTCACTCCTCTTTGAAGAGAGGAGGATAGGCGGTGCAGTGAATAGCAGTGAACAGCACTGTGACACTGCTGCAGGTGCGTGCTGGTGGCGCATGACTGGGGCGGCATGGTGGCCTGGCACACAGCGGCGCTGTACCCACAAGCGGTGGAGCGGCTGGTTGTGATGGGCCTGCCGCACCCCGCCTCCTGGAGAGACAACCTGGACCTCGACCAGGTGTGTCACTGCACCAAGCCCACGCAGTACTGCGCACTGTAGCTGCACTGTTAGCTGCACTGTGCAGTGTAGGCTGCAACACTGTGCATGACCCTCTTGCCTTGCGGAGGAGCGAATGGTAGAAAGTGACACTCGCTGCTGTGCGTGGGATTTGCCATTGAGAATTTTCATCAGGGAGCGCTGCTTTATGTGACGATAGCAGCACTGCCTGCTGGCACATCAAGGGACCAGAATGGGGCAGTGCATAATGTGACGAGGGTGGATAATGTGACCCAACCTTAGGTTTTGCTGCCGCTGGCTCAGACCGCACAATATCTGGGTTTTGGCAGAATCAGCAGTTTTGAGACACATGCTGTTGCGCAGTTCCGGCGCAGCTGGTACATGCTGTTCTTCCAGGCGCCCAAGCTGCCGGAGTTCCTGGCGCTGGCCGCGGACGCTGCCTTCATCTCCGGTGCCTTCAAGACGGCCGCAGTGGCGCCGCGCAATAAGGACGCCGTCTCAGACGAGGACGTCGAGAGGTGAGCCCTGCTTGCCTGTGTCCACTGCAATTGTTTGCAGCCTCTTCAACATCAAACATCCTTTGCTTATCGAGCCTTTATCATTGAGAGCATGCAATGCATGTGACTTTGAAGAGGGTATGCCTTTAACTACTGTCCTGGCCTCCTTCATTGATCTGAAGTTGAAAGAGGCATATGCACAGTTCCTGCAATATACGAGTTCTGGGTGGTGAGGAAGCTATTGGTGCCAACAGGTACAAGCAGGGCTTTGCGCGGCCCGGGGCTGCAACCGCCTCGATCAATTACTATCGAGCCTTCTTTGACAGCGAGACACGGTGCGCACTGCCATGCTTTCTGCATAGAGCACCGTTCCAGCGCTGCTCCTTCTCCTTATGATAGGCGACGGGTTGCTCGTGCTAATGAGGGCTTTTTGACTGACTCTTCGTGTGTTTGGGATCCACCCGATCTTTTTGTGTGCAATGCAGCTCTCCACAGCCAGAGTACAGGAAAGCGCATGAGTTATTGCGGCGAGGCTTGAAGATGCCCGTGCTGATGTTGTACGCTGCCAATGACACAGCCCTGGGGCCACAGCTGGTCCGGGTGAGGCCTTCCTGCACATCCCCGCCTTTGGGTATAAGGTCCACCACCACATTGGGCTTCCCAAAATCTGCCTCCTGCTCCACCTGTGCATGTCTTGGGAACCCTTAATTTTTGAGGCAGTCTCTTCTCTATCAGGTCATCGCAAGGCATTTGCCAGTGCAGCATGCAACAGGACGAGAACTTTCAAGATGTGGTTCATGTCTCTGGTGACTCTTGGCTGGTGGCTGTGAAGCGAGTGAACACCTATTGTGCAGAAAATCTGAGTCTCACACATCAAAATAAGAGGCAGTAGTATGCATAAAATGGAACACCTGCGCATGATCAGCAAAATGGCTGTGCAGGGGACGGAAAAGTATGTGCCAGACTTGGAGCTGCATGTGCTGGAGGACTGCTCGCACTGGGTGCAGCAAGACCAGCCAGAGCTGGTGCAGAAGCTGATGCGCGGATTCCTGGAGCGCACTGCAAAGAGCATGGGGCAGCAGACAGTAGCACAGGCGGCATGAATGTGGGGTGCATCATAATATATCATGTCTGAGGGCATAGTTTGAGGAATTTTTGACAGTACAGAGACGAAGATGCTCGAGATTCATGGGCATTGGTCTACAATACTGTGTTTCCCTGAGCTGGCATGTGGGTTATCCTTGTATCATGATGACCAGAAGTTACAATTTCGTTGTGTCGCGTGCCTTTCTGGGGGCCCTTTCTGAGGAAGCTTCTGACCAGAGGCCCCTTGTCTCCCTTCCTCTCGGCATCATCCTGCTCTCACACACCCCATCTCAAAGAATTGATACGAGATGACAGCTTCCTGTACAGCAGGTACCTGGTCGGCAATGCACTACGTTATTGGGTGGAGAGTAGAATAGCCCAATCTTTGCACACATCTCAAATTTTACTGGCAAATTTTTCTGGACTATTTCGAACTAGAGTGCTACGCACATGATCCTTGTATAAAAGTTTGATGCGTCTCTAACTCTCTATTCTTCATTCATCCGTTAGGTGGCTCTCGCTCTGAATCTCAGGCCAGAGTTTCTATATTTCACTGATTGGCAATATGTACTTGGGCAGTCTACAACCCTCTGGACCCCCGCAGCGTCGGGCTCTGTAGTACTGGGCGTACTAGGGATGTCAGGCAGTATTATAAGAGCTCGGCCTGAGAAGTCGTGTAGCTGAACAAGCGGGCTGATGACAGGACAGACAGACTAGATATTGATTGACGGCAAGGCTCTGGTGACCAGAGTCTGCCCCAGACGAAACTCCACAGACTACCTAAGACTCCGCTTTGCGCTGGAACACAGCCAGGAAGAACCCATCCGTCCCGTCCTCGACGGCGTGCGTGCGCACCAGCCGCTCCGCGCCCTCCACGCTGCTGGCCAAGCCGCGCCGGGGCCAGCCCGGGAAGGGGGCCGCCAGCTCAAACCCCAGCTCCCTCGCGCGCGGCAGCACGGCGGCCACGACGGCCTCGTTTTCGCGCTCATGCACCGAACAAGTGGAGTACACCAGCCGCTGCAGCGCCGGCAGCGTCAGCGCGTGAAGGACCACTGCCTCCTGAAACCGCGCCAGCCGCTCGATGCGATCCCCCTCGCTCCTCTTACCACTGCTCCCCTCCTCTGCTGCATCTCTCTTAGGGTTCTCTGCTGTTTCTGGCTGCTCCCGTGGCGCCGCTGCAGAGCCTCCTCTGCCGATCTGCCCAGACGTGCTGCCTCCCTCGTGCTCATTTCTGCTGCAAGAAGGCTGCTTGATGACATCACTGTCACGGCCTGCTGACGTGGGTTCTGCTGTGGGTTCCTCGGCAGAGGCCGGAGAATGCTGTGCTGCATGTGACGGCAGCAGGAAGTCCATGCGCGAGAGCGTTGTGCCGGAGCCGCTGCACGAAGGGTCCACCAACGCACCCCTCACATTCCTGCACAGCAATATTTCCCTCGTTGATACCAGAACATATGTAAATACTGTCAGGATTTCCACCATCTCATCACCCTCCCAGTGATTCCATAGTGGCACTTCTAATGACATTGTAAAGGAGGCGGAAGGTGAAGCTGATAGGGATGCCAGGAATGCGTGCCTGAATTCTGGGGACGTGGCAAGAGGAAGCTGCAGGAAATCTGCCACGCGCGCAGTGATGCAGTCTGCGCCTGTTGCAGCCGCATTTGCCTTGAGCCGCTTCAGCCGCTTGGGGTCCTTATCAAACGCCAGCACGCGGCCCTTCCCTTCCATCAGCGCTGCAAATGCCATGCTGTTTGATGAAGATTTCTATGCACAGCAACAATTGACAAATGCCCAATGTGTGTGCTGCTCTGGAAGAAACATCTTTGAAGTCCCTGGGAACAAACCACAGGCTGTGGAGTCTAAAACACTGCTGAAAGGCATCATTATCGTTACTCAATGCTTGCCAGTACCTGCAAGATGGGTGGTCTTGTTGCCGGGAGCTGCACAGGCATCCAGTACATCCCAGCCAGGCTGAGGCTCCAGCGCATGTGCCGGCATGCACGACGCCTTGCTCTGCAATTCACACAATTAAGCCTTAGCATACTCCCTGGATCATCTGCATAGCTCAGACATTACAGAGAAATTTAGTGATCACAAAGAGATTGTACCCAAATGTGTGAGAAATGTTCCATGTGGGCCGCACCTGCAGAATGAGGCAGGAGTTCTTCACAAGCGGGTGATCATGCAAATCCGTAGCCGGCGGGAAGAGCAGCACGTCCGGCAGCAGCTCATCCTGAGTCACTTGCGCGCCCTGCACAGGATGACAAACTCACCTCAGCGCTACGATCAATCCATGAGATGTCCACCACCAATGGGGAAACGAGGAATTGCAGGCTTCAGATGCCTGCAGATGAGCTGTGGCTGGGAAGGAAGGTGCATGTGCCACAACTCACCAACTCAGCCAGCTTCAAATGCTGCTTCCCCTTTGGCGTCCTGAGCCAGGTCAGTGCCTCTGCCACGGACATCTTCAGCGTGTTCACGCGCGCGGACCGCGGCCGACGTTGCGCGGCGGCGCTCTGCGCTGACTCGCTGATCAGCTCCCGCGCGTTCGCCACTCCCGCTTCAGCCAGCATCGCCGCGAGCTCCTGCTCCAGGGCCGGCCGTGCGCTCAGCACTAGCCGCTCTGCAGGGCCCTTCTGCCGGAGGCCCTCGCCAAACAGCAGCTCGTAACAGAGCACGAAGGCCGTCTCCCGGGAGAGCCTGGGGTCTAGCCCCATCAGCTCTGCCGTGCTGACCAGCTGCTGGATGACAGGGAGCATGCGGAGCGTCTCGCATGTGACTGCGTAGGTGGCCTTCTTCGCCTGGATGGCTGGGCCGAGGGTGAGCGACTTGATGGAAGCTCCCTCGGTGCCGGTGGCGTCTGCATGCAGCACGTGTGTAATGGCGGACGCCGCTTGCCGGTCGACGACTGACGCAGCGTGCCAGAAGGTGGTGCCTCTGTGCTCCCTTGCATGCTGAGGGCTGCTCGGCTTCTGCTCCTTCCGGGGCTGCTGATCTGGTGAGTAATCTGTGGAGGCTACCTGCTTCTTCCTCTTAACAGGGCCACCAGCAGGAGCAGCTGCACGTCCCGTGGCAGGAATAGGTCGTTTCAGGATGCTCACAAGCTTCCTCTTGCCCATTGGGCACCTCTGCAATCCCACTCAGCACACGAAATCCACCTCTCCTGGTAAGGCAGCAATTGTGACCCACATTCTAACTCCCGATTGATGCATCAGAAGGAGAAACTACAATTTCTTCCAACCATCAGTCCAACAAGAGAGCCAAAGAAAGTAGCACTGTGCGTGCTTGGAGACCTCAACAGCTGCAACGCTTCTGCAGTACGACGCTGATGATTCCTTTCAAATCAGTACTTAAGTACATTTGTGAACGACATGCATCAGCTGTACGAACGCAACTTGAAGTACAATTTACAGGTCACACAGAAGTCAACCTGACCTCAGATCCAGCTAGAGGTGACTACTCGGTGAGGCAGCAGCAGGACACAACAGGTGGGGGCTTCAGCGCTCCTCCCAGTTTCGGCAAGCACATCCCGGTTGACGGCAATAATTGATTGCTTGAAGAGATGACATGTGATCGCCGGGTTATGGACGGTCAGATCGGCTTGGGCCGTGTAAGGGGTGGGCAGCACAAGCACAGCACGGCTTGAAGGAGCCTGTAATTTAGGGGACAGTGCCAGGCCCGACAAGCCGGCCTGTGAGGTTTGATCCGGGTCATCGTGGTGAGGAGAAAGCTTTTGGGGGCGTGATTGGGATAGCTTTGGCTGCCAGACTCTGATGGGTGCCTATCTCAGTCAGCCTATTACAGACAAGGAGACTTTTATTGGAGGCAAGGCGGGCTTCCTGGAGTATGGCGGCTCCTCCATGCAGGTAGGCGACAGAATGAAGGCGCTTGCAGGGTGGCAGTGAGCGTTTCAGTTTGAAACGGGGCAAGCTGGGGATCACAGCATGAGCATGACGAAAGAAATGACTGTCCTTTCAAGCACCTTGTGCGCTGGACCTCAAGCCCTTGTATTGCATGCACGATACATAATTGGACGATGGAGGTGTCAGAGCTCGTCGTTGACCTTGTTTTCCGTCGACGACACCCATCAGCCAGGCACGAATCCAGCTTGGAAGCTGCCTGACACCCCGCCTTTCTGACCGCATTCTGCGCTGTACGACAGGGTTGGCGAAGAACCATGGAGGATGCACACATTGCCACCGTGGATCTGGGCAACGCTCCTGACGCAGCAATTTTTGGAGTATTTGATGGGCACGGTGGCAGGTGAGTGTTTTTACAAGCCATTAGAAGGCAAGCGTTATCGAGGGCGTCCATGATTTATTTGCGTGACTGCACAATACCGGCGTCAACTTTTTTTGCAGTTCTCGAATTTATCCACTTCCTTACGAGCATTGTTGCTCATGGCCATGGCTTGTGTGCTGCAGTGAGGTTGCCAAATTCTGTCAGAAATACCTTGCTGAGGAGATAACACGACTCGAAAAATATCATGAGGGCAATCTGCCGGACTCTTTGGTTGAGGTGAGCATGCTCTGCTTCAACAACCCCATATCTGAAAGACCTATTGTGCCATATTTCTTACCAGCCTCTCACGTGGTTGCTTACAGCCTTATGCAACTTGGCATCCCACCCTGAGCAAGAGTTCTGCGCGGAATGTGGAGCTCTGCAACAGCAAAGCGGCACCGCAGTCAAGATTTGTGATATTTGCGCGGATGCAGGTGTTTCACAAAATGGACAGCATGCTTAAGGACTCCGCCTATGGGGCCGAGCTAGAGGCCCTGCGGCGCAGCACGCACGACGCGCAGCCGCAGCCGGACGTCCCAGCCACGCACAAGGGCGGTGGCGGCGGCAGCGACTCGGACGCCAGCGAAGAGGACAGCCAAGTCTCCACCTCCGAGGCCCTCGACATGCTCAGACAAGTGCTGCCCACCTCCTCATGCTCCCCGCCTCCACGCTTGCTTTCTATGTTCAACAGCCCACTGCCTGCAAGGTGCATCGTGCCGCTTCAAAGGATGGATGAAGTCATGAGTTTTACATTTGCTGTGAGCTGATGTGGGATCGTACCTTTTCAAACCCCAACAGTAGTGTTGAGGACACTGTGGCGGTGCAGGTGCTGATGATGAGGCGTCGTCAGGACGGCAATGGGGAGGACGAGAGCATGGACCCCATAGGGGACTTCACCAACCCCTCAGACATGGGGACATCGCCCCCCGCCCTGCCGGCCACCCTGGCGGAGGCCAACCCCCCAGCCGCCCGCAATCACCACCAGCAGCCGCCGCCGCCGGCCGCCCCGGCCCCCCCGCGGCAGCCACTGTCAGTCGACATCCCCACGCGAGACAGCCTCCCTGAGCACCGCATCCAGGTCTGGCTCCAGCTTCTTGACAGCAAACTTGATGCACATTGTTGGCGATGCCTCCTGAATGGAGCCCAAAAAAGCAGTGTATGGCCTGCAAGAATGCATCGCAGCCACCATCATTGACGCAAAAATTGCCGCCATGCTTGCATTCTTGTAATGCTGACAGCATCCTGGTCAGCGCTCTGAGCTACCAAGGAGCAGCTCTAGATCGAAGGGGCAGTGGTGTGCAAGCATCCTCTTGTGCTTCGTCCTGTAGCAGAGGCACCAATATGTGTCAGCTCCAGTGGGTTGCTCAGTATTGTTCAAGCAGGCTGGTGAACTAAGAGGGTGCGGTGTGTGCAGGCGGGGTGCACGGCGGTGGTGGCAGTCCTGAAGGGGCAGGAGCTGTGGGTGGCCAACGCGGGCGACAGCCGCGCGGTGCTGTGCCGCGGCGGGCAGGCCCTGGCGCTGAGCGAGGACCACAAGCCCCAGAGCGAGGGTGAGCGCAACCGCATCACTGCCGCCGGTGGCTTCGTGTCCGACGTGGGCGGCGTCAGCAGGTGTGTGGCTTGTTTCATCTGCTTATTCAACAACCATATTACACCTTCAATAGTAACAACACATCACAGTACTTCCTGGGGAAGCTCACTGCATGTGCGCACCATGTGGCAGTGTGACTCTGTGCCATAAAGGCTTTTCTGTCCTGCTTTCATGGGATCGCAATTAGGCAAGCATCTATCACTAGAAGCTCTATTGGTGTGTCCAGGGTAAACGGCAACCTCAACCTGTCAAGAGCCATTGGAGATTTGAAGTACAAGGGCAACGACCAGCTGGCGCCCGCAGAGCAGATCATCACCGCGCAGCCGGACATTGTCAAGGTCTGCAAATCCACCACTGAACAACCCATGAGACAGCTCTCCGTTGCATTAGTCTTGTCTGCAGCCTCACATGCTGCATGCAACCCCCTTGATACATACAACTCTGCGCACTCTGGAGGCTGCGAATGGCATCTCAATGGGTAACGGTAGGGCTGGCATGTGATGCTGACCCTGGGAAAGTGGTGGGGGTGCAGATCGAACTGCGGCACGAGGACCGCTTTTTTGTGCTGGCCTGCGACGGCGTGTGGGACGTGATGAGCAACCAAGAGGTGGTGCAGTTTGTCAGCGTCTGCCTCGACCGCGGCATGGCACTCCCCGACATCGCCTCTCAGCTGCTCGACGCCTGCCTTGCCCCCGACCCCCGCGAGACGCGCGGCATCGGTGCGCGCTGCTCTAGTCACCATCAAGTTTCACAAGACGGTGTTTTGAGGGGCACAGCATGCATGGCATGCAGATGTGCCGGGAATGTGAGGTGGTCTCGTTTGGTAGTCACATCCTGCGTGTTTATAATCAAAGGTGTGGTTACCTGCACTTTGGCAATGTCACATCCCCTCACATCCCATTGGCGCACCTGGGACACATGTTCAAGTGTTATTCAGATTCTGGTCTCAAATCGTGAGCTCCAGTGCATAGCCCAGCACATGGTGTTTTGACAGTGTTATCTGACGGGCTTGCGCTGTGCGCACAGGCTGCGACAACATGACGGCATGCATCGTGGTGCTGAACCGAGACGCTCCAGCGGCTGTGCTGCCAAAGCTGGCCCCAGCAGACGGCAACTTTGCGCAGGCGCCCATGGCGCAGCCGGCGTCCCCCGCGGCCGCGCGTGCCGCCACTCCGACCTTGGAAGCCAGCAAGGCTTGATACCCGAGGCACACAACACCGAGGCGCACCACTGCGCTGGCATATGGCTGACGGCGATGACTCTTCACTTGGAGGGGGAAACGCGGCCGAACAATTGGGACCTGGACGGCTATCAGCCAGCGGATCGTGTAGGAGTTGGAAGCGCGCTGATGCTTGATTCCAGCAGGGCTGCCTCGTATCTCAGGGAATATTCGTGGGTCTACTGTGGCATCTGGGGAGATGACAGCGTCCAAGGGCAGAAAATAAGAAGATAAACAAGCTTTGGAGGTTGGTATTTGAGCCAACATGGCAGGGCTCACTTGTGCCAGTGCTGATCCAGACAAGCGCCGCTGCTGGAAATGAGGCAGTTCTCTATGGTGGAGCTCATTTAGGATGCAGAGGGACAAAAGGAGCATCGCGGATTCTTATTGGGGACTTGCGTGAATGCACCATTATTGGGGAGGGAATATGCCTTCTGGCAATAGCTAATACATTGGCGGGATCCTGACTGGATCCCACCAGTAGTGGACATTACAGCAGCTTACCGATCTTGGTTGACCTTTTCTGTGTATAAATAGTATCGTGATGGGCGCCTCAGAAGGCAACCAGACGGCCAGCGTTTCCCGACCACAGCATGCCCTGAGCAGCCTGCCCTAGGCTTCGTTCTGACAGTCCTCTATGTTGCTGAAGAGCGCGCTTTCGTGCAATCTAAAGAGGCAGGCTTGGCAGCAAGCGGTGCAACAAGGCGGGAGATGAACCCCGAAAGGGGCTACAGCGGTACAGCGTAATTGTGATTGCAAATACTTGTGAGTCAGGCACTTTGTCATGGAGCCAGGCTTGTCTGAACCGCTGACCTTGTCAGGACCTGATGGATGGCAGCATGTTACCTGCGCCACTGTCACGCTCTGAAATGTTTGGCATCTTGCTGGGTGCGCCTGTCTGATGAGGTTGAGCAAGGTAGCTATGGAGTATTGCAATGGTGCTTGCTGAGTCCTGGTGTGCTGGTCAATTGTGACAACAGGTGGACAACCTGGGGAACGAATTGTAGCATGCGGGTGATTCTCTGTTGCCATCTGAGAGTGCACCATTTCAGTGTATAGGTGGCGTCCTCAACCCTGCTTGTTCTCTTCGATGTTATCTCTTAAGGTCTCAATATTATAATCGTTACATAATCTATGAAGAGCGCAACACCGGCAGTACGTACAAGAACTATATTGCATGCATATGCAACTGCAGGCACCAGGAAGCTTCTTAAGCCCATCCACGGGATGCGTAATATCTAAGACATTCCCATCATGATCACACATCATGGCTTTCATGCTTCCTCTGTTCTGCGGACACATCCCCATGAAGTTGTTGGGCACTCCCTGTCACCCATTCAGCATGCGTCCATTTCTGCACAACGATGCTCGTCTATAGAGATGCTCGTCTATAGAGATGCAATTGTGTTCCCATCAGTTTTGACATGGGGCTCGTTATATCAAAATGGCTGCAGTTTCTCAAGCGCAGGTATTCACCGACAGCAGGTCACAAGGTCAACACACTCTTCATCCAACGAATGCTCAAGACCACTTATTGCAACTTCGCCTTCTCAGCTTGGCCGGATGCGCGCGCGTCACTTGTACTTGTGCTTCTTGTGGCCCCATCCGCCGCCGTGGCCCTTGTGCTTGTGCTTGTGTTTATACTTGCCGCCGCCGTGTCCACCGTAGCCATACCCCTGGCCTCCATACCCGGGAGCATATCCGCCCTGGTGACCACCACCATGATGTCCTCCCAGCATTGATCCTGCAAATGCAGAAGCAGGAGCCTGTAGTTACACCCTGCCAGATGCTTTTGGCCATACACCTACCTCCAAGCAGTAACGCTAATCTGATGCAGAGACCAATTCTAAGCCGTCTTTGCATCACTGCCGTAAGTATCTGTCATGGATTGCCCGATCTCAAGATCAAGCTCGTGCTTGAGGGTCCAGTAAATTACGCGAGATGCTTTTAGAAGCAAGCGAGCTGAAGGAGGTGATGTACAGCAGGTTGAGGGGATGACTCACCCAGGACTGCGCCGCCGGCGCCGCCCAGCAGAGCTGATCCCAGGCCGCCAGGGCCGTGGGACTGCTGCGGCGGAGGGTAGTTGCCTGGTGTCGGGTAACCTCCCCCATAGCCTGCATCACATGAGCACTTCAGCCAGAATGCATTTGCGCACAACTGCAACAGGAAAGCATGCACCAACTTGCTCGCAAGCAGAGCATGATGCGTCTTGTGATTTGGCCAGCACCATGCTTTGAGCGGAGTGCAAGTAAAGGTTCATGAAGGATGCAGGGGAAGCATCTGACCTGGCCCCTGAGGAGGATAGTAAGGCTGTCCTTGAGGCGGGTGGCCGCCTGGGGGTGCATATTGGCCGTATTGAGGTGGGTAACCCCCCACCCCCTGTTGGGGATAGCCTGCAGACACCAAGTGACATATTTTCAAACTGCAATGATGTTGTCATCCAGTTGGTGGGCACACAACATTCCGCGATTTGATTGCATGATCAGATTGAAAAGAGCCTGATTTCCTGGGCGATCGCTCTTTCCGCTGAACCGCTGCTGCATGCATGTCAATTCTGAGCAGTGTTAAAAAGCATGGCCAGAGCGAGGACTGAACAGAGCAGTACTGAAGCGCAGAAGGAATGGTGTTCTGCGACATTGAGAAATGACCTGGCGGGGAGAAGCCAGGCTGCGGTGTAGGGTAGTAACCCTGCTGTGGAGGATATTGTCCACCTGGGGGGTAGTTGTGCTGGCCTCCAAGGCCATGCATTATGTTGCTCATGAGGCCCTTGTCACCTACTTCGCCCGTGGGAGGCCCACTGCCACCTGGATGGCCTTCACCTGGTGGATATCCACCTCCTGGATATCCTGGTGGGGGTTGCGCCTGTGCAGGGAATCAAATTTTTTTTCAGACACTGCGTTGTTAGAGACCTCCTCGATGGCAAGGAATCACTGAAAACAACACAAACAAGGCATCCTGCAGGGCTGGACTCCTGACATGCGGGCTCGAATAAGGGCACCCTCAAAAACCTCGTGGACAACCCTTACGATGCAGTGTGAGTCAGATGGCATCCACATCAACCTAGAATATGCAGATGACATTCAATGAGCATACAATTTCCGTCCAAGGTCCGACAAATACACGACAGAGTCAGACACAAGTCTTCATCAGAAGGGATCGGGGCCGCACCATGGCTGCTAGATGAGGCAAGCCTAGAATGTGCTACTTCACAGCTTTTCCACTGGTTCAAGATGCTCAGGAATGAAGAAGCGAGCGTGGAAGCGACGTGCTGGGTGGAGACGAAGCTGCTCGGTTATAAATGCAGGGTGAAGCCCTATGCTTCCGAGCTAGGGCTACATTTTCTATGGAAGACATGTGTTGCATTTGAGACTCTCAGTGCTCTACAATTCATTCTGAAACTTCACTTCAAGACATTGTTCACGTACAGAACTACTTCATGCGTGATTTCTGCGCTTGATCAGGTTGAAACATCTAGAGAAGTCTGTGCATCCGTTGGTAAGCGGTCTACAGTACTGGCTGTGCATCAATAAAGTGTAATGACGATCCGAACGTTGGCAATCGCTTCCGGCAGCATTATACATGTATGGCAGCCTTCGAGTAATGGAAACGGGTCCAATAAGAAACCCAATGAAACTGTCAACTTCAGCCTCCCAGACAGATGCAACGGCGTGGCATGGAATGCAAATGGCAAAGCGATCGCAGCTTCTGGCTCTACTGGCCATGTCTCAGTCTACAGGCCCACTGGCGAGTCGATCGGGTCGTTGCCAAGCCCTGGTGATGAAACCAGCCTGATGGGGGAAGTCAGCTGTCTGAGTTTCAGTCGTGGCTCCAAGTTACTGGCAGCGGGGTGCTTAGATGGCTTGGTCCATGTATGGAGTCTCAACCAGCAGGTAGGGGCCGCAACGGCAGAACTCCTGTACCGCCATCTTGCAATATATAATATATTCAGCAGTTGCAGGAGGCTAAATGCTCATTTCTCCAAAAATAATTTATGCGCTGCAGGAACGTGTGCTGCGGCTGATAGATCACGTTGACGCCGTGACGTCAATCTCATTCTCTCCAGATGGCCGGACGCTGGCCTCCTCAAGGTATTGCCCCATGATAGAGCGTCTGTGCTGTGTTACGCACCCATTTGAGACTTGCAAGAAAAGCCTTCACTTTATTGCTGCCTCAATCAACTGCCTGCAAACTGACGTATTCTGACTGCTCTGCAGTGTGAGCGGCCAGCTGCTGCTGCACAACACCGAAGGCATTAAGAAAGCCAGGCTGCAATCGCGAAATCTGGCTCCCATCACTTGCATCACATATGCACCCCTATCTTTTGAGAAGCAGCTGCTAGCTTGCAGCACAAGGACTGGGGCTGTGGAAGTCCATGCTCTGAACGAATTGCGCCCGGGAGAAGAGCATCCAAACTTGCACAAGGTCTGCCTCGAATCCCATGCTTTTGTGTCGATAGCATAACAAGCACAATGAACAGAACACAGGGCTAATGTGGAAATTTCTGCTGATGCAATCATATATTTAATTCGTTGTAGGGTCCTGCAGCGGCTGTGAGATTTGTGGATGGCATGGGGAACCTGCTGATCAGCGCTGGAGCAGATGGCAGCCTGGTCCTCATTGATCGGCGCCTGGGTGGAATGGCTGCCTGCGCCAGAACAGGCCGCTCCCTGTCCACACTGGACATGCACCATGATGGTCACAGCATTGCAGTGGGCACAACAGGTGCGCTCAACAAGGCCTCCATGACTTTGGACGGGCAGAGCATTTCAAAACTCTGGAGATGTGGAAAACATTCTCTGGGCTTTTGTGATCTGGAAAGCAGGAATCACAATTTCCTGCACAGAGAAAGAATGGTGGGCTTCCTGGATTCTTGTGATATGGAAAGCAGGAACCATAAGTTCTTGCGTAAAGAAAGAATGATGGTCACGCAGGGGGTGGCGTGCTCCTGTATGATGCGCGGAAGCTGGGGGTAAAGCCCTTCAACAGGCTGGATCTGCCATTGCAAGAGCGTGTGAATGAAGTACGGTGGCAGCCCGCGGCACCAACAGAACTTACTGACGCATATCAGCAGCCGGTCAGGGTCAAAGGGGGACAACCTCAGGCTCCTACGCAAGCTCAGGTGGGATCGTGCTGGTGCCATGTGTCTGGATAAGCTACGAAGTTGTCAAATGCGCCCACACGCGGCTAGCTGTGGCACATGTGCTGCATCTGCATGCTTGGAGATTGGTTGGCATGGACGAGCTCGCAATGTGCAGGCCTTTGCGAGGGAGAAGGGTGCATCGACACCATTCACGCCCCTTGACAACCAAACTCTAGCACCAGGCTTACTTTCTCCGGAGACCCTGGCCACGCCATATTTTGACCCCAAAGCAGTGCCACGGGGCATGGTGCAGCCGCAGCTGCATCCCCACAGGCTCAGCAAGGAGGCTCACCAGGTCAGTTGCACTGCCAAATTTCCAGACTATTCTGCTGAGATATGACAGCTGTTCAGATCTGATCCTAGGGTGCATGGGTTTCTCAGGGCAGGCTCAGCCCTTCATTGGTATTAAGATTCACAGCATTGTTGTGCTGGCAGGCGGAATCGCTGGCAAATCTCCAGGACAATGCAGCTTCGGGGGGTCAGACAGTTGGTGAGAGTCCACTGGAATTGGCAGCGCCTGCCTCAAGCACAGGGCTGCCAGACACTCCGGATCTGTTCACGCGGGGCAACAGACGGCCTTTCTCCGCGTCCACCACTGATACTGCCACCCCTCAGCCTGCTGAGGGTCCCACTCCAGCAGGTGACCTGCCAATTTGTCACGGTCAAAAAGGACTTCGGTCAGCTGCCCCATGGCCTGCCCTAGACTCTGGCTGCTGTACTATGTGTGCCAGACATTGTCCTGCAAGCTTTACTACAAGGCAACTGATTGCTGTGACAGGGTGGCCTGCAGCCTCAAAGATTACTGCACGACACATGCATGTTGGCACTGCCCAGATGTCTGACCCTTTCAAGCCGGAATGCTGCTGCATGCACGCACTAATGAAGGGTGACCATGTTTTGTCTTCGTATCCAACAGGAAGTGCATCAGAGGAGCACCCCTCCACGTCAGCGCCCCAGATGCCTCATGCCCCTTCCTCGCTGCCACCGCCGGACCCTCTCACACCAGACCTAGCAGCAGAGGTATTTCTCTGACCCGCACGTTGCCCCCTTCTTTGTTGCGGGTGCTCCCAAACACCAGAAACAAACGTGAATGGGGGACAACCAAGCTTTGCAATTTGACAAATTCGATGCAGGCTGAAACAGGAATAGGCTAGGTGTTTGGCATGTAATTCAGTGCAAGGAATGTTTATGATTTTAAGCTTTTATGAGAATCTTGATGGAGCTGGCCTGGTATTGCAGCTGCGGGACGACATGAGAAGGCTGCATTTTGAGATAATCCGCCAAATGCACCTGCAGCAAGTGGAGTTCCTGGGCTTGATGGAGCAGATCTCCAGCAGACAGCAGTCTCTCGAGGGACGCATTGATCACCTCGGGACGCAAGTGCAGAAGATACTGAGAATGAAGGAGTCCATGCTGTTGATATGATGATTGTGAAAGATACCGGACCCCTGTCCTGACAGTATAATGTAAGCCGCCCTTACAGACAGGAGAAGTGCTCACGCATATGCTCCTCAAACACGTGCTTTTCACAAGTTAGCCTTTTCCAAAGGTCCAACAATCATGCACAAGCATCATCCTTCTTGCATAGTCATTTCTAGGGCGCAAATCAAATGCTTCAGATGACACAATTACAAAATCAAGTGTGCTCGGGCACACAGTCCGGCGTATTGATTGACTCTTTGAGACAAGGCACATGTCCTTCACAACCAACTCCTGTCAGTTCACACGCCCTGAGTCCCTTTTGAGCTTGCAGCACTGCACTGAAACTTGTGCCCGCTATTCCAGTGCTTCTTCTGGCAGGCCTTGGAGCAATACTTGGCCTGCTGGCATCCGTTGCACCAGCGCAGGTTGTCGTTAAGCTCCTTGCACATGTGACACCTGCAGAATTGTTCGCACACTTGATGCTGCATGGCATGCACTTCCGAATACACCACCTCGAGCATGCTTAGCAAGTGCAGGAAAGTAGGTTAGAATGGCTGCAATTGCAAGAATCCATCATCCCTCAAGGGCAGCTTTGTAATAGAAGATGGAAGAGTGGCACGAATCTGAAAGTCTTACAAAGTGATGCAGTCCATGGCTTTGCTCAATTAAACATCAACACCTGCAATGCTCTCAAAGCAGCCCAATCAGAGCTCTGAGAGGCGAGCGTCTGCTCACCTGACATGCATGCACTCCTGTTGAAGTTCCCCGTCCGTGAAGGCTGGGAGCTCTGAGTCCCCAAAGGCAGGGTCAAGCCTGATGGTTGCCTGATACCAAGCTGCCACTCCCAGGCTGCACCAGCAATCCTCCTTGAAGGCCATGCGGTGCTGCTCTAAAGGCATCCAGCCTCCTGTCTGCTTGCACCGGAACTCACCCCAGCTGTCCAGCTGCGCCTTGTATTCCTTGGCCTGTCGAACATTGCAGGAGGGACTCACTTGAGACACGCTCAATCCATTGCCATCAGCTACAGGCCCATTTGGATTTAATGAGCACAAAAAATAGACATTCCCCGCGCATTGATGGAAGCACTGGAGTGTGTCAAAAAGATTTCAAATCCCCGTTACAACCCTTGTCCCCACCCTCTGCACATGTGACAGGAAGCTTGACACTGTGATGAGCTGGCGTGGACTGCTTCCAGCCATCAGCATGGTGTGGCAGTACATCCACTGCTGTGAACAGGCCTTGAGCTCATCCTTCTGCTCTTCAGCTGCCCTCAGCCCTCCTTCCAACTCCTGTAGCACCAGTATTATCAGAGGCCATGTCATTTGTGCTGAAGGGGCTTAGGAGGCCAGCGAACCAGTCAACAGCTGAAAGACAGGATTGCAGGTGACTTTGATGTGTTTAATAATGGAGATCGCACAGATATTGCACAGAAAGCAGGTGCAATCACCTGCATTGCTCGCCTTGGTATGAATTCGCGCAATAACACAGCAAAGTACTCCGTGACCCACGGTGATGTTGGGTCCACTGCTTGATATTTGCATATCGTCCTGTGTATCTCTGCCGACTCTTTGTCGCTCAAATCCCTCTCAGCTGACTCATTGTTGATCGCTTGCAGGAGAACTTTGTAAAGCAGTAATTTGACCATCTCCATGGAGAGGCCATTCCTGAACAGGAAGGGTACTTGTGTTAGACATGCCGATTGCAACACAGGCATGCGTGTCCCTGCGGCAATCTTGCAAACCATCCAGACAGCTCAAAATGTGTCATGGGCGCACAGCAGCCGAATGCAGCTGCCATCTGGAATTGCCTGTGTGCAGGGATCTGGGTGGATCTGTACACAGAGGTCAGGATACAGGCAGGCTCGTACATTTGCAGCAGAGCGTCCCACTCGTCTCGTTCACTCTGCAGTGCCTCCAGTGCCACCAGGGTGGCAAAGGTAGCTCTGGCCATGTCATCACCTTCCCATGAGCGCCACAGCACTGGCACAACTGCCGCCAACGGCAGCAAGCCATCCACCCGCTTTGCATGCTCTGCAATGCACTCCCGGTAGCGCGGACCATCATACTTGACCCCAGGTGGGGGTCTGTACACTGCATTTCCCAAAGATTTATAAACGAAAGTGCGTTACAGGGGTCTGTGATGCGCAGCATGACGCAACTTCGCATCAAGTGTATTTGCTGTGCTGGACTGTTTGACGTCTTGCCCGCTACCTTGCAACCTCATCCCTTCAGAGTACTGAAGTGCCCTGCTTTACATGCTGTAGTAGATAGCAGGACACTGCAGATCAATGCTTCTGGGAGTCCTCTGGATCCCTGACGTGGTAGCAGCCTTTGCATGTTCAGAGTTTGCTTACCTTCCCAGATGCCTGACTGCAGCGCCAATCCTCCTTCTGTTATATAAGACTGGATGTCCTTAGAGATGCGGGGAAACAGAGTTTCGTACACGGTGCAGAGCTTTAGGAGCAGGACCAAAAGCTGCACGAGGCACACAAAACCCATCACATGGGCGCCAAGTCTAATTCGTTTAAAGGATACATCAGGCATAGATTCTTTTTGGGATTCACTGAAACAACCACAGATACATCTCTCTTGATCTCTTATTATGCCCACATTGCAATAAAGGACGACCCCGGAAGGCAAGGATTCACCTGTGCCAAATATTCTGTATACTCTTCTTTCTCTTCAGATGTCTTTGGACCGCCCAATTCCATCCTGTGGTGAACCATGGACAATGGCTCTTGCATTTCAACCTGAAGTTGCTCACCGTGTATGATAGTTTTCATCGTGCCGCTGCGTTTCTCAGGGCTGGTAGCCATTGCAACGCAGAAAGAGCAGACATCACGAGATTTGAAATCACTATTGCTGCATCTTCCACAGATATGGTGCCGAAAACCATCCATTTTCCTTGGGGCACCTGCACAGACAGGATGAAGGATTGTCCACCACCAAACACCAACGTCATCGTTGCAGAAACTTCTTCGCATGTATTTTACAGATTACAACACACCTAATGTGACACTGGAATATGAAGATGCAGTCTCGAGGCTAATCTGACCACGTTACACAGATCGGTCCTGATCTCAGAAGCAGATGCCTTGATGGTATTGCTGCGCGTGGAGGGAACAGACAATCAGATCAAAAAATATATTGTATTGACATAAGTATTGTTGTATGCATCGTAGAGCCTCTTCGAGAGATTTTGTGTCCTCCAAGAAAGTGCTGCTCTGGGCCCTCTGTTGCCCAGCTTTGGGCAGCTCGGGCAACAGTGCCATGTTGAGGTCCACATGCCTTCTCCTGTATGCCTCTCACTTGTTCGTGTGCTTTTGCCTTCTCTTTTTGAATGCTTGCATTTCGCACGATCAATTCTTTAGAGACGCTCGGACGGTCTGTACTGTCATCCGCTCAACGATGTAATACATTGGACCTTTCGCGCAACCACTTAAATGCCTGCATAGCCACAATGTCTGGACGCAATCCCTCGAAATCTACTCCTTCTCATCATGACACTGATGGGAGGTTCAATAACCCTTGGGATACTTGGAAGGTGAGCCAGTTATGGCATGTGAGCGTTAACTTATGCACAGGTAATGGATGGGCCTGCCAGCATTCTCAAGATAGATTTTATGATAATAAGAAAACACCTATTCAACTTGCAACATTGGTTGGAGCCGTACAGGAGAGTGGCCTCAGAGATGTCTTGAAGTGGCAGTATGACAGACGACAGAGGAAAGTGCCATCTGGAGGTTGGCTCGTTGGAAACAGACATCCAACCAGTCAAGAATTCCTAGCCGCATTCCCAGTCCATAAATTAGAAAGATCAACTCTAAGCGATGGCCCAGGTAATAGGATGTCACTGGATCTGCAGAATTTTGCGATTGACATAAGTGTTTCGCTGACATTTAGATTCAATGGATGCAGACGAGTGCATTTCTGCTGTTTGGATGGGACATGCCAGTGTTCTGATCAGAATGGAGGGCGTCACATTTCTGACAGATCCAGTGTTCTCAGAGAGATGCAGCCCAGTGCAGTGGATGGGCCCAAAGTAGGGCCCTTCCCTATTCAGTACGTAAGGACATACGTACATCACAGGACCAAACAAGATGAGTCAAAAAACGGTCTCCCAGGCTGTGCAAGAGATGCTTTGTCCTTGGACTCTGAGCTATGATCTTTACTGACTTTGTAGGCGTTTGGTGCCAGCTCCTCATCTGGACAAGAGTGTTCTCCCTAGCCTGGACTTTGTCATGATCAGCCACAACCACTATGACCATCTGGACCATGGAACTGTGGTCAGGCTCCATAAGCAGTATGGTGACGCCTTGACATGGTAGTGTGCCCTCATCCTCGTGCTCAGAATCAGCTGCACTTGCGAGATGACAATAATAGTAAAAGCATGGAAGTCAATTCGGCAGATCGGTAAGCGTGCCGCATGCATTCAGACTGAGCAAGTGTGTCCTGCAGGTATGTTCCCCTGGGACTACAGAAGTGGTTCCACAGCTGCAAGATCACCAATGTGAAGGAGCTTGACTGGTGGCAAAGTGTTCGACACCCCGGCAGTCAAGTCACTGTTGCAATGACTCCAGCCCAGGTGCTGCCAACTTGCCTCTGTGCCTCTGCTGTAGCCTTCATTTGATGATAAGGTAGGCTCGTGAGTCCACCTTTAATGAAAGTGCAACTGGTTCTCTGTTCTGTTTGGCAGCATTGGAGCTCGCGCACTGGGAGAGACAGGAGGCAGACGCTGTGGGGCGGCTATGCTGTCCTTGGAAAGCAGCTGCGTTTCTGGTTTGCTGGGGACACTGGATACTGCCCTGTTTTCAAGGAGATAGGCGATCGTTATGGGCCATTCGACCTCTCAGGTGCTACTTAGACCCTGCACGCGGCAATGAAATGCAAGGTTGCTTTCAACATGTGAAGTTGAATTGCGTCTTAAGCCTTTTATGCTTGTGAGATGAAAGTGCATGTGCTGACGAAAGAATTGAGCCCAGCGGTGTTGTGCAGCGATTCCGATTGGTGCATACGAGCCTAGAGATTTTATGCGACCACAGCATGTCAACCCGCAGGAGGCAGTCCAGGTACATCAGGTGCGTGGGCGCAGAGACTTTGTAGGCACATTAGCACATGGGTGTGGTATAATATTCTTCGGGAATGTGTTCATGCGCACAACCCGGGGTCTCAAGTGTCCAGGTGAAGCATGCATGCAGTGGCAGTCTCTGGCAGAGGTGTGCACCATTGACGAAAGGACCCCACAGTATAAAGCAATGATGTGCATGCAGGATGTGCGGTCAATGCAGAGCATCGGCATCCACTGCTGCACCTTCTGCTTGACAGACGAGGCCATGGACGAGCCGCCGCAGCTGCTCACCAGGCATGCGGCAGCTGCAGGATTGGTGCCGATCTCCTTTGTGACGCTGCAGCACGGTGCCTGCCTCCAGACAGCAGCAGGCGTCGCCAGGAATGAACCACCTCTGCTTGGTGGGGCGTAAACCGACTTATTTGGTATACCTGACGGCATGGCCAGCAGGCTTCTGCACGCACAGGCTGTCGACTTTACTGTACAGTCTCTTTGAGTCATCAGATCTCAGCAACATTTGTGCGATCAGATGGAAGATAATTTGGCATTGCCATGGTTGGACTGCCAGTGTCCACTGGGGAGGTCAACTTGAGCAGTGGAGAGTCTCCACTGGAGACATTCTGTAGATGTTCTTCTCACGTCAAGCGGAACTGGCAATTCAGATATAAGAGATATACAAGAATGGTGTTAGAGTTAGGGCGCTCCTGTTCCGCAATGCGATTAACTGTGCTGATTCATTGATTGAATTGTAATGCTCATAGATCTAGATCATGATGGTTGTTAGCTAGGAAACCGACTCAGTCGGACTAGGCTGCTGGGGGTGGCCGGTAGAGCTATTGTGCAGGAATTAAGCGCACAGCAATTTTTGTTATTTTTCTCTTTTATTTATCCATGTGCAGAATATCAGAAGTATTTTGACAGCTCATGCCATGATGGACGGTTACAAACTTCCCCACTGCAGAAAAGGCGTTCCCTCCTGACTGGCCCAGACTGCCGCGCCAACTTCTTTAACTTCCTGCCTCCTTCACTCAAACGATTTAGTTGCTGACAAATCCGGATAGAAAATGCATGAGTAGGGAAATGTGAATTGATTCCTGCCTGTCAAGGTTTGCTGGGGAAATTTGCAATCCTGCAGTCAGACAGAAGGCCGATCCAGACTGTCGGAAGAGATCATTACTGCATCTCAGCACAATCAGAAAAAGAACTTCTATCCCTGAGGTGGTCGTTTGCCTGACTCTGCCGTGTCCTTGGCTCTTCAGTAGCTAGATCGCTGGGAGGTCACAACTCCATGGTGCTTTTCCACACCTTACCAGCTTCGGAATATAAATTGCTGAAATATGCGTTGTTCTTTTGCCACTTATTATTACTAACCAAGTGTCTTCAATACTGACCTCTGCATCGGTGTGAAGGATCATTGGGCAGCTGGATGCATATTTCTAGAACCTTACATCCGGCCTGCTGTGATGCTGATCAGGCGAAGTGGGAGGAGAGGTCCGACAGATGGATAGTCGAGGAAAGGCAGGATGGCAGCAATGTCAATGGGTGGCATTGGCAGGAACAAAATAAGCTGCCCTGGTCCAGAGAGAAAATAGATGAGCTCACAAAAGGGCTGGCTGCAAATCTAGACGCCTCACTGGGAAACGCAGAGATCCTGGGCGTCAAGAGCTTGACAGGAGAGGTGAGCACAGCTTGCCATGCGATGTGATGGCCATGTCCTTGCGTGATACATGGCAGTACTGAGCAGGACATGGTGCTTGCACAGGCATACCTGACGACCCGGAAGCAAAATAAGAAGTTTGCGGTGTTTGAGCTGAACATAGTGCTGGACTGGAGGGGGACATGGGAGGAGGATGGAAAAGAGGTGCGGGCCTGTGCCCCATGTGCAGCCTCACCTGCAATTGCACCTGCTCTATATGCGTGGAGAATCACCAGGTGTCCCTGTGTTGAGCACAGCACGTGCATCCTCAGCAGAGATGACCTCTTTCTGGCATGCCATGGATTCTGATTGCGTCCTTTTGTGCCAGACCACGCTGAGGAGTGCTCAAGCCAAAGCAATGACCCTGGCAGAAGCTGTGAGGACTTGTCAGAGCCAATCTCTTCATCAGGCTGAAGCAAGGGGTGGTTTGCAGGTGAAGGGGGAGGTGAAGGTGAGCGAGTACAGCAGCATAGATCCAGAGGAGTACACTTTTGAGGTCACTGTGGAAGGAGCGGACAGTGGATCGACCGCAGGCGCCAATCTGAGGGCAGCGGTGCAGGGCCTTGAGCACCAGCTCTTCAGCCGCCTGCAGCAGTTCGTAGCTGAGCTGAACGCGCTGTAATAAAATTTTCCAGCGGAGTTGCCTGTTGCATAATAACACTTTGCAATTGAAGCAAGTGAACTGCAGTGTTGCGGTGCTCCTGCGCTTTCTGCAGAGCTCATTTATGTTAGCCGTGAGCAGCGTGTGTGCGAATTACACATGGCATTATTCATAAGTTGGAGATCTTTGGGTTCCTCTTGCCTAATTAGAAATTCTACGGCAGGAACACTGCATGCATTTGGGACCATTGGGTGGAGGTTCCACTGCCTAAATTCTGTCAAATAATTTGGCTGTTTATCTTGCTTAGCAAAGCATGTTATTATTGCATATAGAGGCTGCGTGATCTTCAACTTTTGCAATCTAGCTTCAGCAGCCCAACGTGTTGTAAAGTTTGTCATTGGAATGAGATCAAAGCAAAGACTTCAGTCAAGGACATCATACTCTGCCGATGGGCATGCCTTCAAGCATGGGAGCGCCACGAAGCATCCGCAACAGATCAACAAACTTGCTGAGCTAGGGTTCGCCGACCTTATATAAAAAACATAAACACAAATATTTGCATCTGATAATGCTCACCCCGTCTGGCGAGGCTTCGGGACAGATGCTGCACAGAAGCGCAGAGGGACGCTGTGGTGTCTTTGCACTGTATACATGGATCTAGGGTGAAAAAAAATAACGTCACGAAACAGGTTGCTTAGGAGTTTCAATGGAAACAAAGAGCCAAATGTAAGCTTAGTGCCAGGTTGCGGCGGCCAATTCTTTTTGAAAGTAGACCTCCGTTCGGCTGTCGTCATCGGTCGTCACCACCTTGCGTCACAGTCCCCTGTACACATGTGATCAGAATTGCTATGGTGCATGAAAATCGAAGCAAGAAAGAATAGAATCAGAATGGTACGCACATGGACCTTATCCCATTAGGAATGCCTTAATATTACAGCCGACATCGCTCTGTGAATTTGCTCGTGCTCCGAATTGTCCAGCGTCAATTTCAACATTTCGATTTGGATTTGGGCAGGTTACAAATCACTGACTCACTTTGGCGAGCACCTCTGTAGTACTGGGCGTACGAACGAGGGCAATGACTGGCACTGTTGCAATTGATAGAATGTGCCACAGCACCTGAAGTTTCTGATTCATGGTTCCTGATCTGGACGTGGCATAGGGGCACTGAACCTGGCAGGAAGATACCCTGCAGAGTTCACGTGGCTGGATAAAATGATAGTCACTGCAAGCAAGCGCAACAATGCTTGCGCAAGCTGTACTTATTGAACTTTGCCGCCCAGATGTACACACTAGAAGTCGACAGCAGAGCAATGACGGAACTGTATTGCGAGGAATGAAGCATGCTGCTCCTCTGTGCAACACACAAGAGGATGCAAAGAATCAACACGCTCAACTAGAATAGCTCTGACCGTATGTCAGCTACCTATGCGTGTGGTTTGAGGTATACCTACGTAGGTGCATGTGGAGACAAGGTACGGCACCCTCCAGCCCCAATATCGAACTGTCCCTTTCCATCAAAAATCTGCCTACTGAAGTTTAAACCTCTCTTCGCAAAGCCCAATCCTAAAAATTCTTCACCTACAAGAGCTAACTCTTCGTTGTAGGTTCTGATCACGTTATTGCCTTGCACAAATTGCAGCAGCAAAAGCTTTGTTTCTTCATGCTACTAAGCTGATGCTGTGCTTTTCATTGTACGCCATTCTTACGCATTTCTTATTGTATTGTAAGCATGGACCGGTGAAATCACTCAGTATATATCAGTGTGAGACATCTGAAAGTTGCACAATAATTTGCACAAATGTTGCTTGCAAATTTCATAACTGCATTCCACACACACACACACCCAGTGATGCTTTTTGTAATCTGTCTGGGTTTTTAGACGACCCATGCTCAAGAAGTCCAATGACATTCAAAACAGCACGTCGGCCCATCCCATGAGGAGCATTATGACATGGCTTCCAGAGGACGTCCATGCTGCTTTGCCAGTTCACTTGCCTTCAGAGCTCTCTCAGCTGCCTGTGCCCTTGCAGCTGCAACCAAGTGTAATATCTTTCAGACCTGTCTTGACAAGGAACATTGGGCGCATAAGAGGTTGTCTAAGGTGAGGATGCAAGAGGGAATACGTGTCTTACCGTGCAGGCTGTACTCGTAGAACAGCCGAGCGATGAGCAGGACTGTTGCACACGCTGTGAAAATTGCTTGACAGTAGGCAATGATGAACGGCAGCCATTCAGGTGAATTGAAATGATCTAAAGACATACGATGAGCTCCAGCCAATGCCAGGATCAAAACAGCTATATAAAAGATCAAGTTTTCTGTGTTTGTGACACCACCTGTGAACACAAACACCATGTCACATCAGATAATCTTTCTCATCGACATTGTCGGGCATTCTGGAACCAGCCAATCACGCCTGGCGACTTCAAGCCATTTTGCCCAAGTCGTGAGAAACACATCAAGAAGTAATAGGCTAAATGTGTACCCGGTATTCCAAAATTCAGTGGGCTCTGCGCACCTAGAAAGATCTCCGGTGCTGTGTAGTTTCCACTCTTCTGGCCGATCTCTGTATTCTTTGACTGATTAGCCTGGTTTTGGTTGGCCAGGATGCTTGAGATATCTTCCTTCATGCTGGCTACCTCCGTGCTCAACTTTTGCTGCAAAAGCAAAAAACAGCTCTACAGATGGCTTAGATTGCTGGGCTTCATAATATCTTGTCCCCTTGCAAGGCAGGCAGCTTGAGAGTCTTGCATACTTGAGTAAGACAGCATGCTTACAAATGCTAGTCTTGCGTCAATCCTCGCCTGGATCGCTTTCTCCTGCGAGGTATATAAAACACGGAGGCCTTCCTCGATTATCCCTATCTATGGGATAGAGGCACTCATATCGCAGTGGTTTCATCACTAATTTGATGTGGGGCTCACCAAAGTTGAGGTGTACTCTGCCAGACGCTGGTCGGTCTCTGTGACGGTCATAGTACTATGGCGGAGGTTTCCAGCTCCTGATGGACTCGCTTCGTCGATGCCATATTCCTTTGTCGGAACCCTGAGAACACCTCTTGAATTTCCTGCCGCAGGAACTGCAAGACACAGTCATGAGGACTTTCCATTCCTCTGGTACAGAAATCGTGAGCTCTCTGCCTTCTCAACAGCTTTTTAAACCAATACAAAGATAGATTTTCAGCAGAAAATCGAGATAGACCTCACCACGTCTGGGTTTTCCCCTGACCATCCTGAGGACAGATGGGGTCGAGGTCCCCACGGGGATGCTTTGCCGGGTCCGTAAGGTATACATGAAATTGTATTTGCAACAATCTTTTGTCGTTTTACAAAGGTGGTCTGTATTTCTTGTGCATATAGTTCTGAAATGTGGCCTTCGATGCAGTTCTTCGCTCGTCCCAATGTCTTCAGTCCCCTACTTTTCCCTTCATCTTTTCCCCCGGGCTTCTTGTTTGGTAGTCTGTAGGTCACCCCTGTCCAAAATCCATGAGAGAGGGATGTAATTATGTGGGGCTCATTGCAGCTGCATGCCATGCAAAGCACAGCTTGCCTGTGGTGTCATTTATGTTACTATTGAGTGTCCAGCGCATTCCGTTCAGGAAGTGTACTCTAAAAAGTTGCTTACCGAGAAAGTAGCTGTCAAGATTCTAAGACCAGGTGTCACGATCCTTGAATCTGTCATGCCATGGAACACGCAGCAAACAATTGCATTGACAAGGACAGACAAAAGCACACATTGGGCACGGCATGCCGGCATCCGTAAGACCATTTCCATAGGACCTGATAATCAAAATTGTCAAACAGACTAAAGCTATTGATAACCAGAGTATGCTCGCAACGAGACCATGAGCACTACTTCAAAACTAAGACATTAGCGCTCCCTTGCATGTGTTCTGGCCAGCTATCATGAGAAACCAGGACTGATGCTGTTGTCGCCCCCGGATCATGATATCAGGGTGTGCTCAGGCTTCTGCCGTCCAGCTGTATTCGACTGTGTCATATTGTGGTGCGATTGCCAGCCTGTCTATCAGCCAAATTATATAATGCACTCGAGACTTATAACCCGCAAACCCCTGGACCGGCCAAGACTTACTGGAAACGCATTCTGGGGCCTTCAGAAGAGCTTTTGCAAGACCATCCTGCCGTGCCCAGAGCCCATCCTGCAGGCTGCTCTCTGCTACTGTGCGGCTGAAGCACGTTAGTTTCCTCGTAATGGACATTTAGCGGTGCCACATTGAGAAATGACAGACCGGGAGCCGCAGCCGCAGCCTCACTCGGCAAACTGGCGGCTGAGGGCATCCTTGGCCAGGCTTGAGCCGCGCAGGCTGCCGCTCAGGCGCGAGATTCCGAGCGCCTCCGCGGCCGACGTGCCGCCGTGCAAGCTGCTGCCGCGGCGGCCGGCGGCCAGAATATCGATTGCCGCGGTGCTGCCACCGGATTGGGACCCCCCGGTGGTGGTGGGGCCCCGTGGCGGCGGGGGGGACCCCACCATCGCATCGCCGCCGAAGTCCCCCCCGCGCACGCTGCCATTCTCGGTGCCCTCCCCGTGGTTCGTCGCATCGCTATCCTCCAGGAATCGCCGGGGGATCCTCCGGACAACCTGCGCGCAGCCGCTAGTATTTAGGCAGCACTAATAGAACATTTTAAAGTAGCGGGCAGCGTGCAAAATGCATTTTGCACTGATGGGTGCTGCACTCTGTTGGGCACTGTGCTGTAGGATGCAAAAATAGCCTCGCCATGTGGGACTTGCAACTAGTGTGCAAGCTGTATAGTGCACAAAAACAGAATGGCAAGTGATAAGGCCAAAGGACAGCATACAGACATGTGCAGTGGGAAGCAGTCCAGGCAAGCAGGAATGATCCTAAGAGGTATATTGGGGTGGCTACATCTGTAGAGTTGGAAAGGACCTTGTCGTTGTCTATAGCCCATCTGGGAGTTCGGTGTACAACCTTGCAGCCAGGCGCACCATCATCAGGCCAGTTGTAGGAAGCAAGTAAACAAGGACACCAGAACGGCACTGTAATACGAGATGCAGGCACAAGCATTTAGCAACCCAGCAGGCATACCAACAAGGCAACTTCACTCCATTGAAATCACAAAGAGAGTTGAAAAGCTTTCAGCACATGAAAAACAACAGCACAGGACTGCGGCCACACAATGAAAACTGTGAGTGCAGGGCAGAAATGCCAAGTATGTAAAAAGAGACATGAAAGAGGCCAGAGTGCATAAAGAAAGGGTGCTCCAAAAGAAGTGCTCAACAATAAAAAAGTGCTCAAAAAATTGAAAAGAGAGAAAATTTGGCAGCTGGGCTCACCTGGGAGGAGCAGTGGACGGCGCCGTACATGGAGGTGATGGGGGTGAAGTTGACAACCTGCACCTCGCCCTTGAAGTGGGGGTCGCGCACGATCTGGCGCGCCGTAGCGGCATGCACGCTCAGCACCTTGCTGTTGCCCAGGTTCAGCACATTGCAGCCATACAACTGCGCACATGCACCAGCAAATTGTCAAGAATGAGGATCTGCTCTTCTCATTGTATGCTTTGCAGGTGTCTGGGCTCCTCAGCACACATTCTGGGGTGCCACGGCATGGGGAGAAAAAAGTACTTGAAAGGTCCTAGCTGGCTCCAATCCAAACATCCTTCCTATGCTGTGTGCAACATGAGAGCGGTGACTCTTCATGACCCAACACTGTCATGCATGCAGGCACTTTATGCAAAGGTTCCGCCACTCTACATATGCGTGCCCAATCGACTGCTCCTGACATTTCCCAGCATCCCTGCCCTACAATGCCGTGTAGCAACTCGTCCCACCTAAGCTGGTGCCCTCAGGTCAGTGCACACATCCTACAAAACTCCATAAGATCAATTAAATTAATTAATTAATTTTTAAAGTAAAAGGGCCGCGCACAAGCTGGTCGGTAGCCTTGATGGGGATGATGTGATACCCCTCGCCGCGCATGTAAGCGCTGAACTCGACCCCCTGCCGCGTCAGCTCATAGCCGCCATCGGCAGTGCGCGTCCATTCGTCAACAAGCCGCCGCGTGGGGCTGTCCTCGCCCATCATCTCGTCCAGCATCAGGCAGCAGTCGTCGCCCAGGATGCTGAAAACGCAGTCCAGGTGCATGCGGTCCTGCATATTCATCGAAACACCTCAAAAGTGGCTCTCAATTTTGGGCGATCCTCATTATGCTGTATCTTGTGGTTTCACAATGCCACCTTATCCAAGGCCATGTCAGCTGGTGCAGCAGCTTCGTGGGGGGAGCAGGATATTGGATGCGGAAAATCAGTCCAGGCAGCAATGGCAATCACACTAACATGCCAGAGTTGTGGTGCCCATGCAGAATATCCACATGCCAGTAAATTTGCCGGAAAGGACAAGCATCGATAGTGGTTCATAAAATGCCCTGCATGTCTTGTTTGCTTGCAAGATGCTGCTTGGTCAGGACCATGCACTAAGATACAACTATCTAAATGCCATTGTGGCGCAGCCACGCGCCTGGTGCTGCTCGAATTCGTCGCGCACGATGGCGAGGCGGCGCGTGCCGAGCAGGTCGCGCTCCATGAGCTGGCGGCAGGCCTCAAAGTTGCTGCGCAGACCGATGCCCACCATCGCCAGGTCGCGCCCCGCGCTGAAGAAGTCCCCGCCCTCCAGAAACCCCGGCGCCTCTATCTCCCCAATTACCGGCAACCCTGCAGGGAAACGCAAGGGGTAAGAATAAAAGTACAGATCGGCTTGCAATCAGGACGATCTTCAACATAACCATCTGTAGATCCATAGGACACTGCGCGGAGCCTGAGCATGAGGAAAAGAAAACCAGAATTGCCAAATCCTGGTCATGGGCACCACTTCTAGAACCACGAAGCGCGTGCAAGGCACGTCTGCAATCAAGAATGTGACAAATTTCCTGGTAAATGCACCACTCTTCCCAACTAGGGTGTATCGTAACTTGCAGTCTGTAAGTATAATCAAACAAATAATGCGCAGACATGCTGTGGCCGCACCGAGCTTGTTGTGGCAGAAACGCATGAGCTCCACCTCCAGCTGGCGCTGCTCACTGCGCAGCCGCCCCATCACGATGCCCTTGCACGTCGTGATCTGCCCAAGGCACACAAACAGCCTCAGCAGCCTTGCGCACTTACTTTCAAAATTTTACACTCATCCTGCATTGGGCGGAAGCTGTCCGCGTATGCATCCTCTGGTCGCCATTGCCGCATGTCCAGCACAATACATGCTGTCAATCACATGTGACGAGCGAATTTTCCACGATCACCAAAGTGTTTAGGCCTCACGAAAAGCTCCCTCAACCAAGAGCAGAGCAGCTGAAGAGATCTGCAAAGGCAGGAACGGCGTGCAGCAAGTGAGGTGGCATTACTCTGGGGATTTCCTAGGGATGCCAGACAAGACAATCTGGGCCACCATGACAGAGATTGAAGGCCCTGCTATACCCCAGAACAGGGAATCTGACATTCTTGTTGAGTATTCGGGAAGGTGGCGGCAAAGGCATAGACCTGTTACGTCCTGGAATAGTATGGGAGGTGGAGTCTCTTGAATTGTCTATGACTCGGTGGAGGAAAGCTGAAGATCGACATGGATGCTGCCACGCACCTGATCCTGATGGACTGGAAAGGCGTGCATAAATTACAGAGTTGATAGGGGCTCAAACCAGTGTAGGGCAATACCTGCTGGTCGCGTGTGTACACGAGGTTGGAGAGGGGTTTGAAGGTGTAGGTGGCGGAGAGGCCGGTGTCGCGGTAGGAGGGCGAGATGTGGACGGTGGGATTGATAAGAATGGTGTCTATCAGCTGCGCAATGCTCATGTGCTCCAGCACCTCCTTCATGTACTCCTTGGTCACGTAGTGCCGGTCCTGCTCGCGCATGCATGCACCTCAAAACTGCATCAGTCTGTTAAAAATTAGCAAACCATCTACCCAATAGACGTAAATTCGCAGATCGGCATGTTCTCTGAACAATTAATGCGCGCCCGGACATGAAAGGAAGAGCAGATGATCTTGCTGTTTGTGACAGGTCCTGTGAAATGTTGCGGAGTTGTTTTCACCCTGTTCAGTGGCCAAACACTTCTCTCTCAAGGCTATCAGAAATGGATACACCCCCTGGGAAAGCTTGGCAGCTGGGTACCCAATGACAAGCTTCCAAGTGATTGAGGATGAAGGCCATCATGAGGTGAAGCTACAGGCATGCTGTGCCCTGAGCTCCGTCAGACCTAGTGCAGCAAGGCCTGTAGTCAACTGACATCTTGGAATTGTGCAATATTGCTGCACTAGGATCAGGCACGCACCTCTTTGTTGAGGTCGTCGATGGTGAATCCCTCTGCAACGGTGTAGACGAGTGCCTTGGTGGCCAGCTCCTCAAGCTCCACGCGGGCGCCCATGTGGTCGTGCACCCCGTACTTCATTATGTCGCGCACCGTCAGCACCTGCGCGCACATGCTTGATCCTTCAAACCAGCCCCGTCGTTGGTTGGCAGAGATGTGTGACTAACTTTTTATATCTCTCTCCTGGAGCTGCACTGTATGAGGATTGCCTAGGGGTGCAGAAAGGATGCAGATCCTTTGCGCAGTGGAGATAGGATTAGGGGCCACCATTCCAAGCGGCAACAGCCAAGTAGCCAGGGAGGCAGGAACGTGCTGATCACCAAGGAAAGCAAACATATCCGGTCCACTTGCACCCCATCCTTTTGGCATGGCAAGCAACCCAAAAAACCCTAGAACCCCCAGAACTTCAAACAATTCTGGACTATCCGAATTGAAAGTACAGTGGAAAGCTGTGCACCTTGACTCCATGCTCGCGCATGACGCGGCGGAACTCTGAGTGCGCCGCCTTGGCAGCGTCCAGGTTCACCGGCCGCTCATACAATGACGCCCTGACGCAGCAGTATGCAGTCATCAGTCACTCTTTCAACATGCAGTACCCAAGGAATGCCGAGGCTGCAGGTTTCAAATAACAAGCACATCCTGAGCTGCCCGCCAATGAGCTGCCACCCTTTGCAACTGCCAAGTGTGGCCACTCATCGCCAGCAGAGAGAACACTCAATGTCAGCCAGCAATATACTGTAGTGAAGACACTTAAATGATCTCCCCCAAAAATCTCGACTGCACTTCCCCATCTGCACCACTCCATTTTGCCTCCCATCAATCTGCAGCCCATTGCAGAAGCCGGCAAGTGTCTACCAACAGCAGTAAGACAGCCTCTTGAACACAGCCTCTTATTACTTGTTGGCTTGTGTAAGAGAGGCTGTAGCATTAATTGCTAGCAAGTAGCATCACATGTCCAGGGCCCCACGCACCTGGGGTGCAGGCCACCCATCATGAGCGAGGTGCCTTCAGGCTCGCACACGATGACCACCTCCGCCGGCTCGTTCTCGTGCTCCTGGATGGCCGGAGCATCGTGCTCAAAGGGCTCCCCCACCATGCTTCGCGCAGCCGCCCGCTTCCCCTTCACTGTCTTCAGTGTGTGTGGCACCAGCTGCGATGGCGCCACGTCCAGCACGTCCTGGGCAAGGCAGGCCACTGGGTCAGCGGTAAAATAAGAAACCTTTTCGCCTGCTAGAGTGTGTTTGACCAGCAGGATATGGAAGGCAAAGTTACTCCAGGGCAGTTGGTCCAGGGCAGAGGTAAGGCGCATGCAGGGTTCAACTGAGGTCGCTCTTTAATAAGGGGCAGTTCCAGCTGAGCATTATGCAGGTCCGCGATTGTAGCCACTCTTATGAATTTCCATATGAAGGACCCTATACTATGATACTAGAAATTGCAGAGCACTACATCTGGAAACGTACACAGCTGGACTAAGAAGCCTGCTTTACACGATAATGCAGAAATATTGATGCTGATTTGCCGCATGATAAATGAATTCTTCGGGCAACAAGGACAGTCACGCCTTCTTGGCTCGTGGCGGGCATATACGCAATTGCAAGGTGCACAAGAACATTCCGCAAGATTGCCGGTGTGTATTGAGAAGTTCCCAACTATACATTTAATAATATGATATGTGAAGGGTAAGAACGCCCACCAATTGGGAATTGCTTGAGCGCATACCTCCCATACTTATAATCTCACTAATTTTCACCTTACTTCGTGCAGCTCACAATTGCGATCTGCGCGATCAAGGACAAAACACTTGAAAAACAATTTATTCAACACAAAGTGCCCGTCCAGCGCAGGCGTGACTTCGTATACGTCCAAGCAGATTGCTGGCGTGATTTGTGCTGAGTCACTGCGATGAGTCACAGCAGCCGAGCAGAGAATGAGCATGAAGGTGGCCTCCCAGAAACAGCTGGGGATCAGGCAGGTCTCAATTAGAGATTGACAAGAAACAATTGGGATCTTTCCTCGTTTACAGTGACAAGGATGAACTGCATGATCTTCTCACAGGTCTGTGAGTGCTGGGGCATCACCTCTTTCGGAATGCATGTAGGAGACTCAAGTGCACGCTGAATAATGCTGAGACAATTTGAACCGAATTAATGTAATTCTTCAAGGCCTCGAAGTGGATTTGCATGCGCAGGTGCACAGGATAGCAATGATGCAGGGAAGGTCATTGGCAGCATCAGGGTTGTGCAATAAGGTCGCACCGCTGAAAATCGTTCACAGAAAGCCCCACGGTACGACTAGGTGCTACGCAGCGGCAGCACCGGCGCAAGCTCAGCAGAGCCAGCAGCGAAACCTGTACGCAAATTACGCCATCTACAAGGGCAAAGCAGCGGCCTCATTTCGGGTGAGGCTTTCAGGACATGCCTTTTCTTATCCTTGAATTTCGCCTGCAATTTGGGGACTGCTGCGATGCGATTTCTTCTTCCCTTAGGATTTGACAGATCACAGTCCACTAGATCAAGGGCCCTCTGCATATCACATCTTTCATGCTCATCAAACTCCTTTAAAAGGCTTGATAAGTGGCTCCAAAGCATTCAATCATCAACGACTTGTGAGAGCAGGTCAGAAAACCAAGGTGGGTGGAGGCCCAGGATGGCAGCATAAGCTTGGACAGGGCTGGCAGCTTGATCGTAGAATTTGCGCCAGTCGCCCCAGGATCCGGCACAAATGTGGGCAACCGGAGCTATCAATGGGACAAGAAGCAGGTGCGTGATTTTACCAATGCTTGAACAGCACGGATTTCTTCTGCCATTCCTGGTGCTGTTGCTGTCCCTGGGATACTGTGGCCTGGAGAGTTTCTTAGAATAAGATACTGTCACTTCTAAACTACACCCAAGTACCGCCAGAGTGTGTCTGTTACTTCCCAAGCCAACTAATTGCAACGGTGTATTCCAAGTAGCTGGGCATACCTTGTACTGAACTCATCCTGTTGTGCATTGACAGACCTTTGCTCTGAGTCCTGTGGAGCTGGCGGGCTTGGTGGAGTCCTGCACCACCGGCAAGTCAATGAAGGAGCTCTTTCACGATCCCAACAAGGGCGGCACGTACGAAGTCTCCCCTCAACATTGCTGTACTTTCTGCACTCAGAAAAGTGGTTGCACTAGCCTATATCACGCCTGCAGTATTCCTATACACCCTACTTGCTACTTCCCAACCGATTGATGAGTTTGCCATCACCACCTCAACTCATTTAGGAGCTGCCATCAATTAAAATTGTGACGCTTATTGAAGCTGTGGACGTTGCAGGGACAGCGGGAAGATAGCCAAGACGCTGTCGCTGCAGCGGTTTGACCAGGGGCAGGATTGGTACCTCCAGCTGGCAGTCAAGGACAGTGCCAGCAAGGACGGCAGCGCAACCATGGGCCTCCCCATCACCGGCGCTGAGCTGTACACCCTCAAGAGTCTGTCAGAGGTGAGCATGATCGCCTGCCACCCAATGGTAGTCATCGCAATGCATGTTGATCTGCTGGCTTTGCAGGTGTAGAAAATGCAGGAACTTTCTGCCTGTTGTGCTTCTTTGCCATGGTGATGGTGCACCACTGTTGCACGCATGCAGTGTTCCATTCTCATGTCCCAAGCTCATGCAGGTGATCTGACTCATCTTTGCAGATTTAACAGGCAGAAAATTGGCGTTTTTGACAGGTTGGCATTGACTTTTTTTTCCTCTGTTGCGGTGCAGTTTCTGATTCCGCGGCTCCTGGGGTGGGATGAGGTGTTGGCAGAGCCTGAGCTGGTACCTGCCAATTCCTATGGGTCCAGGCAGTAGAAAAACAGCCACTTAACAGCAATCGCAATGTCTTGGGATAAGGCAATCCTATGCTTTCGTGTACCAGCCATTCGCAGTACCCGGAACACTCTTGAACCATGGGAGTCTACAGGGAGTGAACCCACACCTGCCGTGATACTGAAATAAGACATGTGAGTCAGGGCATAAACAACCACCAGGAACGTGTGAACATTGTAAATAGTTCCTGCAGGTCCTTGCCCCTTCAAATCGTTCAGGAATATGACAATGTATCCAGCGCATGAGGATGCAGCATGCTTGGTTCTGTCAGCTTTAGTTTATAAAGAAGGCCAGCCTGTGTGTACTTGAGTGCAATATTTCAGTTTTTGCTCAGGTGCCGCACTGGTAATGCACAGTAAAAGTATGATGCTGACATCAGCATTACTTACAGTATCGCATTGTGTAATAATGCACATAAAGTGTACATTATGTGTGCTGCAAGTGCCCGAGTCAGTCACTGCCTGAGCTGTCTGGGTAATAATAGAAGTCAGTGGCCAATTTTCAATTGAGTGTCTACGTCCGAGCCAGCTGCTCCGCCTTGGCATAGGTTGCATCGGAGATGTTGCCACCGCAGCACACAATGGCAACGCTCTTCCCTCGCCATTGCTCCTGTGTCTTCAAGAAACATGCCAGGCTCACCCCAGCCGACCCCTCCACAGAAATACCCTCTGCCTCCTTTAGCCCCACCATGGCCCCAGCAATCTCATGTTCCTCCACCGTCACCCAATCATCCACCAACTCACAGCACGGCTGAAAAGTCACAGTCCCTTCTTCCACGCCCCCTGCAGCACCACAAATACAGCATCGCTCAGAGCTTGGGCCTCAGGAAATGCAGTGACATCTGGCAGGGTCAGGAATGCCACAACGATCCGTTGACTTAGAATTGTCTGTCAGAGCACTCCAAAGGAATTACCTTTGAAAACGGATGATGGGCGCTGACAAAAGGGGCAATTCCCATCAAGATCAGAGCAGCTTGAGGCTTGAAACAATCTACAAGAAATGTTGTTGCTGTGACCCAAAGAGAGGGCAACAACGCTTGCAGTAAGACCCGTTCCGTGTGATTTGAAGAGAGAGGTTCTCGTCAGCCCTAGAAACACGGCAGAGTGTTTGTGCTCTCACCTGCAGTGCCGTCAGAGAGGGTGTTTCTGCTGGGCAGGTCTAGGATGCGGCCGGCGCGAACGCATTCCATCATCACACACGAGTTGGCCGGCTGGCACCCGATCACTCTCACCCTCGGCCGCACCGCAGCCAACACCTGTGCATGACACAACCAACATCATCATCATTATTAGTCCTCAATCTGTCATGACCTTTTCTGTAGGCATGTCCTGGGAAGGATGTGGAGAGTGCATGGGTACGAGGACTGTCGGAGAAATTTGAAGGACCTTAATGAAGATGGACGCAGTTGTAAACTTCTTTTTGCCAGAGGCAAGGTGCGTCTGCAGACAAGCTGCAGACAAAGACTGCCACGCGGCCACATATCCAACCATCAAGGCAGTAAATGTCAAGCCCTCTACGCATTTATGCCCTCAGCACCTCTGTGAAGCACATGCCCCAATAATAGAGCAAGTGACTGCAGCTCTTGCAGAGGCTTATAATTTCAGCCTCTTGGCTATTGAGGGGGCAAGGTTGGGTGCATACGCTGGAGATTCCTGAGATGAGGCCGCCGCCGCCAACGGGCACAAACACGGCGTCCAGCTGTCCAGAAGGCAGCTGACTCAGCAGCTCCAACGCTATCGTGCCCTGCCCACCCGCCACCTGTAATGTCGATTAAAATACCAAGAATGAGCATGCAATGTCTGCAGCACATGAGTGTCTTGCTCACTGTCTTCTGTGGACTGACCCAGTAAGAGAATTCCTAGCGACCGGTACTTAAGGTGGATTTGTCTTGCCTCATTGCTGCACTGGTCAAAGTAAGGACACCAGTGTAGCAAGACAGACCGATGATAGTGAATTTTCTAATCCCTTCATCTTCAGCTTGTCTACTGAAGCACCTCGCCCCTGGCATGAACAAAGTATAATAATAATAGGCAGTATCATTTCTGCTGCTCGGCACCTGGGGGTCATTGTAAGGGCTGACGTAGGTCATTCTCCTTTCGGCAGCCGCTCGCCGCGCCTCCCTCTCAGCTTCCACTGAGTCATCGCCGTGCAACACCAGCTGCGCCCCTTGCTCCCTCAGCCTGCTGGCCTTTGCGCTGCTGACCGTCTTTGGAAGGTATATCAGAGGCTTTGTGCTCCATTCTGGACCCCTGTATTCCCCTCCTTTGTCAGTGGATCACAGCATACACAAGAAACCCCTTGTACACTGGCCAGCATGGTCTTTTCACGCAGTGTATCATGGCAAACGCATGCACCAGCCAGGCATGGTTTGGTCATCATGCAGAGGATTGCTCCAAAATCAGGAAATGGTCAATGACCGCTGGTCATGCGGAGGGAGTCACCTCAGAGATGGCAGTAAGCTGCAGGCATGCAGGAATGCCAGCGCATGATTGCCGGAGGAGCATGTGACAAGTCCTCTCCTGACAGCGTCTAGTTCCAACGATAAGACCTGCACATTGCCAGGCCCCACACCTTTGATGGGGATCATTGCATGCATGCATGACACATGCTGGGCTATGCTCTGCAGTAAACTTGAGAAAGCAATGGAGAGGGCTGGTGAGTACCTTATGCGTGGCTCCTCGTGCCTTAAAAGATCCTGTCACCTTCGCAGATGGGCCGTTGGTGTTGTCACTTCCAGTCCATAACTAGAAATTTTTTACAATCAAATGGACAAAACTCTGATGCTCATCATATCCGATCACTTGCCTGGTCATTTTCAAGTTTGAGGTAAGCACTGCAGTCTCCCTTATCAGACAACCAAGAAGACCTGTGCAGATCAGTCTTCTTCACAGCTCGGTAGATTTGCCGACTGGCAGCCCATGCCTCACTGGCGATAAGCGACAAAGCCTGCATCAGAATCAAAAATAAAGTTCGCAATCCAGCCTAAGCAGAATCATATAATCGAGGAAACATGTGAGGTGCAAGCAAGTGCATTGGCCCACCCCATCCGTCAGTGTCCATCCCCTGGTCAGTGGCTCGGTCAATTTTGGTGGGCTCATAACAATTCCTTCACGTTCTGTAAGTTATCTGGAATGAAGTCTTTCAATATTCATAGAATTAGGAATTTGCAGAGATAGCTTCTCAGAGGTTCCAAGGCTCCCGGAACCCTAGCTCTTGAACATGAAACCCTGCACGACCATTCCGACATGATCGAGAGAGGCTGAAAAGCTGACCTGAAGACTTAACCTCCTTCAATACGATGCTGATTCCATAAAGGATGGGATACTCATAGCTGTGGAAGTACAAGACTCACAAGACAAAGGTAGGCACACTGCAACCCTCGACATGCCGTTAGCCATGGTTTCGCACTTTGTTCAGAGTTGACAGCATACTGCACGTATTTCATGCGACCGCTATGTTCCACCAAGGCCTCTTCGATCTCCTTCATATCTGCCCGAGCTGTCAAACATGCACAGACTGAACCTGGGCCTAAGATATTGGGACAACGTGCAGGATGGCGAAGAAGACGTATGTCACCTTCTTGTTCAGCTTCCTGCTGAAAGCATTTTCTCTGGGAAGCTTCCTTGTGGGCATCGGCTTCATCACCTTCGGATGCGTGCTGCAGAGCCCTCCCAAGAACTTTGTGCCCGGGTGCGCACCCCGCCTCTGCCTTGATCAATCTCCTCACAAAACATGCCGAAACTCATGATCAAAATACTCCTTGCAAACGCTTGCTTGCTGGGTGACCTGCAAAAGTGTTGAGCTCATAGCTCCTGTCACCCTTAGATCCAGAAAGCAATGGAATTCATTATTTGTCTACTTTTGACCTGGACTTTCTGAAGCCCTGTAGCTCGTCTGCAGACACGCCCTGCCGCTTGGAGGAACAGCATATTATAATATAACACCTTGTTTATTTGTATTAAAATAATAAAAAAATTTAGTAGTTATAGTAGTGATTATAGGAGTGATTAGAGTCTGCTTCTGGCAGGGCGTTGGTGGCGATCGGCTGCTTCACTATTCTGAGCAGCGCGGTGGGCTATTTTGGCTCGCAGTTCCGTCCAGTCTTTCTGAGCATCTACCTGATCGCGGGCACCTTTGCCACCACGCTGCAGCTCATGCTCGTTCTGGGCATATTTGCCGCTCAGGAGAGGGTCGCCGATGAAATCGAAAAGGCTGACTCCATCAGCGGCGTAAAGCACTTTGACAAGTGGGTCCTCCCTCTCCTGATGTCAACAGCATGCCTGCTAGAAAGCCATGGCTGCTGTCTAGATGTTGCGCATGCGTTGTGTTAGTAAGAGTGCACCATAGCGTGCTTTTTCTTCCAGAACGATGTGTATTTGGGGCTTTGGGTTTGCCAACCTTTCCTGACAACATTGATACACCCACCAGACTGGCTATAGGAAAGGGCAGAATTAATGGTCAGGGACCGGCTGCGCAGGGCATACTTGATTGAGAAGCTGGAGGTGGGAAAGTGGATATTTCTGTGGGTGGTGCTGGCGGAGGGCGGCAGCTTAGTGCTGGCCACCATCATGCGGTGCATGGGAGAGATGCAGGGCAGGTGCGCTCCCTAGACACAAGTCTCCTGCTATTTGTGACACCAGACAGAATTTTCATGCAAGCCGATACTCTCAAAAAATAGTACACTTGAGAGAGTCGTCTAAATAACACCAACACAAGTCCCTTCAATCGTGCATCAGCGCGGCGCTGGTGTCTTCCTTGGAATCTTGCAATCGTTATTTTCGCAGTGTGCAGGGTTCTGTTGCTGCAGCTTGGTTCAATTTGAACTTGAAATTGAGGACACGGTGGTTGTGTGCAGGTATGAGGGGATGGAGGCGGAGGAGGCGGACCAGCTGCGCGCGATGGAGATCCAGAGCATCAAGGGCGGCCTCGGCAGCCGCGGGGAGGAGCAGGGATTCGGCAGGTGCGGCCCAACGAATGGGTACTCTTCCTGCACGAGTGGTGCTGCATCATGCAGAACTGGAAGAGCGTCAGGGATTGCCAAGCACAGGGAATGATGCCACAAGAAGAGTCCAGAGCACAGCCGTGGTCTGGCACTATTTCATTAGACGTCTTCAGTAGTCTTGAGTATTTCATCAGTAGTGTTCAGACTACTCCAGCCCATAAGTCCTTTAGCCCACCACCTGTATGAGCTACGTAGGCATGCGAGAAGGCTTCGCATGCATGAAGGGCGCCATGAAATCTGTGCAAAAGATTACGAAGTTGACACCAACGTTATGTGTGGTGCAGGTTGGCAGGAAAGATGAATAAGAAATATGGCAAGCACAGCCAAGTTGACTTCTACGAGGGACAGAGGTGGTACAATATCTTCAATAAATAGGGTCCAGTGAGTTTTGTTGCGCACTCGCATGTGAGAGACAGCAGCTTGCAAGCAATGCGGAGGGTATTGGCAGTACGGTATACTGTAGATATCTTTTATGGGGCATGCGTACAGGACCAGAGCACTTTGGTACCGCCTAATCTGCAGCATGCAGCACATCAGTATTGCAGCAATGCATGCTAACTTCGATAATAGCATCCCACTGGGTGGGTATTAGAATAGCCAAGGGATAGATAAAAGCTCATCAAATGGGAACTGGTGATCACGATTACATGTCCAATTTTATTATATCTGAATTTATCCCGAACTGCGTTCGATCCCACTGAAAAGCGTGCGAGGCACAGCAAGAGTTGGAGGCTCATTCTTGCATGCAATATTTTGGGCCGATAAGAGCACACTCGTCTTGATCTCTAGTATTCAAAGAAAAGAATTGGGCCAAAGTTAGACGATCAGCCACCTGCCACTGGAAAAAGTTCGCAACAAGACCCGCCAGAGATTGAAGAGCTAATGTAAGCAATACAGTTGTACAAAGAGCAGAACGACTCGTCTTTGTGAGAGTCTTGAGGTGAACAAAGCAGCTCGTTCGTATAATGTTCGAGACGGAAGCCTGCTTGTGAATGGCTCTCCCCTGAAGCCCCCAGAAGTGGTTACACAAGCAAATTAATATCCTGAAATGTCATCAGAGGAGTATCCGATGCGGGGCTAAGTTGCAATGGGGTCTAGGGTTCGAGCCCCAGAGCCACACAGTCGGTCGAGCTTACCTTCTCCTGTCTAATAAGCAAGTCTCGGAACGATCTGAGGGTGCACGGCAGTTTTGGACCTTGAACTATGAAAAACATGTAACAGACGCTAAATGCTACAGGCACTGCAGCATGCATATTTACTTTTGTTTCAGATCTACATGATGGGTTTCATTTCGCTCATAGCCTCTCATTTTCTGTCTAGAGGTCACCCCAGGCCTAGCGTCAAATGCCAAGCCTACATACTACAAATGAGGTACAAGTCGCCCCGACATCAGTGCAAGAGGTGGCATGGAAAATCCCATCACACTGAATCCCTGCTGTAGACAATCCTCATCTCACACCTCCCAACAACTTGTATAAAACACTCGCTCACTCCTCCTCGTCATATGATCTCTCAAGCCTTTTACGCGCCTCTATGATGTCCCAACGCTCCCTCTCACGCCTCTCTTCTCGCCACACCTTCAGCCGCTTTGTGAGGTACTGATCCAAGCCCAACACGCGGCCAAATGCAAGCGCGATCATGAGGGACAAAAGGACCAGGCTGCCAAAAACAGCGGGTCCATCAAAGTACAGCCCGCCTGCAAATTCTCTGCTGGGTGCCTCCAGCATTGCCTGAGCCTCTGAGGACGGAGTGCTTGCGTCCTTGCCCAGCATCCCAGCGATCTGGCCAAGATTTGGATAGCTGCATGCAGCCATTCATCAGCTCCTTTCATAGGGGATTCGCGGCTTGCTGCAGCTGCGTTGCAGGTACTCTAAGGCAGGCCAAGGCAGTGCCAATTCTAACATCTTGCACTGAATACGGGAGAGGACTAAAGCTCTCTAGTGTGACCCAGGAACTGACCTCATGAGGGACACATCGGGGCCATCCATCAAGCGATGCAGGTCAGGCTGTGCTGCCATGTCTGCTGTGACTACTGTTCGTGCAGCTTGTTGCCTGATGCGTCGTGATCTGACAGTCGCGCACCATCCTGAAAATGCTGGAAACTGCCTGACAGGCTGCATACAGTCCAGCACAAGGTCAATTCACATACATCAGTGAGGTTCAAAAAGGCGTGTCAACGAGAAAGATAGAGGGAAGATGCATGCAGATGTGTGCTGCAGATCGATGCAGCACCTGCCCAAAGAGTTGAGGTGATGCCCTGGCATGCCACGTTGGGCGATCCGCTGCTCTGAAGGTTTGCTCCATGTCAGATCGTCGAAACTATGCAGACTTCTGTCTTGAAAATTCTAAGAAAATTCTTCTGTTTCTCTTAGAACGCAGGACTACAGACTCGTGTCCTTTGCAACAATGTGGCATGTGCGATGAGCTGTAGCACGAAGAAGCAATAAGAGTGTCTCGTCAATCAAGTGACCTGCCAGTGATCAATCCTATGTGAACCGTTTTTCAGATCAATTGCTGATCCTCACCCATTAAAAGCCAAAAGGCAAGAACGGGGTTTTGATCTCTCAGGTCCCCCACTCTCTGAATTGGGGCCCCCCGCCAGGACGAGTGCAGACCTTGGACTTTCTCTTGGACTCTTGCTCACTTCTGCTCAAATCCTCATTTGCACCACTTCATGCACAGATTGAATAAGTTTTTTATTATTGATCTGACTGTGCCTTTTTGCTGGCGTACAAAGGGACTTGTAGCTGCCAGCGATTGTCCTGATGAGGGAGAACAGCCTGGCAGGAGAGTGACAATTGTCCTGTGAAATCCAGCTTGAGTCTGTAAAATGAAAAGCTACAGAAATTTTACGCTGTTATGGATCGCTGTGGTGGCGGTTTCAAGCTCTCAGGCAAGGAGAATGACAGCATCGAATAGCATGTGAGCCCCTCCCATTGCTGTCCTGTATCACGATCTTGCATGTCATCCTTCTGAAGTGTGGATACTTAGTGCACTGATTGTATTGTCAAATTTAAAACGTGATGAAGACAGCATCTGCATGGCTCGACGTTGCAGCAGTTCCTTTGTGTGACTAGGGGCGTCACGACCGCTTCAATTCAGCACATTGATTGACACTTTGGTGGTTTTGCTGCAGCAATGGACACTGGAGCAAATCAGGTGGGAGATCTGCAAAGAAAGTTGCCCAAAGGCATCCATTGTGCTGCCTGTTTGCATGGGAACCACGTTGGAAGCTTTATTGCAGGAAACCGGAGGAGTTTGCACCAGGAAAATCAGCTGCCTGGAGCCAATTTTGCGCTAAATAGCCCTTCGCCACCCGCCACTGCCAGCAGTGGTGCCACCTCTTCAAGTAAAACAGGTGAACACATTCATGTTCCAACAGCTTCTCATTTGTAGCTCCATTAGCGACAAGGTCAAGCATCCCTGTGATTAGATAGAATGCATGCTAATTCTTGCGCCCTTGATGTCATGCTGACACTGAAATGATGTCAGAGAGCCAATATTGCCGAGAGCCAATGCATGCATGTGATGCGCTCTGATTTCCACCACTGAGCGTGCCGAGTCCCATGCTTGCCAGCAGCCCAGAGTACTGCTCATGGGATTGCATGAGCAAACCTATTAGCAAACATCCCATTGGTGGCATGATTCCGTGCGAGGTTGATTCCTTAGTTTTTGGTGCATGCAGGTGCACCAGCACCGAGCAGCAGCAAGGCTGCATCAGCACCAGCAGTCATCCCAGGTATGTTATACAATCTGTGCAAGTGCACATGTGGAAGAACATGGCACTGCTTGGCACACTGAAGCCTTCCATAAATGCATGTACCGTAAAGCCAGTGAAAAAGGACCATTCGGCATGCACTGCTATACCAGGGGCGGGCGCGGGTGCCACTGTTGGCGTTGGCGCGACACAGGCTGGTGCTCAGCCTGCTGGAACTAACACGCCATCTGCCGGGGCCAATCCTACGACAGCCGGAGCCAATGCCACGACTGCAAGTATGCTTGCCAGCACACATTGACACCTGGCCATCGATTTGCAGTGCAGGATGCGCTCATGCAACTGTTCCCTTGTCTATGCAAACCAATTCAGGCTGAGAAGCATACTGCTGTCTCAGGTGTCTGTGACTGGTGGCAATTGAGAACGGTTATGACTATCTGGTTGTACATACTTGCAGCACAGGCATACAACATAGTTGCACCATATGGATTCGGCCATTCGGCATATGGTGAATATTCGGTCGTATATTCGGTGTTTGGGCCAGAATAGGCCGCTTTTGACCGTATTCCATAAATTTTAAAACCGTATGACCGTATATTCGGCCGTATATACGGTCCCCGAAAAGTGTTCTGACCGAATGGTGCAATTATGGCATACAACCAGTCCTGGCCGTTGGCAGGCGGGCACACTGCACGGTAGTTATACTTTTTTTATATGTATATCCTACCATCTACCATCTGCAGGTGCTGGACCCACAGCTGCGGGTGTGGGCGCCGGGGCAGCACAGCAGGCGCAGGCAGGCGCTGGTGGGATATCTGGAGCCAATTCTGGCACGCAGCCTGGGGCTGCCAGTGACCCTAACACCCAGCCAGGAGTGGGGGTGGGTGCAGGCGCCGGAGCTGGTGTTGGCGCACAGGTGATGCAAGATATTGGCGCCAACTCTGCTGGATCTTCCGGCACTGCTGGGGCAGGTGAGGATGACTAATATTTGCATGGTCTGGAACGTTTAGCTGCTTGATTGTTGTTTTCGTTGCTCATATGACATAGGTTGGCCCCGGCTGTCGGGGGGCGGTATAAATACTGAGCACCATGCCCACATTTAATTGTGCTTGCTGGGATCTAGCAAGTCCAAAAATGGGTAGGATTGTGCCAGCCTTTAACTGCAGCTTGTCTGCAGGACGCACCTTGCCTTTTGGCAGGACAAGCGTGGATTAATATTAATAATAAGGATTAATGACACGAGTGCATGGTGCATCATCTGCACAGTATTGGAGCTCATCCCCTTGTTTGAAATGAGTGCATCCTGCTGGTGAAGGCAAGGTTTTGTAAGTGGTTTGAGAAACAGTCCCTTAAACACAGCAGGTTTGATTTGAGAAGATGAGCATGGGAATGTGCTGCAGGCATAGCTCCTGATCAGGCCTCCCCTGCCTCTCCGGACACAATCGCCCCAATTGGCAGCCAGGTGAAAAAGTACATCCTCACATCTGAAGGAGTCACCCCTCCTCCAACTTTCCTTAAGCTCTGGCCCTTCTAATGTAGAGGCAGAACTGATGCGCAGTTTGTTGATCTCCGGCATATGAGTGACCCTGAGTGACTGTACTGGATGTTTGTCAGGCGAGTCCAACGGACACCGCTGGGTTCTCACCAGCAGACAACCAGCTGACGGCCGATACTACTTCCAAGAGCTCTGCCCCAGGTTCTTCAATCTTCCTTCACCCCTGCTCTTCTTAGCAATGTCTCGCACTACTCTGGACAGTGGACTACTCAGGCCTCTGATGACCTCTACATACCTTGCCTTCACGAGGCCGCATGCCACTGCCATATTTAGTGGTGAAGCTGCCCGCACACATGACAGCGGTTGGAACACCAGGTGACAAATGTTTCCATGTAGGTTGTGAGATCTGAGATATTTCCAAGAGGTGCTGGTCCACAAAGAACAACATTTTAATTGTGTGCTCCGGGCTTACATGCCACAGCTAAACAGAAGCCTAGGCAGGCTTGCATCGCGGACCTGCATCAGTGCAAAGCAGATGCAAAGGGTGCATGCCTGCAGTGCAGCATGTACATGTAGTAACCACTACGTTACACATGCAGATGAGCAAATTTGCGTCATTTGTTGTGCTGTGCAGGTGACTCAGCAGGTTCTACCGTCGATGCGGCAGCTCCGGCCGACTGTTCTGATTGTGCATCACCGTCGGCCGCACCAGCCGGCAGCATGGGGGGAATCTATGAGGGGGTCCCGGCGGGGGGCCCCACCGAGCCACTGCAGCTGATCGATGACGGGGACACCGGGGGGAACTCCCCTGCGGCGGCCCCCCAGCAGAGTGCTGACATGGCAGAGCTGACGTACCGCGTCCTTGTGCTCGGCCTGCGTGAGTATTCTTTCTCTGGTATTAATGGAGAATTTGTGACTTTGTGGATTTTTCCCATCAGGACAAAAGGGTGAAAGAGGAAGCTGCCAAGGAACAGCATGCGTGGAGAGAGTTCTTCTGACTGGACACAAGATTTTTGCATGCAGAGATGCAAGAAACATGGCTTAATACTGAGCTTCATAGCGCAGGCTGCGCAGCAATGTCAACACAACGATGACATCACTGTGGTTGCATGCCATCAGAGATGCATGAGGGATGGGTGCATGTGCAGGGCCTGGTGATAAAGATCCATCTGCGAGCGGCTGAGGGAGAAACGTCATGCAAGAAATGAGCCCAGATCCAGCACGCGACATAACATATCTGCTATTCATTCTGAGGAGTGGGCACCTGTGTGAATGCCTGTTCCCAAGATGATCTACTAGGTTGTTCTTGATCTACACACTTTTATCAGACTGCTATATTATCAGGTGAAACCCCAGTCAGTGAGTGCAAACAGTTAAGGCACAGAGATTTGAAAAGATCCTCTGTGCAATGTACATGTCCGGATTTATTATTACAACAGAACGGTCCAAATATATAAGTAACTTATCAGAGAATTTCTGAAAACAGCTGATGCGGACCCTCTTGGCAATCAATGTAAAGGGGCTTGCAGCCCCGCAGCACCTCTATCAAGCAACAACTGTGCTCATGTCACACCAAAAGATCCAGTCATAGACGTGTTCTAAAAAGCTAAGTAGCAGTTTGCAACATGCTTGAGACCAAGCTGTAAGCAGAATGTCCCTTTTGTCCCAACTCTTTGAGCTTCCACATTGCTCTTTTTGTCCATGTCCTTTTCCAAGTCTGAACCTGTGTACCCCGGCCCAATGACTCACATGCAATGCAGATTATGAAAAGGTTGTCTGCCTCTTTTCGAGAGGCGGTCCGGTCATCCCTACAGAGGAGTCACTGGTGAGGCCTCTGCTGCGTCGGCCGCGGCGCTTGAGGCGGCATGCAGTCGGGAGCGCGGCGGCCGCACGATCTCGCGGATCAGCCGTGCCGGCGAGTTAAGGCCCGGCAGCGCGCTGAACTTCTCCTTGTACAGCTTGTCCTGCGCCGGCAGCCACGAAAAATTCATTTCTTGACTCCAAGCTTCCAAAATTGACCAAAATGGCATTGAGCATGGCAGTCTGGTCTCTATCGCTCCCAGATGTCAGCTCAAAAAATCATATGGACAAGGTGTCCATGCTGATGGAACCTGCCTGATCTCCATAAATGAAATTAGCAGCTGTGTAATGCCTTAAACAGCAGGGGCTGGCAATGAGTGTGAAGTGCTTGAGAAGCAAGAGAGGGGTGCGCACAAATTCAGTGCTGGTGATCTGCTCTGCCGTCTCCACCAGCTCGCGCACGCCCTCCACCATCGCGCACAGCCCCTCAACCTGCAGCAAACAATACAACATTGTTACCATTTGACAGCATGATGTACGCATGTCCCAGTAGGTGCTAAAGTTCTCACAGGCACCCACTTTCAGAGTAGGGATCAGAGTGTGTGCTTCTCGGCAGCAGTGTCAAGGATGGGAGGGATACAGATCCAGGAGAGGGATCAGTGTGCGCAGCAAGAATGTGATGACAAGCGTGAGTGCAGGGAATTTGCCTGCATGGTGAGGGTGCGGTGGGTGTCCGCCTGGGCCTGCTGCAAGACGCCCACCGCCACCGCCACAGGCTCTGCAAAGCACCATCAAAGTCCCTCAGAGCCACACATGATACTCAGCTCATTCAGGACTCTACTGCATCACCTCTGGGTGCCAGCCACACGATAGCAATGTGACGCAGGAAGGTGCATGAAGGGGTATGCATGCTATATCGTTGTCAAGTAGAGGGGGTGTTGCAACTGGGTCGTATAAATGAGTGGTTCTGTACTCAAAACAAGTGCAGCAGAAAGGGGATCAGCAGCAAAACCTACTGTGTGTGCCTGCACAAGCTGGACAGCAAACTTGCAAATAAGGCTGCAAATGACACAACAATGAGCTACAAGCTGAAAAGTATGCGTGGACGTGCACCCGTCTGCTCTGCCGGTGCCTCGCCGGAGCCGGCTCCCTTCTGGCCTGAGGGAAGCTCCCCATCTGCAGCAGCTGCAGCCTCCGCAGCGACAGCATCTCCCTCAGCTTCAGCTGCGGCTGCGGCTGCCTCGGCAGGAGTGGCTGCTTCGTCACCGTCTGCCGCCGCGTTGCTGTCCTCTGTGGTGCCTCCCTGCAGCAGCTCGTTCCACTCCGCCTCTTCCTGCAGAAACATCAACAGAAGTGTCGCTGCACGCACTTCAACAGATTGCATGCTGCGCTGGTGCTCAAAGAGCCTCAGTGCCCCTCACAAAGGTACAGCATCATGTTATTCTAGCTTCATAGAACTTCTCCTGTTGCAAGGGCTTAGTTGGAGAAAACCATTTTCTCTGACATGATGTCACGTTGATGCCACAAAGGAGGCAACAGCAGGCACAGAAACATATTGTCGTAGCAATATTGACATTGTGCACGAACCTTCTGGAAACGCTCCAAGCGAGCGGTGAGGACGGTCTTCTGGGTCTCCAGCTCAGCGCGGAGCTTCTGTTGGCGCTCGATGCCGGCAGCGGCGGCCGAGGCATCGTCGCCGCACTGCAGCGTTCCGTTGCCCAGAGATACCCTGATGTCATCCATGAATGTGGCCAGCGCCTTCTGCAGCAACTCCACCCCTGGCTGGCCCTTCGCCCTCCTGATCTCATCCTGCAAGAGTAATGCCTCACAATCAGTTCCAGAATATCAGCGATGTGGTTCAGCATGGATGTATTTCAAGGGAAGGTCTGCGGTATGCTGTCACTATTGCTTGCAATTCAGAGAACACTCAAAAAACAACCAGATCTGTCAGACATTTGAGCAGCATCCACAAACGTCAATTCTGCTGGATGCTTGATGGAGGCGTGTTGCATTATTAACTGCACACCTATACAGCTGCCTTGAGACTTCACAACAACATTCAACAGATCATGTGCCTGACAACAGGCACGAATTTACCTGGACCAATATCTCGCACAGGGCGAGCAGCCGATCGTTCTCGCTGGAGCACTCTGCGGGCAGGGATGCCAGCGCAGCATGGGCCGCTTCCACCACATCAACTGCAGGCGGCGGCTGCACAACTGCTACTGCTACTGCTGCAGCTGCTGCACCATCCCCCATCACTTGTGCGCTGCCCAGGTCCCCCTGATCTGATACCTCCCCCTCCCGGCCTGCCCCCTGCACCCCCAATGTAAGCCAGGTGACATGCATATTATATTATATTATATTACCATGTCACGCTTATCCTACCAGAGGCAAGGTCCGTCTGCAGACATGCTGCAGGTTAAGGCTGCTACATATCCTACCCATTAATGGACTCGCCAGATCCATGCAAGACCCAATCAACCGCGGGCACGGTGCTCAAGATTTATACCGCCCCCACCAATTGCGGCCTGACAGAGACCACCTTGAAAAGAGGACCTCAATCAATATCAGCGGTGCAAGGTCTTTGATTGGCAAGCATAACGTGCAGCTGAGGGGAACTGTGAGGGGCGTCTGTGGGCAGCATACATCGGGGGCAGGTCCTTTGGGGCCCGGTTGCACAGAGTCCTCCTCCAGCATCTGCCCTTCCTCGGGCTTCTGCTGGGTCTTGGCCTTCTTTGCGCTGGCTGGAACGTTGGCGCTCTCACCAAGCGGCACCCGCCGCTTACGCTTGAACAGGAAGCCATCCACCTCCACAACCTCATGGGCTGCAGGTGCATGGTGGAACTGTCAGCGCATTGGCTTGCAATAAGTGAGGCATTCAGTGTGTTGATCAAAGCAAGCATGTGTCAAGGCAAGGTTGTGGTGTGGGGTGTGACAGCTCACCTTTGGTGACTCTCCGGACCACTTCCTGGGGTGGGTGCTCCTGCCATATTTCAAGATGTTAGCCTCTGGTTCGCTGGAAGTGTCCAAGGAGTGGGTGTCATTAGTCCACTAGACTGTCTTGGGACAGGTGACATTTTTCCGACTGATGCCTACAGTCAGTTGGAAATGGTGATACCGCACCTCGTTCTCAGTGACACTCAGCTTTAATCTCACAGCTGGTGATTTTCTTGCGTGTTTTCCTTCTATATGGTCGTGGTCTTGTCCAGCCATCCTACAGGAACACATGTTGATTTAAGTCGTGAAATTGCCGGACAGAAGTCCTTCAATTGAACTCAGATACAAAATGCTTACTCTGCCATGACAGTCGTGGATGTTTCGTTTCAAATGTGCAGTAATAGCTCCCTTCGGTACCTCAATGGTTGTGTTGTTGTTGGAATGAACGTTTCGATTGAACTTAAGAGTCTCTGAGCCGGTTCGAAGAGCAACAGCGCAAAACACAGCCGACAAGTTGGTGATGTGCTTGATTTTCCTGTGAGAGGTACAAAGCTGCAGTCAAACCCATGCCTTGCACTAATATTCCCGAGCTTTGCTTGACAGAAAATTTGTTTGTTTGCCACGGGACAGTCGCAGGGCTCGAAAGCGCGGAAAATTTTGCATGTAGGGTTGCAGTGAAGTCAGGGTTTTGAATGTGAGGGCTTTGGGGAGGTTAGACATCTTCAAGTCGACAACGGAAGCTGCCATTGCCCCAAGGCCAGATTGATCTTACTTCATTCCTTGTCCAGGTCAAGCATCAATCGGGCTCGCCTCTAGGTGTCTCCATGCTGCTGTGTGCCAAGTGCTCGCGGTGGCAGACGCGAATTGTCACGTAGCCAACCTTGAAGCCCTCGCAGGCGCGGGCCGTTTCCTTTTCTTCCTCTTTGTGGAAATTCTTAGGGCATCCGATGTACTGCACAGTACATTTCTGTCCTCGGCTTCAATCACTATGACTTGCACGCTTATATTGAAGGATGCCTGAAAATCACCTATTGGTTGAGACGAAGGGGCAAGGAAGGATTGTGAGTTTCGGTGACGTTATAAGCGAGGCAGTGCTAGCAAGGAAGGATCGTGCGTGATATAAGGAGCGTTTCTTTAGCATCAGATCCGTCTCTGAAGCGTGGAGTACGATGCTGCACAGATGAGGACAGTACATGCCGGAGTGCTGTTCATCTACTGTCAAAGTCTGCTTTGGAATCTTGCCGCTCCCCAGATCTGCTTGGCTCAGGTATGTCGCGATGCCAAGTGTGTCCAGTCCTCATAGTACCTTGCAGGGACCCCATGGTAGTTCACTTTTATCTAGTTCCCTGCCTTAGAATGCTTCCCTGCTAAGCAGCATTTCAGTGTAGCTTGATGTAGAAAGACACGGATGCAAGCCTGACATGTTTTGCTCACCTGTGCAGGGAGCACCAGGGACACAAGTGCAAGGTAAAGAGCCACAACACCACCCGCAGAAGCTGTCTCCCGCACAAACAAGCAACCAGTGTGCGCATCCTTTGAATGGTGCCTGACGCAGATAACAGCGCTCTACTCATTGCATGTTGCAGGCAGCAGCGAGTTGGCAGAAGCCCCATTCCCTAGAGCATCCCCAGCGCTGACTGAGAGATTTGCAGCCCTGCCCCTTGTGCCTGCTCCTGCACCTGCCCCAGCACATTCACTGGGGCCCAAGCTGGCAGCTTCAAGCGTCCGCAGCAGTGGCTCAATAACGAATCTGGCAGACACAACAGACAGCGCCACACCAATTCGAAGCATGCCAGGGGCTCCTCAGCAGGTGTTTTCTCAGCTCGCAGCATCGCAATGCAAGAGCATGCATGTCCTTGCAGCGTTGCAAGGCAAGAGCTCACAGTGGTTCTTAACAGCGTTGCAACAACAGCTGTACATTGAGGTCCAGAAGCATTGCAAGTCAACAGCTGCACAATTAAGAGTTGAAGGGCCTGCAGCAGTCCTTTAAATGATACAGGCCGGCTATATGATGGAAGTGCTCAAGCTGCCTCTAACCACAGCACTTGGAAGCTCATGATATGCATGCATCTAGCACAGCAGCAGGACAGTACTCAAGTCAGTGTTTGCATGCTCTGTGCAGGCAAATGCAGGCCTAGACACCACAACGCCCAGCGCAGGAACGGGCCAGTCAGGGCTGCTGGCTCTGGACGGGACAGGGTCTGGGGGCGGGGTGTATTCAGGGGGCGATAGCATATCAGGGCAGGGGGCATCCCCTGTGGGTGGCGGCAGCTCAGCGGGCGTAGGAGACGTCTCGGGTTCAACTTCGTTTGGGAATCCTGGCGGACTGGTCTTTGACGGCGCCGGCAACATTGTGTCTGGCGTGCAGTCTGCCTTTGGAGACGTGCCATCCACATACACTGGCCGACAGGTGATACACATCTAGCCACAGTTGACTGCGTGTATGCAAGGTGTTTAATTGTGCTTCTGGGTGGGACGTGTCTTGCATATTGCACGCATTGCATGTAAAATAGCCCTTTCTTCTTACACGGCGCTCACATTCGTGTATGCTATAATGGTATTTTGATTTGCATGGTCTGCTCATACAGTTGAAATTGATATCAAGCTGCGAGCTCTTTCAGACCATGTCATTATGCCTTGAGCATTGCAATTTCCTCTCTTCCTGAGCCGACACTGCGGTTGCATGATGCTCTGCATTGATGTCAATTTTCAGGCAGGAAATGCACAGAGACAGTGTTGATGTATGTGGTTGCTGCTGCAGGAGTGGCCTGAGCTGGTGAGCACTAATGCACTGGTGGCGAAAGCAAAGCTCCAGGGAGAGACGGGCCTGAATGTGCTCCTTGTGCCTAAGGGCAGCGTAGTCACCACTGACTACAGAGCTGATCGGATACGAATCTACTTCGACCCTGCCACATACCTGGTGGTGCAGCCACGGCCGTCTGTTGGATGACATGACTCAGCAGAGTACTGTAGACTGCTTCCCTTATTGCTTGTATTGATCCGACTGATGTTGCACGGTTCAGATGCACTTACAGCTTGCAATGGTTGATAGTACTGCGCAATTCTAGGGTATTTTAGCAAGTAGCAGAGCTTTAAGCTAGCTGGAGTGCGTCGTATAATTGGAGTTCCTCAATGCACAGATCTGGATTGGGTGTCTGCTTACGGGTGCCAAAGTTGATCAATGCATGAGCAGACTCAAGAGATGACAATCAGTGAAATTCAGCGTTTAGGTGACAACAAAATAGACATGTATCATACACTTGAGGACCTACTGCAGATATGGTAGGGCCATGTAACAATAGTAGCTCACACAACTCTCCGATGAAACCAGAGCCTCAATACACAGGTCATACAGTGCTGGCCTTGAACTCACCAGCTTAATTGGCGCGCCTCAATTTAAACTTAAGCACATGACAACCCTTGAACAACTCATCGGATGACAACGACAGATGGACGGGCAGATGACTAATCAGCTGACTCATGAAGTGCCACTTACGCACAATGGGTACCGACAGGTGGACTCACGAGGGCCCTTTTCTTGCCGCGCGCATTTTGGACGCTGCTTGCCGGCTGCAGCGACTGTTGCCGGGACACTAGCGCGGCGGCCGCTTGGTCGATAAAGCCCGGGTCGCGGCGCGCCAGGCTGTCATAGATCAGCACCGATGCGAGCGCATCCAACGCGGCGTACGTCAGCTGCCGCTCCGACAGCGGCCGCCGATTCCACCTATTGAGACACCAATCATCTTCTCGTCACACACAGTAAAAGTCCAGAAGCACAAAGAACCCGGTGTTTGCTTTTGCGGGGCATGCAGGGCTTTTTCCCTGTCAATAAGTGCTTAAACCCTTTTCTTGCAAAGGGTATAGGCAGGGATTCTGGAGCACCACGAATTTTCTGCAGGCATAAGCATGCAGCCCCCACAGAAATCAATGCAAGACATGCTGTAGGTACAACAATGCATAGCCTCCTCGTGCCTTGCGGGACATCAGCCGTTACGCCCCGCATGTTCCTTGATAATGGCATGCAGCGGGCATCGCGTATGATGTGCTGCAGTGGCTGGGAGAGAGGCTTGAGGGTTACCGGCTCATCTGCATGGATTTGTCAAGCGGTCTGCCCAAGCATGCCTCCGCCATGGCAGACAGGCCAGGGCCATGCTTCTTCTGCACTGCCTGCATGCCCTGGTCAGGCCACCAGACAAGATCCGTTCACAGCGCTTCCCCTTACATGTATTCATGCAGACACAGCAAAATAACTGCAAGCCATGTTAAATTAAGATTGAGCTGCACGATGGGCAGTGGACAGCCACCAGTTGAGCAGCCTCGCTCTGTGAGAAGGCGCTGCCAAGCTCCAGAAGGCCTCTACAATTCGTGAAAGCCTGCGACAGAACCACAGCAGTCCACTTTACTGGCCGAACATTAGATGCAAACAGCGGGGACCAACCCTGTTCTTTCCTCAGACGATGTGAGGACAACATCTGAGACGCTGAACACACTTTTCAGTGTTCCACAGAACTGATGCAAAGCCAATGTTCACTGGAAGAGAAATTGCCATGACTGCGCAAGATGAACATATTTGACAAACGTGTTGCTGGACGCACCTAAATGTTAGATTTCTCAGAACTGGAAAACGCTTAGGTGTAATAAAAGAAATTTGTCGTTGCAATTCAATTGGCCCCGGCTGGCGGGGGGCGGTGAAAATACTGAGCACTATGCCCACGGGTGATTGGGTCTTGCTTGCATCTGGCAAGTCTAACCAGGGGTAGGATTGTGGCAAATCTTTAGCTGTCTCTTATACCTTTAGATTTCACCTTTAACTGCAGCTTGTCTGCAGGACGCACCTTGCCTCTTGGCGTGATAGAAATATTAAAATTTCAACTGCCAATCAACCATATCCATATCAGATGTCCAGCATTACCTGGATGGCTGGGAAGCTTCTCGCCAGCTGTCCGATGTCCTCCACGACGCCGACGCCGGCCTTGATGACATCATTGCTGCACAGGAGCATTGTCAAAAGTGCGTCCAGCTGCGCTACTTGATGCAGCGCTGCCATATCCAGCACCACCACATGCCGCCTCGATGCAATCTGCAACAACAGAATGCCCTTGATTCAGTACGAACGAGGAGTCTGCAAGTATTCAAGCTCAGAATGTTAGTGAGCACATGTAACAGGATTCCCTCAAGCTACTGGCATTTGCCAAGAATCTAGTGAACCCCCAGATGCAGCACACTGGTTGACACAACAAAGCGCCCACCGAGAGGCCATATTTGAATCCAGGGATTTTTGGGCGGCATGACCGGCTCACAGACCCACAAGTTGTAAGATCATCAAGAGCAAGCCAGCGCTGCTGCATTGTGGATAGTACAAGAGAGATTACACCAATATCTCTGTAAAAGCTGCAAAATCAGCAGATTGATTCTGTACACGTCCTGTGAAGAAGAGTAAGTCCTCAAAGGGACTCTGAAGGCCCCCAATAATGCACTTTTGAGTGGATCGCATTTTATCGCATTGTACTGGCCAGAAATAAAGTGCTATAAAATGCTCGCATTCTATTTAAATCTCGCATCAATCGCATTATCGCATGCGGTGACCCTGGTTCAAAGTGGACCATGGCTTTGCTCCCGAGAACGTCACGCGGCAGTTGATGCTGCACATCATGTGAGGGGCAAAGAGGGCAACAAGACCACCATAATGGAGCGCTATGCAGGATACTTGGACTGGGAGGGAGCCTGCAAAGCTGAAGACAGTTTTGCAATTGCAAATGACTTATATTCAATGCAGAATGGTCTGAGTCACCTGCAGCAGGCTGACTGGCGGGTGGCGGTCGGAGCCGCGGCGACTCTCGGTGCACGGTTCCCACTCGCAATCCAATCCCAGCACGGCAGCTTCCTCCAGTAGGGAAGCTGCCTGAGCGAGGCCTGCCGCGCTGTCCACGAAATGCACGGCGTCCGGCGGCAGCGGAAGCTGCAGGTAGGTGGCCGACCTGGCCGCCAGCACATTCTAATCAGATACTGTAGTGCTCACTCTAAAACCCACACCCCCGGCGGTGCGGGAAACTTTTCAAAGCAACTTTTAGGGGTCGTCCTGACTTCAAAAATACCAGGGCCATGCTCCATTGGATTGGGCTTGTCGAGAGCCTTCCGAACCTGGTCTCAAAGTTATCATAGAATTTAGCATTTTCAGTAATCACGTTTTCTTCATGTTTCTCTGAGCGTGAGTCAGCAAGCAGGCCACTTGCAGGAGTCCACCCGACCTGGTCGCCTCGTCAGCCGCCAGGTCAGCAGGGTCCACTTGTAGCACCGCAGGGTCCAGGCCGAAATTGACCACTGCATACTCTCGCGCCAGAGAAGGTTCGCCCATCAACACCATGTCCCTGAGCAGCCGCTCCTGCACCCCAGAAAGAAGTTACTCCATTAAAAACTCTCAACTTAGCATTTGAATACAAGGTAAACTGTCGCTCCAGGAGGAAAGCAGAGCTTTGAAAATCCTTCTACTGATTTCGTATATGCCCAACACGTAATCACGCCTGAAGGCAATGCAACTGTATAGAGCTTCTTTCACATTAAAGCTCAGGGGGGAAAGGAAATGACAAAAATGCTCCCAGAAAGCCCACGTGGCAGCACATGAACAGCTGTGCGACAGCTCTGCTATTGCAGCATGCATGAAGAGAGCTTGCCTGTAGTTGGCGGTCGTCCTTCACATAATGGCAGGCCTGTGCCCACAGCTGCTTCTTAGAGAGGCTGGCCAGGGTGTCCTCCCTCTGCATCCGCTCCAAGTCAGGGAACTCTGCCTCCAGGCCCAGCGCCTTGGCAGCCTGGAGAGCATTCTTCAACTTGCCCCGCTCTATGCAGTGCTTCACCAGTGCCACCTGCACCCCAGCCATAGTCCCCAATTCATCAGTGCTGCAGGGAATAATCACACAAGCACAAAACCCCTTTGTCATCCTGGCGAGGCGAGGTGCGCAATTAGAAGCTTGCAGCTGTGTGGGTACAGAGTACAGAGTGCAGAGAGCAGGGTGCACAACAAAAGTCTCCGAATCTCCCTCTCTGTTGCCCTGCATCCTGGTTCTGCAGCTATTTGGGGGTCTCCAAAAGGTACAAGCAGGCTTGCATGCAAGAATCAAGGCAAAGCGATTAGCAGGTCATGTTCTGAGTGGAAGATGGTGCCTTTGCTGAGGGAACACAGATGAGGAGGAGGACAGGACATCAGGCACAGGATGCAGAGTGTTTGATACACTCTCAGAAATGTCATGCTGCTCTCCATATTGTAGCAGCCAAAAGAAATTACTTGGAGCTCATATTTGCAGCACTGGGCCCAGTCTTTGGCCAGGGACAGCTGCCCAGCATCCACCAGCTTCTCCATGACTTCCTTGGTCTGAAAATATGTCGAGGCGAGGCTCCTGAACTGCATTGCTGTGACCATGGCCGGCGACATGGTCTTGGTCGTTTCCAACAGTGCGAAAATGCGCCTCGCAAGCTCTGCCTCAAAATTTTCAAAAGTTGCAAAGCTGGGCGCTGCTTGTAAGTCTCCAATGGCCTGTGTTGCCTCCCACAAGCTGTTCTCGCTGAAATCCAAACCCTGCCAGACACACCACACAATCATAGACTGCACCTGCCGTGGGGATTTGATATGCAGGAGAATGCTGCTTACCATGTTCATCTTCCCTATGTGTTCCTCGGCGGTCTTCTTCAGAATTTGAACGAAGTTTGGAGCTGAAGAACTTGCCAGGTCATCAGTAGTCATGACAGGGATGAGTACAAAGGTTAGAGGTGGTCATTGCAGCTTGCCTGCGCCAGTTTGACAGCCAGTCTCGCGTTCTCTGGGTTGAGCAACTTCCAGTAGAGCGCCGCAGCTGTGTAAAGCACTGTCTGTGGGACCGGCTCGGCCTTTCGAGCCAGTTCTTGCAGGCAGTCTAGCATGGCATGCGCAACTGGAATCGCCGGGGATTCATCCTCGCTCTCTGTGATGTGCGAGACGCATGCGCAGATGAAAGACATTGCCTCAGATGGCACCACCTGCTTGGCACAGATTTCCTCAGGCAGAGCAAATGTCCTGCATGCCATTGCTTGTGTTCTCCCTTTCTAACGATGTGATCAGGCACATGTAGAGCTGAGATAGATGTGCCTGCGACATTTCAACCTAGCCTGGAAGTTGCACTGGGATGTGGCAAAATGGAAGCAAAAATTGGAGCATGCACCTGGCTCAAGCAGTGGTCCAAGAACTTCCTCATCTGCCCGCCGGCCCCATTTGTCTGCTGAAAATGCTCGCCCGCTGCCTTCACAAACTCGCTGATGTTTTCTTTTGCCACATGCGCTCTTGCCTCAGCCCAGTCGCTGGCCCTCAGGGCAGCCACTCCCCCAGTGGCAATCGCTGGAAATACCTTTTGCAGGTCATTAGAGATGACGATCTGGCATGCCTGCTTCAGATGGCCCCCAGCCACGCACAAACTCACCAGTGCTACCTGCAAGAAGATTTCGCAGATGTAATCAATCAGATTGCCTCCTTCACCAATCAAGAGTCTAAGGCATGGAAAGCTGAAATACAAGTCGAAGGCCCAGGGCATCATGCAGCAGCTTGAGCAGTGATGCAGCCTTGCAGGTGGGCAGTTAAGATCAACAATGCAGCAATCATGGCATGGCAAGCGAAGTAGTGCATGCATGAGAGCATGAGTTTGCAGCATAAAATCAACCTGCATGTCACGGCCTGATTGGGCAGCCCACTGCATTGCCAGCTGAATCTGGCCGGCTGCCACCAGCTTCTCCAAAACCTCCTTTGTCTGGAAGTACTCGGCGCCCAGTTCCCCAAACTGCTCAGCCATCGACAGGGCAGGCTTCATGCTCTTGCTGCTGTCTAGCAGGGCCAGCAGGCGCCTGGCCAACTCCCTCTGAAACTCCTTGTAGGTTGCAAATTTGGGCGAGGCTGGCACAGCAATTTCAGATGCTTGTGAGGCCTCCCAGAGGCTTTGCTCTGTGAATTGAAATCCCTGGTGGCATGCATGACAATCCCTTAGAGGCATGCACAGTGCACTCCCGACAAGCAGCTCTGCATTGTGACAAAACTTCAGAGATTGAGCAGTAGGCACTTGGTAGCTTGCCTGTGCGAGCTTTACAGCCAGTCTGGAGTGAGCAGGATCAAGCAGCTGCCAGAACAGGGCTACAGCGCTGGAGAGCGCTTGCTGTGTCAGCGCTGTCTGTAGACCGACGTTTGCAGGGATGCAGTCTAGAAGAGCATGTGCGAGTGTGTTTGCGTCAGGCTGGTGCTCAATGTCTGGGCGGATTTGCTCCACACAGTCACAGACAAAGGACAGAGTCCGTGTTTGATCCTCCTGTTCCACCCCATCACATCCTTATTTAGGAGCAAGTGATGGCGGAAGGGACCTTCTTGTAAGCATGCATGCAGCTTTCGCACCTGTTGAAGGCATTTGTAGAGACGATTGACCAGACCTTCACCTCCACGACCGCCCGTGCTCTTTAAATATTGAAAGACTCCCTTCACGAATTGATCCGCATCTCTCTGTGAAGCGAACTGCTCATTTCTAGCCCACAGAATTGCTGGATCTAGCGACAAATCTACACTGGTCATGTCAAGGTTTGCATGTGTGATTTCTTCAAGTCTCACTTTGCACGCAACGTGGCCAGCAGCGCGTCCAAAACGCAGGGCTTGCTTTTGCCTGCTATTCAAGATCACTTCGAAACCAAGCAGCGCAGATAAGGAGGATGAAGAAGGCTTTCGATCAACAATTGGTCTTAATGACCGGTTCAGTATTAGCCTGAACATATATACTGCCTGCACAAATTATATCCTGTTCGACTTTCATTCTCTTCGGATGTAGGCACTTGGGGGAAGTTGCTATGGTGATCGGTGAGTCATCGTTTGAGATAAGATTTGGCTGCTGATCTTGTGCTCTGAATTGCTACTTTACTCAATTTGTGAGTTTATTCCTTGGTGTTCAATACATTTTGCAGCCATGTTAGTGGCAGGCAAGCAGCTCGTGAGCCTGCAATCTTACAGCGCGTCAACTTCTTGTTCTAGTTCGCATCGGTGCCCGCTCGTTTGCAGAGCTGGAATCTTGCATCAGAGCCAGCGATCTTTCTTAGGAACAAAAAGCGTAACACCACAGCGTGTACAGATCCCCTTGCGACGCAATGGACCAGCTCCATTGCAGTCTACAGCAACACTAGACAACTACGTTGCAGATGTTCCAGTCCCTGGCCAGACGGTGTGGTTTTCCACTCTGTATTTGACGTGTTCCAAGAAGTGATATTTCAGATATTATCAAGGAAATTATTTTTATATCTGTTTATATCTTTTGCAGAGGAGATGTCGCTACACCATTGACAATAAACCTGAGTCGACCTATTTCCTGAATGTGTGCTGGCCACCTGCAGTCGAAGTGGTACGCGCTGGTGGCGAATGCAGAGTTTATGCTGCACGACGTCCAGAACGAGGCTTTTGCAGAGCAGCTGCGCGAGAGGGTGCGCCTCTTCGGGGAGAAGGAGAGGAAACAGGACTTCTTCCTGGTCTGCGAGCCCACATGGCTTGACAAACAGTTCCCGCAGGAGGCCAAGCGAGTAGGCAGGCCTTGCGTCGCCCTGGTCTCCACAGACAAGATCTGGATCACGTGAGCGCCCCTCCATGTATTCCAATCTTAATTTTCTTGCCTGACATTCTTTGCTACACGTGGGCACTTGCATGAATGACATGTCGTTCAGTACATGGTGAAGTGATTCTGGTCTGTAGTCGGCTGCATGCAGACCACACTCATATGTGAGAAAGTGAGTCATGGACAGCCATGCGCCACTAAGCTTCTGTTATGCGTCCATGTTTCAATCTCAAAATGATTTCACATCGGGGCGCAGGTTCATGAAGCTGCGGCTGGATCGGGTCATGAAGCTAGATTTGGGGGAGCTGACGCCAGAACAGGCGCTAGACGCTGGCGCACCGTACCCAGAGTTCCCTCCTCTGGACCGCACCAAGTGGACCGCCCCCTACTCCCCCTACAAGCCCGGCTGGTGGAACGCCTTCGAGCCAGCTGTCTTCTTCAACAACTGCCAGTAATTCTCCTGTGGAGTGCATGCATCTGCAGCAAGCCATCGCAACACCCAAGCCATCGCAAAGGCCTGCAGGATCTGAATTAATTGAAGCCGGACTCCAAAGGCTACCTCAGGAGCTGCTTGGGGATGCCATGCTTCTTATTGGAAAGCTCAGTGTAGTTTCGGGTCAGTAAGGGAGTTTTGTGCCACTGCGCCTGTCAATGTCATAGGTGGACAGCAGGGGTTTGGATGCGAATACTGGAAAGAAGATGTTCCTGCATTGCATCTGTTCAAGTGCAGCCTGCAAAAGAGCAGAACAATATATGAATGACATGAAAGTGCACAGCAGCCAGGTCATCGATGCAGGCATTCTAGAAACAAATTTGTCTTTTTGCAGAACATGGGTTGCAGCAGTACCAAAGGCCTCCCATGAAGAGTTGTGCCTGCCCGCAAATAAGGCACATCAGTACCATGTAGCACAAGCAAAGTCTTTTGGACGCCAGCCAGTGAATGGCCGGACGGCCAATATTGGGACCTTGCAGGAGGAATCTCTCCCAGAGAATTAGGGATCGCATGAGCATCCTCATGAGGATGGGGGGCGTTTTCCCTGATCAGGGAAAACGTTTGGCCTTACAATATGACAAGGTTTTCATGCGATGGCGTTTATGATAGCAAAATTTGAAGCATGTGCCACACAATGCAAAGGCCATTATGATACACACTTGATTAGTGGGTAATTTACAGGAGTTTTGGTACCACATAATCACTGCGTTCCTGTCAGTCTTAAATACGTCCAGCCTTGATGTAATTTCCCTCATGCTGTTGCGAGGAAGAGCAAATGCAGACATGCGCCATAAACCACGACACATTCAAAAATGACCCTCCAGAGGATCTATGTGCCTTCAAACAGCCTGAAAGCTTGGCTGCCTTGCAAGATTAATTGCCCCATGTACATCGATGATATCATGATAGCCTGCCACCACCACAGGCGCATGCCAAAAATGAAGAACTAATTCAAAAACGAAATGTGCAGCATCTGCTGCAGGCTTGTCTATTCTTGAAAGGAGCCAGCTCCTCCTGAACCGTTTCTTCCTGAGCTGTTCGATCAATTTTTATTGAGCAACGCATACGTCTACCACTGCAACATGCCAACTCCAAGTCCACAAACTCAAGTCATTTGTATGTCATCAGGTTTGTTGCTTGTATGATTGCTCGACAGATCTCAGTGCTACTGACGATAGGTTCACTGCTGGCCCACCCTTGCTGCACGTCTTGAAGGCAGGCTATCACTTGGTTTGTACAGCAACCAGAATGAGAGGAATTAATCTTCCCATGCTCTCACAACTCGCAGGCGCCTAGGCTGTCGTCACACACTAGCTGCAGCCGCGGCGGCTGGTACTCTCCGTCCTGTCCCTCTACTAGTCGCTGGAATGACTCCCCTGCAATGCGCTTGGCCTTGCGGCTGACCGGCTGATCCCCCATGTACAAATCAAACACCGCATGGCACAGCGGCCGGCTGCGCATGCACACACAGGATATTAAAGAGAATGAGACTAAAAACTTGAAGAAGCCCCCGTCTATTCCTTTGGGTTCTAGCCTTGGGGCTGTACTCCTCATGTGGAGGACTTAACGCGTTAGCTAGACCACCAAGCACGCTGACAGGTGGAAAGGATATCCTTATGCCTCCAAAACAGCATCTGGCAAACCATAGCTCTCGGAAAGCAGGGAAGCCCAGGCATGGCGGCTTTGAAGGCAGGCGCCCCACTAAATGACACCGCAAATACTCTGAGCTAAACTATAAGCAATGCAACACCAAGATGTGCCGGCACAATAATGCACAGAGCACCAGGTGCATCGCAACCTTCTCAGTCAAGAATGCATGAACCCAACTCCATTGCATGATGTATGTGGAGACGGGGGCCAACCATCGCTCACCTCTGCACGGTGACAAGTTCGTGCTCATCGGCGCGGGCCGACAGCGTTCCGGCGTGGTCGCGAGTGAAAGTGAGCACCGTGCCCTTGCGCACCGAACCGGCCGCCTTGATGCTCTCCGGCAACGACTCCTCCCTGAGGCGGTGTACACAGCTACTTGAGCACTCATTCCAGCAAACGAGACGCTCAACATGAGCCTCAGATCTGCAGCAAATCATGTTAATGACACGACCTTAATGGCAGACCCATTTTTCACTGCCATTGCTGTGTTGTAAGTGGACTCGCCTCCAGGAGGAGGTCTGCGATGCAGTGCAGGTCAGATCTGACCCAGAACTCCCGCATGGTGTTCCACATTCCGATTAATGACTCCTGCTTGGAGTATTCCTTGCAGAGCTTGCCGACATACTGGGCCTTCAGGAATTGGGACCCGTTGCTTGAATAATTCAGTTACACGGACTCCTCTCTTGATACCATTTTGAGGCCAAAGCCGGCACCTGAAGCAGGTGACCATCTGCGCAAGCGCGGCGTCGTCCGGGGATCCCCCGACGACCGCGAGCCTCCTCCTCAAAATCCGCTCGTACTCGCCCGCCAATAATTTAATCGGCAGGTTGCGCGACGCGCGCACCATCAGCGCCATGTCCACGTCATCGCTGCTGCGCAGCCGCTGGAAGAATGTGGAATCTAGCGGCGCTGCTTTTTGCCTGCCCTTGTACTGCTCCGCCACCCTCGACTCCCTCGCCTGCGCGCGCGCAGAATCTTGGTGTGATCGTCAAAAGTTGCAATAAATATATACAATAGCATGACAAGAGTCAAGCAGACATCAGGAGCAATGGTAAGCTTGCCATTGGGCACTCACACATGGGCACTTTAGAGGCGAACGCCATTAGTAACATGACATAACATGAGACACTGCGGGGAGCTTACGCAGATGTCAAGTAGTGAGTGCGTTATGTTCCTGAAGTCGCAGCAAGTTCTTTCTGGCTTTCTTTCACATGTGCTATTTGCTACTGAGGCAATGCTCTGCAACAGAAAGGCACTGCACTCACCTGTTTGCCGTCCATGTACATGGCAAAGTCGTAGATCTTGACGCGCAGCAGCGAGGAGATGGCGGGGTGGCCCCACTGCCTGCTGCCAACAGTCACCAGCTCCTGCCTGCCTGACGTGGACTCTGCACCGCCGTCCATGGAGTTCGAGAGCACGGCTGGAAAGCAGTCTCGCCCATGCTGCTCCCCTTGTGCTCCTGCAGCCGGTCCTCTGCGCGGCTGCAGGAAGCTAAGAGGACCCAGGCCTGACAGTCCTTGGGGCCATTGCCTGCAGCAAGGCAAAGGATTGTTCTCAGACACCCATGGCTACGCAATCTTACGGCAAGATATGCCAATATATTGGAACCAGATAATAATATTTCAGACTCTGACAGCAGCGTGTCCCTGATAAGTTTGCCATTTGGGATGAACTAGTGCGGATTTTACTAGGCCTCAAGAAGGCGAACATTTCGTACCAGCGGTCTTGTAAATTCTGTTCAGATTCTCTGTTGAAGTGCTCTGCGGTCACCGAACCCATCACAGGCCCCGTCCTCCCTCTTCTCCTCACCTTTTCCAGGCCCCACTTTCCTGCCTTGCTGACAGCTCTGCCAGAGGAAAGAAACAGGCGCAGGGGTGCCAGAGGGCCCCTGAGTCGCCGTTTCTCTTCATAGTCACTTTCCACCTCCATATGCATTAACTAATCTGCGAGTCAAGTGTTCTTCTGTGATGACATGCCGCAGCTTCTATCTGGTTCCGAGCACTGCGAAGAAAATTTAGGTAGGAATGTCTCGGCGCGTTGTGAGTGTGATTCGACTCGTAATTCGTACTATATTCCAAGGGTGCAAAGGTATTGCTGCAACTCGGCGTGGACACGAGATTGCTTCGCAGTCGCAACAGGCATGGTGCTGACCTGGCCTCGGTCTCGGACGTCAAAGTCAAAGTCAAAGTTTCGGAGCAACACATTCACACCACCGACCATTGGATGCAGTGGTGGCCTTTCCCAGATCAGAATGTCAGATGTAGCTGCCACCCATTGCACACCGCTAGGCATCTCGTCAATTTCAATACATGCAAACGTGCTGAAGTTTTACAGAAGACATGATTGGTGAACTCTGTGTGTCGCTAGTGTCCAAGGGAGCACTTTGATCGTGCCTGAACATTACAACGCATATGTTTGCATCGAATTACAATTGTCGCATTGCCCACCAGCCCGGTGGGGTCTCCAGATCGGTTTTTGGACCATTAACACAACCCTCATATGCAAAGTCACAGCGGTGTCGTTCCCAGACAGATAGTGAGGTGAATGTTTTACATATCCGCGTGGCAACCACACCAGCAGAGCTCCGAGGAGCGGCCTCGCTACGGGCTGCTGCCTTCTCGGAACATGCCATCGACAGATCTGACTTTGCCCTCCAGGTGCCTCCTACCTGTGCTGCCTTGTATGTGGCATTGGGTCCCTACATTACACGTCATCATGGGACTCATGTGGCATTTGGCCATGTCACAGGCCTTTCAATGCTGCAGCATTATTGTCAACATGCAAGAGCTGTGAAACTTTACTGCATGCTGCAGTCCTACCGGCGCATGAAGGCAGACTCTGAATGGGAGATCCTGGAGTCCAAACTGGCAGGAAAGGAGCCAGGTTACCAGGCAAGTCATCCCAGTCATGCCATGCCAGATCCTTCCAAGCCCAAATATGAAGTACCATTTTGACTATGCTTGCTGACCTGTCCGCATGTAGCACACACACATGTTATAATGCACATCGTATCATTTTTTTCAGAATGTGAGATGCAGGGGATCACGGTGACCTGTCTGGTGGCCTGCGTGGATGATGTGGAGGGTGACTCACTGGCTTCAGCTGTGCGCCAAGACATGGACTTGTCATGCAAGATCCCTGCCGGTGTAGGAGGCAGCCACCCCCAACTGGTGGTGGGCACCTTGGATATCAATCAAGGTGAGCTCTTGTCACTCTTATGTCTGACCTCTACCTTCCTATCTCACATGATGAGCTGGGCCGTGTCCTGTATTTTGCGAGGTGTGACAGTGCATTGTTCGTGAGATGCATGTCTGCATCTAACCAATTCAATCAAATTTGTGCAGGGGTGAATCTGCCGGGGGGGCACCTGATTGGCCTAGAGCCCGAAGGAGCTGTGGCCAGGATTCAGAGGGGCTACCTGTCAAACATCTGCACCCAGAAGGCTGTTCGACGCACTGTGAGTGACCTCCCGTTGCGCCTCGTTATCAAGGCCTCACTGCATCTGTTGGTGCAGCACCATTCTTGCTGCATGTGCCAATCATTGTCTGCAGTCAATCCAACAGCCTCGGCAACAAAAAAATGTGCAGAGCCCTATAATTGCTTGTTTCGGCACAGGGCGTTGCCATGAGGCTCATCAGAGCAGCAATTGATGAGGCAGCCAGCGCCGGCATAAGGTGGCTTTACGTGCATGCTGCCGAGCAGAACACAGCTGCTGTCCAGCTGTATACGCAGCAGTGTGGCTTTGAGATAGAGCAGGAAGAAGGGGCAGGCATCGCCATTCGACTGAACCGGCCTAGGCGATACCTGTTCAGGCAACGCCTGGGATGACTCATCATTAATAAGAGCAAGAGGTTTGTAGACATCAAGGCGAGCGAGCATTTTGAACCTGCTGATGTGCTCATTGTCACTATTGCAATCTAACTGAATATGTCATATGCATATTGATGCCATTATGGCATTGCCATGTCAATACAAAGAAACTTAATTTAGTGTGCAGCGATGATGTGATTTGCAAAATTGGGGCCAAGAGATCTTTATATTTCCATGTTTGCACAAAGGCATTTATGTCAGTCGGGAACAGCACGCAGAAGCAACAGAACTCTGAAGGAATTGTCTACTTTCATACTATACATTTCGACTGTGAGTACCGCTGATCAGAGCAGCATTGGACTGCATGGCTTTTATTTTAAAGCTGAGTCACACCGGAAAATTTCATTGCAGTTCAAAATCTTCCAGATTGAATGATCGTTTGACGGCCTCCTTCCAGCATCTGAACCGCTGTTGTATCTTCTCAGGATCAGCCTGCATAGCCCAGACTAAATGAATCAAACCATGCAGCAACAATCCAGCAACCAGCAATGCTCCAGACCCCATATGACAAGCTGTCATTGACAAAGCATGCTGCCCTACAGACAACGCAACGCACTCCCAAACGGACTGCCACCAAAGCATGCCACAAGCGAGAGATTATGCTTGATTCCACACCCTAAATATACAGGCCATTCTCACATGAAAAGGCTTGCGGTTTAAAGCTGGAGTATAGAAGGCAGTATGGAGGAGGAGGAGGCACCTTGGGATGAAATTCCTGGGAGTTACGGGAATGGGAATCGTCATTGTGGAGCACCCACTCCTTGCTCCAGAAGCCAATGCCGATGCCGGCTGCATACGCGGCCCCCATGCATGTTGTCTCCAAGTGCTGCGGCCGCCGCACAGGAATCTGCAGCAAGCGCAAAAGGTAGCGCTCACAGAATTGCCATAGCATGGGCGCCAAACACGCAATCTGAATCAGAGTTTGAGCAGACTGAAACTGCCATTCCGTCATGATAACTCGCAAGGGCTACACCGGCTACAGTTTTGGCGGCCGCATTGCCCCAATCAGAAACCAGACAAGCTGCATGGGGTGCAGGAAAGCCACATGTCTGAAATCAAGGATATGTGAAGGTCAAACGACTGGGGACGTCAAGGATAGGTGGCCAGGGAAACATGCAGCAAAACTCCGTGAGAATAGACCCTTACTTGGAAGATTTTCAATTAATTGAGCCAAAATTGAATGCAAAACGCCATGTAAGGAGAAAGGGCTGCCCCACAGGATTATATAATGCGTGCAACATCCAAGGCACCTCGCATAAATCCAGCAGCATCAGCTTTGTATGAATGGTAGTGCTCGAAGAGAGCACCTGGATGGCGTCGGCCTGAAGCTGCATGAGCACGTCGTTGCGGCTGGCGCCTCCGTCAACTCGCAGCAGGCTGAACCCCTCGCGCCCAGCATCCGCCATCATCGCGTCCAGCACCTCCTTTGTCTATTTAACCCCACATGACACACCCGTCCATATCAGTTCAAAGACAGACGTTCCACGTGGGCGTGTGATAATTTCCTGTGTCAAGAGGCTGATTCCGCCGTCCAACGATTGTTCTTCCTATTATTTGGAGACTGATTCTCCTGGCAAGCACTGCAGATTCAAATATATTCCCAATTTCGCGAAAGACAGAAAAATTAAACAAGCTATGAGCTTTACAGTGCTCTGCAGAAGCAAATGGGCTACGACGCCAGCATTGAGCAGGGGATGGCAGAGGCCTGCACAGGCATGCAGTTTTCAAGCTCGTCAAAGTGCGCAGCTGAACCCTGGAAGGTGTATCAGGGGATTTCAGCGCAGGGATAGGCACCTGCCAGGCAATGGCTTCGAGGAGGGCGCGAGTGATGTGCGCTCGCGTGGTGAAGCTCGACAGGCCCAAGATCACGCCCCGCGCATCGCTTCGCCACTGCGGCGCTAGCAGTCCCCCAAACGCCGGCACAAAGTACACCCCTGTGATCCACCCAGAAAAGACAACCACCTAAGAGTCTCTGCAGGGGTGTACTTACTGCGGCACATCTGTGACTTGAACTCGTCCCGGAGTAAAACACCCCACTGAGACTCTGACTCCACGGTTCTGTGCTGCTGCCTGAAAACACGTGTCAAATCAGCCTAAGCCTCTTTTGCCCAGTCCTCGAGGCACTGCGTGATTTCTTCCAGCAGTCATATCGCCCATGATTTTAGTGGATGCATAAGCAACAGAAACGCTAGAGCACAATCCCATCTTTCCCCCTTTCCCCTCCCAAGGTGGATTGCTGCAGTGCGCACCTCCGGTGGTGTCCACGGAGGCAGCCAGGGTGGCGGACTCTTCAGGGGAGTCGATTATGCGCAGGGAGTCCTTGAGCCAGCTCACCCCTGCGCCCGCGATGGCTATTGCTCCCTCCAGCGCATACTGTGCCGGCTCCTCAGGCCCCAGCTTGTACGCCTGCATGATGATGGTTGCCGAAAGTCAAGATAGGTGAGGCGAAGATGTAACATGTAGGATCTGATACAAGAGTACAAGAATCAGCTATGCTGGTGTGCATGAGCATGCCTGCCATCTGTGTGACTCCCAGTGAGATGTCCTGATACACATGCATTTGTGCGGCGCTCATGACAGCTCAAAGATGAGGAGCGGCTGTTGCCTGCATTCTATTGCCAGTGCCCAGAGGTTCCACTACAATTTGGCTACATCCGGGAGATAAACTCGCATGCGGCAGTCTCAAGGGGCTGCAGTGAGGAACAGGTGGGCTAGGCAGCGCACCATGGTGGTGAGGAGGCCATGGGAGGACTGGATGGGTGTGGTGCCGGTGTTGAGCAGCACGAAACAGCCGGTGCCGTAGGTGTTCTTGGCCTCCAGCGGCTTGCACCGCTGCCCCAGCATCGCCGCTTGCTGATCCCCCAAACACCCTGCACCATGCATGCACATTTGCTTACTATAGACTTGCAATCTGGCTCCTGGCACCTGCTGTCAGTGGAGGGCGCAATTGAACTTTCCAAAGAGGCCCCTACCACTGATGACACAGCAGCAGCTGCTCTTCTCCGTCACAACAGACATGCATAGAATCTCAAACGTAAAGCACCGAATTTGGACTCCTTTGAGAACGCCCCATCAACAGTTGCACGCTCAGGTGCAAGCAAGCAAGAATGGTGGGCACTGCTCATTGTTGTGTGACCTCTGAAGACTTGCAATGAGAGATGGGGGACTTCTGGAAGGGCTAAAAAGGCAGGAGAGAACCATCATGTAACACAGCCTAAATGTCACCGACCTGCGATGGGGATGCCATCCAGGGGGGTCCCCTTGACCGTCCCGTAAACCTCGGCGTTGCTGCAGATGCGCGGGAGCATGTCCTCCGAAAGCCCAAATCGCTGCAGCAGGCCCGCGTCCCAGTTCAGCGTGCAAATGTCCATCAGGAAAGTGCGCGCCGCGTTAGACACGTCCGTCACATGGATGCCACCTGTGCGATCGGCAAGTTCTTCAATACAATCCCTGCCTCCCAAATTCCTGTCATGTCCCACACTTCAGACAATCATATGCTTCACCAGGACTTTGTTTGCTTGAGCTCCAATGAAGGTTCTTAAAACTCGGCATGCAGCAATTCCCCACACAAGCAAATTGGAACAAGCAATTTCCAAAGCATGCAGCAATTTTCCAAAGAAGCAAAGTGAAAAGATCCCACACCAGACAACTGCAGCACCATTGACCACCTAAACGCATGCGTCCCATGGCACATATCCCAAAGCCTTGCACTGTCCGATAGGCTTGCATGCATGCAGGTAACGATGGCTGATGGCAATGTAATGCGCGCAATGAATCAAGGGCCACAGTAAATAATGGCCCACCGTCCACGCCGCCAGTGAGGTTGTAGATGAGCCAGGAGTCGATGGTGCCCAGCATGCAGCGGCCCTCTGCCCTGGCTTCCCGCACCTCCTCTACATTCTCATGCAGCCAGGCCCACTTGAAAGCCGAGAAGTACGTGCTCACTGGCAGGCCCGTGGTTGCCCTATAATGGTCCTGCATGCATCCACCGTGCCTGCCTCACAAGCTGCTCTGCTGTCTGGCAGAGGGCAGGCGCATCGGTGAATGCAGAATGCAGCGGATCAATGCGCACTTGACACATGGTTTGTAGGTGAAAGAAATTAGATCAGGATGAAGGCTCACGCTGGAGCCAAGCTCCTCTGTGGTGCGCTGGCAGATGCTGGCAGTCCTCCGGTCCATCCACACGATGGCATTGTGCAGCGGCTTGCCTGCACATGTGCGACTGATTTGTCATGACATCCTCGGCCATGGAGCATACATGTCTTGGGCTCTCATGAATGCAGTAAGGAAGGCAACGTAGTGAATAAAGCGCATGGAGCTCAGGCAAGGCTTGCCTGTGGTTCGGTCCCAGACAAGGGTGGTCTCCCGCTGGTTTGTTATGCCCAAAGCCACGACTTTGACAGGTCCTACTTTGCTGCGCGCAGCTTCCAAGGCCTTGTCCAGGCATTCGAGGACGGTCCGCCAGATCTCCAGCGGGTCATGCTCCACCCATCTGGATGGACATCGCATCTTCTTGGAAGGCAGGCGAATAAGCACCATCGTGACTAGGGTGTCCGGGCATTGAGAGCCAATGCCTGACAGGTTGTGAATGGCAGTGAAGACCTGAACTTCTTTTACTGTCTTACATACACAAATTCGCTGTAAGAGATGAAGCAATACAACGAAATGGTCTCGCGCACCCTGGTTTAGGAGTGATCTGAGTGAATTCAACTTGGTGGCTTGCCACGAGATTCGCTGACTGATCGTAGAGAAGGAACCGGGTGCTCTGAGTGCCTTGATCAATGGCCCCGATGCACTCCATTGCAAGCACTGTGCGCTCCTACATTAGGATGTTGAAGGACATGTCGTCTGAACGTGATCTTCTTGTGCGATTGATGGAAAGAAACCAATCCAGCTAACAGTACATCACCTTCATCGAGGATTGACTGTATTTTATTGCACAAATTTCCTGTCCCTGACACAGTTCGCAATTTGTCCTGACCAAGCACGTGCTGCCTACTCATCACTGGCCTGGTCAGCAGAGGCTGTGCAGGAACAACAGTTGGCAGGAAAGGCTGTCTTGGATCCCCAAGTTTGCAAGGGTGCAATGCGAGCGGTGCTCATGGATTGCATAACTCTGTGAGCTCCTGTGAGCTCCGGTAGGTTCAAGGCTTAGTCACGATTTGCACAGCAGGTCAATGCGCAAGCACAGGCCTCTTAGGATAACCGGTTGGTGCCACTGTACAATGGCCAGGCGTCGTGATGTGCGCCTTCAAGTTGAGATCAGACTGCAACTTTACATTCCAAGCGTTAAAATTCATTAGATGCAAGGATCCACACACATTCTGGCACAGACTCGACAACGCTCAAACACACACAGTACACATCCACCACACAATCTTAGCACAACCTCTCCAATAGTACCATATTAACTGGCCAGTGACCGTTTCCAATCATTCATGACCATACAATCTGCCCTACTGAGGCCCCTTATTCTCTCAAGACAATGATCACTCAATACACTGTCCCAAGACCTGATGCCAAAGGTACCTGCCTGCACCGTGCCTTATAAACGCATTGGTCCATCAAAGATGCTGCCCCAAACCTTCGCGACATCAGATACCTCAAATACTAAAGATTTGTTGGCACGAGCGCCTGTAACAAATGGAGAGCAAAAGCAAAGGGGGCTGCCACATTCAGCCTCACACCAGGTGTCTTGCTCAACAGCTTCCCTCACACCATCTCTTGTAAACCCAGGATGCATGACAAAGGCATGCCAGAAGAGCCCTGCTCTCCACAGGACCCCACTGCCGCCCTTGCATTGCTCCCAGGCACCATAAGGACCCATGTCTGAGTGCTTTGATTTCAAGCAAATCTGTTCGACCGTCGTCTAGTGTACAATGCATCCGCTCGACCACTCTCAGACTTTCAGAACTACCGCATCTCTCATGCCTGAAAGGACTCGCTGTTGTAATGTGTGCACACCAAAAGAATTCTGCAGCACATTCCGAACACCAATACAGCACCAGCACTCACTCTTGCTGCTGCACAGAACATCCACTCGACAACAACACCACCAGACGTTTTCAATCTGACCCCCGGACATATATAGCCACAGATCCTGCCCAAATGGACGACAACAAAGGATTGGGCACTCAACTCTTGCTCAACCGCTGCCCCATGTCCGGCTGCCTCTGGCTGAATTTCAGCCTACTTACATCTGCCCTGCAAATTGCACTGACCTTTGCAGATGCTCATGCTGCTGTGCTAACTCAGCAATACCATAAGAGGTAGCAGATGGTTCAAGTTGCCCTCTGGGAGCGGGCGGCTGCGCGGGCCTTGTTGTCAAAGATGCCTCCGCAGTCCACCGCCGGCATAAAGTCGGCCAGATTGCCGGGATTGTCGCGTGTGTTTGTGCCTGCGCCGCTGATCGCTCGCAGCGGCTCCACACCTGTTCCACATTACCATACAACATGAGCACATCTACATCCTTTCTATAAGAGACTGCAGATTGAACGCAGGGAGCTGCAGAGAGAACTCTTCATATGAGGCAACTTTAGGCGTGCACGTAATGCCGCCTTCCCCTCAGCAATCTGTCTCAGCTTCAGCATAAGAGCCAACCCAATTGAGACACTTTACGACCACGGCGCAGACCACCACACATGCTCAAGATATCAGGAGCTGTTTCTTAGAGAAAGATTAACACTAGAGGGGTAATAATCATTAGAACTGCCAAACTTTTGACGGAATACAGACACTTCAGGAATATGTGACATGCAGAGGAAGACTGCCCAAAAGACCAATGCGGAGGTGGCTCTCAACAGGTCTCTAAATTGTAATCATTATGGAAGGGGGGTCATTGTTTTGTTGTTTCATGATATAAAGAAGGCGCACCGGAGAAGGCGTTGAAGGCCTTCCAGGCGAGGCGGTCGCAGGCCTCCTCGATGGGCTTGGGCCGCTCGCCGCTCTTGAGCTCGGCCGCGTCGAGGAAGCGCTCGGTGGCGTCCTCCCACGTCAGCCGCCGCCGCTCCTCCGCGCTCATCGGGTGCGGCTCCTCCAACAGCGCCGTCCGCAGCCGCTCGCTGAACTCCTCCGGTGTGCTGCAATTAATGTCATGCCGTCAGCACCCACATGTGCTCACACCATCTGCATGAGATACCTGTCTTTGATGCAGTTCCTGCCTAATCTTAAATTGTCGTTGATTCAAATTCTCTGGCTGTGCTAAGAGCAAGCTGGGCTAACAGCATGGGTGCCAGGCAGGCCCTGTGCACAGAGAGAGGCATGAGAAGATCACTGCAGAGCCAAAGGGTGGTGTTGTGCAGCCACTCAATGATGCCAACAAAAACATGCAGGGAGCTTGCAGACCGCTGAATTAAAGCCAATTGCTGTGCAAGCACGCAGAAGATGCAGAGAAGGACGTCAAGTATCTCGAGTAAAATAATTCGAGGCACAAAAATAATTTGCAGCAGCGGCTTACCTGTAGGTGAGGCAGTTGGAGAAGCGCTTGAAGAAGGCGTTGCAGGGCAGCTCAGCAACAACCACCCACTTGCCCATGGCCAGGGCCTCAGCTGTGGTGGTGGCAACCACGTCTGATGTGGAGGGATTGACAAAAACTCGGTAGTCATGCATCGACTCGTCCAGATGGTCGCGCCCGCCATGGAACTGCAGCGGCAGCTTCTTCCGCGCAGACGCCGCCTTCAGCTGCACCACAGATTTGGAATGGCGGGTCAGGCAATACTGTCCACAAGTTCAAGCACTGTTGGGTTTGGCTAGAGTAAGCTTGCGAGGAGTGGAATTCCTGGAGTGCTTTCAAGCAGGTCCTCACATGCCATCACATTCCCAGCAGTAGTTTCCTGTCAGGCGGCTGGAACTGAGATGGCACCCACTGCTGAAACAGCATCCCTCTGGCACTGGACATTGTTGACAACATTTGATCCAAGGTGCAAGGTCTTGCTGTCTGCCGGTGCTTTCCTAAGGGCGAGTGCTATTTTGGATTTGAAATGATAAGAACAGGGGAGGCAAGGGCGGGCACCTCTTCGAGATCGTCACCGTAGCCATAGCAGTCGACGTGGGTGTGCATGTCACGCGAGGCGCTGTCCCTCTCCATCAGGTCCAGCAGCTCCGTGTAGCCTTTCGCCCATATCGCCTGCGCAAGCCACAGCCACTTCGCTCTCCTGCTGCCTTGGAACACATACTGTACTCTACAAGTCCAAGTTGGCTGATACAGATGTCACCCCTGTGACTGAGAACATGTGACAGCCTCACAGCTTGGAAAGAATCTTTGTATCGCACAAAATTGCCAGAGCAGGACGCTCAGAGGGACAAGGGTTATGTCAGCCACTGTCAAGTCGCCATCTCTGGCAGAAACCCAGGTGCGCACATAATGTGGACAGTGCACAGCCAGGGTCATTATCATAGATGGCAAGTTGACAGGCTTCAGAAAAACAGCAATTTCCGCGGCCGCACCTTGCCGATGAAGTAGGCGCCCTTGGTGAAGCGGGGGGCGCCCTCGGGCGCCGGCTTGGCCTTGGCCTCGCCAACGGCCAGGAAGGAGCCAGGCACGCCGTGCACAAACTGAGTCACCGACCGCGGCATCTCTTGCACCGCGTCCGACAGCTTTACGATCTGCGCGCACCTCACACATGCTCAAGATTCTGTTTCCCCAAAACACCACGTCTGACCTGACATGACATATAAATATCACGGCGTCCAATAGCTTTACAACCGACAAGCACCCCACATAGGCCTGCTCAAGGGCTGTACCACATGCTTGGTGTGCACAAGCTGCGCAACACCGTCGTTGTCAACATGGCGCCAAATTGGAACCTCAAAGTGGCCCCATCTCGATGAAACAGCACTCCGCAGCTTGTACACACCCACGTAAGCCTCCATGCGAACAAAGCTACTCAAAATGGTCATGCAGACACCTGCCCACATAGAACACTACTGGCGCAGGATTCGGCAAGCCACAATGGCGGCACCCAGCATGTCAATCCAAGCAATTGGGTCCCCATCATAGCAGAGACAAAATGGCAAAACTGGTCTTTCCCTTGCAAATTACCTTGTGGCAGTGCATGCGGCAAACAATCTGGTTGACAGCGGCGAGGGCCTTGGCCTTGAGGGCGCCGCCTTCTTCGCGCTGAGCGTAGTCCAGGTAGTTGGTGTGGATGATGCCCACCACGTGCTGGAACTTGTCGGTCCAGCGCCGCCCGTGGTGATACCAGTTCAGGTGCTCCGGCTCCTCCAGCACCGCCACGTCAGCCTGCACCAAATTAGTGTTCAGCAAGCATGCGCCACCCAGAATTATGGTCACACCTGTCGGTAGAACCAGTTTCAGCAGCAAGGCCACATATGAGAGGGTTGGTAAAAATTCAAGCGCCAATAGCGACGCATTGTCTAAAGCCATGAAGATGGAAGGCTGCGCCAGATATTTGCAAAGCTCCAGTGGCTGTGCAACATCCAAGAGCGCGCATACTGAGCTTTCCAGACTCGTTACATTTGCGAAGCGCGATCACTGGACCTTAATATGCCCTTTGAACACAGTGAAGTTTGCTCACTCAATGCCACAGGCATCTGCCCAGTGTTGCACGCCCCATGCTATCCGCAGCCAGGTCAAGGCATGTGCATACAAAGCTTGACAGTGTGTGCCTGTTGAGCGCACCTCGTTGTCGGGGATGTAAGAGGTGGGGTCGCCGACGGGCAGGATGGAGCACTTCTCTGCGGCGTATCGCCCCGGGTAGAAGGCAACCTTGAAGTCGCAGGGAAGCCCTGTGCGTTTGCGTGCCCACGCGCGTACATAGTCCTCCTGCTGCTCGGGGGTCTCGAAGGACAGGTTGTTGAACACCAACGCCTGATCTGGCGGCGCCAGCCAGGGGATCACCAGCGTCACCTGTGCCCAGTCACCATGTCACAGATACTCAGGTCTGCCGGCACGCTTTATAATGCAGGGGCCTGCAAAATTGAGGAACCCTGACCATAGATTCAGATGCCAAGCTTTCCCAATAGACAGTATCCGGTCAGCAACTGTCCAACAAGTCTCCTTGTCTCAGCACGTAATCCATTAGCTCAGCATCTGCATGCCATCCGCTCAATGTACTGCATCCATGCGGTGGCAAAGGGAGGCATTATCCAATCAATGCCTCCTTTTGGCCTCCCCACAAGCCAGCACACTAAGGGACACTTGCACTTCCACTCGAAGAGGACAGGTAGAAGAGCAATCGCAAGCATGCCCCGCACACCTCGCGGTGCTTCTCCTTGGCGAGGTAGGCAGCGCGCAGGAGGGGGTTGACGGCGGTGCCGGTCATCCAGGGGAGCGAGGCCGTTGTGTAGATGGCGATGTGGCGCCCCGGCTCGCGCAGGCTGCTGTGCCGCCGCCGCCTCTGTTCCTCGCGCCGCCGCTGCGCCTCTTGCTGCAGTGCACAGCTAGACAGGTCAGCGACTCCACTGATGCAGTCTCGAGTGACCTCCTTTGGCCGCAACTAGCCGCACAATGCAGCCACTCAATGTCAGCTTGCTGTTGGACCTATCACAACAAGGAGCACCCCGCAATCTAGACTGGCAGCACTCCCGACTCTACATCCAATTCCTGTCATTGCGGAGTGGTGAGAACCAAGAACAATGAAACACGTTCGTCATGTTTGAAAAGGTCAGATCCAAAAGAGAGAATGCAGCGCACCTGCAGGGGCCCCCAGGGGCGGTTGTGAGGGGGCTGCTCATCTGCAGCGGTGCTCTCGGCGTCGTCACCGCGGATGGCGCGGTCGATCTCGGCGATCTCACGCGAGCGCAGGAAGCCGGAGAACCAACCGCGCATCAGGTCCGAGCCGGGCGAGCCGCCAGGGCCCTCCAGATTGATCAGGTCGTCCAGCGGCACAGACTCCATCTGGTTCGCCGGCCGCACCGGGGCCTGCAGCTCCTTGCACGTCGCGAAATTCGTGTTGTGCGAGCCCACCGGCTTCGCCTGCATGCATGCGCACAAGCAGTAAGCACCCAGGGCAGTGCGATTTCTGTACGCCTGCGCAAAGTTTACATCGCTGTCTGTGATGTGCAGTGCCACCAGCAGCATGCTGTGGCGCATTTAGGCCTCTGTACTCTTTGCTATAGCCATAATATCTGTTAGCGCAGCTGTCAGATACCCGTCAGGTCTCCTGTCCTCAACCTCTGTAATGCCGGCAGAAAATACCAATAATTGATTGCCTCACAACAACAGTGACAAGAGGGTGAGCTGAGCGGCTCACCAGCTCGGCCTCGTAAGAGATTGCGCGAGGGGTGACAGCCAGGTTGGCAGCCATGGTCTGCTGCAGAAGGTTGCCAAGCGACTGCAGGTTCTCCTGGCAGTTCTCCAGCGTCTGCTTAGCTGTGCGGATGGTGCGCTTGGGCGCTGCCAGCAGCTTGCGAGCCGCGTCGCTGCTCACCACCATGCGCGCCTGTTCGGGACACAAAAGACCCTAGTAAATTGCTTGTCCGAATGATTTATTATCCGGAGCTTAGGCCCAAGGGACAAAGAGTTCTAGATCAGGTGTTGCTTCTGCACGTCTGGAAGAAGTAAGGGTTGCTGCAATTGAAGGAATGCATGGAAGAATGACAAGACTTCGAACCCAACGAGCATCAAGCTTGTTTGCACCCAAAATGCATCGCTTGCCTATGCAAGGTTGAAAAGAGGCTGTCCTAAAACTGGGGCGGAGAGAATTTTAACGTTGAAGGCTCCATATGAAGTCAATATAAGCACGTTCGAATGTATAACACGCAATTTTGAATACACATAGTCTTAAGGTACACTTGGCAGCAACCTGAAGCTGAGCCAAAAGGGAACACAGGAAGCCTGCTTCTTCCCCTCGAACCATACATCCCCAAGGTTCAAACTTTCATTCACATCAAAGACATTGCAAGCAGACGGCCTGGGCAAATCCAGCAGAGAAAGTGCTGACATCCGTGCACAGGACATTTGACAGGCCCTTGACAAAAGGCACACCTGATCCTGGAAAGTGGAGGGCGCCTGATACGGGGAGCCAGCAATGGGGCTGCGGCTGGCTGACAGGGTGTTATTGAGGGCGGCAAACAAATCCCATTCCTTGCCCTCGTCGTCCCCCGAGCTGCCTGCCAACATCCTGCTCCCGCGCCTGAAGTCAGAAGCGCTGCGCACTCTCCTCAATTTGCTGCGCGACCGGTCACGCCTCTTCCCTGCATACGGGTTGCCCGCCATCGCATCGCCCCACTCCTCCCCGATGGGAGGCTGCAGGTGCTGCAGGCTGGCACGCAACTTTGTGCTCGTAGTCTTCGCCTGCCTCTCGAATTCTGCCCTTATGCGTTCGCCCTCCGCCTTCAATTTCCGCTCTGCCTCGGCAGCCACATGCAAAAGGTTGTCAGCCGACCGCCTGGCGGACGTGAGCGATGAGGAGAGGCTGGCCAGCGGGCTGTCGGGAAACCTGGCAAACGCCTTCCTGTCCTGCCTCCAAGCATGGCCCCTCGGGGGTGCCTCCTCTGCTCTCGACATGATTGATACCGTCTCAATGCTGCATCACGGGCTATATTTTCGAGCTCCAATGTTGCCTAGAATGCTGACGGTTGATGCATTTTGCGAGGATACTAGTTGTGCGGTTGTCCAACAAAATCGGTCCGTACGGGCGGCTAGCGGCGTTCCTGTTGAGCAACAGGCTGCTCATCATGCCCAAGGTTAGAGAATGTTCAACCTTGATAAATCTATCGTCCTCCAAGATCACCGTTTTGCAAAAGTCTTCCACTGCACACGAAAACTTGATCAGGACAGGGAGCCATAATAGTGCCGCGCAGGAGGGTGCGAAACATCTGAGGAGGGCTGATAGTATTCCAGGCGTGAATTTGTTTGAGTGAATTGGTGTGAAGGCAAGTCACTTCTTAGAAGCTAGCCAGCAGCCATGCCGAAGGTTCAGCCTCCTGAGCTGAAGAAGTTCATGGACAAGAAGCTCAGTGGTGGGGATCCACAGCTCCCTTCTCTTCCTTCCTGCCTGATGTTGTGCCAAACGCCATGAAGTCATTTTGTAGATTTCTGATCTTGTGGTGCTCTCCCTCCCTTGCACTCCTACGCTGCTTCCAGAAGGACAAGCACCTACAGTGATTAATTGCAAAATGATCTCTGCACGAAAGTGTCTGTTATGGTTCTGCAGTCTCCCTCAACGCCAACAGGCAGGTGACCGGCGTGTTGCGCGGCTTTGACCAGTTCATGAACATCGTGCTGGACAACGCTGTGGATGAGAAGAACAAAACAGACATTGGGATGGTGGTGAGTTTTGCTCCCGAAGCTTGTACATTTTACTCCTCAATTGCTTTTACTTGCTCATTGAGTGACGGCAGCATTGTCTGAGCCCCTTCATGTGTGTCGTATGTGAGAGCTTACTGTCTTTGTGACGGTTGTCCAGGTCGTGAGAGGCAACAGCATTATCTCTTTGGAGGCACTTGAGCGCTTGTGATGATGTGGCATTGCTCACCAATGACGGCTGCCAAGGAGCTTTGAAAGATAGTACTTGCAAAGGGCTGGCACGCTTGCACTGAGGCCTCCTTTGAGGAAGCACATGACACTGTAGCAATGTGACCCCTGTGGATAGCTGCTCATTACAGAAACCTCGCTTTGAATCACTGGGTTTACAGAAAGGGAGTTTCCAAGGAAAGCAGGGGTGGAATGGACTCCAATCTGGAATGCATGCTGACACCGGTGTACTGATGATCAAAGCTTGTTGACGTGGACTCATGATCAATAGCACATTGTACCCATATGACAGTCGTGATAACAGTCCTCAGGAATTCAAGCACACATCAATCTGATTTTCTGATCTTTGACAGCGCAACCTATCCTAACATGCAGTCCATTCACACCACAATCTCGTTTTCCTACCAGTCTTGACTCGGATTAACTTGAGCTCACGGTGATCACTGACGATTCAGTAATCAAGTCGCCACCCTTTCATCCACAAGGAGCTAACACTGCACACTGAGTCACTGACAGAAATTCACAAGGCAGTCATCAAAATCATTGCTGAAGTGCAATCAACGCAAACTCGGGATGATATCCTCTTGAGAAACTGCTTGGAATCTGCCATATTCAGTCTGCGCGTGATCTATATCCCTTGAAATTGATAAATGTCCTTCATTGCATCACGCAGAATGCATGTACCACCCTATGCTGTACGGCCACATGCACACAGGGCACCTAATACCCAGCACCATTTTGAGCTCAAAAGTGTCACTCTTTACACACCATTCGTTTCAGTTTTGTCGTTCTGCGCATGCAGATGTTCCTAGGCAGGCGGCACCACTTGCTCGGCCATCTCATCATACTCCCAGATGATGCTTATGCACACCCACACCATCAAGAGCCAGGCTGATAGGATGAGCAGCTTCACCAGACCTGTCACCACACGCTAGCTGTCAGGAACTTGCCATGCAATACCTATGTCCAGACCCGCTCAGCAACTTTGACGTAAGGCACACCCTGTGAGGCAATGAAGACTAGCAGACGGCGCGCAGGTCTATGTGTCTGCTTCTAAAGTACGATACAAATTTGGACACTCTTTGGACGACACTCTTACAGAGTAACAAGAGCGTATCCCAAAGGGGCGTCCAAAACTTGTTTCATACTTTGGAAGGGCAATGCAAGGACACAATCACCGTGAAGGCATCCACTGGTCAACTGGTATAATGGATCAGAGCTTGATTTTTAAAATGTGGATGAAGGAGAGATCGCAACCGTCAACTATCCTGCGAGCTGCTGCGGCCATATGACTGCGCATGGGCGGCAGCTGCGTGGCAGCTTCCTGGCCAGCTGTGAACTCTACTTCTACTGCACCCCAGATCTCTTCCTCCTCCATCTGCAGTGCACACGCAGTTCAAAACAGATCACCGCACAAGTCATACATCATAAATTTTCATAGGCACATAAAGATAAACGTCATCACACAAGAAGAAATTGGCCCTGACTGGCAGGGGCCGGTATAAATACTGAGCACCGTGCCCACGGTTGATTGGGTCTTGCTTGGATGTGGCGAGTCCAACAAGGGGTAGGATTGTGGCAGCCTCTACTGCAGCTTGTCTGCAGGAAAAAGCGTGTAATAATAATAATAATAATAATAATAATAATAATAATAATAATAATAATAATAATAATAATAATAATAATAATAATAACACAAGAAATGTATGTCCTAACTGCTGTCAGGATTGGTTCTGCCTGTACATCAACGACCTGCTTGGGATCTGGCTTGCAGTGCAGACTTCAGATTCAGGGGTTTTTGCGCACCGCAAGAATCTCTTCTGTGTTTATGCCGAAGCCCCTCCCCGGCAGCCGGGGACTGTCCATGGACTCTGCCGTGCTGTCTTCAAGGAGTGCCTGCAACAGCAGAGAAAGATGTGGTGCACAGCTTGTCTGAGACTGCGCATGCAGCTATTGTGCACGTGCTAGCAGCAGTACTAATGTGGGCCCACAAATGCCTGATTTCAGATTGAGCTGCAAGGATCCAGCAAAACGCTGTCAGTGGTCTGGTGCTTGGTGTTTAAAATTGGTTAACTAATTGTGCACACTCCAGTCATGAATACGCATCACGGCAGCACCAAGAATCTCTGGGAGAGCCCGCTCATCAATTTGCTGCCAGGCACGACACCAATCTCATATGTCTCTTGAGACTCTCACCATTACTTGTTGTCCTTCTCATGCATTACTCTTCAACTATATTATATACTTCTTGCAGGTTGACAAAATGCATGCATGCATGCCGGCTGCAATGACAGTGGTCACCACTTACCTCTGCTAGTGCCTCGTGAGGTCCAACGCTTGCTGCACCAGTCTCTTGACCGTGGCCTGTGCGCAGCGGATCATCAAGCTTCTGCACTGTGCCTAGCACGCCCTCCTCTCCTGCACAGGGAATGCAGCACTTTTAGATGGGTCTTGCTCTAGATATATCAGTAAGATCGCTCGTTCGAGGGAGGAAAGGGGCCTACTGCAAGTCCTGTGTACCACGCCCTCTCTTCAGGATATTGAACAGGACTTTGTCCAGCATTCTGTGGAGGGGGGCAGCACACAAGATAGGCAATATTGGCCAGAGCAGCCTGCCCTACATTTAAGGACGTTCACACCATAAGCAAGTGCCAAGACAAAGACCAAGCTGCCACTGTGTCGCCGGTGTGAAGCGCTCCTGGCTCCTCCTCAACTTTGTGCCTGGCCTCACTTGCCGGCGTATCACCAAATTCATCTACCACAGCCGACACTATCAAAGTAAGCCAAATTGTAATATAATTGGCTGTCATAGCATCTAGCAGAGCAGCCACGTGCGCACACAGGTGCCAGTCTCATGTGCCCTTGAGAATAAAAGGAGTGACGTGCACATCTCATCTCCCACAGTGTTGGCAAATGCAGCACTCCCTTTCCTAACGGTCATGACCGAAAGATTCTGGCACCAGGCAAGCGAAGCAAAGCGATGCGGACATGAAAGACACTGCGAGCGCCAGATCAAGTGGAAAAGGCTGCCTTGAGGTGTCCATGTGATGCGGGCGAGGTGCAAGACACCTATGGCCCAGGAGCACGATTGATAACATTGCACTCATGTGCGCACCTGCCGCTGCGATGAAGACGTCGAGCTTGGCGCGCGCCTGTGCAGCGGCGTGCGTGATGTCATCCAGCGCAAAGAGAATGCCATACGCAGCGTCCTTCAGGTTGCCTGATCTGGCGTCTGGCCCTGCACCTGCATGCATGCACCTCCACACCTCAAGGCGAGCACCACTGACACCAATTTCTGCACGCTCCACTATTGGACATCATGTCTTGCATGTTCAGAAAGAATCCAAGTTGTCCTAGCCTCCAATCAAGCGGTGTGACCAGCCTGCCCGCAAAACAATTGCCAGCTGCAAGGTGGTATAGTCAATTACAAGCATGGAGGCAGACCTGCGAGGAAGGCTTGACTGGAGCCAATTTCGGCGGGCTCATTCGGCTCAACATGTCTGTTTGCACCCTCCGCACCATCCCCAGGAATCATCGTTACCCTTCCGCGCAATTCAATGCCCCTGGAACGCTCTGCCACGGACGCCTCAGCACCGCTCATGTCATCCTTAGCTCCCTGCCCTGCCCAGATGTCCATCACATGGTCATCACTGCCGCTGTCAGGGCCGGCCTCTGGCACCGCCGTCCGACCGCTGCCGATCGTGCTGCCGGCAACTGGGGGAAGCTGCGCTGGAAGCTTCCCGGCAGCTTTCTCCACATCGTTTCTTTGCACGCTGAGTGGCACCTGGCGAGGACTTGCTCCTGATGCTGGCTCTGCCTTGGCTGCCTCCACTGCAAAGCTTGGATCCTGAACCATGATACGGCGTCCTCTTGCTACTGGTGACCCCTCCCATGCAGCAGCTGCTGCTGCTGCCTTGCCCATTGACGTGGCAACATCCTGCGTCTCTGGCGACTCTGCTGCCGGCTGTTTCTTTGTGGTCTGCTGCGGCACATTTCCTGAATGCTTCGGCGAGCTCTGCTTCTCTGATGCTGGGCTCTGGATGTCCGCTGGGAGTCCGATTACCTCTAGTGCGTGAGGCAGGCTGACACTGCGGCTGACATGGTCCTGCAAGTCTCCTTTGGGGCCTCCCCTGGCTTCGTCCTCTACGTCAGTCACATACCCGCTGCTCTTGTCCTCTGCTTGCATGCTGGTGCCTACAGCCGCCTTAAACCCGCTGCCCATCTGCTCCTTGCCCCTTGCTGGAGGAGCATCCTGCACCCCTGCATCATGCACAAGCATCATCCCCGTGAGCGATATGTGAAAGGGTGGCAGGCTTCTTTTCTGGTAGAGACATGCGGGCTTTGAATCGGCGTCATTTACGTCCAACCACTCGATGCACTTACGGGCGTAGATCCTCAGTGTGAATCTGTTGCCATTGCAAACGAGAATCTGCTGCTGATGTACAAGTAACTCAGAATAGCTTCTATGCACATGCACGCACGATGGTGTTGTGGGTGGTGGCTGCAGCGTCACACCTTTCGTGGCCTTGGCGGCTGCTTCCTCCAAGATGGCTTTGGCAGTGTGCACCCCTGAGAAGTAGTCCACATTCCTCTGCCGCTCAGCAGCAGGGGTCCCCTACAAGCAGCATTGGCCTCTGACATCACTACGATCACTTAGAGCATATGAAGGTCCGATAATTTTGAGCTGATGGGTGCTGCCACCATGAAGGCATGCTCACACTTACAATGTGACAAACTCTTCAAGTGTGCCCACACAGTACCTTGGTGGCAGCTGCGGACTGGCCCTCTTGGTCCTCCAGCGCCGCCAGAGCCTCCAAAACATACAGAGTGCCCCCCAGAGATGACTCCATGCTCTGCTGCACCACATCAGCTCCCCTCTGACTCACCCTGGCTTTGCTTACTTCCTCCTCCCTGACTGCCTCAATTTTCGCCGGCTCTGCTGGCACACCTCCTGCTTTACCTGTGTCTTGATCATTGCTTGATTTCTGCTCCTGAGCAACTACAGAAGAAGGAGGAGCTGGCATGGTTGCCTGCTGGGGCACAGCCTTATCAGGCGCCAATCTGCGCTGTGTGCTGATATCTGGCTGTCCAGCCGCGCCTTTCGCCTGTTCTAGCGCTGCCTGTCTCGCATCTTTTGGCGCTGCCTGTGTGGGCTCTTCTGGCCCTGCCGCTGCCTCTGCTCTGGCTTGTGAGTCCACGGGCCTGGGGGACAGTGTGGGGTGCGCTGGGCCTTTACTGGTGACATCTGGAGTGTTGGGCGGAGTGCGTGTGGTCGCTGCTTCGTCTGTCTCCATGTTGTGGCCGCCCCTTTCCGCCCCAGGGCCCTCCTGGGTGCTCTCCTTTGCAAGAGCCTCGGTCAGGGCCGCCTCGAAAGCATCTGCTGGCGATGTGACATCTATTACACGCCGCCCTGTCTCCCGCATTTGTTCCGTCGCATGCTTGCGCGCCGGATCATCTGGCCGGGGGATTCGAGCCCTGCTCTGGCGCGCGTCCTCACTTGTCAAGACCTGGCGGCAAAGCAAGGAGCCTTTCACACATGTACACGCCATGCCATGCTGTGGCGCAGAACAAAACATTTGTTTGCATGCACTGCAGCGGGACTGGCTGTGAGTTACCGCTGAAGCTGAAGGAACATGCTGCAAAGCTTTTTCTTGGCAAGGCACTATCTGCTTGGCATCATCGCTTTCAGCCTGCATTTGCTGTCATGCACACAGCATGATTGAAGGTTTCGCATGTACAGCAGACTAGGCCAAGAAGTCAGCATGCGGGGGCATGCTCACATGAATGCTGCCTTCAGCCAAAGAGGAGATTGTAATCGCATTTATCTGACTTACTTTCGGACAGGTGGTGATCTGGTGAGCTCTCCAGCAGCTCTGAATGACAAGCGCTGCATGGACCTGTACGGGATCTCTGCTTCCACCTTGCTCGTGCGCCACTTTACTTTTAAGAGGTCCATTGTCATTCTCCTGGCAAGGTTTCCAGCTTTCCAACACGCTGGTCATTCTCTTCGTGTGTGCTGGATGGGCAACACGAAAGTTAGATCAATCGGGATATGCGTCAGCATCTTTATGCAGGAGGTAAAAGACAGCAATCACCAATAAGAAGCACCCTCAGGCTACAGTAAAGGATTTGTCTATCTACTACCTTGTGATTGAGTACCTTGTTTGCGCAGCTTGCCAAGCGAGCTACTGTTCCGATGTCCGAACAGGTGAGCGAGCAAAAGTCAACACAGCAATTTGTTGATCTTGTCCGAGCTTGTTGATTAAGCGCATTGGACGATATATTACTGCTATATCCTTCCGAGAATCTTCAGCCGCAAGACCACACCACGCATTCGTGCTCTTACAAGTGTTCTGCGGGACTCTGAGTCACTGACTCTGGCCGTGCCCTCAATGGTTTCACATCCAAGGCAACACATGCTCAAGCCAATGACTTCTTAGTGACTGAGCGTGCTCCAAAGAATCAGCGTGGCAAATCGATACCACGAAATCTCTCCCAAATCGAGCGTCCAAGAAGGCAACCAAGCAAACAACCCAAATTTGGGTTAACCGCAGCGAAGCATGCAAATCTTGGCATTGCAAGTCACAAATGTATAATCGGCTCAAGACCGTTGCGGCTATTCTGATCTGTTCATGAATAATGACTGATGAGAATAGCTCTGACACGCTTTTGCACGATGAGCTTGAAAAGAAGAAGGACAGTCGCTAGTGTGATGCATGTATCTGCACCTAGTGCAGCTCCAGGACTTAGTGGATCGCGATTCGTAGACTGCCCAATCTGCGGAAGGTCGATCGCATATCAGCTAATAAATTCGCACCTGGACACATCTTGCACTTCCTCTGCCGGAGAGCCTCAACGGCCCAAGGTTGCACAGGGTGAAAGGCAGGATCGAGCAGGCACAGGTGAAAGCTAAGCACTGACATGGTGCTTTTCCTCACTTATAACTTTGCACTTCCATTATTGCAGAGTTCCGCTATGCTCTGTCCATTTCAAGTGGTGTCACTCCTTGCACAGCAGGTACAACACAGACCACACCAAATGACCCCCAAGGTGTCCATTGGTGGCAGCAGCCCGGAGCTCAGAAGCCCCTCATATTCGTGCCAAGCGGGCAAGATCCTTTTCACGCACTTGCATGCATGATCACCTTGCTGATGCACTCTTCAGATGTCTTTGCTGGCCTGCAGACAGCATGGCCCTCAAAAGGCCAGCTGATTGGTCTAATTGGAGAACACACGCAGGGGCAAAGGCAGCAAGAAGGTGCCAGTCAGCTATGAGGAGCTGCAGAGGGAGGTGCCCAGTGAGATGGTGCAGAATGTGCTGCCAAAGAAACTGGCGGACAGACTGCTGAGGCATCTCATTGCGGATGCGCCGACATGGCACCGCGGCCAGTGGATCATGTTTGGCAAAACACATGCCGCGCCGCGGACCAGCTGCTACTATAGCCTTGCTGATGGCCAGGTGGGCTTACTGTTGCTCTACCCCTCATCCTGCTGTGCCAAGGTGTCCTCGAGGAGCTTCAACCTTGCTGCGGGTAGGAACGTTGATACACATGTTGTCATTCTCAAGGAATCTGTGGCTTGCTCTCTCAAATAGAGACATGACGCATGTGGAATATGGCCCTGATAGCAGCCTAAAGTGGGCACATCTGTGTGGCTCTCACCACGGCTATCTAGTAGAGACGCTTGAGCCGTTTTTAAAAAATGGCCAATAAACTCAAGATACCTGCTGCTGCCTTGGCCGCTTTTGCATGCGTCCTCTGTGCCTTCGTTCTTTGGTGCTCGATCATGACGGAACTGTCTGTGTTTCAAGTACCAAGTAAGTAGTAATGCGACAAATGTCCAGGAGGATGCGGAGGAGAGCGACGACTACAAGGATGTGTCGCAGCTGGTGGACAGAAGGGACGCCCCCGCAGACCTGCGCGAGGCCGCGCGCATCATCGATGACGTCGTGCGGCGGCTGGGTGCGAGCCGGGAGCCCGATCTGGCGCCCCGTGACCGCGGCGGCGGCTGGTCGGCCAGCTACGCGCTCGCCAACCATTACGCTGACGGCCAGGAGACCGTTGGCGCGCATGCAGGTCGCTTCCTAGATTAATTGAACCTGATCCATGCATGGGCCCCGGCTGGCGGGGGGCGGTATAATACTGAGCACCGTGCCCACGGTTGATTGGGTCTTGCTTGGATCTGGCGAGTCTCACAAGGGGTAGGATTGTGGCAGCCTTTATCTGCAGCTCGTCTGCTGGATGCACCTTGCCTTTTGGCAGGAAAAGTTTTTAATAATTAACCATGCATGTATCAAAGGTAGCATTTATGGAGGGAATGAGGCACACCTCATAAAGGAGCTAGCCGACCTGACTGGAATATATCTTATCCATCCATTTCTTCAATCCTGCATGTGATGGCAATTTCCACAACACTCTTAGTCCTTCTCTTGTTAACAGCCTGGGTGGCTTGCCGAACAGCATCGGGCAAGCAAGCAAAATGCAGATCACTCAGCTGCTGGGAGCTGCCGGCAGAGCCTTGTGCCTTACATGCATTCTTGGACCTGTCAGACTTTTATAAGGCTCATGAGAGTCTCTGCCATGCATGCAGATCGGCTGACGCCGCTGGGCAAGTGCCCAACTATCGCCTCGCTCAGCCTAGGTGCCACGCGCATGTTCCGCCTCAAACGTGCAGACCCCACAGAGGCACCTAAGGATGCTGGAGGCAGCAACAGCGACGCTCCAGGTGTGCCTCTGCAATCAATCGTTAAAAAAGGTCAACACTGCCGGCAACCAGCTGACGCCTATCCTTCGAGGCGTGCAGGAGCAAGGCTGCTTCAGCCCCTGCTTCGGGTGAACTTTTTGTTGAGGTGGCAACTTGATGTGCAGAACTTGATGCCCAATGGTGCATACTGCCTGGGTTGAGAAGAAGAGCTTGGCCCCTGACAGCGCGCAGCCACTGGACAACAAATTGGACTGAGAATGGCCAGCAATTTATAAATGCGATAGATACTCCTGGTCTGTGCAGGGACAAGAGAAGCAGAGGGCAGGGAGGAGGACACTGCGCAGTCACCCACCAGGACAGCTCCGGCTGCTGGGGCCATCAACAGTGTGGACTTCTGCTTGGAGCACAACACACTGGTCATCATGTGGCCTCCCACACAGGAAGAATGGCGCCATGAGGTGCGCTGGCACACAGCTGCCCCTGGATAGCTCAGTACTACCCCTGATCACGCCTTGACGCTTACGTGGCCGACAGAGATCCACGTGAAGTCCTATCAGTGGTGCAAGAATCTCAAATGCTCGTCTGGCTGGCAACAATAAAACTTGGTGCAAAGCCCAGCAGCCTTGAGCTCTTGCCATCGCTGATAGGACAGAGGAGAAAAGCAAGAGCTGGTCAAAGGCTGTAAGCTCCCTCATTTGATGGCGCTGCAAGCAACCGATAATCTGGCAACTCTGTGAGGGAGACTGTTTGCTGCAAACGCCGCACGAGATTCCTTGCTGAAACCCTCCCTTTGCATTTCAGTTGATGTACGTTCCGCCGTCGTCGCAGGTGCCTCGCAGCAAGAACATGGGCCGGCACCCGATCAGCGGCGCGGCGCGCGTGAACCTGACCTTTCGGCGGCTGGACCGGGCATCGGCCGCGCGCGCGCCGCTGTGCCGCTGCGGCAATCAGGCGGTGCTCAAGGCCAGCTTGAACAGGCGCCCCCCAGCTGGCAGCCATGCGGCCTGCCAGCAGGGGTATTACTTCGCATGCGACAACACCAAGGGCAGCTGCGGTTTCTGGCGCTGGGACGACGAAGCCTGAGCTACCCATGCTTTTGTGACGTCACAGCACTTTCAGTCGCGTGGGGATGAAAAAAAATTATTTGTTGCACTGCTTTGTGTAATCTCTCTTTCTCTGTTCGCTTTGGCAGCAAGGTGCTGTGTAGTGTGGGGAAATGTGGAATATTGAGCAGCGGACGTATGCAACAGCGATTGCTTGTGCAGGAATAAGCATGTGTGCAAGTGCTGCATATGATTTCTCTTGGTAATGCTGATGCATTTTTGCCTTGGGAATCTCTCACTGTGCTGCAGTGAGCCTTCTTCAAAGCCGAGGCATGTACCCAGTCAAGAAGTACCGAGAATCCTCATAATGATGATTCTTGGGTCCACGGGTCAACAGTCCTTACCATCAGCACTGCTGATCCATTTCCAAAGGATGCATACGTTATTACACAAGCTACTGTAGCCTCATCGGCAGACGGAAACATATCACACACGGATGACGTCCTGAAGGGTGTGACAAAAATCAAGTGCAGCGTACATGTAGTGGAATTGGCACACTGTGCCCCTAAAATCTAGACCCCAAGCTTGTGACTGACAACGCCTAGTATACATTGTGACCAAGAAGACTTAACAAGGTCCTGCATATCGAAGGACCAACCACCCAAATCTGATGAGCAACTACATTGGCGGAAACCCAAAACCCCCTGTCTGGCATAAAACACACGCTTGGTACACTTGGGATAAACATGCAGACTCGAGTCTGCCATGCTCCCTAAGAAATCTTGCATGGGAAATAGTGAGTGTTCAATCCACTGGACCCTGAGGCACCAGCTTGAGGCGTGCTCTGTGCAGCATCCAAAAATCTCGTATCACCTCATCACACACTACCTTACCATAGATACTCAAATAGTCTTCCTCCATGAACACAGGCTACACCATAAATGAGCATGAAAACCAAATGGAGTACAAAAATGGGATCTGCTGAATCCACAATACCTGATAGGCAATAATTTGCTCCATTGGACATCTGATGTCTTGGCCTGAAGATATTTGCCCGAGCAGGGGCCTGCCAATACACCCCTAGGCTCTACCTAAGCGCCTGCTCCAAAATTGTCTGCTACCAGAAAGAATATAGGGCGGGTCCAATCCCAACAGCACTTGTGCAGACAAGCATCCTCGATGGAAGCCAGCTGAATACAACGTCAACCCACAAAGGGAGTCCATCATGCATGTACATCTAAACAACACCTCCCAATGCGAGCTTGGCCCTGGGGGGACAAGCTTGTCCCCCCAGGGCCTTGCACAGACAGCAAATCTGCGCCCCCCGCAGAAGCCACAACTGCACACCGGGTGTCTTTGCCTCATCGAGCATGCACAAGGGAAGCACTTTGACTTTTGCTTGAGCGCAGCCAAAAGGTGTGCATCCCCAGTGCAGCACACTCAGGCACAATGGCTGCTGTTCTGCACATGGATACATCCACACACTATGGGTGATGCCGTGCTGCGAGTTTCGACCCGATGAACCAACGAGCGCAAAGCGCCGTTGTCAATATTGCCGAAGGGGCAGGTGTGTACCAATTCATCTTACGCCCCGCCTGAGCTCTCAACATTTCTGCCACTGCCACGCGTGTCCATTGCGAGTCAAGGAGCTCACTCCCAACTCGCAAAGTTCCTTTCTTCTCCTTGGAACCAAAAAGTGATGCTCTTCCTCGGCAAAGTCCCCTCTTCACCTTGCTCTGCATCAGTGCCAGACGTTACAGCAGATGAAGAGTGATTCAGCTTGCGCGCGCACAAGGAGCTGTACTATTGGCTACTAGCATATTTCTCCTCCAGCACGCCTCATGTGAGCGGAAGATAGGAAGTATACAGCGGCGAAACAGAACAGCCCAGCGCTGCGCGATGCATGTGCTGGAACCTGCAAATAAGATATGTCTGTGGTGCTCAAAAACCTCGGCCGGCCCCGCCAAATTGCGGCGGGGCATGGCGGCCCGAGGCACGGGACTGGCAGCAGCGGGGGCTGCCGCGCAGCCTGCATTCGGTACAACTCAAGAAGGGGCCTTTGGCACCGATGGGGGCGCGAGCTCGCATCCTTTAGCCTATGTATTGGAACTGCCCTGGGCTGCGGCCCGACCCCAGCAGCTGAGCTCAACGTTGCGCTGGCAGCGAGCAGGCGCGCCTGCTGCCATATGTGTCCAACGTTTTGTTGCTGCCGCTGTCAATTGTGTCTCATCCATTGCGTTGTGTGAGTCCCCGCTCACCGCCCCCGCCCAGCCTCATCTGCTGCTTCGGCCGCTGCATGACCTTCACTGGCTCTGCGCCAGATCTACAGGGTTGTTCCCGCCGGCTCGTGTACTAACCGGGGGGCCTGCAGGAGCGGCGGGCCGGGTCTCCAGGGGTGTTGCCGGCCATGTGGGTCACTTAGTAACCGGTCCAGTTGGGGGTGGAGGGGGGCGAGCGCAGGCGGTGGAGGAAGCTGGAGAAGGCGTCCCAGTTGTCAAACATGAGGTCGCCCATGCGCAGGAAGGTGAGCTGCTCCAGGCGGCCGGCGCGCGCGTTCAGGCCAAAGGCGCTCTCTGCGATGCGGTCGAACGCGTAGTGGTCGTAGCGCTGCAGCGCGTTCTCGCCGCTCAGGGGCACGCCCGCCGCTGCGGCCGCCTCGATCACCTGCTGCAGCAGCCCTGCGCGCGCAGCAGCAGCAATTGTCAGCACTTCTGAACTTCAGTGAGAATGCATGCACAGCAGAGAAAGAACAGCATGCAGACATCTTTTGAAAGCTTAACAGTATCTGTTTCTGCAGCCCTGAAGCCCGTACCCCAATTCAATGACACACCGAGAAGACCTCCTCTTTCAAGATCTACCGACATCTCCCCATGCACCTAGTCTATACCTGACATCTTTTGAGCTCTGGCGCAGCAAAGGCAAGATGCTATACTACCAACACTTCGTAGTGAGGGCGTGACAAGGAAGGATGGCTCACCCTGCGGGGAGCAGCGGCCCTCTGGTGGGTGCTCGCAGTCGCGCATTTCCACGCAGGTGAAGGACAGCCGCGCATTGTTGCGCCGCAGCATGGCCATCAGTTCTGCGTAGCCGTCGCGCTCGCGCGTGTTGTAGTACCCTGCTGTCAGCTCCGCGGCATGCGCGCGCGACTTGAACCACCAGTGCACGCCGGCCTGTGGATGCCAATCTTCCATCGGTGACTTGACACCCTCTCACTGTGCTCAACATCGACTACTAAGGCCCTGCTCTTGAAAGTTGGATACAACCAGATGGCTCGTGTGCTCCTCCCTGTGACGCTGCAAGCCATGAGTCCCAGTGGGTGCATCTCGTGATTTTGGGAAACCAGCAAGCGGCCTCTGCTCAAAAGCCGAGGTGCTGGCATTCACAAAAGCCTGAGAGCCAAGTGCGCTGGTACGGGGAGATTTGGTCACACACCAGCTTGACACCCAGATGACAGGCGGCGTCGAATTCGTAGACGACGTGGCCGTCGGTGTGCTCGCGGGCGGCGCGCGCTTTGCGGGGCCGGCCGCGCTTGTTGAGGGAGGCGGCGGCGGCCTTGAGCACACGGTCGGCATGCTGCAGCAACAGCGAGGAGTACCAGCCCAGGAAGAAGTGGCCATACTCCGTGTCCCAGCTGCCGCCCTGGCTCACAAAGAAGCCCGTCTCCCACGCCGCACTGTTGTAGTTGCCGCAGTCGTGCGGGCCGTCGTAGCCCCTGCGCACAGACACACATAGGAAGGGTCAACAACACTGCAAGAGACCCCTGCTCTATCCATTTCTTCAGTCCTTCACTTTTGGTGTTTCCTCCATTGTAACACCGCTGCTAATGTGGACAGTCCAAGTGCTGTCTCCGCAGGGAGACAGCACTTAGAAAATGTCAAATTCAGGAGCACATTTGCTGAGAATGAAGCACCCAAGGCAGCTGACAGATGGGGGACCACCTGACAGGGATTAACAACTGCAGCACCAGGAGGAGAGCAGACATGTGCGCTGCTTCAGAAAAGGGGCGCACCACTCGGGGTGGCCTACGGCCTCGGCTGCGCGGCGCAGGGAGGCCATCATGTAGCGGTCAAAGCACTGGAACTCTCCGACGCCCGGGAAGCGCCAGCGGCCGTCGCCCTCCGGGTATGACGGATACCTCAGCTCCCCCGCCGGCCCCAATCCCACTGTGATCTCCGTGATGACATCCCCTGCAAGCAGCGCCATATTTTAACGACACATACATGCAAGAAACGGATGTATCATGTCCCCACTGGCAGTATTCGTGCTATGGAAGGTTGCGGTATTCATTCTGAGGAGTCCACCAGGCGGGGTGAAAACAGCTGGCATTGGATAGCTGGACAGACTGTGCTGCACATGTGACAGCACAACACAATCGTATGCAGCATGTCCATAGCAGTCAATTTGGACTAACTTTCAGGGATTAACAGTTGGACAGGACCTGTTACATTGGGAGGGTGGGCAGCGCACCAAAAAGGTAGTCAAAGTTGTCCGCAAAGGCCTCGATGAAGCCCTTGTAGAGCTCCACGGGGGTGCGGCCGTGGAACAGGGGCTCGCTGTCGCAGCCGAGACTGAGGCACTCGCGGTTGCGCGTGCCAGAGCGGTCCGTGTAGTAAATGTCCGGATTCTCTGCGCCCACTGCCTGCACCCATTTAGGCAGCGAGATCTTGCAGGTGTCCCCCACGTTCCCCCCTGCCGCGTGGAATGACATCACCGCCTGCACCTTCAGCCCGCTCTCCGCCACCTGAAGGAATAAAAAGAGACCACGGTTAAGTGCACTCCACCACCTGACAGAGCAATGAGAGACCACCATCAAGTGCTCTCCACCACCTGATGACACAAGAAGAGATCTTTGCTAAGCGCACTCCAATTTGGTCCTTGTTATAATCCAGACCATCGGCAGATCCCAGGACTGCTTTAAGCATGAATGTTCTCTCAGGAGCTAGAGCCCATATTTACAAAACAAGAGAGAATGTGCATGAGTGTGTCACAGTACCAAAGATGGTAAGTCACATGACATGCATCGGGAGACTGAGAGTATGACAAAAGGCATGTAAGGCAGGATGCATGCCATCCAGTGGCATGTGATCTGATACTTGCGGAGCATACCTTGTGGAACAGACGCTTGTATGCAGAGAAGTCATATTTGCCGGGGCCTGCGTTCTCCACAATGCCCCACCAGACATCCACCATGACCCCCTCTACACCCGCCTGCCGCAGTGTCTGCAGCCCAACCTCTAGCGCCTTCTCCCGCTTGATCACCGGGATCTGCTCGCACCACAACAGTGAACTTTACCAATCTGGTCAAATAGCCACATACACCATCTGCAGCTCACCACTCCAACTTTGTGCGCACCCCACATCTGAAGACCAGGGTCAAGAATGATCATCCTAGTATTGTGATGAGTCGCCAATAGCAGCCTTCAGATGTGGGCTGTGCAAGGTGACACTCTGATATCAAGCCGGTCAAGACTTCATACAGAATGTGTGCTGACGACTGTCACAATGAGCTGAAATAAATGCAGAAAGGGGGTTCTCAACAGACATGCATCTAGGTGCAGCGCAGCGCTGCCATCAAAATTTGTTTAGTTGTGATGGTGCGCACCGACTTCCCATCCCTCTCCAGCAGCCAGATGGTGTCCAACGGCAGCATCACATAGACAGGAAGGCTGGTCGATGGCATGGGATCTGGCTCCGGCGCGCTGGTCTGCTGCTGCTCCCTCTCCGCTGGAATATCTACTGAGCTGAAACTGTCCAGAAGCCTGCACAAAACAAGTGCAGTCTCAGGATGGAGATCACAGATGCCAAGATCATAATAATTGATGTCTAAAATAAAATTTATTTAAACGAGCAGCATGAGTTTATGCACAGGGCACCACCATCAAGTGGGCATTATGTGCACAAGCGCTGGGAGCCGAGGATATAAGGCGGGTGAGAATATGCTGGTCAGACGCCGGAAACCGCCGCAAGCAAAGTTCGCACATCACATGGGTGATTAAGATGCAGGAGGGGCGCACGTTTGCAGTTCTGCGTCGTCTTTCTCAAAGTCAGAGGAGTACTCCGACCGAAAGTCCCTGGGCCACCTGTGCGCCAGGCTGACTTCGGGGGCCTGCAAATCGCCCAGCTGCCTCGAAGACACCGTTTCCATCTGTGCATGTGCCCTCGGCAAGCTCCCTCGGCTCCTCCTCCCCTCTGACCAAGCGCGGTATCCGCCCTGCAACACGTCGGCATCCCGAGTCACTGGGGGCATTCGGCGCATAGCGCACTCTCAGGGCTCTCTAAAACCTCGCAGACCGAGTCAACACGTTGCAACGCCTCACTGGGGCAAGGCCCAGCTTCCGCGCGCGGGCCATCTACCAAATCGTGACCTGGCTACCTCCCACTGAAAAGTGCGAGGTCACCTGAGGAAGCCATGCGGGCTCCCACAGCGGCAGCAAGCAGCCCATCAACAGGAACATCCTCTTTGAACTTTTGTGGGTCCTTGACCCTGCACCAGGCAGGGCACCAGCCCCAGCAAAGGCCCCCTGTGAGGGAGATTAACTCACCCTGCCACTTGGGCCTGCAAACTTCGCGCTCCCCGCCCTGATTCCGGCCTGCTCCTCCGTCAGGAAGCAGCCATCCCAGCAGGACCTCAGGCATGTGAGCCCAGGCCGGGCCACAAATCCTGGGCGCAGCCCAGGCTCAGCTGCTCTGCTCGTGCAACATTGCACGTTATCTCGCTGCAGGTGCCCAACGCACGGCACCAGACAGGCGGCCATGGTGGCAACGTATCAAGCTGACACACAAGCTCGCGGCTTGCTGGCCTCCGGCGAGATTCCTTCTGAGTGGGCGAGCTCGCAGCCCTGTTAATCTCGCACCCTCTGATCTGACTAGGCATCGCACTTTTCGTAATCGCTCCACGTGTACCCGGCACCGCATGCGCCCATTCTGCCTTGCAAATTTCTTTCGATGCACATTCAACTCAAGCCAGGTCGCTGATCGTGAATATAGTGTGTATTTGTGAAGACACACGCCGTGCATATGCCGTGGGAAGACATGATTTTGTGGGCTGCCGAAGTATATCACGTTTGATAGTACAGAGCCCGATTGTCAAAATTAAATTCGACCATCGTATCCAGGATCTGGGTGATACAGATGATTGATTATGGATTTGATGCAGCGATCTTGAAGGTGGCATGTTTGTTCACTTCCTTCCTTCTACTGGCTGGAGGTGATCTGACGACATGTGTCGAACTGCTTTCCCAGGATTATGCGTGAAGGGGGCTCTTTTGGTTTTTGGTGTTTTTGAAAAAGACAAGAACACTTTACTCTCTCAATTACCGAACACGAAGCACGGTGATGCGCAGGTGTCAGCTCCCAAGCCCTAGAAAATTTCTCGTGGGACTATTCGCCAATCCTGAGCGACACCCGCGATCAAAATATCCTGTTCTCTGGTACGGCTTCCCATCGATTATAAAATGCACAGACTTTCAAGCGAATTCACTCCTGCCCCTTGCCATGGGACTCCCTCCGTACTGGTTACCTGAGAGCTTGGAGGGGGAATTACAGTTGTGTCTGGCAATGCACAGACCTGCCAGGCTTCACCCGCAGCACGTACAGGAGGGACCACGCCCTGATCACGCCTGAGAGCCGAGTGTGGGCGGGACAACCTGGCTGGTGAGAGGCGGTGCTCCAGTACTCCTGTCGTTCATTCCTAAGTGAAGGCAATTGGCAAGATCATCACATCAATCCTGGGCCATTCAATTCTGGGATGTTGTGTGCAGGGTGAATGCCACCACAGCGCACCTCATCTCACCCACGGCGGCCACGGGGGCCAACTTTGTGATGTTCCTTGCAAAGCTGGCGCCTGAGGGGAGTGCAGGCGCCCCGCCAAAGGGCATTGAGAGGTGGCGCACCGGCTTTCTGTACCCGAGGGTCACACTGGGCAGCTTAACACGCTGCATCTGAGCTGTACACTTTGCATCTGGGCATGTCCAGTATTCCATCTCTTAGGCAGCATTGTAAGGAGGCATTTCCACAACTGGAAGACCACTATGCTCACATCAATCACATCTGAAAAAGGTGCAATTGACGCGTATTTGGCTGAGCGCTCCCAGCAATCATGCAGGTTCATCTTTGTTTTGGATGGGTTGGTGGACGTGGCGGTGGGCAGCGCAAAATCCGGAGACGAGCTGCATGCGGACGATTACGCATACTTCCCTGCAGACACCCCGCACAGAATCTCCTCTGTGCACGGCGCCGGCCTGCTGGTGTTTGAGCGGCGTTATGCGCTGCCTGGCCGGAAGGCCGCCTTCCAGAGGGGATCCACCCAGTCGCAGCCAATCCTGCCCTGTGCAGGTTGGCTTCCACTCATACCCTGGTGAAAGTACACACGTTGATGCATGAAGAATCTGCTCGGTGGTGTTAGTGACACGAGCAAGTTCCACTGGGGTGGCGTGAGGGATGTGAGCATGGCAGGGCGATGAAGGGCTCTCTTGTTCACGAGCTGTGCTCATGCAACACCGCCGAAATCACAAATTTGGCTGCATGTCAGCTCACTCCAGATGCTGCCTTGCATGAGTGAAGATCAATAGCTATTTTGAATACCTCTTGGCAAGTCTTTGTTTGCATCTCGGCTGATGCCCAGACTATGTGCACTGTAGGAGAGGTGTTCCTGCTGCGGAAGCTGCTGCCGCAGACGGGGGACTATGATTTTAATGTGCACGTGATGGACTTTGCCCCGGGGGAGTACTTAAATGTGAAGGAGGTGCACTACAACCAGCATGGCCTCCTGCTGGCGGCCGGGCAGGGTATCTACCGGCTGGCTGATGAGTGGTACCCCGTCCAGTCTGGCGATGCCATCTGGTGCGCCTTCTTTGACGCTGACCTCAATTGTTGCTGACCTCACAAGTTGCTCCTGCTGATTTCAGCACACGCCAATGACTGCTGTGAAGTGTGTCTCTGTGGTGCTCACACGGCTCTGGCGTAAGGAGTCATCGTCAGGTTGGTTTTGTGAGGAGTTGCTCCTGAGTGAAGTTGTCTAGCTGTGAAGCACATTGCGCGTCGCCCATGAGGAGTGATCTAGTGCTCTGGCGTCTGCAATGCAGTTTCTGCATGTTTCTGTGCAGTGTCTGAATCAAAGTTGTGGGTGCAGGATGGCGCCATATGTGGTGCAATGGTATGCAGCTCTGGGTACACAGCCCAGCAGGTACATCCTGTACAAGGACACCACTGTGGACCCAGGACTCTGATAAGAGGGAGAGATGCATTCTTATCTCTGTTGAGACCCCGCAACAGGTCCAGTTGATGATTCTGAATATTTAGTGGCATGAGCAGCATCTTGATAGGAGGCAACTGCCCAGAATTTCACATGGTCTGAGACACTTGTACTACAAAGAATTGATGTGCGGAAACCCACACGCCATGCACACTCGTGAACAGCCTTTGAGAGCACTGTCAGTCAATACTTGTACCACTATGCGGTTCTATATCAGTCCGATTTGCGAGTTGCTCTTATGTCTTTAAAGTTTGTTTGTCCTTTGAGTGATGTTTGCTGCTAATTAGGAGCCTCTGAGTGTGTTGCTTTCGGCCAGTTGCTCTTGTAACCACTGCAACTGCTGAACATTGCGTCCTTTAAGCTCAATTGCTCGACACAGTCCCGGTCCACAGAAATCCACTGAAGCACCACTTTTGGAACATCTCGATCATGATGTCTTGCTAGCAATCAGAACTTCCACTTGCTTCAGTAGCCCCTGCAAACAAAAATAGCGTTTCTCAAGATGATGTGCATCGAAAGCTTCCTGTCCTTCAGAGTGATTGCTGCTGCTTCACAGAATGCAGTTGGACCTGTCAGGAAGCACATGATGCAAAAAAGAAAGAGGAGGGTCCTACTGTGCTCGGCGGGCCATGATGGCATTCATCTGGGCCTTAAAGCGCTTCTTGGACAGCCGCTTGTCTGTCTCCTTTTGATCTAATACCCTCTGCTCGGCCGGCCGCACAAAGTGAGCCCGCTTCTTCCACTCCTTTAGCATGTTGCCCGCTATCAGCTTCCTTGACAGGGTCTTCATGGCCTTGTCAACCTGTCAAATCAATCCATATTGGCCTCCTTCGTCTGAAGGCGTTGTCTCCTTTTAGAACAGCTGGCCAGATGCATTAAATGCAAAGGATCCGTGCCACCCAGCAGATGCAGGGCTGATGGGGTACAACCAGCAGATTGCCAGCTTGCGCACCTGGTTATTGATGACTGGAACAGTGATCTTCGCGCGTGTCAGAACTGTCTCCCATGGGTGCGCTGTGCTGGCAGTGAGCGAGCTCTCTATCCTTGCAAGCACTGATGGCAACAGCCTCCTCACTTGCAACATCTCGTGGGTGATGTTGCGTGACTTTCCTGGGATGCCTGCCTCCTGTCTGACGATCTGTTGGAGTTGATCTGTCTGCAGTCTGATGCCTTGTATTAATGGTTGCCCTGCCTCTTCACAATCTAGACAAACTACTTACAGACTAGGGATGTGCTATCAGCTTGATTCAGCTACAGATTACGCGTTTCAGCAGAAGAAACTGCTTTCATCTTGGCACTCCTGACTTTAAAGTTAATGAACTGCTGTGCTGACTATACCACACCCGATGCTAACCACGACGCTTCCTGTTGGGCTGCAAATAAAGTAGTTATGTGGATAATGGAATGAAGAATGGACAGGAGCAACAGTGGGCCAGCAGTTCCCAATCAGATTACGGATTTCCATTGAGCCATGCGCGAGTCTACGGGATGTACGGTAATGACGAGGCGTGAAGCCATGCAGAAACGCACGCTTCCTTGGATTTGTCAAAGGACTGCGCATTTAAAGTACTTGTGTACAAGATCTATTGTGCAGATTTCTGACGTACTTCTCCTTGTACAGCTGGATCCGGGCATTCAATTTGATACATCCATCAGCTGCAGCGCTTTGCTACTGTAGAATGACATCTCTGGCTCGTTGGGTGCCTGTAGGAACTGCTGCCCTTATATCTCGCTCGTATAGGATCGGAATGATATTTGTGAGCAAACAAGAGGACCTTGGAGCTAGATGAATTCTTTTGATCGCTGTTTGCAGCTGCCTCCTCACCTGTTGCTGACAAGATGGCGCTGACCCAGTAGGTAGGTTTTTGTCCTTCCTGCATTCCCAATGAGCACTTTTATAGAATAACTAGATTTCGATCTACTTTTGTGAAGCATTAGGATATGTCCTCGATTGAGGAGCGGACTCCTCTCGTCTTGGATGAGAAAATGGAGATTCACTAAGAATTGCTTGCATGCAGGGCATCCATCGGGGTACATTGTGATACAACATTTCAAGCTATTCATTTGCATCTAGATCTGAGTGCGCGATAAGTGATCAGCTGCGGACAGTTTCTGGGTACTCTGTCACCGTGTGACGAGGTGACTACAGTAAACTGAATGGCAGTGAACTCTCAGTACAGTTGTGACTCTGTTGAGGGGCACTATCGATTGTGATCCTGTGCAGTCAGCAAGCAGCTATGAGAGGCAGAGATGCCAGCACAGCTGCCAGCTGCAGCAACAGTCTGGATGCAGCAAGCATGTCAGCAGGATGCGCTGGCAGCATGCGTGAAGGCCTTGCAGCACACGTTCTCCGCAGACTTAAAATCTGCTTCAGGCGGCTGGTGCGCTTGTTTGAGCGCGGACGGGGGGTCTGGCGCCCCCTTTTGGCGACGCTGCTTTTGGCGCTGCTGTTTGCCTCGCCGCTGATCTGGGCTGACCACCGCCACCACTTCCAAGGCAGCCGCCGTGCCGGCTACCGTTTCCTGTGCGCCTCCTCTATCCCTGTCATCATGAATCATGTTTAGACAAGTTATGCCTTCATTGACAGCAGTGTCCAAGGTTGATTTGACCATGGCTGCCCGCGCCTGAATATACCGTCGCCATCGCCCGGAAAATAATGGTGTGCAGACCGTCTCCAATAGGTGGTTAATAATGCTGCGCAGAGCGGCCCTTGACTGTATTTGAGAGAGAGGCCCCACGCTCAGTTGTACTTCTGTCAAGCGCACACTTTAGAAGATCCCAGAAGGCATGCGCAAAGAAGGCTCGTGTTTCATTACAGGGCGCGCTTCACGCACAACGCACATGGGCAGCCGATCTACAGCAGCGATACAGCAGCGGCGCTGGGGCGGCCCAAAAGAGCGCGCGCTGCGATTGTGGTATTAGCGCAAGACAGCGACTGCGATGGCGTGCTGCGGAGCATGGCGCACATGGAGGCCCGCTTCAACGCCAAGTTTGGCTACCCCTATGTCTTCCTCAACAACGAGCCCTTTGGCGCAGACTTCATCAACAGGTGGGCCTGCTGCGCTGTCTGCTTGTCGTGCGCTGGGTATAGTTTGCCAGGAGCTGTTTGGTCAGAACACTGACAGATCCAAGGGGCTCCCCATGGCCGCAGCGGAAGACTCCTGAATGCCTCTACCAGCATGGTTCTGGCAAAAACTGCATGAACAACTCGACAGCAGGGGGATTATCATGCCCGCAGGGGCATTGAGGTCCAGATGGCAAGGGCCAATCGATGTCCTGCGACACTTTGTAGCTTAAGGAGATGTCTGGACACCTTAGGACATCGGCAGCCACGGCGGCGCGAACGCTGCACGGTGAAATCCCCCCAGCGCATTGGGGCTACCCTGCCTTTGTCGACCCCGCGGCGGCTGCGGCGGCGCGGCGGGAGATGCGGCGGCGAGGGGTCCTGTACGGGGACAGGGAATCGTACCACCACATGTGCCGATACTACAGGCAAGCCTAGCTTGGAGCTGGTCACCAGTCAACATTGGGGTCAGTGCTTAAGTGCCGCAGATGCGTAGCGCTGGCTTCTAAATATAAAGTGCTACATGTGTTTGCAAGTTCAGGCACTGCAGGCATGATGCTCAAGTCTTGCGGCCATGTTTCTGACACCCTGTTTGTATGTCATGCATGGCGCTGACTGTGATGGTGTACAGTCCCAGTACCGTATGCAAGTTAACTTGGGGCCAGCTTTTATAACTCCACAGCATGTCTACTAAGGAGTGCCTGTGCTGCCTCGCAGCGGCTTCTTTCATTTTCATCCGCTGCTGCGCGAGTTTGATTTCTACTGGCGCATGGAGCCGGATGTGCACTACTACTGCGACCTGGACTATGACCCCTTCCTCTACATGCAGGTGAGCGCATGCGAACCCAGAACGTACTTTCCTGGCATGTTATTCTTACATACACTTATGCTGCCACGCATGCCGCTGATTTTCGATTATCAGGCTGGGCAAGGAGAAACCTGTGCCTAAGTTTGCATTCTGAAGTTTATACCATATAAAGTTCAAAATTTTTCCAGAATTAACACAACTTTGGAGGGAGTGCATGCGTAATGGCTCAAATAGACTCAGCTTCTCTTTTCTGTTCTTTGCCCAGGAAAAGAGCATCAAATACGGCTTTGTGATCACAATAGAGGAGCTGGCTGCCACAATTCCTTCCCTCTGGGCCACAACACAGGCCTTCATCGACGCGCACCCCGGCTCAATTCCAGCCGCAAACCTGCTAGACTTTGTGCGTGCCCCAAACGGCGAGTACAATCTTTGCCATTTCTGGTGAGCACCCACTGGCACTCTCTTTCTGCTTGTCAGCATCCTAGGGCACCAGCGCCTGAGTCCAGGACCATTCCAATGCTTCCAGTGATCAGTAGTGAGCCTGATTCTTACATTGAACGAAAGTTTGACACGGCAATACTCTGTAGCAGGACTACTAAAAGTATTAATCGTGTCCAGCAGGCCTTGTTGTTGAGCATGTAATCAAAGAGCGAATACAGATAACTTGGCATGCGTGCAGGTCCAATTTTGAGCTAGGAGACCTGAATTTCTTCCGGTCCAAGGTCTACATGAGCTACTTTGACTACCTTGACAGGTGAAGCTTGCTGCTCAAGGCTCTACAATTCTCTAATCAAGCTCAGAGTAGAGCATCAATCCTTTTAGACGATTGGTGTATGTTCACAAGCTAAAGTGGAGGCTGATAGCTTGTCCCTAAATTCTGCCTTCTGGATTGCAGGACCGGTGGCTTTTTCTTTGAGCGGTGGGGGGATGCGCCAGTGCACTCCCTGGCGGCGGCCATGTTCCTGAACAGCACAGAGGTACACCTATGTCACACATAATCATTCACCGTGTCCTCGTGGATTCCACAAAAACCTGTTCATACCAACATTTTCGAGATCCTGAGCGCTTGTCTGGCTGTCTGGCATTGCCTGCTCACAGTGTGCGTCGCCCCAGAGACAAGTAGGTGCATGAGCTGCATTCCAATGACAACCTGCTCCTGCTTGGCGCCCTATGATGCACTCAATGGTAGCTCTGCTGCACTGGCTGCAGGCTTACAGCCAGTGTACTGCAGAGACCTAAGAAAGACATCTTTGCCTGATAAAAAATTTCTGGCCTTGCTGCAGGTGCATTTTTTCCAGGACATCGGGTACCGCCACAACAGCTACAAGCACTGCCCGGCCGTGCGGCGCAACAACTGCGCATGCGATGCAGTGGAGGCAGTCGCATTCCACAGCCCCTCCTTTGGAGTCTGCCACCGGCGCTGGGAGGACTTCCTGGCCAAGGAGGCAGCCGCCCGACCGCCCAACAGCACAGATCTGAAGCGGAGCCAGCCGCGAATTCCAGTGTGGCGATCGGGATAATCAGATTGGGGCAGGCTCTTGTGCAGACCTGAAGCAAAGCCAGTCGCGAGTGCCAGTATGGCAATCAGGATAGTCAGATTGGAGCATGCTCTTCACCGGGCAGCATTGCAGGATTGGAGCAGAGCCAGCCGCGGATTGCAGTGTGGCACTCGGATCAGTCGGATGGGAGCATGCTCTTGACCGGCAGATGCGCAGACATGGTGCAGAGCCAGGCATGGGTCGCAGTATGGCAGTCAGGGTGACTAAGCCTTGGCAAGGGTGAAACGGTGGTTCTGGGCTGGTTGGTTGCGGAATAGGTTCAATACCAGATGCTGGCAATCTGACCCCGCACTGATTGTTTGCATGCCACATTCCTCTGAGGCATCATTACTTGACAGTTCACGTGAGATCAGGCCAGACTGTTCATGTCTGTTCGGGGGCAAACCTGACAAGTGCCACAAGTTCCTGGGGGTGTCTGCAGTGTGCAATTGCTGTCTTTTTGATACTGTCGAGCGCAGTCGAGTACGCAAGCATTTCATGTGGGCATATGGCCATCTGAGGAAGCCCTGCGTGACATTCTCAAAGGAGGACAAAGGAATTAAACAGCACATCAGCGCTGCTAGCATTGTGATCTGCTGGCCTGGCTCCTGTTGTACCCTGCATATTATTATTATTATTATTACATGCCCAAAGCCAGAGGCCATGGGGCATACACGCAGGGCGTCTGCAGCCATATTTCTGCTTTGAATCACAATGATGAGGTTGCTGCTGATTCCAGCATTCTTATCCGTGATCTGTTGGGCATTTGCCTTCTGCCCATTTAGGCATGTCAGCTGAATTCCATGATTTTTTATCCGTGCATGTGGACATTTCTGGCATGAATTTGTTGGGAAGCATTGGGCCTTCTAATGCTCTGTTGGCTCTTGGAGTGTGTAGACATGTGATGATGCAGAACAATACCTGCTGCTGCCGCATCGTACCTTTTCCACTAGATTGAGTCATTGGGGCTTTATATTGCTGCTGTAAGACCTGCTGTGTACTCCACAAGAACCAGGGATTCTTAGGCAATTGTGCAGAGTGGCCATTTTGAGTTAACAAATGCTTTGCTGATCCTTGCACAACTTGCTGCCATGGCCCTCTTTTGGTCACTTGGGCCCAAGCTTCAAAAGAAGCCAAGTGTCAGCATGATGAAACATGTACGTGTCAAAGAGAGCCTTGTATTGTCTCGCCAATATTTTGACTTCATGGCACTTGGGGGCAGTCTTCAAAAGACAGCCCAACATTCCAAGGCAGTGCCACCGGTGCCACCTGCGGTGATATTGCACAAAATGGCACATCCTTTCCTTGCAGGTAATCAGTTTATATATATTTTGTGTTGACGGTTAGAAAGAGTGCCGAAACACATCAGCTGCGCTTGCATCCTCCCATCGTACTAAACGCTTTAAATGGAGCTTAGAAACCACGAAACTGTGACAACACAAGTGTCTGCCAGGTATGCAAATTCAAGGCTGCCATCTCCGCAGCTCCCCAGGCAACTCTGACTCATCGTCCGCCAACACTGCGCGCGCAATGAGGCGGCCCAGCCATGCATGGTACACAAGGCCTCGCGCGCCTAATCCGGCAACCACCCACCACTTCCGCCCGGCTTCTAGCTTCCCTGCCAGCGGAAGCGACCCCTGCGCGCTCCGCGGGGGCAGCGCCCTCACGCCAGACCTCACCCCAACCATCTCCCACCTACGCAAATAACCACAATGCTGAGAAACCTTTTTTCTCCTTCAGTGTCCAGCACACTTGTAGGAGGATCCACTGGAAGACCATGAGAGTCACTCTGCTTGTGCAGCTCCTGCCTGGAGTATTTGATTTCCATGCGTTGACCTTGTAAGAGCGAAATACGGACAGCTGCGTCAAAATCATGGCCACGCAAGGCGCTCAAAGGAATGCTCCTCTTCTAGGTCCTATTTGTTTTCATTTGCGCAGGTCCAAAGATAATGGACACGAGCCCAAGGTGATCGTCGCATCTTTCAATCGCAAAGATAACAGCATTGCACACCTAGCGGCTGGCGGCCAGGCCCCAGCTGCGCGCGGCACGAGCTCGGCAGCAGCGGCCGTGACTTCATCGGGGTCGCTGACTGCTCGCCCGCACTCCTCCAGAGCCTGCTGGCTGCTCAGCCCGTAGCGCTTGGTCGCTCCCACCACCAAATGACAGCGCCACTGTGTGTAGCAAAAGCAAATATCCTGAGTTACCCCGGTACACATGTATTCCTCTGGACCATCACGCTCCAATTGACCTCTAAGTGGGGAGACCTATCAAACGTGCAGACTCTTCGCCGTCTAGTCTCTTGACGGCAAGACACTTGGCATGACATCAAGCGGCAGTTTCTCTCTTTTACATTTCTGACTCGGATACAGGAGACAATGTTTCCCTTTGTTGCCTTACCTGTGCTGCAAGGTAGGTCGAGCCCAGTAGGCTAGGACCATCGTACGTGCTGCAGCCATCCACTGCTGCTGAGCCCCCTGGAGTGGAAGCTTCCACTGGGACGCTCGCTGTATCAGCGCGTGGTGGCGCCAGGTCCAGCGTGTAGCCCTGACACAGCTCCATTGGAAGCTTGTCCCCTGACCAACCCCAACATTCCCCTTTCAGGAATCAGCTCACATTCATGCTGTGAGTGCCACAAGCTGCTGCAGTGTAGTGTGCCCATGTTTGCTAAATGCGGTCATCCGCTCAAGGAGAGCCGCGCACATAAGATAAGGCTGCAGGCGCACCGATCTCAGGAAGGGTGCCGGCTGCTGCGCCGGCGGCGACAATGACTGCTGTGTAGTGGCCATGCACCTCTTCCAGGGCATGCAGGGAGGCCACCTTCTCCCCGACCAACCTGCACTGGCCCCCGCGGCTCCTGGCCGTCTCCTCACATGCCCCCCACAAAGCCCTAACACAATGCACAAGATCCATTGTTCAACTTTACTAATTGTTGAACAGCTGGTCGTCATTCAATCGTCCCAGTACAATGTCCCAGTACAATGTGCTATGGAGACATAGATAGCAAACCCTCTGTAAATCGCGTCCTCTGGTGGAGACACTTGCTGCCAATGCATCAGAGGTGTCGAAGATGTGTCTGACAAGGGAAATGGCATAGATGGATGCTGGAGGCGATGTGATGACAAATTTGGGGCAAACATCTACCTGAGGTAACGCTCTGGGTGGACCACGTGGCTGCCCTCGATCCACAGCGCTGCGCTGCTTTCCAGGTCTCGCCCCACTGCCGCCCGCAGCGCTTCTTCAGGCAACCCCGGCAGCGCAGCAGCCGCAGCATCCACCCCTACCGCTCGCACCGACGCCCCTTGCGCAACCTCGCTTTCCGCCCCTCTCATCCCCACGTCAATCTGTGCGTCATCACCCCTGCCGCTGCTGCTGTTGTCGTCTTCTGGAGTGTTTGTGCGCTCGAAAGAAGAAGAGGGAATGCCGCGGATTTGCGCCGGCAGCCGCAAAAAAGCTGCCGCCTGCCGCGCGTCGGCCGCCGGCCGCAGGAACGGCTGCGCCCAGCTGATCTGCCCTTTTCCTGCGCCGCAATCCACCCCGGTCTCCCGGCCCGATCCACCCTCTTCGGCTTGCTCCAAACATGTACTGCTTCCAGATGGCAAACCGCTGTCTGTATGAGATGTGCTGGGTGGCTCGGAGTCAGCGTAATCTTTATGGGCGTCTGGCGCGCGGTGGCGGGACTCTGTGGGATTTATTTCGCTGCTCTGCTGCTGCAACATGCGCTCTCGGTGTGCGTTTGCCACTGCCAGCAGCTCCAACGCTGCTCCCATGGCCTCCTCCCCATGCCACAGCAGCTGAGCACAAGAAAGCCACTTCAACACGAGTTACCCACAATCCCAACCTGGCCTGCAGTCATCATCAATGACTCCCAACTGCACTGGTCGGTCTTACATGCCTCTTAAAGGAAAGAATCCTTTCTAAACATTGCAAATTCCAGAGCACATCATGGATGGACTGGTGGTGGGAAAGATAGCGCACCTTGCCCTTGGGTGAGAAGGGGTGCAGCAGGCCGGCAGCTGCACCAGAGGCGCCGCCGGCCAGGCCAGCGCCGTCGAACAGGTGCACATCCACAGGCCGTGGGCTGGTGAGTGCGAGCAGGTGCCAGGCAGCTGCCACGCCAGCAAAGCCCCCGCCCACTATGGCGTACCTCGGCCGCCCTGTGAGTCATCATCAATCACCGCCTATGCTGTTCGGGCATACGCGCATGCTGGCCGCACATGTGTGGAGCCGGCAGTGCAACAGAAAAACCAGGGAAAATATACCATATTAGCCTCAGAAGATTTTGTTACAAGCAGGAAACAGGTATGAATACAGGCTGAGGCAGCTCAGCAGCGTTGACAATACTGTAGGAGTCTGCAACATTATCTTGGTGTTTCAATAAAGCTCACCATAACACAACAATGAGGTCCCCACTGATATGCCTCTGTGTCTTGATCTTCCTGTACCAACAAGAGCTCCAACAATCCTGTATACCATAAGTTCTGACCACATGTCCGCCCTAGTCTGTGGCTGATTTGGGCTTCTCCAGGTCGCGCAGAAGCAGGAGGCCAGCGAAGCCAAAAATGAACGTCAGCAGAGTCCAGTACACTGATGCGCCCACGGCGTAGCCTCTCTTGACACATATTCCTAGCGCCACGCTGGCCTCCCCCACATGCACAGCAGCTGCCACTGCTGCTATGGTGCGCGCAGTGGCATTGTCTCCGACAACGCCATACAGTAAAGCTCTCAGGGGAGATGGTAAGAGTGAGTCGTTGAGGGCCAAAATGCACAGCTGCCCCAGGCCAAAGGCGATTGCGGCGGCCAGCAAAGGGTTGGGAAAGCGGAGAGGGTAGCCTGTCGATTTCGCAGGTGCCATTGCGCCTGGAACACCAGACAGGGCCCTCTTCAGACACCGCCCCATCAGTTGGGAGTTCTAGAGTGGGCTCGCATCTGTTCTACCCTTTGGAATATTTGCAGCCTGATGCTGGTTAGTACAGGGGAACTGATACGCTTCCATGTGCCTATCTGGTTGGGAATTTGCCTGGAGCCGCAGGCAAACCACATCTTGATGGGGCCAAATTATACCTTTGATCCAGCCCAAAGGTCACAGGCCACTCAGCTGAATTTTGGGACCAGTGGTGATCTGTATAGAGGATTTATACCGATGAGGATGGATTATCTCTCTAGAAGTCGGGTGAGTACTTGAGATCTACCTTCGTCAGTGCCTCCCGATGCTTCTGTTATGATGAGTCTCCTGTTGCTAGCAAGGAAAGGTACGAGTGATAAGCCCTTCGATGTCGAGAGACGTGAAAGACGGCAGCGTGGTGCGAGGGTGCCCTGTTTGGACCGCTGGATCGCCAGATACCTGGCAGCAGTACAACAATGAGAATCAGAAAATACGCTGCATTGACGCTTCACAGATGCCCTTGGATCGAATTTAAAAGAAGAATAGGCGAATTGTAGATGCGCAGAGGAATCAGCTGGATGCCAACCATCACGATAACCGGCATGGGGATTCAATAACCACTGGACAACAAGCAGGATACTTCAAGACAAGCAGGACCTACCTGAAGCCAAGAGAAATTTGCATCGCCCTGTCCAAGTCCACAATGTCTTGGATCTCAAAGTAATCTGTCAGGAAAGGTTGTCATGCATGCGCAAGTCCAACATCACAAGGGTCAACCCTAAAAGGGCAACCCTCCACATGCTAGGCACGCTGTCAGCTTTAGGATTATCGGAAAGTAGGATGATAATTTGTGCAATAAAGATAAAAGCAAGAGATGAGTAGTGTGGCAGTCACGGTGAGAGAGGTTGAAGGTGGCACTATATTACGGACTTGTCTGTGACTTAGGCTATTCTTCTCATCATCTGGCGTGTCCCCTTAGCGTGCATGCTTAAAGAACAGTACTGCATCCAATGCTTGCAAGAATAAGCAAGTTATGTAGCAATCTCACGTTACATCGATCTTGGCCCACAGCTTTCTTTCCAATTTCTTGACCCCAGAGTAGCTCAACACGGTACACTTGCTGTGCTCCGATTGGAATCCATCCTGGCTCAAGACAGACTGGGGGTAGGGAAGCAAGCCCTGGAGGAGTGAAGGTATGGACCATTTTCCCATCTGTCTGACCCCCAATGGCTTACCTTGAACCCAACGTGCCTCTCCAATCCTGGCAACAGTACTGAAGCCTATGGTCTCGATAGCATGTCTTTCCGATGCCCCTTCTGCGGTGCACATCTGCCCATCTGTATTGCTGAAATTGTTTGTGTGTGCACAGAATTCGCATCAGACCTTGCCTGGCCCGATGGAGGTTTCAGGCTCAGGCACCTCCAGGAGCAGGAGATGCCTGACACTTCCAAGCGCAGGAACTGGGAACGATGGCTATGACAACGAGAACAATGATCTGATATTGAATGTGGATGACATCCTGGTGATGAAGGAAAGAAGGTGTGTTGCACAGCTGCTTATTTTGTGCCTATGAGGAGTTCCAATCTTTGTTGCGCTGCAAGCCTTCAGGTGCATGCTCGTGTCCTCCGATACGGTGGAACAGGAGTAAAATGGGATAGTTCTTGAGCTACGATCCTTGCTGGGCACAGATACATTGTCAGGGATATGCTGGGCCAAGGCACCTTCGGGCAGGTCGTGCGATGCTTTCGAGAGGACACCCGTGAAGAAGTGGCTGTCAAGGTCATCAAAAATCAGACGGCCTTCTATCATCAGGTGAGTGAGGCCTCCGTCAGTGGGTCTGAGCACGTCCGCGCCTGATCGGTTCGAGCCTATTTTTCCCGACATCCGTGTCGGAGAGGCCTCCTCCGTGACTCTGGCGAATGGATCCTTTAACAAGCGATGGTATTTGTATTGGAACGCAGGCTCGTGTCGAGGTTGGCGTCCTGCAGTTTCTGAACACCCGGGGAGATCCAGAGAACAGGCATCACATTGTGAGAATGCGTGATTTCTTCGTCTTCCGCAATCATCTCTGCCTGGTTTTCGAGCTCCTAAGTGTCAATCTCTACGAGCTCGTCAAGCACAACCAGTTCAGGGGCCTGTCTATGAATCTGCTGCGCGTCTTCATCTCCCAGGTACTCACTCCCCTGCTCCTTCCTGCTGTGGATCCATTCTCCTGCCACCTGCACTCTTTCTCTATCAATGCACATTCTTTGTCACGATTTTCCATGCTTCTTGCAGCACCTTGCCCTGCACACTGGTGCCCATTGGTCTCCAAACACTTCTGTCCGAACAAGCAGGTGCAAGCAAGGCAGCCTCGCAGCTGTGTTGCACAGGCCAATGTCAAGAAGTGCACATGGTCTTTGGTTTCGTGACAACACTGCCCCCAGCATCAATTGTGCCATGTGCACATCAACTTTGATTTTGTAGTGACACCGCTCTCAGTATCAACGGTGCCCTGTGCAGATCCTGGATGCGCTGTCGGTGTTGCATGAGTGCAACATCATCCACTGCGACCTCAAGCCGGAGAACGTGCTGCTCAAGGGGCTCGACTCGGGCGAGATCAAGGTCATCGACTTTGGCTCCGCCTGCTTCGAGAACCGCACCATGTACTCCTACATCCAGTCGCGCTTCTATCGCTCCCCCGAGGTGTGCGCCACGCATCACACCCCCTTGCAATGCCTTCTTTACTGCGTTCTATGTCTCAGTGAGGGACCCGAATTTGACACTTTTTTCTGCTACCTCAACAACCATCCCGTACCTGCAGTAGCAAATGCAATAGCAGCAATCATGCGCTGGCTCTTTGCTTTCTCAGTATTTTAGCCCAGAGCGAGGTGCCCACTCCTGCTCAACATGAGCTCCACCATGCAACCGGCTCTTCCACTCGTTTGGGATGTCCTGCAGCATCTGCACCACCATCCACCAGTCATTCTGCAAAGCTGAATTCTTTTTATAACTAGTTGATACAGGATTTCTATAACTAGTTGATATCAAATTAAATGGACCAATATCTGCAGGTGCTGCTGGGCTACCCGTACGACGTGGCGATCGACATGTGGTCGCTGGGCTGCATGGCAGCAGAGCTCTACCTGGGCCTCCCGCTCTTTCCGGGCGCCTCGGAGCATGACCTGCTGGTGCGCATTGTGGAGATGCTGGGGATGCCTCCGCCGCACGTGCTGGCGCGCGCGACGCACCTGCGCAAGTACTTCAAGCGCGAGGAGGAGCTGCTGTCCGTTGGGGGCGTCCCCATGCGCCACCAGAAGTACAGGGTGCGCCGTGCTGACAACTCATCGTGACCAAATAGGAGTCAGCTGTGAAAAAAATAGGGACTGAGCGCTATAACATTGAAATAGGCCTCGGAAAGCAACAAGTCAAGCATTTTATGGGCACTATATATGTTATCCGTGTTGTGGAGGCCGTCTCATGGGTGCTGAAAGGGGATGGGCTGCTGTGCTCGGGCTGTGTCGCTTGCATTGCCGCAGATGCTTCACCTGTGGTGCAACATCAGTGCCGGTCTTGAAGCATTGGGCTCATCAACGTCTGTGAGATCCTTGTTGTGCAAAGTTTTATTAAAATATGAACCTTGAGTCTGACACCAACACGTGTGGGGGCCGCAGCTGCGGACGCAGGCTGAGTTTGAGGCGATGCACGGCGTGAAGGCGCCGGCGGGCAAGCGCTACTTCCAGCACACGAAGCTGCCGGACATCATTGGCGCGTACCCCTTCCGCTCGGGGCTGTCCGAGGTGCAGCTGGCCCACGAGACCGAGCGCCGCGAGGCTTTCCTCGACTTCCTCATGGGGGTCCTGGTGCGTTCCACCTATTTTTCAGGGTCCAGGGGTAAAATAACAGGTCATATAGAGCGCGTTCCATGGGAGGTAGAGGTCGCTCAACCAAACTCTGCGTGCCTAAGAGCCAGCAAGGCCTGACAGAAGCAGATGGAACAGGGTGACTGCATGTGGCTTTCATTTGAGAGGAACTCAGCAGAAGGGCTGATTATTTTTTGGGATATACTTCACGGCTTGGGAAATCTGTCCTCAGAATCTCAACCTTCCTGTGGATTTCTTTTTTAGCCTTGTTAACGGCACATGCTCTATCCCAGACCATGCCTAGCTGTTTCAACCGCGACATTCTACCGAGTCTGAATGCCTGATATGTTTTGGCCCGTACATACAGGAGCTCGATCCGGAGGTGCGCTGGAGCCCGCAGCAGGCGCAGCAGCACCCCTTCCTTACGGGCGCGCGCTTCACAGGCCCCTTCCAGCCGCCGCCGCGCATGCAAATGCGCACGCGGCCGGCCGCGGCGCCGCAGCGGCTGCCGGACGGCCAGGCCGCTCTGTCCCCCTACAACTCCGCGCTGTACCAGTCGCCGGTCGCCGCCATGCTCGCCACGTCGCCCGAGTTCCATGCGCAGGCGCACGCCGCCGCCATGGCCGCCGTACAGGTGCGTGCGCCCGCTTCATGCAATGATTTAAATTGTTTTGTGAACACGCACGGCGAAGTCTTTGCTTGTTTTTTTAGGTGAATAATAGTTTGGATTGGTGCGCTGTTCGGGCCACTGTTTGGGTCGCATAAGTTGTATTTTGTGAGTGCGAGCGCTTGGTTGAGGGCTACTGTGACCTTGGAAGTAAGTTGTCTGGCGTGAAAGAGTGTAAAATGGCGGAACTAGAAGAAGCGTCCAGGGTTGACTGGCTTGTGTGCGGTTGTTACAGGCGCACTTCAGTCCTCGGGGAGCTGGCGCGCTGGGGGCGAGCCTGGGCACGTCGCAGCAACAGAACTCGTTTGAACCCGCCATTGCTGCAGCAAACGTCCTCGCCGCTGCGCAGTACGGCAGCAGCCAGCAGGTCTGCTCACCTCCTCTTTACTTTGTGCCCTGCACCATTCTTTTAGATATGACCGAACACCTGAGACACTTGTAAGCCGATATGTGAACAAGAACAGGCAGCTGAGATGCTCTTGATTGAGTGACCAAGAACAGGCAGCTGAGATGCCATCCTTGAATCGTATTCTCCGCGCTCCAGAAGGCAGAGACAACATGTGTGGTGCAGTGCATTGCTGGGAAGATGCTGTTAGCCATTTAAACCAAATTTTTATAGTCAAGTTTCCTGTTATTTGTGCAGGGGCAGAACGGTCTGCAGCAGCACACACCGACGAGTGGTCGCTCGCAGCAGTCGCAGCGGCAGCACAGCGGGGCGGTGCAGATCCAGCACCAGGCGCTGCAGGGGATGCAGTTCGGCTCCTTTGACCCCATGTATGCCAGCGGCAATCGCAGCTCCACTCAGGTGCAGTGCTCATCCTCCCTTTGCACGGCCCCAATCATTTGACCGCGCATCACACCGTGAAGCTTGGCAGGAGGCCTTCTGAATGCAGTCCTTTTCCTCTTGACAAGCATGCCATGCAGTGTGTTGGGCTAATTGCTGGCCTGCAGAAGGCTTTGGATGTATAAAAGCAATGCCAGTTATTTTTTGTGTTGTTGTGACTGGTTGCTTGCTCTTCTGCAGACGGACACTCCTTATGGGACGCCCTACGGCTCCTTCAGCTCGATGAGCAGCATGCAGACGCCGCCGCACTCGCTCAGCGGTTACTCACCCATGACTCACCTTGCCGGCCTGCCCAGCTCCTACCACAGCACGCCCGGCCGCTCCGGCGGCCCTGCCAGCTCCATGCAGGTGTCACATCCCCTTCCTCTATCCTTGCACCTGCCCTGCATTTGCTCCATTCAAGATACCAAGGAGTTCTTGATGAGGCCAGCGACTCCTGTAGTCTTTTACGGGATGATGTGCAAGTCACCAAATGCCTGTTTTGGTCAAACGGCGAACTTCATGTTGTATCTGATCACAGAAGGAATAATACATGCAAGCTAATAACAATGACTGAGGATGTCGTTGTGGTAACAGCAGGGCACGCCGATGGCGACGTCATACAACAGCTACTCGTACCTGGCGGCAGCTGCCGCGGCAGCTTCCGCGCAGCACTCGCAGCAGCAGCCCGTGGTGGGCTCGCTGGAGGCCCTACGCGCGAATGCCGTGTGGAACATGCCTCACGGGCCGGCCTTCCACAACGGGCAGCCCAACGCCGCCTACCTCGGCACCTCCCATGCCCGGTGCGAAGCCGAGCACACCTGCTCCCCTCTACTGCTTATAGTTGTTTTCCAAGTGCCGAAGACTGCTGGTCCAGAATGGTGCATTTTTATGCCCAGCAAAAATGCTGTTGCTGCTCGACTTTTGCCAATGGCAGCGTTAGGCACCCTGCATTCATGCAGCATTTCGGCAGGTTTGTGCAATTTAGGACTGTTATACCGAAGCTCTGGCAATCACCGGTGAGTTTCTGAGGAAGCCTGAGGTCAGGATTCCGTGAGTTGCGTGGTCGGCATGGAGGTGCACGGTGTGTGGTGGTTCATGCGTCGGTAAGTTCTATGTGATGGCCCAGAATCTGCGCATGTGAGATGGTGCACCCAGTTCCTGGCATCTCAATCCATATTGTTTGTAGTGCGCAACGCAGTGAGGGTGGGATATCTGTGCAGGCTGGGTACTGGTGCGTTTGGAGACGGCATGGGCAGCCTTCAAGACGCAGACCAGAACGGCTCTCAGCAGCAGCAGTCAGACCAGCGCGCCAGCTTAGGCGCAGCAGTAAGCTCAGCAGGCCTCGCAGCCTGCTCGCTGGGCGGCTACGCAGGGAACGCCATTGCAGACCCTCTCTTGCAGCAGCGTTCGCCTGGCCTCGACCCGCAGCAGCAGAACTGGCAGTCCTTCACACAGTCCCTGCAGCAGTGTGCAGCACAACAGCAACAGCAGCAACAGCAGCCTAGGCACAGCATGCCCGCAGCTGCAGACCTTCCCTCAGAAGTGGACCAGCTCCTCTCCCAAATGCAGCAGCAACAGCAACGGCATCAGCAGCGGCAGGAGGGGGTGGAGGAACAGGGGCAGCCAAGTCAGACGGCGGGAGGCATTGCACCTGCAGAGGCGCGGCAGCCTCAGGCGCCTAAAGAGGCGTCCACTCGGCGGGTGCTGACCTACCAGGAGCACCTGCGTGAAGAGGAGCTCAAGGCTCAGCTGGCCGAGCGCACCGGTGAGGCATTCGTGCTTACTTATACTTGAATTTGAGATTTTAAGTTTGAAGAGTAGATAAAAAAAAGAGTAGGCAAGTAGAGACAGAAGATTAGGAAGGATGAAACAATATTATTAGGAGGAATAAGACACTTTTTCCTTTTCTAAGTACACAGAGGGCACATGCGCGCTTTGCATACAATGGAAGTACACCATTGCTGTGTGGTGGAAGGAGCTTGCGCATGTCGTCGGTGCGCCTGAAAAGATGAACAAGACTGTCCCATTGGCTGAGGAAAGGAGCAGTCATATCGCCACCACTCCAATGCATCTATGCATCAATTTCTAGGAGCAATCAAGATTTCGGACGTGGCGCACTTCACAATTGGGTTGTATTCTGCAGCCCCCATAGGGTGCTTTTTAAGGCTCCTGGTGACGTGCCAGGTGGCGACGCGGCGGAGGGCAGCGGGCGGCCTGTTCAGACGCAGAGCACGAGCGACGGGGGCATGCCCTCCTCCTCTGAGGGCCGCGCCAATATTTCGCGCACGCAGTCCCAGGACGTCGGCCCCACGCCCAGCGACTGGGACCCAAGCTACAGGTATGTCATTAACGCATGTCCCTCCTGTTATCAAGGGTGTGTATTGATCTGTGGCACTCAGGCGGAGTGACACGTCTTGGGCTCCAGTTACCGCATATGACACCTTGAAGAATCCAGGGCGGAAGCCGCTAGCAATAGTGTCACCAAGGATGCATGCAAGCTGAGACTTCTCATGATGCGGCCTTGGTGATATCGGTTGCTGCAGGCTTGAACCCTGCGATCTAGAAGGCGTTGTGAAAAGATTCAGGGAGCTGTTGCTGACTGTCAGCGAGACACTTTGAAATATCTTGTTGTGTTGAAGATCAAGTCATGTTGTGTCTCCCCGCAGCGATGACCTGCTCCTCAGTGATGACACGCTGTGGGGCGGATTCCCGGACGGCCGGCCGCGGCAGACCGCGAGTCGCGCGCTGCTGCACCGCTTTGCCGAGACGGCCGAGCCGGCGGCTGCGCGGCAACTGCCGCCGTCGGCGGCGCTGGCGGCCGCCCAGCACCTGCCGGGCAGCTACGCTGACTCGCTGACGTCGCCGGTGCAGCCGTCGCCGCAGGGCCCCTATGACACGCATTGGCTGCGCTGCAATGGGGAGGTCCGGCACGCCACTGGAGATGTGCCCCTCTCGGTGCGCATATTTCCCTTGACACGTTCCTTGCAGCCCAAAGGAGACTAATATGCGGATTCCTGCTCCGCAATCGTGCTGCTGCAGTGCTTTGCATGGATCCATGTTTTGCTTAGATGGCATCATTACCCTGGGTGTAAAGGTGGTAGAAACCTGATATGAGCAGCAAATACTGGTCAGGGGCAGCTTTTGAAGGTACTGGCCATGCCAGGAAAGTAGCCATACAGAGCAGTTCTAACTCTATGTTGAACTCTAAATTTTACATGTGCTGGTGCATGTGGGGGCAGATGCTACCAGGCTCGCTGATACCTAAGGCCCCCTACACGAGCATCGGTTTCGCGCCCGGCAAAGGGGCCGGCTGAAAATGAGCCATAGCATGCACAAATTATGCCTAGTTCTCCTGGGTCTTCTCTGCTGTGGCTTGCTGCCCTAGTGGCCCTGGAAGGGACACCAAAACCCTACCAGGCTTGGTGCACCTCTGCATTGTCCTGGGAGCCTGTGTACTCAGGATGATGCAGCCTCTTTGGCTAAGCTGCGGTCATTTGTGCTCCCAGTGTGATCCTGGGTGTCTTGCAGCATTTCAATGCAGTCTGAGAGCTGGCTTCACTCAAGTGAGCGGCCTTGAATGGCAGCGGTTGCAGAAAGCCCAGGAGGCCCCTTGTGGGCTGCCTTGATATTTTGCGGGGCTCTGCAAGCTGCGGCAGATGCCTCCCAAACATTCATTATGCACTGACTGGCTGTGCATCAAGAACAGGAAGTCTATAGCAGTTCACAGCTGTGTGATAGTGTGCATGGAACAGCAGTATGCCCTGACAAAGGGCTGGTTAGTGTCCGTAGCTTTGTGAGAGGTGTGTAGATAGAATGTGTGCATGTGTGTGAGTGTGAGTATGCGTGGTCTTGCGAGCGGTGAACAGTTCCATTGTTGCAAACAATTAGTTTGGCTCCTGGGCCTCTTGAGCAAAATGAGCTCATTAGGATAACATGCTGGGTTCACGAAGCATTTGACGGTTGCAATTGGAGGTTTCTAGTTCAACATGAGGGCAGTCCCTGGGTAAACTTGCAATTGCCGTTATCATGTCCACTGCTAGTTTTGTGCTGCAATGCAAATGCCTGCATTAAGCTGAGATAGCCATGGCTGCCCCTGCTGATGGGGTGGGCCCACATGCACAGTCTTGCTGGTGGCAGGAAACATGTCAAATGAGCCAGGCATGCTTGAAGCATGGCGGCCAAGAACTCAGGCCATTCAATGTTCAGGCTTGACTTGGCATTGGGTTGAAAGCCAGCTTTGTTGCTGAGTTGTGATCACGATCCCTGGCAAAATGATTGGGAGATGTGCCAATGAGAAAGCCCTCATATATGCTATATAGGCTCGGCGTGTAACTGCTTCAAAGCAAATTTATGAAACTTTGAAAGGCAGCACCCCAGCTCAGTTCCCCTCCACGCCAGATTTGAGTTTTGATACCATGCCATCTATGTTTCTGTCTCAACCTATCCCCATGCAATCGTGTCTCTCTATCGTCACCATGTAGTGCTCTAGAGTGCACACAAGATCTGCTGGTTGCTAAACTCCTGTAGAATGCACACTTCAGCAATTTCAACACGTCATGTGATGCATACGCACAAACACCAATTTGAGTGAGGGTGGGCAGGATGACAGCGCTGTGTGGGAGCAGGTGTCATAGGTCGGTCAGTGTTCCTTTACAATATTGAACCCATTGTGCTAGCCGCAGAACAAGAATACTGCCATGACTGGCATCTCAAGTCAGTTCACTGTCTGCAGCGCTGTCTGTATTGTGTCATGCTGATTCCAGTGCCAATACAGCACCAAGCACAGGCTCAATCCTGTTGGCACTTATAGACTGCCCATAGAATACAGAGAGAGAAGACCCCAAGACCCTTCTCAAAATTATATACATTGAAAGACACACCCATGCAACTTGCAAAGAAGGATGAACAAGGATAGGTTGATAAAACATCAACGCACAGCGCAACCACTAGTTCGCACAAAACCGGCACATCTCGACATGGGTCTTTTGGTGCTGACCCACCTAAGTTTGTACAATATCACTGACAGGATCACCAATCCGAGCATATGCTACACTCGCGATGCACTCACAGAGTAAAAGCTATAAAGGCATTTTGCCTTGTAACATATCAATCAGGCTCAAATGACGGCATCTCATGTGTTGGCAGTAAAGCCGCCTGTTGGAGAGTCAAAATTGGGCAGTCAGCCGAGTATCTCAAGGTCTGCATCTGAGGCAGCTTCGCACAAATAACACACTGCGGCCAAAGCGGCAAGCACATCCATGTCAGAGTCCCACTGGGACTCTTTGTTTCTGGCGGCAACCGCCGCAGACAATAAACGCATCCGTTAGTGTGTGTCTGCTCAGTACTGCTTTGCTGTACACCTAAACTACACCCGGGGCCTCGCTCGCCAGGCTCATATACACTCCTCAAAGGTACAAGACGGGGAGCCGCTGCTCTTGGATGAGTTGCGGCACCTCGCTGAAAATTTGCATTGCATTGTCCTGGATGTTGTGTCCGTGGTGATGTACAGCCTGAAGTCTTGAAGCACCTCGGCAGCGCAGCATCAGCTCTTTTCCTGCACAAGCCACCAGCAATTCAATTAGCCACGTAACAAAGGAAAGTTGCTGCAACCTTCTCCACTACCGCCACACTCACACCGCAGACACTTGTGTTCTGGGCAGTGGAGGCACGTCGTCTTCGTCATTGCACATTGTCCACTTGCAAGGCAGCCTTTTCATTCATCTCTGGGCTCACTCTGCCTACATGCCCACACTGCTCACTCTCTCGTATCAGGCAAGGAGTGTCCCTGCATGTCTATGCTTCTCACTACCTGATCTCAGTCAGGGAGCGTGCCTACACCTCTCTTCCACTCTTCAATCCAAGGCAGAGAGTGGGCAGTGCAGTGCAGCACCTGGCGCGCAGTGCTCCAGCCGCTCAGGCGTGGGCCGGCGGGCTCATGCAGGACTTGCTCTGGAAGCCGACCGAGCGTTCAGGGGCGTTTTTGGGAGCGCAGCGGCCGATGGTTGACGCGATGGGATTGGCGCTGCGTACCGGCGGGCTGCAGCCGAATGTGAGGCAGCGCGAGCTCTCCCTCTGCGCCAGGATCTGCCGGATTTCCACCATGCAGTCCACGTTGCTGGGGGCCTCTGGTGCGGGGCTCCGCTGCTGGTCATCCCTGCAGGATCCCCAAGACTTGGTCAGATCTTCCGCAATTGGATCCATCCTGCTGCTGTGGCGATGCAGTGCACAGAACACCCCAATCAAGCGGCTTCAGGTGAGCCTTTCAGAGTGTGCAGCTGAGTGGAAGCTTCTCAGGAGCATGTGGCCGATGTGAAGTCTTCCGTGTGGGACCACGGTGTGATCAGCCAGGTGCAATGTTCTTTTACGGCTCCAAAAGAGCAGACTTTGTGCAATCGAACCCCGCCGTGGACAGGGGCCTGGACCTTCCAAAAACTGGTGCTTTGCCCCTAAGGACAAGGTTGGCGGGATGGTACGAACGTGAGCACCGGCTCCCTCGATGGACAGTAGAGAAAGACCCAAACTATGCCACTGGGAAAAAACAAAGCTCATGGAAAGTCTGGGTGAGTCAGGCTGCGGAAGTCCTGCGACTGCGCCCTAGGAATCAGAAGAACCCAAGTATCGACGTTCTGGTCACTGAATTGCCACCAAAAGTGGCTCAAGCCTCCAGAAATATTCCTCACCTCTTTTGTTGCTTGCGTGCGATAGGTGCTGGAGTGGCATCTGGTAGGGACCTCGACTCTTTGACCGCAAGACACGAGGAAGTCATAGTCTCCGGCGGTGGCTCATTTGTGCGGAGCGCGTGTGAAAGTAGCCCTTTAGCCAGTCTAGCATGACCTGCTTCAAGTCCTACTCCCATGCCGCGCCAAGCTTGTCAGACTTTACCAAGTCCGCTGTCGGAAACCCAGCTGGCGTTTTGTCTGACCAGCTTGTCACAACCCGCTCCCTGGCTGTCACCCTATGTCTCCCCCGGAATATGTCGTAGGTATGTTAAAAAACACCATACCGTTGACAGGAATTCTGGTCTGTATTCAGGATTCTTCTTTCCTGGTCGTAGCATTTCGGGTCCCCGCATTACCCTGCGGCCGCCGCACCGACCCTACTAAAGCATACCGGGGGAACCTAGTGAACAGCCGAGGCGTAGCTAGCTAGTGGCCCTGTGAATGCAAAGTTCCCATCTAAAATTTGGACAGCTACCTTCAACCTGATTTTGAGAAAGACTCTGTCGTTCCTGCTACACGTACTACTTCAACCGAATATTGGATGTACTATATGTAGTCTGCGACATCTTGTCGGCATAAAATTCCCCTGAAGTTTGCCTCTTTGGAGATCAACGAGCGATTGAACATCTAACACTCTTTGAGGAATGAGCGCCTTGTATCAGTGGGTATCGCATTCTGTCCTTGGTGCACTGCCTGCTGGTGGTGACACATGCGCTCACAAAGTTTTGGCTCGACGTGTTGTACTAAGAGGGGACGGGGAAGTGGAAGAGAAGGTAACAGCGAGCTTTCATTGTGCGCTCCATATGGATGCAAAACATATCCTGGTGGTACAGGACAGACCAAAGTTTCCAGTGAACATGGGATTCCAAGAATATCTCTATCATAAGGAAAGAAAATTGTTCGCAGGTCCCGCTGGTGATCTCATTTCAGCTCGGCCTGCTGCACGCCACCTGGCTGGGCCAGCAGCTGGCTCGCACCTCCTTGCTTCGCTGGTACCTTCGATGGACATCTGCCAATTTGGGCGTCAAGTACGACTCCCCAGACAGCCGTGCCATGATTCCCCGCTTCATTGAGGTATTACTCGGTGGTACAGAGCTTTTAAACAATTTGAAGATTGGATGAGCCATTTGCATTGTTCTTAGCTGAGGGGTGCTTTAGTTGAACTTGTTGTACAGGTTTGACTGCGCATTGATTGGGCAGTCATGCGCAAAAGCTTGCCGACCTCACGTATATGGGTCTCCAGACAGCGGTGCATGTGGTAATTCAGGAATACGGCGTGGACACTTCAGAGATAGAGGGTTCCCTCAACGACTACAGGTCGCTGAATGAATTCTTTGCTCGGCGCCTGAGGCCAGGAGCGAGACCCATCGACTCGCCGGGGTATGCTCCATATTTCCTGCATTCAAAATGCTCGCTAACGGAGTCTGGCCAAGTCTATGTCGATCAAAAGACCCTGCCTTGCACCAGTTGCAACCTGGAGATCATATTGAGCAGCCGATACACACACCCCTCATAGTTGTCCCTGATCGAGCATAATGGGGGGCAAGGGAGACAGATGAACTGGTGCTTGTGGTTGTTGAAGCTGCAATCCCAAGATGTAAGCTCATGAAAACATGTTTAGAACGGCCAGCCCGGAAGGAATTCATGACCCAGAGAGTAGTACATAGTAAATCTGTGGCCTTGGGTGCCTGTCAGCCAGATCTGATAATAGCTGATAATGGTACAGGGATGCGAGGCATGCAGTGCAGCCGGCAGACGCGCGGCTGCATGTGTTTGAGAGCGCGAGTGAGGCGACGCGGATCTGGATCAAGGGAGAGGGCTTCACGGTGGGGAAGCTGGTCGGAAGGCAGCTGGCCAAACGCTTGGATCTGCAAGGCTGCAGCCTTGTCATCTCTAGGTGCACGACGGTGCCTGCACTTGTGTCACATTGCGCGCCATTTGCAGTTCATCTTTTGCGGCCCTGTCACACGGATGGACACTGCTGTGGCATTTTGCGCATCTGGCCTTGAGTTGCCATTCCAGCACCAAATCTAGAATCAGGCGTGAACACCCTTCCATTGTTGATTTCAGGCAAGGTCTGAGAGTCATCTCACGTTTCTTGGGGGCCAAGGTGTTTGCCCATAGGGCATTTCTGGGGTTCTATGGCCACCGACTCAAGATATCACATCAGTCCCACACACTCATGTTTGATTGCATGTTTAAAAGGGCATCGCAGAATGGTACTGAGTCAGTACCACTGACCCTGCCTGACTTGGATATTTGCCTGAGCAGGCTAGCACCGCAGGATTACCACCGCTTTCACTCCCCGGTCAGCGGCACACTGCGCAGCTTTGAGGGCTCCGGCTCAGAGCTATACAGCGTCAAGGTGTGGCTTGTACTGAAACTCTGCACTATACACAAACCGCAGACTTTCTCCACAGCGAAACATGTTGTCGAAACCTGCTGCATTGCCTCATGCATGTGACCTTTTGTACCTGTACTTCTGTGCTGCACTGGCTCTTCAACACTCCTGTCATAGCGCTGCTTCCCTGCATGCATGCCAAGCATTGTGCAGCCAATGTCAGCCCTTCCACTGAGGACATCCTGCCATGCTTGAAATTCACAGTGCATGGCAGATTACAAACTCAGATCAGATGGTCTCCATGACATTCATGGAACTTCCATGGATTACCAGTGGCGGCGTAAGCTGCACGTTCTCACCTCACCCATTGTTGACCCCTTTGACTTTTTGGTGCTGTGCAGCCGGTGGCTGTGCGCAGCAGCATAGATGTGTTTGGGGAGAACAAGCGGCTAGTGGTGGAGATTGGGTCGGCCGAGTTTGGCAGCGTGGTGTACGTCATCATTGCAGCCGTGCAAGTTGGCTCCATCACCATGACCACCAAGGAGGGCCAGCAAGTCACCAAGGTATGCAGCTCCTGAGTGAACGATTCCAATTGTTGAGCTGTAGTCAATGTATTCAGTCTGGTCATCTTGTGTGGTCAATATGTAAGGTGCCTGATTCACGCGGCCGGCGTGGTTTCTTACAGGTGCAGTGTATGGATCAGAGTCTTTTAGCAAGAGCGCACAAAGTGTAGCTTTGGTGCATGTCGAGCTGATGGTTTAATGCAGAACTGATGGGCGGACGAGCCGTCCAGGGCGCTATTAGTTGAGGTGTTCCTATGGTGTGTTATCAGATCTTCTCCAAGCTATTTGACAGTGATGATGTGCATGGTGCGCACAGGGTCAGGAGCTGGGCTACTTCAGCTATGGTGGATCCACGGTCATCACAGTGTTCCAGCGGGGAGCAATAAAGTACGACGCAGACCTGCAAGCCAACAGCCGGAAGGCCACAGAAACACTGGTGCACATGGGCTCCTCCCTGGGCGTTGCCACTGGGAAATGAGCATGCTGTGGTACAGTACTGGCCTTCATAGCATTTGGAAAGCTCATCAAGATAGGTGTACGGCATTTTGGCGCGAATTTGTTCTACGAGCATTGACAGCTCCTGGACATCGCCAGTCGCAGAGGCGTTGTGCAGCTGTGCAGTAGTGCATTATTGAAGTCAAAATTGGTGCTAGAGCACTAAACACAAATATTAATACGAGGAACATTCGTGCAGAGTTTTCTGTAGTACGCATGATGCGTAACGCATCTGAAAAGCCGAGGCTGATCCATCTGTCTGTCAAGGGGGTCCGTGATGAAGAAGCTGGAGGAAGCAAGCCATGTGCACAGTTCAAAATTTTCCCGGCTCTTTGGTTGATGCAAAATATTTTCATTGCTTTGGAACTTTGAAGTCTGCATCCCTCTTTCTGTCATCACCGCTTGTGTTCCACAAATTCTTACATTAGGCAAATCTGAGTTCGAATTCAAACATGCTCAAAAGGCGTTCAGCCGTAGCTGGACTGGGTCTTGGTCATCTCCCTTTCACTGTGCAAGGCAGTGCTGCCCTGCAGTGACTGCCAGTGTCACAGTGCGGCTTCACTAGGTGCTTATGAGAGTCTTTCGACTAAATGACCGAGTTGATTCACTGCTTCGAAGCAGTACTGCCATTGCACGTCGAGCCATCATGGCCAGCATGATGCACGCACTGCACAATGCATTCCAGACGGAGCTGCCCACTAAGTGTCCCAAGCTGAGCACCAATTGGTGATTCTGCATGTGCTGCACTGACGATATCACAAATGCTTTAATGGGACCACCCTCCATATACTGCCAGCTTTGGGGTATCTTGATCTTAACATTGTTGATCTGACCAAGCCATGCAGCTGAAATGCATTGCAGATCGTGATAGTCACTGGTACAATGTAGCTCAATCCGTTCCCAGCAAGTCTTCCGGCATACAAGGACCTTTTGGAGTTGGACGGATTCATGAATCGATCAATTTGGAATTGATCAATCTGTCTTCTCAGTGATGAGAACACGGTCTTTATATCGACAGGTGCCAAGATACCAGCACTCCAAATGTCTGATGGACTCATATGGCTTAGAAGAGAGACACAGATCTTCTAGAAAAAGCACAACATGACCATGAATAGCACCTTCACAGGATATCATGGAATTCAGAGTCGCACGGCACAAGCATTTTTTCAGCAATGCTGGTCTAGCAAAATATACTCATTTGTAGCATTCAGTAGCTAAGTACTTGAGGTGTTCACACCGGCATATTCACAGCTGATGAACACAGTGCCACACCTGCTGCTCTTGTAACAAATCACACCTTAAACTGTTGGAAAAAATTGATGCAACTTGCACCATGCAAGCTAACCAGTTTCTGCAATCATGCATGACTGCGCAGTCTTCTACATAGGATAAAAAAGGCAATGAAGGCGAGCACAGCAATGAAAAACATGCCGCATGCAGCGCTAACAGACTCTACTGACAAGAGGGCTCAGTTGGGCATTGCACATAAAATTGTCGTGCACGCAAGCTTCTCAGGCGCAAACCAAAACTGCATGCGGAGTGAGGCCACTGCCCTGCAGACAGTACCGCAGCATTGCCTCGGGTCCACTCAGGAACTCATGGGGCAGGTAACAAGACTGGTGCTGCATATATTCACTCGCGAGCGTGGCAGCCCTTTGTTTCATTTACATGGCGCTCGCACTGCTTTGATGCCTGCATATCTCTTTCTATACTGTCAGCAACGTTGCAGGCTGCTGGGTTGAAGCCTTTGCTCAGCCAGATGGTCCGGAGGCAGCGGCGCTCACACTCTTCAGGTAATCATAAGTCGCCTTGCAGGTGCCGCTCATCCACACTGCACCGTCTGCAGAAACCCAGGAGAACGTGCGTTTCACTGCTAGCGTATAAATACTGACTATGCATGACAGATACGTGAAGGACCGTATCTCTGCTAGTGACTAGAGTGGTACGCACATGGACCCTGTATACCTTCCATTCATTTCTAGATCCCTTTCCTCAATAATTCGTGAGTGTGCTTTCGCTTTGAATCCCCAAGCGCGAGTTTTGACATTGCCATTTGGATTTTGGGCAGGCTACAAGTCAATGACACATTTTGGCTAGCACCTCTAGTACTGGGCGTACTAAAACTGCCAACAAATGCGCATAATGCGCAGGAGGCCGGCATGGACAGGGTGGGAAGAGGTGTCTCTCCAGGAGACCTTTTAAAGCAGTATCGAAGCGAATCATCAGAGCAAAAGCAAGTGGGGTCAAAACAACAGCACTCCAGGGATGATCATATATCTCCGGGAGACCACCGAAGCAGTAATCAAGCAGAGCAAAAGAGCAAAAGCAAGTGTGGTAAGAAAACAAGAGTTCTCCAGGGATGTTTACCTGCCAGGTTGCCAGTGTCAGGCTTGGGGACAATGTCAATGGGCTTTGTCCCATCATTCGCTGGAGCATTGGGGTTGCCTCCCTGCGCCACCAGGTACTCCAGAGTGGGAGCAGCCCTGCACAGCGTGCTTCTTCCAATCAGCTGCGCTGAACACTGGGCACTTTTGTGTGGGGTAGCAAAGACTATTAGTACACGCTCTTTTCCGCCCGCCACCGAGATGCAAAGATGCGTCTGCAGACAAGCTGCAGGAAAAGGCTGCCACGATTCTGCCTTTGTTGGACTCAACTCGCGAGATCCCAGCAAGAACCAATCAACCGTGGGCACGGTGCTCCCCCGCCCCTGCCAGCTGGGGCGAATACACTACAGAGGTATTTGGTCAGACAGGCTTCATGATCCGATGTGTTTGAGAGAGTGCAATGAGGGAATGCTGGTAAGGACTTGCATGTAGGAAGCTTGGGAATCTGACGGCGAACCTTACCCAAAGAATTGAACTGTGGCGTTTGCAGGGTAGCTCTTCAAATTTGTCAGGCAAGTGGCGTCCTGGGAATTGCTGCGCAGCGCAATCATACCACTATTTGTTAAGCGCCCCAGACATGCAAGGACATTACGTTTTGTTTTTGCTCGCCTCTCACGAAGCATGTTTGCGAATGCTCACTTCATCATTGACTGGGTGTGCATTATAGTATAATACAGAGGTAGATGATAGGGGATGCTCACTCTGTGCAGCTGTTGGTTGAGCAGCCGCAGTCATCGCAGCTCAGTCGGAAATCACACCTGCAAACACAGGACGCGCATTTAAACTCTGGACATCCAAAGGAAAACTTCTCTCTTAGGAGCCCGGGGTCTGGAGAAGGCAATTACAGACCATGTTCTGCCAGCTTGGTGAAAGCAAATCATGCAGAAGGTCGCCAACATCGTGCTCACTTGGCGGCAGAATGGAGGGGAGTGTATCCTCGGTCATCTTTCTGGTTCACATCTGCCCCGGCTCTCACCAGATCTGCAACCAGCCCGTGCCTGAACACAATATTTGTCACCACTACTGCTATCAAATTGTCCTGCCTGGATGAGAAGAGCGAAGAGTCAGGAAGCCAAGCCATGATCTGGACATGCAGAGGCTGCCCTGGATAACTCCAAGCAGATCCTGCCTCACCTGTTGCCATCATAGGATTCAAAGTGCAACACAGTATACTTGTCCAGGCCGCCGTAGGGAAATGGTATCTTTGGATCCGCCCCTGCAACCATGCCAAGCTACCACCATCAATAATCAGTGATACTTGCAAAGACAGCACTTCCTTCCAATCTCGTCCCATATCAAAATAAGAATCTGATCAGCCACCCACCAGCTGCTAACAGGGCCAGGACTGTGTCTCGAAAGTTTGGCGAGCAGGGATGCCAGTAGACTGTGAAACTGTCAAAAGCTGCGTGAAGGGCTGTCTCTTTGGCTTTGTCCAAAGCATCAACTTCCATGCCCGCAACGCCTGTCAGGTACTTGACGCTTGCGCTCTGCCAAGCCACAGCTGCAGTATGGAGGACAGACAGGCAATCGCCTTCGTGATTGCCAAAAGCAGCGTAATTACTGCACCACCCAGGTGGATTGTCCCCTTGGCACTCTGTCGGCTGGCCTTCGTAGCACTTAGAAAGCTCATCGAGATACGTGTACGGTTTGGTGGCCCGTATATGCTCCACTAGCTTTGACAGCTCCTGGACATCGCCCGTCGCAGATGCGTTATGCAGCTGTGCAGTCAGGTCCTGCGAAGTCACACTTGGTGCCAGCAAACACAGCACACACAGAGTAATTAGCAGCATCTTTGCAATGTGCCTGAATCCTGCCGATCCGCTCATCGTTCATCAAGCTCATCCGTGTGTCTTCCGCGGGGTTACTTACCGTGAAGCTTCGGTGGAAGGTTCCAAGAAGCGAGATATCGAAAGGGAGTTCCTGGGACCAGCTCTTTGGCCGATGAAGATCTGCAAAATTCTCATGGGGTATGGATTGGGCTCGCACTTTTATCCATCAATTGTTATTGCAGCTTTGCAGCGACCACGACCCAAAGTATCATGCATGCAGTGCAGCACTTGCAAGCCGGCTCAGCCGGCCCGGCTGTAAAGGCCCGTACTTGCGCAAAATCTTTGAAAAGGATATCTCGGAAGTATCATACAGCTACATAGCTGAGCTAGCTCTGAATCGTTTCCCTGTGGAAGCTTTGTGCAACCGCACTGCGACTTCCGCAGTCATCATGATGCCTGCAGCGACTGTCACAATGCACTAGTGCCGCTCAGTGACTTGGTGCTGATTTACCGTATTGATATGGCGTGGCGAGCCCACGTAGTACATTCCAAGGTATTGCTGGCCACGGAGATCTCCATAAGGTGGCTTGCCAGGCTTTGCACTGAGATCAACCTCATCATGGGATGGTGCACTGCATAGCTTAGGATGCATCCTATCAGTGTCCAAACAGGCCAGCCTCCTGATGCTGCACAGTCCGTCAATTGAAAATTGACCAACTGACCATGCAATGCGGCTGAGAAGCTTTGCAACACCTGAAAGTCACTGGCACAAGGCCGCGCAATCTCTGCCAAGCACAAACATATGACATAAGCTATGCTTCAAGGCAGGTTGCGATCTTCTCTACGGGTATGAGGAAGTACTTCTTCGTGCGGCAGAATACTGCCAGATTATTCCATTAGGTGGCAACAGCTGCATTGCTGATTCTGCTGCAGCTGACTGACACCCAAGCATGCTCCCTCCAAGTTGTTGTGTGTCAGGCGTACATAGGGCCTGCTTCGCTGCTGTGTATCCTGCGAGCTTCCGCCTGGACATGGCAGCAAGAGCACTTTGAGCTCTCAGCAGTTCCTCACTCACATCTGCGATGAGACAGCATAAGTATTGCTACAACCTTGTCATCACACCCTACCCTGTCCCCAAAAGTAAACAGTGGCCCTTCTCGAAGGCACCTCATCAGATGGCAGCGTACAGGAGTAAGTGAGAACCCATCTTGTCACCTGAAACTTGGCTCGGATGTCTTCAAATTCGTCGCACAGGTCTGTCAGAGCATCATCCATCACCTCTCGAGGACTCTTCTTGCCCTTGGTCTGCACCTTTATCAGTATGTGATAGTCCAGTGGGTGTGGGAACTTGTATCCAGCAAAGGTCACCTCCTTATCCCTGAGCAGTTGCCTGGAACAGAAAAAAGTGCAGTGACCATCAACTGCTCGTTGGAGTTCTGAAAAGACTGCTGAACAAGCTCTGCATTGGCTCGCTGGGTTTAGTGACCAGTATGCCTGTTGAACAACAAGAAGAATCATCTACGCATCAGGGCTGGGAGCACCAAATAGCACGTGTTTCTCGATTCAGTTGTGATGGTCAAGGATGGTTTCTCACATGCGGACGAGGTTTCCCACGGTATGATCCTCTCTCTGCAGTGTGAAAGTTGCCGCATTTGTCACCTTTGTATCTTTCTCCAAGGATATCCTGCAAGGAAAACATCTTTCTTAAACCTGATTCAGTTGGAGTGGAGATCGATTCTAAGCACGAAAGAGATCAACTGGGTGCATTGCAGTGTCCTGCAGAAAAAGCGCTCACTTTGGTACGCCATCCGGTACGACAAAGCGCTCAAATCTATCTGGTGCGTTCATGCAGACCTCAAGATTCCTTCAAGCTACAGAAACATGGACTTGGCGCTTCAGTGCTCCTGCAGTGTGCACCCTGCAAAGTGCAGTCTGAGATCCTGGCTGGAATGTCTAAAACGGTCAACAGGTGTCGTCTGGAGGACTGATATCGAGACCCTTCCTTAAAAGTTAGGAATGGAGTGCGACAAATGGCCTTACTGAATTGAGGCCATCAAATTCTGGGCCAGAGGATACAAATTCTGACTTAAAACCCTTGAGAGGTGAGAAAGGGCAAAACCCCACATCAATCTATGAAAAGCCACCTCATCTCCTAGGCTAATCATGAACTGAGATTCAAGATCTGGACTACTTGCCCACATCCAGTACGTGCAGTGCAGGAATGACTCTTGGAGAACTCACATGATGACTTGTACTGTTCAAGTGCATGACATGCAGTCATAGCTTTCTACCGGTGTGCATTCAGCCACTGGCAGCTCAATCAATATGACAAAATACTTTTGCTGTCATTCTGTTTCTGCCAGGCATAGTGTATTAACAGCAACTGGACTTGTTTTTGGACATGCTTCTCACACACCTAGCATTCAGTATCCTGCAGGTCTCACCCTTGGCTACTCCTACTCGCATCTTCTCTCTCAGCTGTCACAGTCCACAATCTTGAGAGCAGAGAGCCCTGTGCCACATGATGGAAATTGCCCAGAAACTGGTAGGCATGCGCGCTCAAGGACCCCAGTAGTAAAGCTTGCCAGGTTGCCAGGTATTATAGGCACAATGGGTCACCAGCTGCAAGCACCAGCGCCTCTGAAGCAGCCGCCACTTTGCTGATGCTCAAAGGTTGATGTTCTGCCAATATCAGGACCAGCCGCCAAAAGACAACCTCACCGGCAGATACTGCTGCCCCTGCTGCTGTGGAGGCGCCACGGCCACATGCTGCAGGGAGCCTCCCGGCTGCTGCATGGGTGAGCTGCGCTGCTCAGACGCGTGGCCTGCAGGCACCATCGGCTGCTGGTATCCCTGCCACTGCTGCTGCTGCTGCTGCGGCACTCCACCATAGGCTGCATCCCAGCCAGCAGAGAGCTGCTGCAGAGGCTGTCCTCCCATTGGAGCTGATCCCCCCATTGTCGGCCCCTGGAGCTGCTGCTGCTGCTGTGCTGGGAAGGAGCTGCCATATCTTAAGTCTGGCTCTCCTGCCTGGGCCCCTGTGTTAAACCCTGGGTAGCCAGCACTGACACCACTTGCTGGATGGCTGTGCCCGTGCACATGTCCGTAGGGCGCCTGGGGCGGAGTGGCCATGCTGTGTTGGTAGCCCTGTGCATAGGCCGGCTGGGGGCTGCGTGCTTGCTGCCGATCAAAGTCTGGGCGCTGTGCAGGCTGCGCTGGCTGCCAGGGGGATGATGCATGGGTGGGATACCCAAATGCCGCATCGTGCGGTGGGCCAAAGTGCTGCGATGGTGCGGCTGCAGCCTGCTGTCTGGGAAAGGAGAAGTCTTGTTGGTGCTGCTGGACGTGGCCTGTCTCTCTTGGAGCGGCAGATGGGGCCCATGACTGAGGCTGCCCAGGGTGCATGACGGAGCGCATGCCCTGACCATGCGCTGCAGATAAGGGCGTTCCTTGCGCCCCAGGCAGCCACTCACGCTGTGCGGCAGCTGCTGCATTGTCAGCTCCGCGCTCAAAGCCATTCCGGCTGCCGCCGCTCACAGGCCTGCTTTGTGGAGCCTCCTGCTGCCCAGGCCACTGCCGCTGCTCCCTCGACCTCTGAACACCCAGATGGTGTCCGGAGACGTCGAATTCCTCTTGCTGTGCTGCACTGCCTGCTGGCATCTCCCACGGGTATGCGCTCGCACGCGCACCCCTGGGCGCGTCTTGCACCGGCAACGGCCGGCCCGGCTGTGGCGCCGGCGGCGGCTGTTGCGGCCACTGACTCACCGGTGAGTCATCGTAGCCCGGCGACGGCAGCTGCGTCAGGGGCTGCTGCACGCTGCGCGCGTGCGGCGGCTGCGCGGCGCCGTACTGCATGTCTGCGATGTAACTTCGGTCAACAGACGGCGTTGCCTCATCTGCGAATTGCCCCGGTGAGGGTTGCTGCGTCTGTGGCTGCGCGGCTTCGTCCCAGCCGGGTTGAACAGACGCCCCTGCTGCGCTAGTGGGGCGCGGCTGCAGGCGGGATGGCCTGTGCGGCTGTCCAAGACCGGCAGGCACGGCTGGTTGTGGTGCATGTGGGGCATGCACAGGCGGAGTAGCGGGCTGCTGTGCAATGCTCCTCCTGGCAGACATCGCCCTGTAAAGCAACAGAACCACCCATCAACAAAAATGCATCGGGCCATCCCAGTGCGTAATGGACCACTGCCAGCACTCGAAGTGCCTTGATGCGCAAGGGGTGATACTGACGTTGAAAATTGCTGAGGGAGTGTCTCTATGGAGGGTGAAAATTGGTAAAATTAGAGGTTTGAAGAGGTGTCCGCACCTGACTGCAGCATCGGCTTTCTGGTTGGCCTTCTGGAACCTCAGGGGCACCAAGGTGGGCAGCGCCACAGCTCCAGGATTGGCAATCTGCAGTGAAGCACCAACCTCAGGATTAGCGGTATATAAGCCATGCACGAAGAAATTTGATATTGCTGCAGAACCCGTTGCACTTTGCTTATATAATATTTGATGCCGAAGGGTCAATGCCAAATATCATGTAATCAAAGGCCAAAATAGTTTCGGGAGTGCAGGAACCTGTATATTGTACTATTTCGATTTTGGGGTGTAGAACAATGACTACAGTAGATGCAGGGGCTCTGAAAGCGCACCGCAGCTTCAACGACAGAGCGCAGGGCAGCAGTCTGGACGGCAGGAGGCGTGGGGCAAGCGCTGCTCTCCACTGTCTGCTCCACAGGTGCCACAGCCTCTGCACATTTCAAGTTACAAATCATGCCCTCTGCATGTGGATTCAGCAGCACAGATCTGCGCATATTGCCAGCCATTAGATAGACATTCTACTGCGCAGAACACACATGAGGAACAATTGCTGAAGCATACCTGTGGCTGGCTCCTGGGGAGGGGCAGCCGCCGCTGCGGCACTTGGTTGCTGAGCTGGCAGGGGCGCCTGAAGGCCATCACAAGTAAGGATCACTTTCAGGTCACTACAATCACATCTTTCCTTACTGATTTTCACTTGTTTTCCAGTCCTCAAGGACGAAGGCACGTCAAGCAAGACCTAAATATTGCTTTCCAGTCTTCTCCATACTTGCACTTCCTCTACAAGTCCACCTGAAACTATTACTCTGCCATAACTGCAAGAAAGGAAGTGGAGCCTGTGACAGAGCATCTTGCAGAGTGGGCAGACCTGGGGAGGCGCGCTGTGCATGCTGGGCGCGACGGGCATGAGCCGCTGCGCCATGTCAACCATGACACTGTTGGCCAGGTCCCACAGATTGCCCCCCTGCACCCTCCGCCTCTTGGCAGCTGGAGCCGTAATGACACCGGGAACGCTGTCGGCCTGCTGCCTCTCCGACGCAGCGCGCTTTTCGCGGCTAGCCGCCGCCGCCGCCGCTGCGCCCGTCGCCTGATTAGGCCGTGCTGACGTGTCGCGGCCTCTGGGCTCCAGGTTCTGCGCGAGTGCACTTGGGTGCACGCTCTGCAGGACTGTGCTGCGTGGTGGTGCCGGCTGTGCAGGGAGTGGTTGTTCTGCCGGCACGGCAGGAGCTCTGCTGCCGGGCGGCAGGCCATAATCCGTGGCCGAGAAGCGCAGCTCTGACATGCGGCTGCTCCGGCCTCGGCTGTCTTGCACAGGTGGCGCTTGGGGCAGGGCCTGAGCCTGAGCGGGCCCCTGTGCACTCCTCAGAGGTGGTGATGCCGATCTTGGCTGTCCAGGAGCTGCCTGCTCTGCACGGGGAGCTGCCTCCTCAGCAGCCGGCAGCTGCCGCGTAGCTGTGCGAGCGGCTTCTGGCTGCGCCGCCTTAGGATCTGAGAATGACAGTCCGGCTATGAAGGAGTTCCAGCTCTCCTGGGGGCCGTTGTTGTCATTGCCGGCCTCTCCAGGCGTGATTGCTGGCGCAGAAAGACGCCGTGCTGGGGGCGCCTCTGCGCTGTGCTTAGCGCTGATGGGCTGCAGGCTTGTCAGATCAACGGGTGTCATCTGCGGCATGCTCTGCCGCCTGTCATATCCTGCCATATCTGTCCGCTGGACAGCCCTGTACAAAGAAAGCAGACGATCATTAGGCACTGGATCAAATTAGTGCTGAACGTCATAAACTCTTCGGATCACGTCAGCATGACACCAAGCAAGTCCACTTACACAGTATGTGATGCCAGCATCTTACCATGTATGACCTGCAGCTCTTCAGATTTCAAAATTTTGAATTGTGTGCTGACAACAGGGATCTGCTTGTACCTGTCAGCAGCTGCCGGCCTTCTGGCAGCAGGAGCCGAGGAGGGCGCCTGAGGGCTGTCGCTCGCCGCAGTACTCCTGCGACGGAGTAAACCTTCCTGGAGCCTTCTCATCCTCGATCCGGCAGCTACTGCATCTGACTCCTCTCCCGCCAGCTCCTTTTCCCCGATACCCCTCTGGACTGCTAGGCCGGATGTATCAGCAAGCCTGCTGCACGGACCGCGCATCCTGTCTCGCAGCTGCGCTTCCAGCGCCTCAGCTCTGGGAGCACCGCTGCTCCTAGCCTGGCCCTTGCTCCTCCACGCCGGCTCAGCCACTGCATTGTCCGCGTCATCATCTGCCACCTCGCTCGCAGTGACATCATCTCCCCGTCCTGGCCGACACCCAGCGGCTGACCTGACGTCTGAAACAGCCTCTCCTACAGCGGCGGCTGCTGCGGCTTCCTGTGCACCGACAAGGCGGCCGCGCAGCTGCTCACCGGCCGCAGCCTGTTCTAGCGTGGCAGTGGCGGCAGCGGCCGGTGCCGCGCCCCGAGCAGGGACGGTTTGTATGAGCCCCAGCAGCTCTGTCAGGCCGCGCGGAGAGCAGCTTGCAGGCACGGCCGGGCGCTGCAGCAGACTCCATACCACTTCGTCCGGCGTCGGCACTCCGCTCACAGCCGCTCGTAAGGGAACCGCCGGCTCAGCGCGCGTCATTGGCTGCGCCAAGGCTGCCTTCAGTCTGCTGCCAGCTGCACCGGCTCCATCCGCGGCATCTCTGCCATATGCGGCTGCGTGTGCGGCTTCTCTGCTGCCGCGCTGATGAGCAGCGGATGCCGGCTGCTGGCTCTGCTCAGCGCCCGCAGGTGCCGTGATTGCCCTCTGCGTCCGCCGCTTGGCCTTGTGGCGGCGCGGCTGAGCAAGAGCGTCCGGCTTTGTCAGCACTGTCATGCGCGCCATGCTGCCGGACACCTCTGGAACAGCAGCTAAGGGTTGTCAATGCAAGAATTGGGACTCTGTCTGACTGGTCAATGACATTTGGAAAGACACTGTATGTGCAACATCTGGGGAATGCGTGCTTGTTACAAAGAGATCTGCAAGGACACGTGCTTGAGAACAAGCTAGTCCAGGAACAGGAGGTGCATACATGAAGAATGAGTTAGCCAGGAGCTTACCATTGTTGTCTTCCTCTGTTGGCGCAGTGGCAACGCCATCTGCACAGGCCTCCAAACCGGCTTCTTTGAATGTAGAAGGGCCCTGGTCTGACTGGGCAGCCCCTTGCCTTGGCGAGTCCAGCTCAGGTTGGCTGCGCTGCAAGTCGTTGGCACCCAAGGAAAGGTGCAAGACGGGTGCCTGCATGTGCAAGTTTGGCATCAGTCATTCCCCTGGCCACATATATCTTGGCAATGTCAAGCAGTGTCGCGTACTCTTAAACCAGATATATCCAAACCGGAGGAGGCTTCGGTGCTTGCCTGGCTGCGAAGCTGGCTCCCAGATGCCTGGATTTGCTGTTCTGACCCATACAGTGTACCCTGCGTGCTGGGTTGCCAGGAGGGGGAGTCATAGTTTGACTCGGATGAGTCATCCTCTGACTCAGCATCTGAGCTGGACTGATCCCGTGCATTGTGGTAGCTCTCCTCCACATCTGTACCCACCTCAGCGGCAGGCCCCTGCAGGTCCTCCCTGTTCCCTGCATCTGCTGCCCCATCAGCATGCACTCCTTCTGCCGCCGCCGCTTTGGCGCGGCCGACAGCTGCCTCTGGAGTGGGAACTGGCAAGTCTCTGAGAGGAAGAGACTCTCTTAGCACAGCTGGGGGCGACTCTGCTGACTCCATATTGTGGGGCTGCTGATCGGGCTCTGCAGATGGAGCTGCCCGCTGTGGCCTGTCCTGACTGCCTTTCTCCCCAACGGAGCCCTCCTGGCTGCCCTTCTTGCCCTGGCTGGGCGCTGCAGCAGCCTGCACCTGGGAGTTTGACTGCAGACTGCAGTTCTCCTGGTTCTCTGTCCCCAGCCCATCCTCCTTTGTCTGCTCTTCCTCTGCCCCACCATCAGCGCCCTCAGCTGGCAGCTGCACGTCAGCCATCTCAGCGTCTGGCATCTCCTGATCGGGCGCAGCGTCCTGGTACTGCGTCTCAAGATTCAGCTCTGAGCGTGGCTCTCCGGTCAGCTCGGGCTGCGGCTCAGAGGGGTATGAGTCAGGCACCAGCTGCTCGGACTCTGTCAGGCCCTGCAGCTGCGTCGCAGCTTCTGCATCCTGTGGGTCCCCGCTGCCACCTGCCGCCAGTTCAACAGCATCCTCCTGATCTGGCTCAACTGCCGGCGCAGCTTCTGAAGCCACGGCCTCTGGAGCACTGCTGGCACCTGCCTCCAGGTCAGCGGCATCCTGATCTGGCTCGGCTGCCGGCTCTTCCCATGCAAATCTGGATGGCATGCGCAGTGCACCTCTTACAGCACTCTGATCTGAAGGCGTGTTCACGATGTCCACATCGCTGTCTGTCTGTGTCTGCTGAAGGAACAGCTGCTGCACGCCAGAAGGTGGCCCTTCATCTGCATCCTGTGAGCCTGCAGGTGGCTCTTCTGCGGTGCCAGGCGCATGACCATCCGCCTCAGCATCATCCAGTGAGTCTGCAAGCCTGATTTCTTCCAGGGGAAGCGGGCCACTGCTGGCAGGCTCTAGCTGATCCTCCCCCGGCTGATCCTCCACTATCTCTGCAGACGCGCCCATTGCAGGGTCTGCCTGGTGCATGACTGAGCTGCATGGGGGCCCAGTGGTCTGCAGATGTGCATGCACCAGCTCCATGAACTCCTGCAGAGCTGCCAGGGCCTCTGCCTTGGGGTAGGAGTGGGTCATTGCAGCGACCACATCTGCATGCCCCATGCTGCATTCCGGCTGCGGCAGGCGGTCTCCGCACTCTGACAGAGCTCTGAAGAAGTGCAGGAGCTCGGTCTTCCTCTCCTCCAGCGCAGGAGACAAGACATTTTGCTCGGCATCAGAAGCCTCGAATATGTCTTCGACTGCGTCTGTGAAGTCGTCCAATGGGAGCTCAATCCCTTCAAGGATGTGCAGCACTGCCTGCAGGATCAAAACTGACAACTCAAGAGAGTAAGGACTGTGTAAAGTATTTCAAGGCACAATGGAACCATTGATGTAGTCTTTTGATCTGCAGTGTGCGGCAAAATACCTGCGTGCGCAGGACAACATGGTGTTGGATGCTTGCCGTTCCATCCTTGAGCTGGAGAGCAACATCGGATACAACGGCCACTACGTCATCGTCAATAGTGCCCTCCTGTTAACACAGGACAGTCAAGGCAACGCCTTAGCATTTGCAAAGTGTCAAATTTGAAGGATATGCACAACCACAACAAATGGGAGCAAGCTACGGAGACCACTGCACCAGTGTAGAATCACCTTCAGTTTCTCCTGCAGGACTAAGAATTGCAGTTGCAGCTTTGCTCTATCGCTGAGTGGTCGATCTCCAAATGATTCGAGAAGTCCTGAGCATCACATGGTGATCGTCTGATGTCACAAAATCTTCATGACAACCGACTGGACAAGCTTTACATAAGGTCATAAAAGCAAACCTGCTATGTGCTCCCGCTGATGACTTTCACTCACGATACATTTCTCCAATTCTAGTTCCAACGCTTCAGGCTCCATCACATCCATTTCGGCTTGAAATTTGACTTAGTGCTACCCCTGTGAAGCCATGTGGTAACTTGAAAAGCGACAGCAGATACTCAGTCGAAGTAGAGGCACTGAATCTGCTGGTGCCAGTAATCGTGTTCAAGAAGAGAATTCATCATGCTATGCTAAGATCGGGAGTGACGTTCGCGCAGCACGCATGCCAGCTGGTGCCTCCGTGGCCACTGGCATGTGCCGAACGCCCATCAGAAGGTCGCTGGAACACCAATTTATTTCGTGAGGAGATATTACTAGTTGAGAACATTCTTGTTCAATTTGCTATTAATTGGCGTGATGCTTGCTGATGAATTGATTGGCCTTACACGCATGTCGTCGTCATGTTTTAAAGTGCTTGTCTAAAATAGTTCCTTCCGCATCCTTTCCAATGGGGATCGCTCACTGCTTGCACAGTATCGGCAGCAGCATAGGATTGCATATCGGCCGTAGGCACAGTGTTTCACTGATGCCTCACATCCAGATCAGAGGCTCCGTGTCCCCTTGGAGTCGGGTACAGCAGCTTGGCCATCGTAGTCACAAACAATGCCGATCAAGTACGGCTTCCAGGCTGCATGTCTTTGCGTCGGCTGCTGTGGCAGAGTCAGCAGGTAGGCGTAGCCCTGCTTACCTGCTTTTCACTAGCTTGATTGTCTTGCTGCCTGCATCAGATCAAAAAATACTTAGTAAAGGAGATGAGGTGTGGCACGTACAGATCCAGCACTGGGTCAGAGGCCGACGGCAGGCTATATGCTGCCGCCACAAGAGATCATCGACCTTGTGGATGTACCACCCGAGCCAAACCTCTCTTTCTCCCCAGACCGCACTCAGGTGCTACAGCTCTATCGGCCACCCCCGCTGCCCCCCATCAGCGAGGTCGCGCGCCCAGAGCTCAAGCTTGCCGGCAAGCCCCTTCCCTCCATGCATGCGGCTGTCATTGCCCATCTCAATCCTTGCTGGAACTTGCAATATGACGAGATCCTGTCTCAAATCCTGTGCACGACCACGTCAATTGAAGTCTCTTCTGAACTGTCAAATGATACTGATGAGGGTATGCTTGCACGGCGCAGGCCTTAGGATAGATGCGGAAACAAATTCTGGAAGCCGCATGGGGTATTACCTTGGGCTGTCCATAGTGCAGATGACGGACGATCTGGTACTGCCGGCTCCCAAGGAGCGCACCACGCCCATCGTTGGCTACCCGGAAGGCCTCTGGATCAACCTGGTGTCCTGGTCACAGGATGGCCGCCACATCGCCTTCACAGTGCGCAGCCCTGGTGAGTCAGCAGTGCTAGCAATTTCTCGGTGGTCAATCCCCCCACGTAAACAGCAATCTGGTCTGCCATTTGGATTTTAATCAAGCATTCTGGGTGTCAGAGTGCAGATACGGTCAGCAAAATAATAAATGTACCACTTTATTAAGTAAATCCTCACAGTTCTCATTTCATTTCTCCCTTTTTAAACAGCAATAAACAGCAAATGGGTCTGTCATTCTGGATTCATGATCAATATTTTGGGTACAAAACTACAGATACAGATACAGATAAAAAACAGATACTGACAGCAGAGCAGCATGCAACCATGATGGGCCCTCATTCCTGAATCCTCATTCCTGGGAGGCATAAAACTGCAAGTAATGGGCATGTGCCAGCAGTCGGCTTTGAACACCAGGGCGTTACTAACGATTGTCTAAAGGCTGAGTAATTTGCAGGCGGCCCCAGTGATCCACCCAGGCAGCCGCTGGAGCTGTGGGTGGCTGAGACAGCCACTGGCCAGGCACGCCGCCTGCTCAAGTCCCCGGAGCAGGGGCTCAGCAGCATCTTTGACGAGTGCGCACTCCCAATGCATCCCCTGACCCTGCTATGACTTGTCAGCCTTTGAGTAATACCCAGAATGTCTACCTGATATAATGCACTGAGAGCATTTTGCATTTGGCCTGCCCCCAAGAACATACCACCGAGGCAATTCCTGACACTTCAGGCTCCCGTGCCTCTTTAACGGCGTCCAGTGAAGGTCTTTAACAGCCACTGCTTTCTCCTGGAATAAGGCACCATTTGCCTATGAAATAGTATTTCGTGAGGTAAAGGCTGCAGGTAATGGCTGGCACATATCCTACCCCTTGACGGACTGGCCAGGTCCAAGCAAGACCCAATCAACTCTGGGGCATGATTCACATGCTCGGGTGTTGACATGTGTGCAGCTACATGTGGGTGGACAACGACACCATTGGAGCGGTCGTGATCCCTCCAGGGAGGGGGCCCCCGCCAGAGAAGCCGCTGGTGCCCATCGGTCCCAACATTCAGGACAACACCTCTGGCAAGACCAGCCAGGTCAGCACCACCATTGAGCCCACCTCCTTGCAGAAAGACCACCTGCATCTGGTCTGCTTCATGAATTAGCTAGAAGGCTTAAAGGCCACTGAATTGCATGTTTTCAGCAATTTCACTCCTTGTACTGGCACACTGTATGGGATGGCCTGAAGTCTCTTGAGAGCTGTAAATGGCAACTTTCTCTGCCACACAAATATAATCGTGCTCATTACTGAGAGTAAATGGTGGGGCAGGCGCGGACTTATCCAGATCTGCTGAAGAGCCCGCATGACGAGGAGCTGCTGGAGCACTATTGCCAGTCTAACCTTATCTACATCAAGGTACCCCCCTTCCTGAATCTTATGTATTTGGCAGCAGGACCCTTGTCTCAGAATATTCGACTTGCATCAAGGAGATCATTTGCTGCATGGACTGTTGAAAGTTTGTGGCAGCATGCATGGATCGTCCAGTATACCCTCTCTATTTGGCCACTTCAAACAGTTGCAGCCGCCTGCACATGTGCTTTCAAAGGCGCCAGGTCTCTGCTTTGTCAATTGTGCATCCCTCAGCCATGCACTGATTTAAAATTCTGCATGCATGTGGCGGCAGGTGTCGACAGGGGAGGTGACTCAGCTGGGGGGCACGAAGCTATACACATCGTTCGCGCCGTCCCCGGATGCCAGGTTCCTGCTGGTTGCCTGGCTGGAGCGCCCGTTCTCCTACACCGTTCCCTGCGGCCGCTTCCCCAAGCGCGTTCAGCTCTGGGACAGGTCCTTGCATTCTCCTGTCATTCTCCTCAGCCAATATTTTGCCACCTTAACAGTATTCGTGCAGACCTGCAATTTGGGCAGCATCAGCCACTAGTACTCTCCGCTGCCTGGTGGACTGATCTCAACCTGCACATGGAGTGCCATTCTGCTGGGTGCCACCTCAGCACCATGGCATTCCACTTTATCTGTTTACCATGCAACTTCTCTGCAGGCTCATGTGCAAAGGATACCTTTAGGATGTCCTGTGACCGTGCCAGTCCATGATTTCGACACCTGATGATGATGTCAGCGAGTAATTTATCACTCAGAACGGCATACGATCGGCAATGGTGCCTTGCGCTGCCGGGTGAGACTGTATCTTATTCCAGTCTCGCCCTCACACAAGTCCCTTCTGGATGAGGAATATCTGTGGTTGTTGCAGGTCGGGGAAGGTGCTGCGCGAGATGGCGTACCTGCCGCTGGCGGAGGACATCCCCATCCTCTTCAACTCGTGCCGCCAGGGGCCGCGCTCCATCGACTGGCGCTCCGACCGCGACGCCGAAATCACCTGGATCGAGGCCCAGGTGCGACGCGTGACACTTGCCCGACATAGGCATACATAGGCCTTGGGTTTTTCCTGTGAAGACTGCTGAAGATTGCAACAGATGCGGTTCATCTAGATCGCAAGCTCAGTGTGAGGCCCGGAAGCGACTGCTGCCGCTTGTACTGCACAAGCTGTCAACCATTTAAGCTGCATGCCTTGAGCTATGCTGTGAAAGGTGTCAACGTCATGTCATAGCCCTTTGTTAAGGTTTGTGTTGCCCCTAATGGCTGCTCGGTATGCCACATCCCACTAGAGTCCAGAGCAGGAGGTCAGCATTGAAGCACTTAGCTGAGCCTGTTGTGAGAAACAAGGCATGAGTTGTTCTTATGCAAGCGGTATCCTGTGTCTGCATAGGATGGCGGCGACCCCAGCGTGGAGGTATCGCCCCGGGACATCATGTACCGCCTGCCTGCTGACGAGATCCTGGCTGACGCGGACGCAGCACCACATCACCTTGCACATACAGACCTTAGGTAAATGACTTTTTCAGGACGCGAGTGCTCATTTTTAAAGTCTCATCTTTCTGTCCTAGGTGTCAGGTGCAAGTTGCCCATTCCAAGGTGCCTTTTGCACCGCTGTATTGCTTCATACTCATGCCATTCTGCTTGCACGCAATATGCGTGCATGAATTGGGTGCCATGATATTGTTTTGGCACTCTCAATCCTGGTGATTTTTGTGGTCTCACCGCATGCTTCGTTTCAAGGGTGTCTCTTTTATGCTGACATGGCGCAAGGGCGGAGGGATGCCTGGGGCCACAAGATGTTGGACCTAGTATCCCCCTGCCCAACACTGAATTTGGAAGTCCATTCAAATCTCACCCTTTCGCCTGATCTGGCAATTCACCGAAATTCCTATTTAGGCGCTTGCATGTGCAGGTGCGGAGGGATTGCCTGGGGAGACGACTCGCTGGCGCTGCTGTACGAGAGCTGGTACAAGACGCGCCGCAGCCGCGTGTGGACTATTGCCCCGGGAGACCCGGCCCGGCCGCCGCAGCTGCTCTTTGACCGTGACTACGAGGACGCGTATATGGACCCGGGCTCTCCCGCAAACCGTAGGACAAAAAGGGGCACCTATGTACTGGCGCAGGTCGAGGGCACCCGCCAGCTCATCATGCAAGGTGCGGGCTGGGTTGATCTCCCTTTGAAATACATTTATATTTTCTTCTGTCTTCCATGTGTCTTATTTTCGCACACATGTAACTTTTCAATTCGGCTTGAGGGGGTCTGCCAGCTCATCATGCAGGAAGTTGGCATTCTGGATCAATTTTCTCTGGTTGTTTTGTTGTCGGTTGTCCTTTTCTTTGTATCCAGCACAGAGGGCACCACCAACTCATCATGCAGAATGTTGCAAAACTTATTTCCTTCTGATATCCTTTCTGGCATATTTTGACAGTCTGAACCCACCACAGCTAGCACCTGTCACAGCTCTTGAGCTATATTGAGTGATTCTTGGAAGACTTCTAGAAAATGCAACCTGGGGGGCCATGAAGCCCTGCAAAGTTGCCCGGCAGCAAGTGCGCAAATGGGAATTTCCCTTTCTTGCTGGGTTGAAATTAAGCTCGCTGGGGCTTCAATCGCTGCAGGCTGCATCTATCAAAGAACTCCTAGTTGATGAGCTATTGCCCTCTTCATACGCTCTCCTCAGAGATATCCCCGGTGCGCAGGCACTGGCGCGTCGCCCGAGGGCAACCGCCCATTTGTGGAGCTCTTGGATGTGGACACGAAAGAGACGCGGCGGCTGTGGCAGAGCAGCCCACCCTTCCTTGAGTACACCATGAACCTGCTCAACGACTGGGATGACGCACCCATCAGGTGACAGCACTTGCACCCTGAATCAAACATGACTCCTTTGCCTGGAAGACCTGCAAGCGTCGCATACCTTGACATGCCAGAAGCTCAGAGCGTATCAAGGATATTCTGACACAGGAGTAGCTTGTCTATCACAGATCAGACACTTGAAAGGCACCTTCATGCATGCACTAACTCAGACGTGCTTGGAAACTACCTCTTAGGAGCGGGGTGCATTAGTCTCATTCCTGTCATTGGTCACAATGCTACCAGGATGAAACAAAGACCTGCAGGCCCCCGGATGCTTGAAACAAAGACCTGCAGGCCCCCGGATGCTTTGTCTAGCCTGCAAAATCAGCACAAGTTTCCTCCACGCAGAGGTCAACCATCACGCCTGTCCTAAGGCAAATTATTTCATTGCAAATATATCCCTAAATCCTTAAATTTCATAAGGATGAAAGTATAATTGTTTTGTGTGCAGCCTGGAGGGGCTGAGCCTGCTGATGACGCGGGAGACGGTGCGGGACACACCCCAGTATTATATAATGCGCCTGTCCAGCAATGGCGCCGGGCCGCAGCTGCGGTGCCTGTCGGACTACCCGCACCCCTACCCCTCCCTCAAAGACCTCCAAAAGGAGGTCATCAGGCGCGCGCCCCCTCCTTGCCATGCTTTATTCTGATGCGCTGCCAAGTGGTGGCGGCTGTACTTGATCCATGCTACCTTCTCATTGATGTCGGCAGTGCTAAAGTATGTAGTATCGGGGCTTGATGCCTCTCTGCTAGAGGAGCTGGAAGTTGCAGCTGTTGTTTAGTTACCGCTCACAAAGCATGCCCAAGCATGCCTCTTTCATGCATGATGCATGGCAAGTGCACCTGCTACTACCATGCAAAATGCTGGTTTCAGAAAAAGACACCTTCCTTGTGTGAGAGTGCAGGTACAAGAGGGAAGATGGGCTGGACCTGACGGCAACGCTGTATCTGCCGCCCGGCTATGACAAGGAGCGCGACGGGCGGCTGCCCTGCATCCTCTGGGCCTACCCCCGCGAATTTAAAACCAAGGTGGGTGACCCACGGGGGCTGCTGAGCTGCACGCAGCACACCGCCAAGTGAATAACTGTCATAGGCCCTGTGCACATATTGCATGTCCTTTTCAAGGCGTCCCTTTCACCTTCCTCGGGCGCTTGCACTGCCATTCATGTCCTAATCACTTTCCTTGAATTTGGCTTGCTTCTCGAGTGCCCCGCAGTCAGCTGAGCACTCATCTCCCTTGTTATGGGCTCATGGGTCCTCAAGGGACCTTCCACACCTACAGCGTTGCCACAGTCCCACCCAGAAAACAATGAACACGCAAGAGCGATTATCAAGATTCAGGATGGAAGAAGCATGTGCATGAGCTCATGCAAGGTGATGAAGAAGCATTGCATCATATTGCAGCTCTACAATTTGATCCGAAAAAGATCTTCTTCTGGCGCAGGATGCTGCAGGTCAGATGCGCAAGAGCCCGCACCAATTCAGCGGCATCGGGTCGCAGTCGCCGCTGCTGTGGTTGGTGCGAGGGTACGCCGTCCTAGACGGGCCCACCATGCCAATAGTGGCAGAGACCGACGACGCCGAGCCGAATGACACCTACGTGCCCCAATTAGTCGCCAGCGCCAAGGCGGCCGTGGAGGCGCGTTCCCTCCCTGCACTCCTGCTATTCTGATATTGCCATACTGTCATGTCAGTTGTCTCTGCAATGTGTGAGGAGCTGTGTGTGCAGCACGCACTGAGTAATTTTCTGCTGTATGCTATTGTCTGCAGGAAGCGGACAGGAGAGGCGTGGTGGACACTTCGCGCATCGCAGTGGGCGGCCACTCCTACGGCGCCTTCATGGCAGCCAACCTCCTGGTGCGCATGCCAGCTGCATGCATACTACTCACAAGCCAAAAGGCAGATGAATGCAGACTACATGCTCGTTGTCAATAACATTTTAGTGTCGCTATAACATAATACATAACAAGTGTTGACCCCGGCTGGCAGGGGCCGATCCAACACTGAACATCGTGCCCACGGTTGATTGGGTTTCTAATTTGAATCTGGCGAGTCCATCAGGGGTAGGGGTTGTTGCAGCCTTTGCGTGCAGCTTGTCCGCAGACGCAACTTACCTCTGGCAAGAAAAGCATGTAGTTATTACGAATCTTGCCCTTCTCCTTATCCTCTGGGGCTCGCACTGCCCAGGGGACTCTAAACTGACTTGTTTAGAGTCCCCTGGCGCTGCCTTGATGTCTGCATTCCTCTTCATCTAAGAAGCACATGTGAACAAGCACAAGTGATGGGTGCCGGCTGCAGGCGCATGCTCCGGAGCTGTTTGCGTGTGGCATAGCGAAGAGCGGCGCGTACAACCGCACGCTGACGCCGTTCGGGTTCCAGGCCGAGGAGCGCACCATCTGGCAGGCGCCCGACGTCTACGCCGCCATGTCACCCTTCCTGCAGGTGACGCATCGTCTTACTAAGCCCTGACTAACCTTTGATCAACCCCATCTCCTGATTCATAGCAGCATGCAACCCCTGTGCACGGTGATCACGGAATCCTTCACGCAGACTCTTACTGCACTTCTGTTTTGAAAGAGAACTCGCTGCTCAGCTATCAAGCTGGGTACTACTTCAATGTTCTACAAGGGTCCACGTTGCACATTTTGGCGCCATATCTCACGCGGACATGTGCGGCGCGCAGGCAGACAAGGTGAAGCGGCCGCTGCTGCTGGTCCACGGCGAGGATGACAACAATACAGGCACCTTCCCCATGCAGTCCGAGCGCTTCTACTCCGCTCTCAAGGTGGGACCACTGACTGCATTGCACCTTATACCTGCCACGTTGAAGCAGTGCGTGTAAAAGCAGTGGAGGTAAGCCAAGTGAAGACAGTGCAGCTTATATCTCCAAGGTCGGAGCAGTGCATCTGAATGCAGCAGCATCGTTTTTAGTGATCTATCTGGGCGTAATAGTGTTCCCTTGTGAGAGGGAGGTTTTGCCTTGCCATCAGAGTGCATGCTCAACGGTCGACGCTTTGCAGATGCAGCATCAAGCGCAGTGTGCGTCCAGCTGTGCTTGCTGTGCTGATCAGGCCAGCAGACAGAGAGTTGGCCTGCCACTCTCACCCTGCACAACAGAAGTCTCACCCGGGGACGGCACTTTAGAAAACCACCAATTATTGCTAGAAATTTTTTTGACGACTTTGCGGCAAGCACAGGGCCACGGCGCGACCACGCGGCTGGTGCTGCTCCCTCACGAGAGCCACGGCTATTCGGCGCGCGAGTCAGTCATGCACGTGCTAGCAGAGATGGACGGCTGGCTGCGGCGGTACTGCGAAGCACCCGAAACCCCCCAATCAAAGATGTAGCTTTGTATACGGCAGCGAGAACAAGGCCTGCTCTGAAGCAACGCCGGCTGGAGCTGGGTATTATATTGTGCCGCACACACGCAGCCATCCAGCTCTGACATGGCATGCCGGGAAATTAATGCATTCTTGAGCGGAGCGGTTGGCTTCAGCGCTGCAGTGAGGCGCCCCAGTGAATGCTAAGGGGACTGGTGTCCTCGGCCCTTGTTCCTGGGGACCTCCTACTCATGCTTAATTCATTGAGATTTATCAGTGAGGGGGGCCAGTCGGAAGCTGGAGGGGGTACGGGATGAGGGAATTTGGTCCTGGGTTTCTCCACGTGATGCCTGCGTCACTGGAAGTTTGCAGCAAGAGGCCCAGTCAAAACTGTAGCTTTCCCATACCTTGGGGCACGGATTGCCAGGGGAGCTGCACCTAATGACACTGGAAAATAGGGAAGCACTCGGCTGCGCCGCTGCTGTAATGCTTGGGGATCTCTAGATCCAGATCCAAGCCATTCTGTCGATTTTGCGTGGTGGGAAAATTTCTGATTCAAACATCGCTTATCAAAACTGCAAAAGCCATTGCTAAACCCTTGCGTACATATCCGCACGGTGCACTTTGGTAGGCTGTCAATGCAATGACGACTTGGTGTGCAAGCTGTCATTCGGTGCAGATCCAAGTTTACGGTAAGAAGCTGAATGTTGAATAATTACAAATTGCTTCCAGCACATGATTGCATCACAATGACTGTCAGACCCTTCTTGCCACACATGCAAACAAGGCATTCTCTGCGTTTCAAACCGTTTGGAATTGAGGGAAAAAAGCCTCTCATCACTCCTGGCACACGCTTGCGCCAGTACCAGCATTTGCTGATGAGCTCTGTCAACTCCTCTCAAGTCAACTGTTCTCAAGATCACAAGACCACTGCAGCAACAAACTCATGGCTCTTTAGATGTCCTACAACAGATGGTCCGAGCTACATTACATAAGCTCCCTACAGTAAAAGGATCGATCGAGTCTCCTCCAAAAGTCTCCCATCCAGGGACTTTTGCTGTCGGAGTTCGAGTGAAGTCTTCAACATTGAGACCGCATGCGCAGAACTCCAGTGATGCAAAAGATATGATCCGAAAAGCCACACGCCCCTGCAGAATCTAAGTCAGCAGGACACACCCCGCTGCCAAATCACTGCAATTCCCTAAAATATAGTCCAATTCCCATCAGCACAAAATTTTGAAATCTAGGGCCCCTGGGGGCAGCAATGCGTGAATATCTGGCGCTCAATCCTGAATATTGATGCTGAAATAACAGTTCGTGCAATCAAAGCAATAGAACAAGAAAAAGCCCCTTGCGTAAAAACCTCAATCATAAATGAGATTATCGCCTCCAGACCTGTCATAGCAGGCCACCCCTTTGTGCCCGCCCACTTGCATTTCGAATCTAAAATTTGAGCTCAGCATGTGCGGCCCACTAAGATGCCACCACACTCAGGTGGTTCGCTCTGCATGGCATTCCAAGCCCACGAGATCATCAACAAAGCCTCCTACTTCCTCAGCGTTTTTGCTTCTATTTTTTTGCTGGCATCATCGGCATCCCCAGATGCAAACAATGCCTTGAACCCCCCCTGCGCGAGGACGCGCTCCTTCCACAGCTTTTGTCTCATGTTACAACCGATGAACGTTTCTCCCGTAAATACAGCCGGTGCTTCGCGCCACTCAGAAGCCCCGGGTGGCGGCCGCGGCGTCAAAGGGGGCCGAGGAGGCAAACAGGGAGGACAGCTGGTAATTAACAAAGGGGGCCTGGGTGGCCGCGGCGCCGCTGGCAAAGTTTGACCAGTTGCTGGCCGGAGGCGCACAGTCCACCGAGCTACCCATGGAGTCCTCCGAGCTGCACAAGCAGAGTATTGCCACGTCGGACGTGCGTGTCTAATAGATCACAGAACCATGTCTTATGAACACAGGTGCGCATGTAGTGAACAGTGCTCCCCAAAACCAAACCAGGAAGAGCAGCAAGAAGGAGCCAATTGGTAGACACAGCCAGCTGCTACAAGGTTTTGTCAGGGGTCACGACGAGATGTGAGCGGTTCCCACGGCAGACCTGCAGAAACAGCAGTGAAAACATCTTTTTGGGAAAACAGCAGGAAGAAAATAAGAATCAGCGGCATGGGCTCACCAGCGGAAGTCGGTGGGCAGGCCCTCAGAGCGCGAGCGCCGGCGGCCGCCTGTGGGAGAGAAGGTGTCGAAGGAGAAGCGTGTGGAATCGTTGCTCAGGCGGCCCGTGTTGAAGCCAAACGCGTTGCTCCCGCTCAAATCCATGCCTGCATGACACCAACAAGACGTCAGCGACACACCCCCAGCACTACTCATCATGCCACAGGTCGCAACCTGCAGGTCGTAAAGTAAGAAGTGTTCCTGCACAAAGCCGGAAAGGAGGTTGCAATGAGATTGTTTAAGGATACATGCGCAAGGCGGTCCTCAAAGTGGGAGCAGGCCGCACCCTCTGCCTCGTAGGTCCATCCGGGCTCGGCAGTGGCGCCCATTGCCGGCTGGGTCGGCGCAAAGCTGTCGGCAGCGAATGGCGACGAGAGGAAGGGCGACGCGCCAAAGGCGCCGCCAGGGAAGGCGGCGCAGGGGTGCAGCTTCGCGGCAGCTGCCGACTCGGCTTCCGCCGCGGCCGCCGCCTGCGCGCGCGCCGCCTGCTGCAGGCTCTGCATGAACTCGGCCGCGTCGCCGACTCCCCACTGCTGCTGCTGCGGCTGCTGCTGGATCGCTGCAACTACACCGGCGTTGTAAGCGGCCTCCTCGCGGCGCGAGTAGCGCGGCGGCCGGTCGGCCGCGGCACCGGCGAGGAAGTTGTAGCTCTCGGGGATTATGTTGTCGTTAGTAAACGCCACCGGGGCGGCAACGGCCGCCAGGCTGGATACCAGGTCGACGGAGCGGTGCCGGCGGGGTGCGCGCATGCTGCCGGGGTGGTGGCGCGACTGCGCGTACATGGGCACAGAGTGGAACTTGCCCATGGCCGATAGCTCTAGCCGGTCGTCGAACGCCGGCGGCGGCTGGCTCTGCGCGCATCAAAGCCGGTAATCAGCAATTTTGCCATCGGAAATCTTGCGGCGCCGAGCAGCACGCAGCTATGAATTGTTATGCGGGTGGGCAGGACCCCACTGTTTGGCAAAGGTCAAGATTGGCACAATAGGAAGTGAAAATGCAGAAGGGGAGAGGGGATGTGGGCGGACCTGGGCTTCAGGAAGCTCTTGCTGCAAAAAGCCGTTGGACAGGAGGAGGGTGGCCAGGGCATCCACCAGCTGCTGCTGCTGATCCTGTGCCACATCACACCAGCGTCACACACCATCAGGCACGGGAGCAACATACAGCGAATCATTCACATCTTGCAAGCTGAACAGCCTGGATGCCAGCGCTGTTGTCACAATCAAGGTGAGTGTTATGCGCAGCTAGATAAAGTGTCTACCTGGGCAAAGTGGCCTCCGGCGGCTTGTGCCTGCAGGTGCTCCAGCGCTGGCCGGTCGCTGCCGCCATGCGCCTTCAGCAACTTGCTCAGCAGGTTCACCTCGGCCTGCAGCGCATGCAGCAGGCATGTCAAATATTGCATTGCATCCCATTTTCTCTCTCAATCTGCAATTGCCAGATCTTTTTGAGCAGGTTGCTCTGCATGAGATCCTGTCTCAATGAGGTGCGTCTACCAGAGAAAGACCGAGTCTTCAGTTCACTAACAACATCCAAAACTCTGGACAAGCACAGGGTTTGCTATACCTGGTGGAAGGTGAAAACGGGTATGGGCCTCACCTGATCGGCCTCTCCTGCGGGGGCATTGCTGCGCGCGGCCTCGAGGGCGGCGGCGGCGGTGGCGGACGCGAGCGCCTCAGGTGACACGTGTGGCTTGGGGGCATCGGCGCGCAGCTCCAGGGGTGAGTGCGCGAAGAAGCAAATGCGGCGGGCGCAAGCGGCGCCGTCCTTGCAAAGCTGCGTGCGGTAGCGCGAGGGGTGCAGCCAGTACTCGAACACGTTGTGCGCGTACGGGCAGGAGTCACCTCTCGGACACTTGCGCGCCTGCACAGAACGGTCAACATCATCAATCGCTGCAGAACATCGCCACCATCGCACGGTCCGACTCGTGAGGCTCAATGGTGCATGTGCTCTCTACTCACAGAAATCTGCTCCCATAGCTTGACATGGAGGCATGCAGCTCAGGCTCATGTGCCCCATAACCCCTGCATGGGTAAAGTGCGGTATACAATATATCAGGCAGCAATAAGGAGGCCGCAAAAGGAGCTATCCTGAGAGGCGTGCCTGTTTCATGTTGGGGCAGGCAATGCCGGTGTAGTTGTGGAGGGCGGGGTCCCTGCGCTTGGCCTTCTCCCCTGGGTGGGCATAGGGGCACTGCTGCCAGTCGTGGCAGGACCTCTTGGAGCAGGGCAGCACCTGCAGGCAGGGATCGGACTTCAGATTGCGCTGATAAGCATCTCAGATAACAACCTGGTCCTCCAAATGAAAGCAAGGAAGGGGGTATGAAAACAAGCAGGAAGGTCCCCAACAGTGATTCATGTTCAAAGCACACGCCAAGAATGCATCCACTCTTGTCCACATCGAGTGATAGTCCTACTCGAGCGCTGCTGACAGAACCCTGGCTGCGTCGAGGCGCTCTGTCGAGCAAACAGAGCAAATGAACCCGTATTGTGACGCAATCGCTGCCGTGCACACCTTCATGCAGTAGATTCGAAAATCATCCGCTTTGAAGAGCTCGGGCTCCTCCTCTGCTGCCGCAGAGTTGCAAGTTGCCGCGGCTTGTGGTGCTTCCTACGCAAGAAAGACAAAGCGGAGGGGCTTCAACATGAGATTGACAGTCAATGGACGACCAAGCACTTGCGCAGACTGCGGCCACTAAAACTCGGTCGGTGCACCCGGGCCGCAAACGAATCGAAGATGCATAGCTTCGCCGCAGCCAGAGCAGAGCGTGCTCACCATGAGTGTGTCGGTCTGTTCAGCCATCATTGAGAACGACGCCGTCAAGATGCTCGCCTTTGTTTCGGTGACTGTGTGTCCTGCAGACACGGCTGTGATGTTCCTAGCCTAAGCCACCCACAGCAACAAAAGCTCAAATTGTTTGCTTCTTTTCAGAGGGATGTGCGGATAAATGAAGGTTATAGGCGTGATGTCCTCTATAAGGTGGTAAATCTGCAGATATCACTCTGATGCAGATTCAGATCTGTATTAGTGAGAGAAAGCGCGTTTTCACCCCAAAAACGCGTGATTCTCTTGGACGACGTCATTGCCTGATCTGACGACATCATTTGACGGGCGCCAGCGGGGTTGCCTCCCTTCGAAGTACCTTCTCCCTCTGATGGCAGCTGTGCGACATACCTGCCTGCCTGCAGCGAACATGCTAATCCTTTGGGAATTACGGCAAAGTAGTGCGTGATGTGTCAAGCCTAAAATTGGGGCTATCAAGCACAGGCTTACACAGGATACCAATCCAATGGAGCCAGCCCCCTCGTCTGAGAGGCAATCCAGTGAGACATCTACTTCTGATTCTTATCATTCGAAGCAACCTAGGATCAATTTTGAGCAGACGTATGCAGCTGTCAAGGACAAACGCCTGAAGGTGGAACAAGTCATCATCAATGGCCTGGACCGCACCAGAGCGTACATCGTATCTCGAGAGCTGGAGCCCGTGCAAGAAGCCAACTCATTGGACGAGATCAAGGACGTCCTGCTTGAGGCTCACGAGCATCTTTTGTCTCTGGGAATTTTCGATGGAGTGGAAGTGATCATCACCGACAGTGAGACGGTGCTGCTGCTGCATCACCTAGTAGTTGCAATCAAATATGAAATAAACGAATATATCCAAGCATAAAGCTCACAGGGGCAACTCAGCTCTTCTTGCTTCTGTTCATTCTCCTTCCACTCTAGGACACCTGTTTGGCTGAGCAGTTCAGTGGTCGCGCAGGGACAGCCAGACGCATGCACTGTCCTAGTGAGATGCGCGGAGAAGGGCCGCGTCAATTTGCACGCTGGCACCTACGTGAATGGCAATGATGGTGTGCCCTCCGTCTTTATCTATGTACCAGTCTGACCTTCAGTCACATAGAGAGCTCTTTCAGGGCACCTGAACATGCATGAAAACACCTGAAGAGATACCTTTGCGCTGGTATCTGTGCACAGGCTCTTTGGAGTGTGCGCTGGGCCTGACAAATGTTCTGGGGAGGGCGGAGGAGGTCAGCCTGTCAGCCGAGCTGGGCATGAACAATCTGACGGAGTTCTCAATCAGCGTCAGCAAGCCGCGGCTGCGCGGGCAGGCGCGCAACCTGACAGCTGGAGTGTACCAGAAGCGACGCAGCTTCAGAGAGTATTCCTCCTACAGCGAAGAGACACGTGGGGGCACCGCCTCAATCTTTAGGTGCGCAGACACTTGGGAGAAAACCCAGCATGATGTGTGCATCACGCCTGTGAAACATCAACGGACATAGCTGATCATCTGCCTGTACACTCCGTGTTAAAGCAATAATGTCTCTGTGGTCTACTTAGCTGCTGTGTTCCTGAAGCTGCTTGTTAACTGAGTGACGTACTTTAGAGGGTCAAAGTACTGCACCATGAGTGGATACATGTCATTGAAAGGGATTCTGATGCCTGCGCAGCCCGGACGGCACGCATGCGGTGGCGTATGACCTGGCATGGCGCAGCATCAGGGCCGAGGCCGAGGCATCCAGGGCGGTCAGGGAGCAGACGGGGCACAAGCTCAAGTCTGCGCTGAGCTACATCTTCAGGCACTACACTCTGGATGACCTGCACTACCCCACCAGCGGCATTGGCTTCAGGTGCGCATGGCTGGATCTTGCAACATTCTTCATTCCTCTCCTCGTGTGATTTTGCACATATCTCTCCTCAGACAGAGGGAGGTGTGCTGGCTAGGAAGAGAAGACCCCCAGTCTCACATCTGGCAGGTCGGCAAAGTTTGCATCACAACAAATTCAGCGGCAAGGCTTAGGCAAGCTCATGTGACTGTGGCCAATTAACTCCTGCCACAGGATGCCGGATGCCAGTAGTCTATTACGAACAGTGCATGAAAGAGTTTGTTGGCTTGCGCAGGAGCTCAACGGAGGTGTCTGGACTGGGGCTTGATGCAAACCTGCTGCGGTTTGCGAAGCAGCACCTGGCGGCGCAGTGGGTGCATCCGCTCATAGGCAGCACTGTCTTCAGCCTGTCAGCTGAGGCTGGGATCCTGCTGCCCTGGGGCCATGACTGGCACACCAAGCACACTTATATTAGCGAAAGGCAAGCCTCTCTTCCAAAGGCGCTGTCTGATCTACATGTTGCCCCATACATTTCAGCGTTGTTAGCAATGTCCTGTAACATGTTGATGTCATGCCATCAGCCGAGCTTAGCAGATCAATCATGTGTTGGATGGGTATGTCGCGCGATTTTAAATAGTGGTGTGTGGGTGCGCAGGTTCTTTCTGGGCGGCGTGCACGGCAACCTGAGAGGCTTCCACTTCAAGGGGGCAGGGCCGACAGCTGCCCGGCCGAGGGTGCTGCCCCTTTCTTGTGCACACCTTTAACTTTGACTTTCTCTCCTGCCCACAAACTAGGGCCACTAATGCAAGGCCAGACGCGCTCTGTGACTGGAACACATCACAGATTGATCAGCAAGCAAGTGCCACAGACTCATCGATCTCTGCCGCAACCGACGTCAACATGTCATGCCAATTTATGCCCAGTCAACCTATGCCCAGTTTGCATAAAGTGCTTAGGGATGCCTCCTGTGTCATGCAGGGGGGCGTGGACGCGATCGGAGGGGATTTGATGTGCGCGATCCTGGCGGAGGTACGGTTCCGGCTGCCGGTGGCGGCAATGCATGCGGCCGGCATGTACGGGCATGGCTTCATGAACGGAGGGAACTCCGCGCTGCTGAGCGGCACAGGCAAGCCGGTGCAGCAAACGCTGGCCGACTTTGCCAAGGTGCACCAGACCTGGCGGTGGAGTGCGGTGAGTCATTTCCTCCCCTTTTAAAAATGTCTTTCAAATGTTGACATCTCTGGGGTCTGGACTCCAGATGTGCCTGAGACCCGCGGCTTGAAAGGCAGGGATCTGAAGACAAGCCTGGCTCTGTCTCTGGCGCTGTCCTCAAGACTTGAATGTTGCTAGGTAGAGAATACACGTACCATACTTGAGTCAATTTTTTTCAGATTTTGTGATACTCTGGGCCGGTCATATGCTGTACACGTGCAGGCCAGCGCTGTCCTGTGCAGCTTGCTCTTGCAGGCATGCATACAATTCCTCACAAGGGTCTTTGCTGAGGTTACCAGTTCACCTCGAGCATGCACTGTTCGGGTGTAGTAAATATGGGTGTGTCTGTGTGCAGGGACTGGGCATAGTCTGGCCAACAAGTATTGGGAGGCTGGAAGTCAATGTGTGCAAGGTGCTGAAACACCAGCAGCCGGACCGGTACACAAACTTTGGCCTGCAAGTCGGTTTTACGCCGATCATTTAGTGCAATGTATTTTCACGCGACTTTGTTTGCCAATCCAGACTTCACTGCAATGCTTATACCTCTTAGGGACACATCTAGCAGTCTTGAGCAGTATGAGCACAAGCGAGACACCTCGTAAGTCATCTTGAGCAATTTGAAGGCTGCATGACCATGCAATGCGACACAAGCATGAAGACACAGAAAGCAGGGAGAATGGAACCAACTGGAACTAACGTGAGCGAGAGCTGGTGCCAGCAAACGGCTCGTCAAAGACCCTATGATGCTTTCATACAAATTTTGCAATTTGTCCAGGACAGGCCTTTTGATACAGCCAGGAAAATCTATGGCATCAAGAACTGAGCTTCCGTCTTCAACTCCTGTTAAAGTCAATATTTTATGGCATTAAGGAGAGAAAAGAGCAGGAACCTGCTTTCTCAATCCCCCTTGGAAAGGGTCTCGTTCGTGCCCCAATTCTTTCCAGAGTAAACCGCCGCCAATCTCCAAGGATAGATATCCTTGGTGTCGATTGTTTTCTGAGGTAATTTTGTGCCAATCTACTGTTTGTGCAGCTTTTCAATCGTCTACTCAATTTGAGTCGAGTGGCCCAGCCTGCACATTCGAACCCTTCTGGATAATTGACAATAGAAACATTCTTTTGCAGATTAGTATTTCACTAAATTTCTCCATGGCCCAATTATCTGAAACCGTCGACGTGTCTCAAAGCGATCCCTCCTCACATTCATCTCCAGGTGTTCCTCTCCCTTGCTTGGGTTTGGTGGCATTGTTTCCTGTGCGAGTTGCAGTTCAGGCCATCTGGAGGATCGGCAAATATCCAGAAGACCACACGAGAGTTGGAGATGTTCAAAGCTGTAGGTGTAAAGGCTGCTGAGAGTGAAGGTACAATATCTCGGAGCAACCTGAAGTCGGCCTCAGACCCTCCAATTGGTGAGCCATAAGAGCTACCCATCATAGCGTCCTTCTGCAGCTGTGCCGGGCTTGATGATTTTATCCCAGCGTTTGCAAAGAGTGAAAAGACTTGTGGAATGGCTGGTTTCTGCTGCAGGGCAGGCAAATGCGCATGCGAGCACCTGTGAAAGATACAGAGACCTGTCTGCTTGGAGCCTTTGGCTAGAACACGAGCGTGTCAAGGAGAGGCTGAAATGGGAGGTTGAAAATGCCTGTATCCATGTTGACAGCATCCAGCCAGTACTGCAACGCTCAAAAACTTGGTAAGGCATGACTCTCTTCTTGGCTGTCGTTTCTGAAAAGTAACGGATAAGCAGAAGGTGACTGTCTTTTACTAAAAGAGCATGACAGCACGCTTCAAAATCCTGCTTGGACATGACAAGAAACACTGAAGGAGGTTACTGCCCATGCAAATTTCATAGCTCCATTTGAAGCTGGTTTGTCCTAAAGAGTAACCTTTGTCATGTCGGAATGGTAATACAGATTACAGTGGCGGCCAACAAAGCTAGGTTCCTGCCAACAATACTGGTTTCAGGAGTTTACAATACCCATCTTAAAGCCCCTCACTAGTGAGGACTGCTATGAATAAGCTTAAATGGCACGGACAGGGTCATTAAAATATGGTCTAAACTCTACAAGGAGACTTCAGCTTGTAAGCCAATGTCTTTTGCCAGTGTCTTGCAATTTCCTAACTTGCTACAAACATTTTCTCGGCCAAGGCTCGATCGGTACTTTCTTGTCTGCACAGCAGAAAAGTTCTGAACAAAATTCCTCATGTTCTCCAAAACACTGAAGAAGGACGCCTCGAATCTTTGCACTGGCTTTTCGCCTCTGGACCAACAACTACCTCCAGGACTCTCTTTCGGCCTCTGGACAGATGAAGCTTCCAGGACTCTCGCTCACTGAAGAGAGCAATGCTGTATCTGCGTGTAGGGGTTTCCTTGCATCAAGCGAAAGCGCTCATTTCTGCTGCAGATCCTCGATGATGGGCAGTGTGTTGCCAGCAGGGCACTCTGTGCTGTGCACTCTCATCCAGTGGAAGATCTGGCATTCTGTGGAGCAGTACTTGACCTGTAGGCATGCCTGGCAGCGGGAGATCTTGCTGGGCCTCGTCAGCTGCATGCAAGCATCGCAGCTGCACCATACCCACACAAAGCCTCAGAGCAGCACTGACGCCCCCTTAAGCCTCTCGGCCACGCCTCCAAGGCCTCTCGGTGGAAGCAAAGCATTGCAACATTGCAAGGCAATGCACGCGATGTTGCAACGCAATTATGGGGATGACCAGTGTGGCTCACATCCCCGTATCTTTAGCTTTGTGTCCGCCATGTATGCAGTCTAGCGCATCACATGATAAGGAGCAGATAAGTATTGCAGCACATGATATTCTTGAGATCAGGAATCAAACTTTCCAAGATGCAGGGCTTGAAGCTTTGAGAGAGCTCGGTAATGAGCACGTCCAACAAAAGTGCCTGTCACAGCTCATTAATCAGCCAATGAAACTATGACCCAGCGGCCTTGAGATTCATGGCACGAGCAGTGTCCATGCGCAGATCATGAATGCCGCCACCAGGTTTCTGGAAGACAAGCAGGGAGGTGGGTGCTCACGTGACATGGATGACTTGGGATTGCAGGTGTTCTTCTGAGGTAAAGGCGCTGAAGACGTCTCCTTCAGACTGTGCCTTCAGGCCTTCAGCTGCCCCCACGCATCGCCACATCACCTCTCTCCTGTGTCCCATGATGAAATGGCCGCCCCAGCTGCAAGAGTGCGTAGTGTATGTGATCCCCTGCGTGCCATCACACCGCATTATTATATACATTGCTGTCTGCCTTTCCTGCCAGAGGCAAGGTGCGTCTGCAGACAAGCTGCACGTAAAGGCTGCCAGAAATCCTATCCTTTGATGGCATTGCCAGATCCATGCAAAACCCAAGTTATTATAGGCCCGGTGCTCAAAATATATACCGCCCCCCGCCAGCCGGGGCTCACACCACATTAGATCAGCGTTTGACTTGGCTGAAAGCTAGAGAATTTGACAGAATGACTGACTGACACTCCACGTATGTATCTTCAAGTCTCCGCTTTAATTTCAGATGCATGATCCTCACTGCATGCAGCGTAGTCATCCACCGCATGCATGTGTCTCCAAGGCTTGACTGTCAAAACGATGCATGGGCCTCAATGGCATGCAGCTTCCAAAAATCTGACTGGCAAAAGCCCCAATGCAGCCAGAAGGTTCAGTCTTGTCCCTTCCAGAAAAACACCAGCAGAGCCCTGAACAGCGTGCGACATGCGAGCAATGCTTGGCACGTCACTGAAAGGATCATTTCACAAGACGTATTCAATTGCTGAGTGATTCCCGCAAGAGTGAAGGGGTTAAGTGAGCTGCACATACATGATGGACGATGTGGTCGATGATGGACTTCTTGAAGGTGGGCCCGCCCCCTCCCAGCAGCAGTATCTGGCAGAGCTCCCACAGTAGGACACTCATTGCCACGTCATCATTGTTCCTCTTTGCCGCCTTTGTCGTCGCCAGCACAACCTGTGCAGAGGAAAAACTGGCCAATCGGTTTTTTTTCTCGTTGCATGAAGATATCATCCCTCTTGCTTGTAAAGAGCAAGTTTCTATGCTTGGCCTTGCACTTCTTTCCTACTGCAGAGCAGGTGGACACTGAGCATGCACTCAAAGCCCACTGCAGCAGTGCTGCAGTCAGCTTCTGCATCTTTCCAGCAGCTGTACGTTTATGGTTTTGTTAGCATGCACTGTAAAGACGAGCCCAGGATCTGCAGATTGCCCTTTCAGGGGCTATGTGAAGAGCAATCATGATGCGCCCTCAACAGCGATGCGTTCTTATGTGTCATGCAGGCAGATGCATGGGTGACTCCAGAATAGGAGACCGGACAAGGCGGGGTACTCACATCGTACTTGGTGCTCAGATCGATGAAGGGGTTGATGCAGACGGCGCGCGCATTGAAAACATTGTTGGGTGCCAGGACAAGGATGCGCTGGGTGTTGATGAGCAGAATGGCCTGATGGTACTCCGGCCTGGTCTGGTACGCCATTGACAGGTGCAGCCTGTAGACGAGCTCCAATAACTCCGCCTTCAGGCCCAAGCTGCATGCCATCAGTACAGGCACTGCATTCAGCGCTTGATACTTGCAACACTGAGCTGCCTCTGCTGCAGCAATATTCAGCTCTGCCTGCAGCTCAGAAAATCAAATTTGACTGACAAGCAGCTCTACAGCAGTCTTCACGATGCTCTGCTCTGCTCTCCTTTGCCATGTCCTAGCCGTAAGATGCAGTTGCAGGTGGGCTGCATGCGTTGCTGGGCTCGGCTGTCTGCAACGATTGCACATGGTGGGCTGACTGAGGCTATGAGACTCTCTGGCGATCGATATTTCATCAAACACATGTCCTTAGAAGCGCATTGTACCTCCACAGCGCCGGCCAGATAAGCGCACTCCTGTTACGCAGGTAGGCCAGAGCTTGGAGCCCAGTGTGCACGTAGGTGTCATGCCCTGTCCCGGCAAAGTCCTGCACAAGCCAGTGGAGTCTTGGCTCAGGCATACTAGGGCAATCCCCACAGAGAAGTGCATGATGGACAATTCTCTCCTATTGTTAGAAAGGAGATATGGGCTTTCCGAGAGAGCAATGCAGCATGTCTGCAAGCTCAGCATGGCGTAGCTTGGTAAGATGACATCAGCAAGGCATCAGCAAGAACCTGAAGATGCTCCTTCTGTAGACAGCATCAGTGCGGAGCAGCAGTCATGCATGCCAGGCATCAATGCGGCAAGGCTAATATCTATCCATATACAGGAGCTTCTGGACTTGTGAGTGCAGCAGAAGTGTTGTAAGTGCTCAAGGCAGGTTAAGGCGTACCAGGGTGTGCATGTGCATGAGTGGTGCCAATGCTTGGATTGCGTAGGAGACATCCATGACTTGATCCGTGCCAGCCATGGCCACTGTTGGCACAGGCACAGTATCTGGCATATCTGCGGCAATGAGACCTCTCTCAAGCGTCTTGGATGAGATCCATGTAGGGACATCTCAGTGATTGTGTGCAGCAGGACTTCCAAACTTCGAAGTACCAAAGCTGATTGCAACAAAGCACCAGAGATCAAAGCATTGGGGCATGAATGAAGGCATGCGCATGGCAACATATTGAAGAGGGAATGACTGACCGATTGGGAAGCCAGCCCCCCTGAAGTATTGGCTGATTTGAGTTGCGATGTTGACATGCAGGAATCCCACTATGCCCCCTGAGGTCAGGTGAGCAGCAACAATCCTGATGCAGGCCTGTTGCGCACACAGAGGACCAGGTCATCCAATACACATGCTCAAACCTTCCCAGATAGGACTTTTATGCAGGACACAGACACAACAACAGCATCGTGGAAATGTGGACTGATCACATGCTGCTGGCACCATGCAGCCGTAATGCTCCCCAGAAAGCAAGAACAGTACAGCGCGTCTCGTTGCATGATATGGGAGATGCATGTCTGCCACAGAACAGGAGGCCTTGCCCTCATGATGTATCTGACGGTTGTCGGACTGAAAACGTCCTGCGTAATTGCCATATTAATGTAGCCGCCAGCTTGCAGCTGCAGGCGCTCTGCCTCAACAACCTGGCACATCGCGCCAGTGCGCAGGTGCGCGGCCACCTTGAGAGCTGCACAGAAGACGCATGGATTGTAGATGCAGCGATGGAGCCTGTCCCTCTGCAGCCAACACCGGAAGCTGCTGTCAGTCCAGGAGCACTTGAGTGAGGAGAAACCACCAGTCAATCCTCCCAAGGGCACTGCAGCCAGTCCCCAAAGTCTGAAGTTGCTGATAGCAGCTCGCAGCCAGTGTATGCCTTGGCTTTTGATCATTCCATGCAACGGCTTTTATCATCGGGATGCGCCTCTGAAACGTGAGTCCGGTTCAGGAAGTGAGGGACTGCAAAGTCTTGCTGCCTTTGAGCGTTTTGAATGAGCCACGTTCAAGAGAGCGTTTTAGGAAGATCGCGCTTGTGATCATAGGCTCAAAGCGTGGCCTACCAGGTCAGGAGGCCGCTGCTGAGGTGGTTGAGGGGCAGGGATTGTTTCGAAAGGACTGGGGCTGGACCTCCTCATGGTTCACGGCCGCTCTTGACACGCTCACTCCTTCGTAAGCTTCCTATGCGATTGAGCGTTGTGGTCATTAAGTTCAAGCCCTCCCAGGCAGTCTGCAACGATTCATCGCACAGCTGCCTCCTTTCTTCCCACTTATGAAGCAAAAGAAGTCTTGCTCGTCAACATGATAAGGGTCAAGAGCATAAAGACAAGGGGGACGACCTAGGGTTTTGAATCCTGCATGCAAGGCAGAGCAGAAGTGGTTACGAGACACTCAGGTTTCTCTGTACAAAATATATATCCAGCATTCAAGTTCTCGATCATCAGGAAAGGGTATCTCTCAGAGCAGTCTGGGTCTCCTCCTCTGAAGCCCTGCCATTGCCATCTGTGCTGACTCAACAGGGAGTCTGTTTTGTACCTTTGTTTCTTATAAGCACTGTAGGCATGAGGAGCGTACAGCTGACAGACAGCAGCAGTCCTGTCAGTAAGCGCGTTGACAGGGAATCCAGCATGCTGCATGATAAATGACGTATTCAATCAGTGATCAGGCAGTGATGGGCGGCCAAACAAAGACTCTACCCATGCTTGGTTTTGATGATTTCACTTTGGGAAGAGACGACAAGGGAAAACATTATCCACCACTGGAAGAATGGTTGCTGGGGCTGCCGCGGTGATCCTGTGAAGCTGCCAGGCACCAGCGGAAAAAGCCGGGCTCCAATACAGTGTTTGCCGAGCAGGCCTTGCATGCATGCCCACAGCGGGATCCCATGGAGAATGCTGTTTTAATTTGTTGCACAGCCTCTGGCAACTTCCTCTGATGCTAGGTGTGTGAAGCCTAGTTGGCTAACCACAAAGACTTAAAAATTTATAGTCCAGGAAAGCCAATGGCGGACTTGAGCGGAAGCTGCAATTTCTTGGATGGGTGGTCCAACGTTGCATTGGCAGCCCATCTTCGCCTGCCTCCACGGCTACTGGCGGTTGCTAAGCATGGTTCAGGAGCACGTTTTCTATCTGAATCTAACAAAAGAGATGCTTTAAAAGTGTAACTTAGGTGCAGATTGATGCTTTCTTCTGCGAGGTGTTCTTTAAGGTGATCGGGTAGTTGTCTCCTCACCGGAGCCACGCAACAAAGTATGGCCGACGAGCAGGAGTTTGTGCAGCCGGCGGTATTCTCGGCACGAGACATCAACTTAGATGACATCGAAGGAGACTCTTTTCAAGGCATCGTGGTGCTTATCGGGTGCGAATAGGTGGTCCTTTCTTGTAAATACTGTTAAAGATGGTTGAGTCAGTTCTTTGCACAGTTCCAACATATGTGTTCCTATTTGAGTGATCAGAGAGTCCTTTTCAAGTGCCGTGATGCGCCGTTCAGGTGGCTAGGGTGCCGAAAGGAGCATCTGCAGAAGTACGCCAACTGGTGGCACAAGCAAGGGTGAGCCAACCTCGTAGCCATGATGACGGTGCAATTTCTGTACACAACAATGCAACCAACATCGATCTTCCAGAGCAGAGCAAAGGCTTCATTTCGAGGTTTCCTGTGCTTGATTGCAGGTGGGAGCCATTCTTGGTGCGCTGATCTTTCTTCTGGAGAGATCTAATAGAAGTTTGGAGCCGTGTTTTTGTGCAGATCAGCCTGGCAACGAAGGGAATGGTACGGATTTCAACCAGAAAGAATTGAAGCAAAGTTTTTGCTAGTTTCTGAGTCTGCTGCAGGTGCTCTACCCAGTCATCAGGCTCTTGTCGACCTCTTTTGCTGAGTACGTCACGGGAGGCCTCATCAAAAAGCTGCTTCACCGGCACGTAAGAACCTTTGCACTTGACAAAACGTTATTCCGCTCCATGAGTCCTCTTCTCAGTATCGGTGATTGCATGTTCCTCAGCAATCGACACTGTCTCTCGTGCTTTACATGAAGTGGCATGCCTCCAGGCTAGTCCACATGCAGTGATGGCCTACCCTATCATTGCATCCTTGCTCTTCACACCAGAAACCTCTGATCAAGGGAGTTCGGGGACATCAATCAGCGCTAGGACCCAGTGCTGGCTGGGGGTGACATAAATACAGAGCACTGTGACCACGATTGATTGGGTCCTGCTTGGATCTGGCGAGTCCGTCAAGGGGTAGGATGCGTGGCAGCCAAAACCTGCAGCTTGCTTGCAGTCATACCTTGCCTGTGGCAGGAGAAGCATGGTATAAGCGCAACAATCAGCGCTGATGGGCCAGGCATCATGTGGTCTCTCCATCCCCCTGTGCTGAAGAAAAGCAAGCATTAGTGCAGCAAGCAAGTGGGCATGCAAGTTATAGGTAAAGGGCAAGCCTATATCTAAGGCATAACGGGTAAGCCTACAAGCAAAAGGGCCGACAGTGGTTCGTGTTGTGGGGAGCAGGCCGAGCTGGTTGGGGCGGGGAAGAGCAACCGGCTGGTGTTTCACACCTTCTCAAACACCGGCTGGGTGTCTTTTGGAGGCATCCTGGAGTCCTATGGGGATGCTCTGCTCCCCCACATCTGCGGAGCTGTCATTGACTCAGCCCCCCAGCCCGCTGTGAGCTTCTTTTGCTGCCTCCTTATGCCATTCACGTCTCAATTACATGGACGCTAATTGAGGGGGTCCACTGTAACCAGTTCAAGTAATTGTGTGCCCCTATGAGCACAGCAGGCCTGCCGAGCGGTCATTGATACAGCTCCTCAACCTGCCATGATCCTCCTGTGCTACCTCCTTATGCCATCCTAACCCAACACTCTTAGATTTCTGAGTCGTCACTGTATTGGTGGTCCACGATTTCTGAGTGCGCCTATGGTCGAGCCAGGCCTGTCTTTGCATCTCTGCTTAACTTGCCAGGGGCTTTCATCTTTAGCAGGTCACTCTGGCACCTTAGGGGTCCACTGCACAGGTCCTGTGCCTGGGCAAGGAATGCGTCGAGAGCCCAAGAATCTCAAGCAGCAATGACCGCAGAGAAATTTGCAGCGTTGAGAGCAAGACAAACGTTATTGGACAGCAAGGAGTCTCAGTGAAAGGAGCCTATGCAGGCAGATGTGAAGCTTCCTGTGGCAACACTGGTAGGCTGAGATTTGCTGTGGTGCATGCAGGTATCGCACACAGTGTTGGCCGCCGGCTCATTCTCAGCGCTCTTCCCGCGCAGCAGATACAACAAGAACGACCCCCGGGTCTTTGTCATCAAGAACTTCCTCAAGGTGACTAACTCTAGTTACCTCTTCCCCTTTACCTATATCGAGGCTCTTTCCATATTTCAAGGAAGTGTTCAGAGCCACGTGCACTGGACAAAACAGGCAGGCAAAATTGTCAAGCTCTGTTGACAAAAACGGAAATTAAAAACAGTCACAGGTGCTCTCCAGCAGGATTTGACAGCCCCACAGGGGACCCATGGGATTGGCCAACCTGCTCCAGGGCTAGGGGCAAGATTTCAGAGCAACACGGGGATAAATTCAGATTTGGTCAAATGGCATCAGGGCAACGCCCCGAGACCACGTGGCTGTGACTCAGGGGGTCCCTTGACTTGTCAGGCAATATGAACCACTTGGAGGCCAGATTCAAGGGAGAACCTGCTTCTCCCTGTTGAAAAAAATTAGGAACCTCAGGGATGCCCAAAAGTTTCGGCTCCTATCACGGCGGCAGGCGGGGGCGATGCCTCCGCCCGCCCCTGCCCTACTTAGGGGCTGGCCTGACATTTTCTAGGACCCCTGTCAAACCCTACTCTCCAGGACTCGGCCTGAATATAAATCTGTGGCGAGTCGGCCTTGATTACAACTTCGTGGTGCCGTGCAGATGGTGGTTCAAGGGGATAAGAAGCGCCGTCTGAAAGGAGTAGCGAGGCTTCTCTACTGCCTGTCCGATTTCCCACAGCTCTACATCTACTCCACTTCAGACCACGTCATCCCCAGCACCGCTGTCAAGGCCTGGATCCAGGTAGGATGCTTTGTCCAGTAATCCTTGCAGCTACCCTCCTCATTCCTGGGTGACTGCAGCAGTTAATCTCACTGAGCTTGATCTAAGAAGAGTGGTGAGCGTTGTAAAATAGGAGCAAAGCAGAGCAAGGAGAGCATATTTTTGCATGGCATGATTAAGGCCTGCCCGTGCAGGGTCTCCCACTTATACCTTCTTCTCGAGTATATGTAGCACCAGAGTATTATGTCCTGATTCTGTCATCAGCACACGCCTGTCATGCACGGATGTTTGAGCCAAAAGTCCCCCCTGTCAGTTGTTCGACACTCAAAGAGGCTCATGCCAGCCAAGCAAGCTCAATGGGGCTTTCGTGTGCAGAACCTTTGCAAATACATGGCTTGATGTCAGAGCTGAAGATGTCGAGGGGTGCATGCAGGGCATAGTTGCACCATTTGGTCAGAACACTTATTGGGGACCGTATATACGGCCGAATATACGGTCATACGGAATACGGTCAAAAAGGCCTATTTTGGCCCAAAACACTGAATATACGACCGAATATCCACCGTATGCCGAATGGCCGAATCCGTATGGTGCAACTATGATGCAGGGGCAGGAGAGCCTGGGCAGGAGGATTTCGGAGCTGCAGTTTGAGAGGTCCCCGCATGTGCAGCACATGCGGCACCACCGGGACCTGTACTGCAGCGCGCTCACCACTTTCCTGGGCGAGCTGCAGCTGCCCAGAGAGAAGCTGGAACAGGCACGTTATCCTGCAACATTCCTGCTCTACAATATCAAGTGCCTTTCTCAAAATTTCAGTATCAGAGCCGGACAGGTCGGGGTGTGCTTCCCTGCGACTCATGCAAGGACTCAGGGCCCTTCAATCTCAGAACATTCTCTTGAATCTCTGAATATTCCTTAAAAAAGGCTTGCCAGCAATTGGGTGACAAGAGTGCAATTTGCATGGACCATGCACAGCACATTGGCCCCGGCTGGGCGAGGGCGGTACAAATACTGAGCACCGTGCCCACGGTTGATTGGGTCTTGCTTGGATCTGGCGAGTCCAACAAGGGGTAGGAATTTGGCAGCCTTTACATGCAGCTTGTCTGCAGACGCACCTTGCCTTCGGCAGGAAAAGCGTGTAATAATGATAATAACAATAATGATAATAATGCACAGCACATTGCATGTCCACAATGCGTGGCTTCTATGTGTGGGGTTCATCGTTATGGCTGACAGCCAACTTACCGAAGTTGCAGGTGCAAATCTTTGCACATGTGCAGCTCGATGCCATCATGCTGCTGAGCAGGCTGACTTGAAGGGTTGTGCAACTTTTCAAAACGCCTCTCTCCCATCGTTTAAAGCATGAAGTTTGGGTAAGCAGCTGCACACCAATTATCTCTCTGCCATTGATCAATCCAGTTACTGGCTGCACAGGGAAAGCTGATGCAGCTGCAGCAGCACTTCCCCCCCTCCCTCATAAGGAGCAGTAGCCGGAAGGTCCGCAGCACGGGCGATCTGGTGGGCCTGGATGGGGAGTTTTCTCCCATGGGGGTCCCCAGAGGCATGGCAGAGGTGAGACATCTTAATATCTGACAGGCCACCTTTGCAATTGCCATGAATGCATCTCTGCCGCAGCATTAAAGTACTGGGGCTCACAACAGCGCATGGAACATAACAGATAGTGACGCCATATTGGACCGTATCTGACAAACGGACTGTGAATTGTTTAAGAAATATATATGTCAGCCCCAAGAAAGCCAGTGAGCAATAGCGCTGGCTTCATCAGGGCTTTCACACTTGCATGATGTGAGGTCACACCCTTTTTTGACTCGCAAGGGGCAGCTAGGGAATCGCGCCCTGGCTTCGTCGGGGCTTTCAGATGTCTTTTGGTTGACTTCACACGCCGTATCTGATACTCGGGGGTCTGATGCAGATTCATGTCGTTTCTGACCCGCAGCGCCCCATGCATGCCAATTTCCCCTGATTTCATCGGGTGTATTCTCGAGTCCTGTCAAGTCCTGGAATGATTATGTCAGACAGGACATGGCTTCTCTTGGTTTATCTCCAACCTGGTGGAGGAAAGCCCAAGATAGAGAAGGTTGGAAGGCTGTCATACAAACGCTGCTGCGACGCACCTGGTCCTCATGGATTGGAAAGGCGTGTAATAATATAATAATAATAATAATAATAATAATAATAATAATAATAATAATAATAATAATAATAATAATAATAATAATAATAATAATAATAATAATAATAATAATAATAATAATAATAATAATCTTTATTATAATAATTATTTAGAATTCTCGAGTCTCACACCTCTTCTGATGCAGGCCATTGCGCCGCTGTTCCCTGAGGACTTGAGTGAGGGGGAGGAGGTGGCAGGCAGCAGCGGCTTATCAGACAACGAGGCCGGCCTTCATGCAGCCCTGAGCCTGACTGCAGAAACTTTGGACAACGGGTGGGTCTGTTGCTTCTTCAGCTGGGCACTCCGATTCCTGCTTTGTCTTGTTATAAAGACCCTTTTCCTTTTGAAAAGCATGAGCGAAAATGCAAGGTGACAGAGCAACCTGGTGCTCAAAGAGCAGCAGAACCTAGCAATGCATGGCCAAATGATTCATTCTCAATTAGCATTCCCAGCAGAGAATCCTGTATATCAAGCAAGTCCTGTCTCTGCATCCCTGCTCTGCTAAATTGTTCCTTATTCCAGCACGCGATTCTTGAGGTGTCACCAGATCAAGTCTGCACCTCAGGTTTCAAAGGATTGCACCTTTCGCCTGTGGAATCAGCAGTACACATTCTGGTGCTGCTGTGCCTGGACGACTATTATCACTATTACATGCTTTTCCTGCCAAGAGGCAAATTGTCCTGCAGACAAGCTGCACTTGAAGGCTGCCACAATCCTACCCCTTGTTGGACTCGCCAGATTCAAGCAAGACCCAATCAACCGCACTGCAGATTAAGATACGGCAATGTGCATTCTGATTGCATAATTCCCGCTGACTACACTGCACTGGTTCAAGTCAGATTTAAGATCGGTGATGACTTGCTGACCTAGTTTGGGCTGGCCCTCTCAATAGCATGGGTGTGGCTCGCAGGTGGGAAGATGAGTCTGTGGACTCAGACTGCACCTTATTCGAAGATGCCAAGAGCGAGGCCAGCGTGCCACTTCACAGCGTGGCCTGAGCTGTTGCACAGAGCTTTTTACCCCAGCTGGCAGGCGGCGGTCTATACATTCTCAACACCGTGCCCATGCTAACTTGGTACCCGATTTAATGGTTGTGGCGAGTCCAACAGGGCCAAAACATGTGGCAGCACTTACTCGCAGTTTGATGCATCTTCATCTTGGCAGGAACAGGTCTTGCAAACCCGCAGAGGAGGATATTACGGCTGTGGTTTATTAGTAAGCAACAAGAGGGGTTTGGTGCCGAAGAGGCACGACATACACCTGTGCAGACAATTTGAAGCTGAACAGAATCAGCTGAGTTCACCAGTGGCAGGAAGGACAAATTTTCTGGTTGGACAAGGTGTGATGGTATGCTCGCATAGGTTAAAAGACAGTGCTTGCAAAGGGAAAACATAACAACCATACTTTATCCTAGCCGCTGCGTTTGTATCGACTACAAGTGGGTGCAATGCGATGATCACTTTGGCACATTGGCCTCGTTGGCTGTGCCTATTGGCTAGCTGCTGGCACATGAAGCTCTCCATTCCCTAAGCAGACTAAACCAGTGAGGATTGAGAAGATATAAAATTGATTGCAACCTAAATTATGACTCACTGTTGAGGGTGACTTTGCTGGCCAGCGACAGCCTCCCAATTGTAGATGATCATGCTGATCATGACATCATGGATGATCCAAAGTAGATAGTGGGATGTGGGAGAAAAGCTGAGTGTGTCTTGTCCGGATGGAAACAGCTTCCTGGTAGGGTGCACGTAGAGTAGGACAGATATGAATGATATTGTGTAGAAGGCTTTGCCTTGATTACATGAGCGTGTGTGGGTAGGAGTCAATTCCTAAAGGCCATGGCCATTTGTTAGACATGCACATGTCCGGAAAATAAGAGCATGCACTTCTGACGGGCTTGCCCGTACCAGCGATGGCCATTTGTCATCTGAATTGTCTTTTCTTATGTTGTCATCAGCCTGAGATCTGTGTTAGGATGAACGCACGGCCCAATATGTTTGCAAGTCACTGCCCTTTGCACGTGCATAACAATATAGTTTGGCAAGATGCCAAAAGTGCTTTTACACTTGTCTTCAACTATGCAAGCATGCCATGCAGCTGGCTCCTGTAATTTAGACCTTCGGAATTTAAAACATCAGCTGTGTATATCATGTAGGGCCGTCAACAGATCTGAGCGTGCCGTTGGAAAAGTCAGTCCACTACAATGCACTGTAAGTATATCTGTCATTCAATTCGTTGTAGGATTGTTCTTACCGGTGGCCCAGACTTGAGGATCCGGCAGTTTGCATGGAAAGATCTTGGACAAATCCTGCACACAGCACTAGGTACTAGAGCAGAACTCAGTTGAGTACATAATATTGCAACATGTGACAACACATGTGCGGTCTATGATCCCGCGTGCATTCATTAAGGCAGCACACACTCTTCACTGCAAGGGGTAGGAATTTGGCAGCCTTTACATGCAGCTTGTCTGCAGACGCACCTTGCCTTTGGCAGGAAAAGCGTGTAATAATATAAATAATAACACTCTTCACTGCAGGCAGTACCCTTGCACACTGTGGCACACTCTGAGGGTTCCTTCTGCCTTAATGCTTCCCGCAGTACTCTCGATTCATTTACTCTGTCCACACTCTCGCTCGCCGTACACTATTAAAAATGCCAAGAGCTATCGCCCAGCTCTGCATTGGCTGGTGCCCTCATTTGGTTGAACCCTGAACCCCTCAGTGGGACAGCATGACTAGCTTGACATCCTTGTAGGCTGGGAAGCTGGGCTGGTACTTATGGTACATCCTCTCAATGGACTCGTAGAACTCCTTGTGCATTACAGCCACCTGCTTCTGAGTGACCTGCAGATAGCACTTGACCACTCAACACAGGCATATCCTACATCATAAACACAGGATGCACATAATGTGTTATGCACGGGGACCTTGCTCTCAATTTTTCCACACCTCTCCTGACTGCAGCGGGCAACACCACTAGCACCTTCTCGCATGCTCTGGGATCAACGAAAAGGTGTGAAGCTGGTGTCCCCGGCCAGTGCAGCAGTCAAATAAAGCTCGCATCAGCAAGATAGTCTCAGCAATGTGGCAGGGTGGCCCACCTCTCCGCCAAGGGGGATGTCTGGTGGTGCAATGGGCAAACCCACTATGAACTTGAGGGCAGTCTTGCTGGGGAAGGGCGTCATTCCCCACCGGCCAACCACCAGATAAGGAATTGGGAAACCCAGCTTCTTATAGGTCCACGCCTGGTCATGCATGAGACCTTCACTATCAGCAAGATGTTTTGGACTTGCCGAAAAGGGGTATCATACGTGCAAATCAAATCCAGAAAAGCTGAGAGACGAAGCACAGCGGGTTTGGCAGAGGGCAGCAGGTTTTGGGCAGCAGAACAAAGCTGCCTTGCTACTTTTGATGCAGCAAAGCCGAGAGTCTAGTGTAGAGAGTAGAGAGATCTGAAAGAAACCTGCAGTGCTGGGAGGTCAACAAAATTCCTCAGAGTGTTCAGCTCCCCAAACGCCAGAACAGGCACCAGGGAGGCTCCGTGCTGCGCAGCTAGCCGCACAAAACCTACAATGCCCCACAGACACCCTCTAAGCTCTGCTGGCAGCATTTTGAATACAAATACGACAGCTGCACGTGTAAGTAAGATATTTTACACACAGACGAATTGGGCCTGTTTTGCATCCAGGGCAGCTGCAAAGCTTGCGATGCCCACAGAAGGGCAGCTAAGTTCTGTATACAAAAATGACAGCTCCAAATGTCAGTAAGGCAAATATTTCACTAGATGACCGGAGCCAACGCGTGTTCTTGAAGGCCTGTTCTTGCATCCCTGCATTTCTTACAAAGTATTTTCCTGATTTAAAGGTCAAGGACCGTTGGGCCAGTGGGTTACATATGTCTTTTCATCTAGGGAGGAGACAAGGCAGTGCTGCAGAGGGGCGGGAGGGGCACACCCTTATGCCTGGGGTAGATCACAAACTCCTTGCTGGTGAAGAGGCGCCCGGTGTGTATGAGCTCCGCCTGGCCTCCGGGCACCAGTATGACGGAGTTCCTCTCTCTTAGCGCCCTCACAAACGTCCTCCGTGCCACCTGTGCAGCACCGCAATTGTGACTAAGAAACATCAACTCACCTGAATTACCATCAAGACACGCAGGAGCTCAGACACCAAATCCTGACTGTATTAGGACTAAGCGTCCCTTTGCTGGACAAAGCGCCAATCCACTGCTTTGGTACTTGAACTTGTTGGGCTTATTTTGCTTACTGCCCGACGGTAACGGGAGTAAGTTTCTCAGGTTTTCTGCCATCACTGTTTGGCAATTACCGGTGAGTGCTATCTTCCATATAGTGATAAAAGACTGAGAATTCAAATTCGAATGAAGGTAGTGAGTGAGGAAGCACCTGCCGCACGCCACACCAGCTGACAAAGTCACGGATGATGGGGGTGAAGAACAGAACAGAGGCCACCAGGGGTGTGGGGTGGATCCCTGGGAACAACTTCCTGAACCCTGGCAGCAGCGGCAGGTACGGGCCGCCTGCACAATCCCAGTTCCCCATGTCAACGCATCTCTGTGCCGCCAGCATGGACAATTGAGCATAGACAACCCCAAGCATTGAGAAGCACTTGATCAAAAGTGCGCTTGATGCTCGACAAGAGACAAACAGAGACACCACAGATGCTACAAGCCACAGCCCATGTAAGATTTACTGAGGCAGGTGGAACCTGATATGCAGCAGTATCAGGTAATGGATGTGCGTGTCAAAGCATCTCTGTGCCGCTAAGAGGCATAATTGCAGGATACATAGCTGCAAATGTGCCTGGCGTTGGCCAATTAGCACACAAGCTTACACAGGCACGAATCTGAGGAAGTCAGCCGAGCATGTGAGGAATGATGTACACAAGGGTACAGTGCTGATATACAGTACACTGTATATTGGATTTGGGTCTGCACACCTATTGGGAAGAGGCCGTGGGGAGCGTAGCCGAACACGTATTTTTTGGAAGGGTCCAGAGGGACATCACCATCGTAGACCACGTCCACAGTACCCATCCAGGCATTCAGCGCCGGCTGCAGGTTCCTCGTGAACCAGTCCTTAAATGCGGGCCATTCCCGCCTCCCTGCATGCAGCATACAATACAGTCAGCAGATTGCAGCCATTGTGCACATCATACCATCCACAGGGCTATTTCTTGCCCCCCTGCATGCAACCCAAAACTCACTCGGCAGACTGCAACCCCTGTGGACACCATTGCCAATTTCGAGACCTCGTCACATCATCAGACATACAGGGCCCTGCCACATTGCTGGGCTCTGGGTCTCTGATGAGTCATAACTGAGCTGACATGACTGGAGGCAAGATGCCTCTTCACAACAGTATGAGTACAGTCAGATGCGCATGAGGCGAACAAGCAGACTCAGTGCACATCCTGCACTCTCAGAGTGTACAAGTCATCATGCCTGCAATTTTGAGATGTCAAAATTCGATACAAGGATTGAGGTGCGGTGCAGCGCACACCTGTATGCTCAGGCTCGCCAAAGACGGTGCTGAGGTAGTACACAAGGCAGCCGCCGATCCAGATGGCGCTCGCATAGGCGGCCGGCACCACCGCAAAGGTGGCGAAAAGGGCCGCGAAGAAGATGTGGACGGGGAGGTACATCATCAGGATGGGGATCCAAATGCTCGAGCGCGCCGCGGCTGCCGCGGCCGTCGCCTTGGGCTGCTGCACAGCCTTTATGCCGGAGCGGATGTCGTCCTTGAACATCCATATGGATATGCCCAAGAACTGCAGACAGATTTGCAAAAGTGTCAGCTGCCAACATTACTGAAATGTCATACTACTGCTACTTACTGATGTATCTTCCAGCCCTGACTGACTGGGTGCATCTTAAGCAACAACAGCAGTGCAAATAACCAAAATATAGAGAAGTGACCTGCTGTACAGACTCTTACACCCTGCAGCTTTGCAGAATTGAGGAATACTGTCAGATGAAGCGCACGGCAAAGCACTTCAGCAACATTGCCACACTAGTTTCCATGCTGTACAAATAGATGAGGTACTTTTAACTCTCTCGCAAATATCACAAGCTTGTTCCAGCCCACAGGGCTAGGTACATTGCAGCCGCACAATCTGACTTCTCAACAAAGGAATGCTGCTCCTCAAATACTGCTCACGACACGAGGAATGAAGGGGGAGTGGCATGGGAGGCATACCAGCTGGGAAGCGAGCATGGCGGAGCCGGTGGCAAACACCCAGCAGCGGATGCAGTAAGCCATCCCCCGAGCGGCTAAGGAGATCAGGTAGATGACACTGATCAGGGATGAGCTGAACAGCGCCCATCCCAGCGCCTGTGTTGCGGCAAACATGACGCCACCCCTGCAAGGTCACTCTATCTGATCAACCTTGGTGATCCGCCCTGCTGTAATCCCTTTCCCCTTCATGCAGTCATCAGGGTCCCAAAAAATCCTCTTTTCATGCCAATATATTAGGGTGATTGACTGGGCAGTAGCCACGGGGATGTGTGTCAAGGGAATGTTTAAGCACATGGGGAGGACCTGTTTATAGGGTGAAGTTTGCTCATTCAACATAGGGCAAGAACATGGGAAAGGGTGAAGGGCTCACTGGAAGGGCTGGAAGAAGCGCCATCTCTGAGAGATCTCATCGCCAACTTCCTGGGGGGATGCATAGCGCAGCTGACCCCCCAGTCCATGCGTTGTGGTTGCCCCAATCAGAATGCACACTGCTGATACCACAAGGTACAGTTGCCTGCATGCACAGCAGCCCTTTCGATCAAAAAAGGTGAGATGGTGAATGAGGGAGGGCCAACGGCCAAAGGTGAAGCAGGCACGTGAAGTGAGCTAGCGAAGTTCATAGCATTAAAGGAAGTCGGGGTTATATACTTGGTGGTTGTGTTGGCTAGGAATTCAGTGGCAAGCAGCATCCCTCCTCCCATTGTTGCCCACAGCAGGCCCATCGCCACAACAGCGGTTGAAGCCAAAGGCTTCGTCAGCTGCAAATCAAACCCAAACAACAGCTTTATACAACAGCAACACTGCCATATTGCTTGGCACGCCCACGCTTGCAGCAAAGACATCACCTTGACTATTTCTAATGCAAGAATTGGGCTTTACCCGGCTGCGTTTGTATCGTGGGGAGGTGGGTCCAGTGCTGTCTTCAACAGGCACCGTTGGGTCGAAGACCAGCAGGGATTTAATCATGAACAGCTCCGCAAAGACACTTCCAACAGCTGCCGCACCCGCCAGCACCTCCACGTGAGCTGTTGGGATGTTGATCCACTGTCTGTGCAACGACACTGGTGCAGCAATCAAGATGGATGCCGTCCACACAGCCTGCTTGGAGACATGTCCCCTCATCATACACTGAACACTGGAAAGCGTTGAAAGTACCAAAAGCATTTTCCAGTGCCAATGGAAGGCCAGAATCGACGCAGAATGGTCAGCTCTGCAGCCTGCACCAGTGTGGCAGTTGCCAGGAAGGGGCGATAGTGGACAGAACGTCAGTTCTGTTGGAAAGCTTCATAGGTGCAATACAGCGCTTCATAAGTCCAACATCAAGTTACTACACCCATTTTCAATTTCTGCATAGAGGAAGGCAACTCACCCATGCGATGACTTGGAATATAAAGTGATGACGCCCTCCCTTCATGGGATACAGGAGGACATGGCGAGCTCTTGCCGATGGAGGGCAATGAGCTATAAGTCCCAGTGAATGGGTGAGGGGCACGCTTGGAAGAAAAACGTAAATTGCTGCAAAAGTGAACCTTTCTAGGCTGTGCATCCTGCCTTTGCAACGAATCAGGAGCAGACGTAGACCTCATACCACAGAGTCCAACATTGATTAAAATGAAAAGATCCTTATTAAGGTGCTCTTAGCAAAGCAATCACAATTCTTGCCGTGCTTTGCTCTTCTACGGAAGGTGCAATTGCAGAGCCACCCTCTAGAACAAGTCTTGTACAAGCGATCCTTGCAATGTCGTTGATTAGCCTGTGAGAATATTTCAATAACAATGCAATGAGCTGGACACTGTTTCTTCCTCCTGATCGCAACCCACTTGTCCTTGGAGTTTGCGCACGAAGTGGACCACGAGGGAGTCGATAAGATGTGAGGAAGCTAGGGGTCGAGGAATTGCACAGCATGCCCAACTTTGAGACCTCCGCATTCCTTGGATCTTTGGCAGGGATTGATAGGAAGGGATGAGCTGAGGGAAGTTTTTCGATTAAGAAATGGAAGAGGATGAAAAGACCGGGAATGTACAGCTCTCAGATTTTGAGGTGGGCCTGAATAGCAGCATGAATGGCCCGTTCTGTGAAGACTCTGATGGAAACATTGCTACTAGATTGTGCTCAGAGTCTCCATTTGCTAAAGTTATTTCATCCCAATCACCAAGGTGTGCATCACCCACCACGTCTTATGATGAGTGTCACTGCAGGCGGACGCATACCTACGAAAGTTAGAGCCTGTTGTACAGCAATTGCAGAAGGACATACCAGAGGCCAGATATGATAAGCGGAGCCTTGCCCAGCTGGTCGCCCAGCTCCTGCAATTCATGGAGGTGGCTCTGGGGATCAACGTAAGCCCAATTGATCTGCCTCAGAGAGTGCCTTTGCAGCAGGATACTTCTGAGAAATCTTCTCACGCACAAGTTCATCTCCAGTGCATGGGTTGTTTTCCACTGACAGGTGCAACATAGGGTGCCTTTCAGCCCTGTGCACCTTCTGGGCTGTCATGACTGAGAGTTTGATGCTGCTGCAGGCTCTGCCTCCAAGGCCGCATCCCAAGATTCCAGCCAAACTCTTCAGGGACTATTCCTCGTACGGCTCCCTGTATTCCATCGCTGTCAAGTGCCACGAACTCATGCGTCAGCGGGGCATCAAGCGGTTGGATTTTCAGAATGTGGCCAGGCGCAAGGAGGTACCGATCTGCTCGAGATTTTGCCTCACAATCTGACACAAGCAAGTGTTTGGCATTTTCCTGCAGATAAGCACAAAGAGAGCAGCTTAAAGAATGTCATCCACATGAGGGGGGCAGGGGCATGAGGTGATTTTGTTGGCCGTGCAGCACGTGGAGTTCCTGTCTCAGATCAGGCGGGAGCTGCAGAGGGAGGGATACATAAAGACCCCCAAAGTGTTCATCCACCCCAGCTGCAGTGGAGACATGCCCCGCCTGCAGCGCATCATTGATCAGATGGGCGGGGAGCTCATGCCTTCAGAGAGTGCGCACCTCCCATCTGCTGATAGCATGATCATGTGAAGAAACCTGCATCTGAAGAAATATCATAAAACTGGCTGTAAGGTGACAGTATAGGCTGCAACAAGCCATGGCATACTTGGGCCAGCCCGCAATTTGGTATTGCTGCATACTCCTTTTGGATCTACTTGTCCAACAAAATCTCAAAATGATGGGCTTACTTCAGGTTGGCTGATGCAGAGACGCCAGGCGTGACGCACATTGTGTACCCCTTTGGCCCCAAGGGGGATGTGGATGATGGAGTGGAATACATCCGCAGCCTTGAGAAGAGGTGCTGCACTCGAGATCTGCTGCTCCTCAACTGTGCTGAATTGGTATTGCATTGCCAAGTGCATTCGCACCTGCGCAGAGTACTGAATTTGTGTGTATCTGGCAGGGGCACAGATGTGCTGGTGCACTACTGGTACTACCCAGACAGCTATGACCGGTGCATACCAGCCAGTGTGGCGCCCGAGTCGATTGAGACTGACAAACGAATAAAGGGTGAGCTGTCCTGATCTCCTAGTAGACGCTCTTCACGTTCTGTGCTCCCTTAATGATGACTCTCTGGGCCATATTTGCTAAAGCACATGGGTGAGCGAGGTCGGAGATCCCACACCCTCATTGCAGTATTCTGTCAAGGAGTGCTATGATGGGGTTGCAGGGCCCTGGAAAGTGACATTGCGCTGGGTGTTTGACTCGGACAAGTACAATGAGTGGATGAACCCTGTGGACTTTGAGACGGAGGAAGCTGTGGCCGAGCAGGAGAGACTAGGCTTGGTCATCAACCCAGGTGCGCTGCTTTTCTGCTCTGGATCTCCATTTTTGCTTAAAGATCTACTTTGCTGTTCATGAATCGCTTATCTTCCTCCTTGTTTGGCATGTTCTCATGCAAGTGCTCAAGCAGCTAGCGTCTGCATGGAATCCACAGCGGCAGATGGGCACATTCTTTGTGATTGCCCAGTTCGATGACTCACAAACGTGGATTGTCTGCAGATGAGATGGGCTCGGGACTTGTGACTAAGCGGTCACTGGAGGGCGCTGATGGGGACCAGCCATCTGCCAAGCGGCAACGCCCAGGTGGAACAGGTGTGTCAGGATGCATCCGCAGTTTGCAGCAATGTGTGTTGGTTTCAGTAGCCTGCTGCAGCTGAGCTGAGGCATTGGGAACCTCATAATTTCCCTGATAAAACAAATTCTGGCTTCAGTGCAGTAGAGACGTGATGTCGCAGCCTGTTCAGAATTCCATCATGTGCAGAAGTGCCCTGTCAGGAAGCTTCTTTAATGCACCCGCCATTGAATGGTTCATCACTTACTAGTATATCAATTTCTTTAGCTGGCTTCCTCTTTGTTCAACAGGGGCTTTGTTACTGAGTGTTTGTGTCGTCCCTGCGGATTCAAGAGGGCTTCCTTACTGATTCACTTGTGTTCCGATTATGGCAGTAAAGAAAGGCGTCCTTCCCTTGTCCTCTGGTTTGTCATTGCACAGACTGTCAGTAGGAGATATGTTGACGATTTATTTCGGGAATTGCGCAGTCAAGAGGGGAGTAGTGGAGCCGGGCCGCTCAGAGCGAGTGGCTCCCGGAGTCGTGCGGCAGCAGCTGAGGCAGCCGGACACGCGCTGGTCCGAAGGCGCCAATACTGAGAACCTGAGCCAGGGGCAGCTGCGGCCGTCTTCTCTGCGCGGCCCCGGCCCCCGCACGCCCCGCGCTCGGCCGCCGGTCCCAGCAGGTCTTGCGCATGCCTTTTAAGTGCTCTGGCTCCAAATGCTGTGTCTGACGGGTAGGCAGGTGCAGTGTGTATCAGAGGGCTAGCCATCTGTTTGCAATTCCGTCATTGCAGTCTCCACTGTTCCCTTGCTACTGGATTGGCTGATGGGTTGCCCAGTGCATTGAACATAAGTCCAGCAGTCTGATCTTGTTGGCCCACCCCTGTGTCTGCTGAGGTTATAACCCTTTTTTCTTTTCTTTCAGTGATAATTCACATGATCTGCAGATATCAGGAGCCTGAGTCTTTGATGCTTTGCACGTCCAGAGCATGCAGGGGAGGCCGTACCAGCCGCGAATGGTATCCCACCAGAAGAGGAGCCGCCGAAGGTGCTGTACAGGGTGCCTGCGCACGCGGCCTGGTTCAAGTACGAACAGATCCATATCAACGAGCTGCGCGGCGTACCTGAGTACTTTGCTGGCGAGCCCATGAAGACCCCTCGGGCAAGTCACTCTACCATTACCAAACTCCCAGCACACAAAAAGCAGAAAAAAATCCTGCTCAAATTCATGCCTTAGATGCTCGTTCTTGGCTGCATTTCATTGCCTTGAAAACACCCATGTATGCTTTGGCAACCGAGTGCCATCTGATAGTGGGTGCAGACGGGCAAAAAAGTAATTTCAGTGATCTTCGCCTATTTTGCGGCTGATGAAGAGCGCCACTAAGCCACCATATGTCTGTTTATGGCTGCAGCGCATACTAACACCGCCTCTGTCAGCAGGCGTACAAGGAGGCGCGCAACTTCATAATCAACAAATACCGGGAGGACACCGGCCGGCGGCTGAGCTTCCTGGAGGTGCGCGCTGAGCTGACAGGGGACGCGGGGGGACTGCAGCGAATCTACTCTTTCCTGGACCACTGGGGGCTCATCAACTACCAGGCCGACGGCGGCGCACAGCAGGCCGCCTCCGACGTCAACCCCTTCACCGTTGCTCCCTCAAGTGAGTTTGATGCATGACATCTTCGGTTTACTTGATTTGGAGTGTGCTGGTCCCTGCGGTGTGTGGTTGTGAGGGCTGGAAAATGTAGAGGGATATTGGCTAGCAGCTGCCTGTAATCAGGCGGCTGACGTGAAGCTGCTACTGCCTCTGGCGTCAACCTATTTACTGCCACTTTCTCAAGTGAGTTGATGATGCATTATGCCCTTCTGCCCTCTTGGCATGGTGCTCTGGTCCCCTCCATATTCCCCGGTGATGCTACGCAAACAATGTCCGGGAATCATCTCTGTCGGGTGCGTCTTATGATGCGGATAAAAAGAGCTTTCGCAGGGACCAAGGCAATGAGAGAAGCAGTGGGCCAGTGTGTTGATGTTTGTTTCAACACGCTGTGTCCTCTGACACATCAAGGTTAGTGCTTGATGTGATCTCTTTTCTGAGTGCAGGCCTGCCGGGCACCATCAGGTTGGGCAGGCTGCAGGGGCCGCCCAACGCAAATGCGCTGCTCAGCTTCCACAAGCCGCCCACCGGCAACCTGGCGGCCTCTGCCGCCACTGGAGCAGAGTCAGCGCTCAATGTGGTCCCCCAGAGAAACCAGCACATGCAGCCTGCCATTCAGGCAGCCTCCAGCGAGGTAAGGGGCTCCGGCGGGGTCCCTCCTTTGCATACATCTATACACCCCTTTGCATGTTCTCTGCAGTCTGTTTGTTCTGCATTCTATTGGTTGATTTTGTCATCGCACTGGTGCTGCAGGAGTGAACTAATTCTTTCCCAATCAGACCATCTCTGCAATTGTGACCATCTGTGTAACGCCGCCATGTGATGAAGAAGACTGTTGTGGTCATGCAGGCGCGATTCTTCTGCAATGCGAAGCCCTGGGTGGACTGCACAGCACTGCGCTACCACTGCACAAAGATCCCAGACGTCGACCTTTGCCCTGAGGCGTATGCAGAGGGCCGTTTCCCACCCGGCTGCACTGCGAAAGACTTCATCCGCATAGATGCTGCAAAGCCCCCGGTGAGCGACGCATGTGCCCCTGAGATGATCCTGCATTGTTGCTGCAAAACCACCCTTGCTGTGGATGCATTTTGGGGCGCGGTTACCTTTTAATCTCTCAAGAGAGGTCAGGGCTGTGTCACTGTCGGTGCTTCGGTAACAAGCACCGACAAAATCTGCGCAGATTTACAATCTCATTTCCTTTTGCATATGAAACTCTATGCATGACAGGATTTGTGAGAATGTTGTTTGCTGCTGTGTGGTGCAGGAAAATCCAAAAGACTGGACCGATCAGGAGACCCTGCTGCTGCTGGAGGGGCTAGAAATGTACAACGACAACTGGAAGGAAATAGCAGAGCACGTAGGAACGAAGACACAGGCAAGTACCCTTCTGTACATCTCGATCAAAGGAAGCAAATACATTTCTGCGGAGGCAGCATGCATGTCACATGCGCATGCGCCAGCTGATTCTGTGCGTCCTGGGCTCTGTGATCTTCTTTCAACCATCGCATCAAAGCTGCATTCTGGTTGATTGTTCTGCAATACTGTAGTACCGTAGGTATTTTAAAACCCGCAATAAATAATTAATTTTGGCCAAAAAGGGTGGATAAATGAGACCCTATCTCCCAAAAATAAAACCCCTGTGATAATTTCGAGACTAGATCCGGAAAGCTCTCGACAAGCCCAATCCAATGAAGCATGACCCTAGTATTTTCAGAGTCGAGAAGACCCCCAAAAGTTGCGTTGAGAAAAATTTAATTTTGGTTTTAGAATGAGCACTACAGTATTTTGTGAGCATTGGTTCTGGCTGTGCAGGTTCAGTGCGTGTTGCACTTCCTGCAGATGCCCATTGAGGACGAGTTCCTTCCGGAGCTGACACCAGAGCAGCCGCCTGGTGTATTCGTGACTAACAGCGGCCCAGCTGCGGACCCATCAGAGCAGCCTACCCCCTTCGCAGATGTTGGCAACCCCATCATGGCTCAGGTGTGTGCACCTCCCCTGCATGCAATGCATGCTGCATGACGAGTGCCCAAGCAAACGCTTCTCTTGCTTCATGCAGCTTCAGAAGCATATCTACATTCAAGGAAGTGTTCTGGATTCAGTCTCTCAGGCATGTCAGTCTGTTAGACTGTAGCCACTCATCCAAGCTAGAGTGACTGCTAAGGCACTCCAGCAGACCCAGGACTGCCAGAGCAATCATTTGCGTAAGTGATGCGAGACAATGCGAGAGAAGATGTGCATCATGCAGATGTTCTCTAAGGCTTCCTGATGCGTCTAAATGCGAAGCACGCAAGGCAAGTTCTACCAAGAAATGTCATGCATGATGTGCAGGTTGCCTTTCTGGCATCCATGGTCAGTCCAAAGGTGGCGGCTGCGGCTGCAGCGAGGGCACTAGAGGTGCTTGGCGAGGATGATCCAGGAGTATTGGCAGAGGCGGAGTACATCAACGAGGACGAGGAGCATGGGGAAGGGACTGCAGATGGAGATGCTGAGAAGGGTGGAACAAGTGGGGCTGCTGATGGCCAGCAGGATGAGGCTGGTGAGGCTCCCATGCCTTGCCTTTACAGGACATACATTTGACAGGCATGTATGCATGCATGCATGGGCCGTGATGATGACACATGGACAGCAGTCTCCATGTGTCGTGCTCTTTGCGATCTTCTCGGCAGTCCTGGTGACATGAGCAAGAAACATATGAGCCACTGTTGGTGACATGAGCCAGAGTTGTCATGCATGTCAGTCTGTAACCTGCGCCGGCAGGTGCAGCTGGTGAAACGGAGGCCAGAGATGGAGCAGGGGCATCCTCGTCAGCTGCGCAGGCAAATAGGGGTCAGACAGCGTACGCAGCAGCAGCCAATGGCCATGCAAAGCCGGAGCCAGGTGGCGGCCCCATCTCAGCCACAAAGGTTAGAGTTGCGGCGGCAACAGCCCTCAGCGCGGCCGCGGTGAGTCCCTCACTCCATCTGCGTTGCTCTGATGAGTTCAGCCATATATACCAGCGTTTGACAGCAGTCAATAGATGTTAATTTCACCAATAAAACGCTCTGCATGTCTCCACTTCTACTTAGCTCCTTGAACCTAGAGATATTGACTGTTGGAATTGAGCCATGAAGGTCGGCAAGTCATCATGCAGACACATGTAGGGTGTTTCACTCAATGCATCTGATGTGTGGCAGTTAGAGTTTCTATGAAGAAGTTTCACTCAATGTAAGTGATGATTAAAAATGAACTAGCCATGGATCTCCAGCAAGTCATCTCACGAACACAAGGAGGATGCCTTTGTTGCATGTAATGATCTGCGGGTGCGGCATGCATGCACGATACCACCGGCGGATAACCTTGTGTTACAGCACAATTAGTAGACATTATTGCATGCATGCAGGTGAGGGCGAGGCTGCTGGCAGATGCAGAGGAGAGGGAAGCGCAGAGGCTGGCCAGCGAAGCCCTGGAGGCAATGCTGAAGCGGCTGCAGCGCAAGATGACCCAGTTTGGCGCTCTGGAGGAGGCCCTTGTGAGAGAGAAGGCCCATGCCGAGGTGATTCAGCTCTCTCCTCAGATGGAGGAGATTGCTCACCAGCAGGAGGATTGTGCAGAAATTGCCTTGATGTTCTCTATGTGATATTTGATCACCTATTGGGTGTGAACATGACCAGATAAAGACTCGCAGGCTCAGGCAATTCTCCATGAATCTGAAAAGATTGCTGTGCGGGGTGAAGAGATGCATGTCTTTCAAGGTTCTTTGGTACATGCAGGGGGTCAGGGATGCAGCAGTGGCAGAGCGTGTGAAGCTGCAGAACACACCGCCGCTCCAACTCCAGCTGCAGGCACGGCTGCTAAATTTTTGTAGTTTCCAGATATTCTCATAGCACCAGCACCAAGCTTTAGCAGGTTTTGAGCATGTCACATCATTTATTTTAACCATATGTCTCCCGAAGCACGGCAATGTAGATGGAAGCGCAGAGGACGGATGCACATCTAAGTAATCATCTGATTTCTTGAATGGATACTCTTTCGCCCGCAAATTTCAGCAAGGTGAAATGCATATTCTCATGGCGGCATTTTGTGATATGCGCAGGCGCAGCAGACGATGGCAGCCGCTCAGAGGGCGGCAGCAGCCGCAGCAGCTGTGACCGCCTCTGCCCCCTTTGCCGGACTGGGCGGCCTGCCTGCCTCGTTTGGCTTGCAGACCCTCCAAGGCCTGGCGAATCTCACCAGCCAGCCCTTAGGCATGCACCTGCTGCAGGCCCATCTGCAGGCGCAACCCCAGCTGCAGCCTCCACAGCAGCCGATGCCTCAGCAGCAGCATGTTCCTCAGCAAGGGACGCCCCAGCTGCAGTCAGGCCTCCAAAACTTGGTGCAGCAGCAGCTGCAGGTGCAGCAGCAGCAGCAATCACATGTGCCTCAGCAGCAGGTGTCTCAGCTTGCTGTACCCCAGCAAATGCCCCAGCAGGAAACACCATCCCATGCACCACAGCAAGCAGTGCCGCAGCAGCAGTTTTCGCAGCAGCAAGCAAATGCAGGGGTGTTGCCGCATGCTCTGCCTCCGCAAGGTTGACATGCTGGGCTCGTTTGCTGTGCTGAGAGGAGAGGAGGGAAATTTGAAGTGGTGTTAGTCGCACATGCAGACCATTGCGTCATGTAGCATATCAGGATGGCATGGGCATGTAAGATCTTGTGAATAAAAAGTTGGCACGCTAGCTAGCTATAGCACTGGAAAGTAGAAGGCACACGGGAGCTATCCAAAACGACTGCTCAGAGCTTTGGCAGACACTTGCAAATGCATCTGACATGCATGGCATGCAGGCACTGAGTCTGGCTGTCATGCATGCCCATTCAAAGATTAGTCATCAAACGCCATTTCCCTCATTTTCTCCACAGAGAATCCAGATCATCGCTCTGCGCACGCCAGATCTCCGAGCGCTCTGAGTCTTACGCCGTGTCCGAAATGCAACTTGGAACAGCATGACTGCAAAGCAAAGCTATTCAGGCTGAAGGCGTTCAGACACAAGACACAGGCGTGCAGGCACAGCCTGAGCCGCCCGCGGACGTTGTGAGAAAGCCCTACCTCCACAGAGATCGTTGATTATTCTTCACGCCAATGCTGCTCCTGATCGCAGCACTCCTCTGCACGGCCTTCTGTGCACGCGCCGACAGTCAGAGCGCCCTGGATGCCTGGCCGACGCTCAAGTTCGGCTACTCAGTACCTGGCAAGGTATTGCTTCCACTCTCTCATGCTTCTTGGGAGGCTTGATCTTTGCTCTTGGCACTCAGATCTGCTGTTGAAGAACCATGCTTTGGCCTACCAAGAGCAGGATCGTCCATTTGAGTCCTTCAGGTCAAGCGCCGTCCTGTGGACAGCACCGCTGTTCGATACGTCTGCATTGTCTTATGCTCACTGCGAGCACAAGATATTTCTTTGCTTGTTGTGCCTGCTATCCTGCAGTTTAATGCTGAGACTTCTGTGCTGTCCTGCAGGCAGTGACAACTCCTTCAGCTGGGCAGCCAACGTGTGCCAATACAGTGAGCCTGATGCTTCCTCTTCTCCAGTTCAGTGCCAGAATGCTGTCCTAATGCACACACTACTTGTGTCAGCAAGCCTGTAATGAACTCTCACACGCTGAATTTTTTTTGGCCAAACTGCAGGTGGATGCCTTGTCCCTGCTGAAGTCACAGGGCGACCACATCTCCTCTGAGATTGCGATCAATGACGAGCTGTTCTTCAATGGCGCTTCCTGTGGCACCTGTGTGATCTACAGGTCTGACTCCAGCATCTGCTCATCTTGCTGTGCACAACGACAGATGCATGAACCTGGAATGTGGCTCACATCCCGTTATCCAAATAATCAGCATTTTACATCACAAGTCTCCATGCGATCATCAGCAGAGCAGTCTGTCAAGACATGTCATGCACATGCATGTGAAAGAACTTGCGTGTTTGCCGCTGAACAATGCTTGTTGCCCCTTGCATGCAGGGACCTGAGCAAGAATGAGTGCATACAGTGGCCTTGGTCTGTGGGAATTGTTACACAGTCTTGCGCAGGCGATCCCACTGCTCAATTGCATGCTGCCTTCCTGCATGGTTTCTGGCTAAAATTATGGCAGTCTGTGCTGCTCTGCACTGAATAGTCAAGCGCTCATTGGGTGCTATTAAATTTGCAGAGTGCAAGGGGGATATCTCCCTGGGCATCCTGAGGGCAAAGGAGAGCAGGGCCATTGAATGGATGCCCGTGCTGTGCATCACAACCAATTCCACCCTCTTCTATGCCATTCGTCAGAATGCCAGCAGCCCAGACGCCGCGGTCACCATTGTCAACTCTAGGTGAGCCCTGCATCTCCCAATTGTCACAAACCAAAGTTCTCAAATTCACAGGGCCTGCTTCAAGGCAATTCATTGTATCTGATGTAACATGTACTTGACATATGGGTTTCCATCTTCACTCCTGAAAATTGTTTCTGTTCATGCAGGCTGCCCATTGTCAAGGTGGAGAGCCTAGCAAACAATGGAAGCTGGGTCCCTCTGACACACGACGGCAGCAGGCTGGGCATCTTTACTGGATACAGGCGCTCTGAGCTCTCCCTGAAGGTGCAAGTTCCAAAATTAAATGCAAATGCCTTCGTTGAAGAGACCGATGCATGTTCTGGCAATGAAATTCTTCCACAAGGCTACCATTATTGCCATGCAGGCATGCATGCACGTCAAATGCCTCCCATGTCAGTGGAAGACAAGGCATGTGCATGCATGCATGTCATACTCCCTCACTAGCAACTGTCATGGCAATGCTAATTTATCCTGCATGATTCAGGTTCGTGTGACGTCCATCTATGGCACGTCCATTGAGGATCTCATCCCAGGAGACTCCGGCGGCTTTGGCCACGCCCAGTTCCTGCCTGCCGCTCCGGTCTACCAGCTGCCAGCGTCCTCCCAGCCCCTGCGCTCCTCTAGGAACCTGCTCCAGGTCGGTACTCTTTCAGAACTTCAATCAGACGCAAATGTGGCTGCCCAGACATGCTTAGTACTTATTTGAAGCCACATCAATGGACAGGACAGGGGTCAGAAATGGGCGGATTCTGCTGCGATTGCTCAAGAGCTCTGAAATGTGGGTTCAAGTATTCTGAAATTATGTCAAGCCAGAGTGGCGTGCATGCAAGCACACACCTCAACATCACAAACATCACGGGCTTGCTGCCGTCTATCTATAAAGCTGCACATACTTTTTACAGGCACTCAGGAAAAAGGTGGTGCAGGTGCTGAAGGAGCAGGCGCTGACACCAGAGGAGCAGAGCAGGCAGAAGTATTCCATCGTGCTGGCCCGCGCACCGGCGCCGGCGCCTGCCGCCTCCCTGTACAATTCCTCGAGGATGCAGGACTACGAGCAGTGCGGCGGCATCACCAACTGCCCCTTCCAGGACGCCGGTGGCCCCTGCGCGGACAAGCAGTACTTTGCCTGCGCAAGCCCGGCCTCCACCTGCGTCAGGATCAACGCCTACTACTGGCAGTGCAGGGCCAAGCCCGCCTCAGCACGCGCTCCCTCCGCCGGCCTTGCATCCGCATCGGCGCCCCTGGCTACTACTACCTTGGCAGCTGAGCAGTCGGCTGCAGCCAGCCCTGCATCAGCACTGGCGCCCATAGCTACTCTCTTGACAGCTGAGCAGCCGGCTGCAGCCAGCCCTGCATCAGCACCGGCGTCGGTGGCCACCCCGCCAGCTCAGCAGGCCGCGGCAGTCGGCCCTGCGCCGGCACCCGCGCCCGGTCAGGAACGCCCCATCATGGACGACGGCCTCCACCCGCAGCGCTGCACGCTGGGCTCCACCGATGCCAAGTGCCTCTTTGGCAGGACCCTGCTGGATCTTCCCCAGGCACTCAGCCCCAGCAGGGCTCCGCTGCCGAGCGAGCCGCTGCCGGTAGTTGAGGGCGGCGTTACGTTGCAGCCGCCCAAGTGCAAGGCACTGTCCACGGACCCCAAGTGCGCCTTTGGCCGTCGCCTGGCCGACACCACCGCGGCCGCCACCGAGCTGGCCGGCAGCGGCCCTGTGCAGCCGTCGGACATCATCATGCAGGCTGTCCGGAGGCACCTGGCCGCTGCAGCTGTTGGAGCTCCTGTTCCGTCAGCAAATCCTGCCGCTGCAGCACCCGCGCCGGCGCCCGGGCCAAGCCCCGCCAACAGACTGGTTCCAGACTATGGCACCTGTGGTGGTACTGGTGCGTCTCTGCTCTGTGCAACGCCCTTTTAAATTTGCGATAGAGAAATTTAGATATTTTTTATTTCGCTGGAACCAGACTGCAATGTTTACCTCTGTTTACCTCTTGACAAATCAGGGTTGTCAAAATTTACAGCAGTAGCTTCATGTGCCAAAAAAATTATGTTCTCGTCTAAATATACGGGAGAGTGCTCCATCTTGAGTGTACTGTCTGATATTCTCGATGGAAAAGGATGATTGCTGAGCGGTCCCCTTGATATCCCCATGTGCAGGGTCAGGCTGCCCGCTGCCGCGCGCATTGTGCAAGGACGAGGCGTACCTGCCGTGCGGCCAGGGCTCCAAATGCGTGCGGCTGTCCCTGTACTACTGGCAGTGCCAGCACGCCGTCACAGCTGGAGCGCGCGATCCAATCTCCGCCGGTGTTCCCTCTCAGGTGTATTTCACAACAGGATTACTACTGCATGCCCACATCTTAGTTGCCTATTACCTCCTGTGTCAGGCACAGATAGGTCTAACTCTAGCAGACCACGGCATACTTAGGCAACCAGGTCATTGTTGCAGAAGTCAAGAACACTGACATGCTTTGTTACGCCAGGCTCCGTCAGTTGCAGCTGAAAAGCGCAGCAGCCAGAGCAGCAGCCCCTCTCCGAGCCCCCCAGCGTCAGTGGAGTCCCTGCTCGTCGCCACGCACAGCTCTGAACAGCCCTTCGTGGCGGACCCCACGCTGATGATCCAGCCGGCGATGCAGTCCGGCAGCGCAAAGGCTGACGACTACGTGCGCGACTTTGGCCGCTGTGGCGGCACGGCAGGCTTCTGCCCTACGGGGCAGAACTGCACGGATGCGGCTGATCTGGACTGCTACCCGGGCTCGGAGTGTGTGCAGTTCAGCGCGATGTACTGGTGCTGCTCTGCATTCCTCTGGACATCAAAATACCCCAGCAAAAGTACATAATTTCTGCATGCATGATACATGTCAAGTCAAATGCATATCATGTCTACATCTGCTCATTTTGCCTTCAGCTGTGGAATGACCAGTGCATGCATGCAAGGCATGAATGACCTTTGCCTACCAAGATTGGCTCCCACACCTGCGCGACCATAGCATCTGCTCCCAGGGACACAGCGCGCTCTGCCTGCTCCACGCTCTGCACCTGGATCATGAGCTTGATGCCTGCCGCCTTCACTTGGGCTGCCATTGGCGCCACATCCCCAAAGGACAACCGACATCACCTTGCAATTTGCTGCAACGCAGGCAGTGCCGCCCGAAGGCGGCAAGCGGCATCTCCGGGCTGGCCGGCCGCCGCCTGCAGCAAACCACACAACTGCCAGAGCCTCCGACGCCGTCCAAGTTTGGCCCGCTGCCCGGCCCCAAGATCGTCATAGAGCCCAAGCCAGTCCCCTGGGGCTCCTCTGCCAACTCCACCAACGTTCCAGACTTCTCCCAGTGCGGCATTAACCACACTAAACAAACTGTTCCTCAG